TTAAATATGTTACGTCTGCATTGTTTATAAAAGTTTGAATATACGCTATGTTTGGTATTATATATGGCCAAGTCAAAACGTGCTGCTACTGTTCTGACATAATGAAATCAAATCTATAAGGTATCTGCTTTACTCCGAATGTGTCGTAGTGATGCCTTTATTGGCGGTTTTTGAGAAATCGCCTTTTCAAAAACGATAATTTTTCGAAATTCCGAAAATAATCCACAAGAGGGCGTCAAATCATTTTTTGGCATTTTAGGATTTGCACAATAATTCCAAGTTTAATGAACATACAGTTTTGATGTATGACCAAGAGAGAAAAGTGTTTGATGAATTATCCAGTAAATCAAGTTGAAATACCTAACCGTTTTTAAATATGTTACATATACATGGTTGATAAAATTAAAAATTATACGCTATGTTTGGTATTATATATGGCCAACTCAAAACATGCTGCTACTGTTCTGACTTATTAAAATCGAATCTATAAGGTATCTGCTTCTCTCCAAATGTGTCGTAGTGCTGCCTTTATTGGCGGTTTCCGAGAAATCGCTATTTCAATTACGATAATTTTTTGAAATTTTGAAAAAAATCCACAAGAGGACGTAAAATGCTTTTTGGTATTTTATACTTTCCGCAACTTTTTCCAAGTTTAATGAACGTATAGTATATATGTATGTCCAAGAGAAAAAGATGTTTGATAAATTATCTAGGAAATTTATTTGAAATACCAAACCGTTTTTAAATATGTTACGTCTGCATTGTTTATAAAAGTTTGAATACACGCTATGTTTGGTATTATATATGGCCAAGTCAAAACGTGCTGCTACTGTTCTGACATAATAAAATCAAATCTATAGGGTATCTGCTTTACTCCGAATGTGTCGTAGTGCTGCCTTTATTGGCGGTTTTTGAGAAATTGCCCTTTCGAAAACGATAACTTTGTGAAATTTATCAAAGAATCCACAAGAGGGCGTAAATTTTTTTTCAGTATTTCAGACTTTACTCAACTTATTCTAAGTTTAATGAAGTGCATTATTGTTGTGTGACAAAGAGAAAAATATCTTCTTTGATGAACTATCCAGTACCGTAATTTTAATTGAAATACAAAATCAGTTTCAAATTTGTTGTATATACATTGTTTTAAAAATTGAAGAATATACGCTATGTTTAGTATTATATATGGTCAAGTCAAAACGTGCTGAGACTGTTCTGCCATATTGAAATCGAATCTTTGAGGTTTCTACTTTTCACCAATGGTGTTGCAATGCTGCCTTTATTGGAGGTTTTCATGAAACGACCATGTTACACGACGAAAATTCAGTCATTTTTAAACATCTCTCAAAGAATTATAAAAAAATTTTGTGCACTGTAACAGTCGCTTTAGCTTGTTTACCATATATTAACAATACGAGGAGTGTAGTTAATGATTGTTTTGCTTTAATTGCTATTGTGAAAATAATCAAAATATACACTTTCTTATAAGAATCATTGGGAACATTTAATTTTACGCGTGGGTATTTTTTGCGATTCTGTCAGTCACAATTTCGTGTTTTGCTGCTAGCTTCACAGAGGTGACTCCAGAGTGATTACCGGTATATGGTTGACGAGGTTTAAGGTGTGATCAGCTGATGAATGTGAATATGTACATAATTTGGATTATGTAGGGCTGGGGTTGGCAAAGTTCTTTGCAAAGGCTTTGGGTCTCATGTAGTTTCGTACCTAACGTACCGTACTTCTAGTAGAAATAAAGAAAATCATTTTTGCAGAGGGCTGCATTCAATTATCCCTGTGATATTTTCAAATTTAACGGTGGAAGACATTGTTGATAAGAGAAAAACATCAATATTATTTTAACAATTCATAGTTCTGTAGTTGGAATTTTCTAAATGAACATTAAAATTAAAGGTATATTTTTGTACGGTATGTAAAAATTTCGAGTCTGGTATAGTTTAGTACCACATGCACTTCTAGATGGCCTGGCTTAACAATTTTTGCATATGTCAATCCTAAACCTCACCTGGCAGCCTGGCTACGTTCAGACGTTACAAAAAAATTATGTCACTACAACGTTACGGTGGCGTAATAAAGCCCTCCAAAGTCAGAAAGTGTACCGTAAAAGCAGGTAACTTCGGATGGTTTCACTATATTATGAACAATTTCTCCGCCGTTTATTGTTCAATTGAAGCCAAACTTGGAATATAATACAATGAAGCCTTTCTCTTCACGATAAACTCGGTTTCATATCAGTCAATACCTTTTTTCATTCAAATTATTGACTTTATTTGTCTGCAGATCTGTATTCCAAATGTTTCTAACTTCGGATGGCCACTTTTCGCTTTGCGTCACTTCGTTGTGAGAGAGAAATGTCTGCGTGATCAGTGACGCGTGATAACGTCGCTGCGTAGAACTTACGATGCCGTGATCCGTTTTGCGTGTCGCACACTGACGTTCATCTATGACGGCCGTTTTATTTTTTTCCGATTGTTAATTCTTTCGGGTCGGCGGACATTGAAGTTTTATATATCTGGTCAATGACATTAGCAGCATGCTCAATGTCATTGATCTGGTATACCCATGCGTTTACATCGGCAACAGCTCTTGAAGACAAGAAGGACTGATTTCAAAACCCAAATTAATTTTATTCTGATTTTTATCTTATGTGTTGGCTTTGATCTTATCACTGTTTGTATATTATTAATCGTTCGAGTTTAAAGAGAACGGTGATATTATTATCGACACCGGGATGGAGATATTTATTAAGACGATAATTGACGTTCTTATGCTTTGCACCTGCGATTGCACGAATCCTGAATTTTTATTTATTATAATAATTGAATAAATCGGCCGTTATGCATTTATACTTGTCATAAGGCTTTTGGCCCTAATAGCGGGTCGGACGCTAATTATATATAACTATTTCCCTCAAGTTTTAACGTTTTTTTTTGGACAAAACAATAACCCGACGGTTATTATAGCTAAAATCGTTACCGACTAACTCACAATTTTATCTACAGAATTTGCGAACTCAGCACTTTACTCGACGATTTTGACAGTGTCACGCCATAATTATTACCGCTAAAATGCTTCAAAAATACAACGCATGTAATAACTTATGATAATTTTGCCCATCGCTATTTCTGTCATTTCGCAAAACTAAACCATTTACTTCTGACTATTCTTAATTTCATGAAAGTGCTAGATTTTGCTAATATGATCGTTTTAATACAAAACAAAAATGAGACAACATGGGACAAATGAAAATAAAAAAAAACAGACGCATAAACTAAGTCGTAAAAATGGAAGTGGAAAACAATTTTTAATACGAAACAAAAATGAAACGAATGAAAATAATAAAAAAAAGAATCATGAATTACGATAGGTAGTAAAAAATGGCAGTGGAAATGGAAAACAATATGGAACGGTGGAGCTTGTGGCTCGTGTTCATAATTCAGATATAATGTATTCACAGGCAGATAGACAAAGTCAAATGACATGAAACGGATAAAACACCAAATAGAAACTTTGATACTCTTTTCTTCATTTTGCGACTTACTCGTATGTGGTCCAACCTCCTACTGAGTGCACCCGAGTTTCATGCTCACCTGTGCAACATTCTACGCTTAAGATATTATCATCGTAAACATACATACTTTATCATTGTGATAGTATAGATACGCGTAACTGGCTGTTCATTAGCCAGCCTTACGTATCCACAACATCTATACGTTCGGAGAATGAATGCAAAAATATTAACGCACAAATTTGATGTGCTTTAAACGGATTCACAAAGAATAAACAGCATATGACTGGGGCTATAATGAAGTTTTTGTAGGATTTGGTGACTAGGATCAGGTAGGAGCTTTCACTTTATATTTAACTACACGTGGCGCCACATAGTCTGGCGTTCAAATGTCGCAGCGAGTTACGCACGAGCTACGCAATGTGACGTCGGCGTTAAATGGAGCGAAATTGAATCACGTTGTTGACGTCACGTTCAGCGTAAGCATCGTAACGTCGATATTTTGACGAAATTTTTAAATCAAAATAATATATTTTACTTGAATCGCACGCGACATCTCGTGATCACTGTAATTTTCCTTGTACATTCTGTATGCCCTCTAGCGATTGACGGTCTTTTAGTGAAGTTAGCGTCGGTAGAAATTGCTTTGTTAACCGCTCAAAAACAAGGTGTCAATTTTTGGCTAAAATGTGATTTTTTGTGTCAAAAAATAAATAAGATTAGGCGATTGAATATAATAACAGATTTAGATATATAAGGACTCTCTATAGAAATTGCCAGAAGCAAAATATGACGTAATTTAGTCAAGATATAAACGATTGAAAATTTCATCCAAAGTTACAAACCATCCGAAGTTACCTGCGTTTACGGTACATATGCTGATATGGTCGTCCAAAATCTGCAGACGATCAGTTAAAATCGAGCAAGCTATTTCTCGTTTCTCTATTTTCTCGTTGCATTGATCCCGATATGAGAGAGACCGTTGGCGTGAGTTCGTTATCGACGGCGCAGATGCCATTTCGTGCGATCGTAGTTATCATTTGGCAAGCTCTATGACATAACTGTGATGTCGTAGTGACGTAATTTTTGGATGGCATAGTCAAGTGGGGGTTAGAAATAACATATGCAAAATTCATTATGATAGGCCCACTGAAAGTACTTGTGGTACTAAACTATACTAGACCCCCAAATTTTTACAACTTTCTCCAAGACTAAGTGGCTGCCCAAAATGCTTTATCGGCGCATGTAGGTTCATAGTGAAAATACATAAATGAAATGTTTAACGTAAGACAGCAAGATAAGGCCTACGAATGAAATACTGCTGAAACAACTTAAAAGTCGAAGTGCTGAATTGCCCAAAACGGTGTCTAATTTGGGTACTACATTACTATGCTTTATCGCAACCTCTGTCTGATTTTATTCTAACAATAAAATTTTAAAGTTTATTTGTAGATTAGCTTTCTTCGATTCAGCATTGAATTTGGATTTGTGTATTCCAGAATGTTGAACTAGAAGTCACTTTACTAGTAATAAGTTAGGTTGACTATTTGAAATCATGAAAGTTTCACATCTATGTGGTATGATGTGGAAAAGACTTGCCAAAGGAAGTACATGTCTTCAATCATATTGTTGCAGTATTGCCGGTTCGCATTCACGGCAAAACCATGTTGCACTTTTAGGAGACACATTTCACCCAAAGACTAATTGTACTAGAAATACACACACAAGTTGTCCTAGGTGGTTACAGCTAAAAAATGAACAAACATTTGAAGAATGGCAAAAAGATTACTTTATTAATTTCTATGAAAATAAAAAAGCTATTGCTCAAAAGGGCATTAATCATCACCCTGTGAATGTTCTAACTTTACGTGAATTTTTTGTTGTACTCGTAAAAGACAAATCAGATTTTGCTATACCAAGTGATTGGCAAGATGACGAAGAAATATTTGCTCATCCTGACGTTCTTGCGACAAATCACGTACGACGAGGAATTAAACCATTGATTATATATAACAGGTTTGACTTTATATCAGATTTTTCGTATTTGGTTCTGATTGATAATACATTACATTATTATAGATGTCTATAGTCTATCTTTAAGTAGTTTTATATCAGGAAATTCTGTCTCGAAAGTAATTTAGATATCAGTATGACACAGTTCTCCGGCTCCCAGCTCCCCACATTAAAAGACATCAATTATAGGAGTAAGTCCAAATTCTTTCTTTATGAGACAGTCTGGGCCTCTATATCTGCAAACTGGCCTTGCGCAATAAACTAAAAGGAATTGCAATCTAAAAATGTTACCATTGAATTATTTAGAAAAAAATAATTCAATTTACCAAAGGAAAAAAATTTTACTGTAGCATTGCAGCATTTGTTTTTAGCAAAAAATGCAATTTTGGTCATGTGACGGGTGACATACATCACGATTGATTTAAATTATTATAGAGACAAGTATCGTGCAATCTACCGTTGTACCAGACACCCTCATTTCAAAAACCTTTGGAGTGTTTGTTTTATTGAACCAAATGTCAGGACATCTCGGAATCGGAGAACTGTGCCCTACTGGATATAGAATGACCCATTATGCAGAATATATGATAAAAGAAAAGTTGAATTGATATTTCACATTAAAAATTTTATGTGCGAAAAACAGACTTCAATAAATAAAAAATTTCAAAAAGTTCAATTCCCCTTTTTTATTCAAGCCAAAATGTGAGCCAGGCAAGTTGTTGAAACATATTGTTTTAATTTTCCACTCTTGTCATTTCTATCGCTTGTAGAATACTATGGAAACCTAATTGCCAAATATATTTAGGTACAATACGGTGGAGGAATGGGAAAGAAACTTAGGACAATTTATTGATGAGTTCGTTTCACGAAGCTTAGTGCTTGCCTCAACAATGGGGTTTGTTACTTTATCTCAGCTTGAAGAAACAAAGATTGATCAGAGGTAGGTACAGGTGATATTTTTTTTTTTTCAATTTATCATCTATTGTACTTTTTGTTTTCGATATTTTTTGTACTTGACAATTCGAATCTTGCCACAAAATTCAACTTCAAGTACTCTGCGTTTATTATACAGGGCGTCCATAAAGTCCATTTACAGTTCCAGTACAGTTTAAAGTCCCTTCAATCAGTAATTGTTCAAGTATCTTTACTTCATTCAATACATCTGTGCCAAAACAATATATGGTATCAATGAATTCCCTCTGCAATTTTAAAAAGTTTTTGGACTGTTTGTGTTAGCCAAGTGAATGTACCCCCTGCCCATAGGTTCAGTCCCTTCACACAACTTGATGTAAAGTAGGTGGACAAAATTTTTTACCTTCATATTGGTACACACACTTCAGGATCGCCTTTTAATCAGTGCACATTCAAGTTTTTTTTACTTCATTCACTACATCGGTATATGCCCAAACCCACCATTAGTTGTACGAAGATCATCAGAGTTTTTTTACCTAATTTAAATTATGACTTCATGGACACCTTGCATAAAAATATTATTTTGTTTTTTCTTCCCTCCCCTGGGTTAGCTAACCACCCTAATGAAAATCTTTTAAAAAACTGAATAATTGATTCTTATAAATTTAGTATAAATCACGAAGAATTTCTTACAACCCCGCTTGCTGAATCCTTCATCGACTATATTTTAAATGAAGAGAGGAATATTCCACATTGTCAGAGAGCGTTGGTGATATACATGAAACATTGTAATAACGTTCCGAATGGCGGGGAGCTTGGAGAAAAAATATATGGGTGAGAGCTTCAATGTTCATTTTCATCAACATTTTTTTCTTCTTGGAATAGAAGTCAATGTAAATGATTTATTAAAAATAGGCTGGCATAGAAAAATTATTCTGTTAAATTCAGTAAATAATTTTATTTTTGCCAATTATCATTCGTAAAATTAAATTTCTCAGAAACAGTTTTTATTTTAGAGTGCAAGACATAATAGATTTTTACTTGTTACTGTATTTTTTATTTGCAGGAGAGCCAGAGAGAAAATACCATTGTTTGGTATTGATTTTATGACGTTTTGTTCATCCACACATATCCTCGGTGAAACAAAATATCGGGAAGATGTATTGAAGTTTAATAAGTTATTGTCTGCCATTAAATGCAAACGGAATCTTTTTATTGAAAAAGAAGTTGAAATTGCATTATAGTATGATATTTACTTTTTATTTCATATTTTTCTTAGTTAAAAAAGCTAGAATGCACTATTGATATAAATGTATAATTCAGTTGCATTCACATTAGTCAAAATTTGATTTATTTTACAAGTGAAATAGTGTTTTCAATAATGGTCAAAATTGTGAGTACAATTTACCTGTAAGTTCAGAAAGGTAAATTATGATATAGCCTATATTACGTAATATATATAGATTATATCATGGTTTCTTGGGTGATCTCTAGATAGACAAACAATTTGGATATGAAGGTTCCTCAATGTGTCAGGAACACGCTCGCCATTGCACCTCTGATTAGTCCGAGTGGCTATGCAAGTTTATTAAATACCATGTGAGGGGATTGACAAACAGCTCATTGTTGAACGTTCAAGTTCATGCATTTAAAACATGTAACTGGCGAGTGGACGTGGCTCGTCATATAGGATCTGATCAGGTCGTCTAGTCACCCCTCCGTCTTTGGCAATATCACGGAAGTAAAACCTAAGCAGTTTATATCACATTTTAAGCATTGCCTTATGTCCATATTCAGGTCTGGTTGTATAGTTCTGAAAATTATTCCCTTATAATGTGTTAAGGGCTAATCTGGTTGTACTTCAGCGATATATGGAAATTCTGAACTGATTCCTGCTTTTCTATTATTCATCTAAATATTATTATTTCTAATAAAAAACAGTGACAACAACGTGGAGCAAGCTGTTCGACTTTTAGGAATAATATTTAAAAATCCTAAAGAATATCTTGCCAAACGTAGTGGAGTTTTAGATACAGTCATCAACTCTCTTTTCAGCAAGTTAAGGTTAGTTTTAACTGAATTTTTGAACTATTGATTGATTCAAGTTTTCACAGACTTCTTTTTTACTCTGAGAATCTAGTAAGGCGTTGGTGTTCTTCCTCAAATTGATTCAATCTATTTCTATACTGTTTCTTGTATTTCATTGTACAAAATTGTGTTTTCTCATGTTCAATTATTTGGGTACGAGAGCATTGTAGGACAGACAGTTTCTTTTTAAAATAATCCTGAAGTTTAATATTTATTTCATATATGTGTGTTGAAATTGGTATTACTCCTTATGTTAATTCAAGGTTTAACGCAGTGTTTCCCAACCCGAGTCCGCGACAGTTTATTCGCATAACATTAAACGAGTCAATTTTTAGGGCTCTGCATATATTCGAATATTCAACTATTAGAATAGCAATTTACTATTCAAAAATTTGGTAACATGTCGGTACACGTTTTGATAGATACGTAATAGGTGCTTCTCGAGTTCGAACAACGAGGAATATTTTTTTTTTCTGGTAGGTGTAAATGGTGGCAACCCAAATTTTCTAAATTGAAAAGTGCTTCGCGACCGATTAAAGACGCTTTTTTAGACATTGCAAATTGCAAAATTCTGGGTGCCACCGTAGTATACGTACCAGGGCATTTTCCTTTAGTATTCTGTGCTTTACTGCCTCCACATTGGTACGTACAGTGGTAAAGGAGCGCCGTAAGTGTTATACAAACAGCTCAGATTTGTCGAATTCACAAAAAATACAAATCAAAACAAAATATAATCGGGCACTTTACCACGCATTTTTGTGTCTACGATTGCCATGGTATTTTACGAGTAGTACTGCTCTTATTTCGTCAACACAACCGCAGATAAAAAGGATCACACATATGGATGGTTTAAATATTTTTTGCAACAGAAAAAATTATTGAAAAGTCGGCTATTTTAACGAGTGACCTATACGCGACGATTACTTCAGAAGTTGTTCGCGAGAATTTCAGTGCGATATATATTTGATTTACTAATATACTTAAAATACATTTTTAATAAATTAAGTTGTACATTCTGAAAATTTATAGCAGATAGGATTTTTTCTAACGACGAAAACAAATTCGCAAGAAGGCAAAAAATATGTATCAAATCCAAATCTGTATATAATCGGGCAATATATTCTCTCATTTTTATGTTCGCAGATGGCCGTGGTTATTTAAAGAAGTAATGCTTTCACCTTGTAGTAAGTCGACGCAACCGCGAGTTACCATGAACACAATTAAATTGAAATAGAAACATATTTTAAATTCTCGTCGATGTCATGGATTGAATATTGTGTAAAAAAAGTCCATTATACACCAAAAAAGTCGGCTCTTTTAACGAACGCGTAATTGTGGCGAATTTCTGATTTTGAAATTTGTTAAATTTCTGTTGTGTTTGGTTTCATTGCTTCTCCACACAGAGATGCGTGTTGAGTCCGCAAAGGTTTTCGCTGGTGAGAATATAGTCCGCGACCAAAAAAGGTTGGGAAACGCTGGTTTAACGAATGGAATCTTCAATAACTAACCGTTGGGGTTACGTGAAACTAACTACCTCTCCTTGCTCTATGCCTTTGCGCAGTTGGATCCGTATGCGTATAACGCAAGGATGGTATAGGAGTTTCAGTGCTAATGAATTAGGAATTTTTTTTTAAGTCAAATTATTACTTGATATGTAATTTGTTTATTCTTTTATACAAGGTATGAGCAAGATCCTGAAAATTGGGAACGAAATAAAGAAATAATAGAAACATTTCTCATTTTACTTCGAAACTGCGGTCTATTTCCTGGCAGTAAGACTGCTGCACTACATATTGGAGAATGGTTTACCAGCATTCCAGATGAAAAATGGGATTATAAGTTGATACATAATGATCGAATACGGTATGTTGGCATTGTTAACTATGTTGATAATGTTGCAAAGTTGCAATATTCAATGAATATATTTATTATAGCAAAGGTCAACTGGGTAGTAGTTTTGGTTACCCGTTGGGGTAAAGTAAGGGTACACATGAAGGTTGATTTTGCGATCGAGAAATCCACACTTTTCTGTATTGCCAAATAGGCTTGTTTCGTTACATAAACAAATGGGACCTCTGTGCTCATAGCAGATTGTTGGGAATATTACAGTAGTCACTTATTTTCTCGATTAATAGTATTATTGGGATGATAATCAGGTTTGTTGATTTGACTATCTGAACGTATCTGTATATTATAAAATACCAAGTATACAGTAGCCTGTTGCTATTTTAAAGTAGTTAATAAACAGCTATTTTATGTATCTCATGACAACTTCATTTTGAATTTTTGTTTATTTTTTAGAAATCGTCAATGCCCCTTCACAAAGGTTTATTTGGATGAAAAGGTGTTAAGGGATGAAGAATATGAACATTTAAGAAAAGTTGTGATGATGAGTATTCTTAAAGTGAGTTAGTCACTAATTTACCCTGTGATCGTTAATTTCTGAAATACTCCTCTAGTCGGCGGGCCAGATGTGGGAAAATGAAGTTCTCGGTGGGCTGGATTATTACAAAAAATACTTTAATCGGTATCCAATCTTTGTTAAATGCTCGACACTCTCTGTCAACTTTACGTTTCTTGGGATATTCCATGGTCAATAAAACTTAATATAAAATCTAATTTCTAAAATCTATTTATATTTAAAATCAAAATATAAATATAACTGATAACAGTAGTGGGGAATGTTTACAACGCTTTGACCTTATATTGTTTGTTCACTAAGGCAATTGTTTATTTCACCAACTTGCACTGACAGTGCGGTGAGAGTAGAGCGATCGGCAACTTTCAGGAATGATGCGTCCGACCACATTACAGAGTGTGGTTGGATATAGTCAGCGGGCCGTTCAAAATCTTATCCGGCTCGCGGGCCGTAGGTTGCCCACCCCTGCCCTAAGGGTTTCTTATTTTTGTGCAATGACGTTATCAAAATTGCGCTGTTTGTGGCAGTTCCTTTGCGTTTTTAACATGTGAAGTTGTGAACACTGCGGTACCCGCAGGCCACTGTGATAGACTGTATACCTGTACTACTTCCTGTTCATATATTTGAGCATCGCTCTCTTGTTTATTATCAGTTATCATTATTTTTCACTCTTGAATTAAATCTAATTGTGAAGGTACTGATTTTATGCTGCTACGAGAACCTAAATTTTTTTTCATTTTTTTTAGAAAGAATCTAATCAAGGCGAACTCAGGTCATTTTTTTCCACAATTTATGATAACGGCCCATTTGATATTGTTGTTGATGGGTTGAATCTCGTTTACGGCCTTCGTTCAAGAATGAGAAACGTACCAAGTGGAAGCGAAGTGGAACGATTGGTAAGACTCTCACAGGATTACTGTTACATACTATTTATGAAGCATAGGCAATGTATGTAAAAATGCAACTTTTAATACAGGAGGGCCAGATACAAACAACTGGCTGGAACCGTGGGCCGCAATTTTTTATATAAAATTGGCTTTCCAGTAGTTGTTAGGGCATTGTAACATCATAGGCATAAATCATAAATTGGACTTGGTTATAGGCTTTGCAACGTAGTGGGATTGGTATTGTTGTACATACCAAATTAAACTAAAGAAAAACTTGTTTCATGTGCCGCACACCAATCAAAATTGGCACTTCTATGCGGGCCGCAATAGTTTTACTTGTGGGCCGTCGGCTTGCACACCCCTGATAAAAGGGTTAGTCAAGGACATTTTGCATTGGTGGACTCATTGATTGTAGAATGGTATTTATTATTCACTTCATTACTTATCGATTTTATTAATCGGTAAGTATGTTGATAGGTATTTGTCTGTCTGTATGTCTGTTAGATGCACGCGATATCTCACGAAAGCGAGATTGAATCTGCTCCAAATTTTGCATGTGCCTTCATCTTATCTCGGACCAGAAGCCTATCGATTTTGGGCGAATTATGTCGTATAATTAGCGAGTTATTAATTAATTAGTGATGGGACACAAGGTGTCACTATGGAGTAAGAGCGCTGTTTTGGGGATCTCCTAACTTTCGATCGATAAGTCTTTGGATCAGGATTTCGATATCAGGATTTCATGTTACCAGACAGAAGACATTAATACTATTACATATCTTGTCATTCTTGTCTGACATTGATGTTTAACAATATAAATTTACAGCCATATAATTTAGTAAATTTTTGAAAGTTTTCATTATTTTTGTAGTTTCTATACGCCTTAATAAAAAAATTTTGACTGTCTGTCAGGATATATTCAGTAAAATGCACAATTTTGAACAACAGTCAGTCTAATTGTACGTAATTTGAATCTATTTGAACAGTCTATTTGTTTTAGATGTTGAAAATTTTATATTCGTTCTATAAACCTGAATTCATTATTAAAATTGTTTTTCAGACTGTAGCTTGGCTTCGGAATTTTGTTCAACAAAGAGAACATGATTCTGGAAAAAAATTGAATGTTTTGGTCGTATCTCGAGATCATATGGCTAAACATGCAAATATGTATCAAGACTTTGCTACAACATGGCTTGCTAGTAATGAGTGAGTTTATTTTATTTCTTTTATATTTATTTCATTCAGGGCAGCCTGATGTGAAACTCTGTGTTTACTTTTTTATTGCGACTCGGGAATTAACTTTCAGTTTTGTTCGAAATTTTAGGATTCGAATTTCTAATAGGCATCATCAGGCCACTGAGAGAATTATCAAGTCTTCAGAAAGGATTTTTTATCTTTCTTTCTGATTTAAATATATTATTGTGACTCATTTATCTGTGTTTGGTGACCGTTAGCAAATTTGGGTACGCAAGTGGGATTATTATGTGCGAGAGGATTGTCGGACTTCTAGCTGTCGTAGATTGTGCAGTTCACGCCGCCACCTCTGGTTGCCTACGGCTTTCTACACCATCAAGTCCATGCATCTGAAACCAATAACTAGTGAGCTAATCCATACCCGACATGCGCTGGTAATCAGACGAGAGGCCGTGGTTCGCCATATGATTAATCTTACTGAATTTCTCTCCCCCGGGATAAATATGTAAATTTTATCTATCCCGTGGATACAATATACCATGAGCAAGTCAATGAAAAGACTTGAGATAATGAAGTGTTCTCAACTTTTAATAAACTATTGCATAACTTTTCAGTTCAAATGATGATCCATTTTTCTTGTATGCCGCTCTGATAAGTGGGAGGAATTGTAAATTACTCACTCTCGACCTTTTGAAAGATGTTCATTATAAAATCACTCAGAATTTCGACTACATGACTGTGAAGCTAATTTACAAATGGCAACAAATACATCAAGATCTTGTGATCCTTCGAAAAAGTACTGGAATGGTATGCACTTTTTATTTCTATAGCAAAGGTTAAAAGCAAACTTTTTAAGCCGTGTCACCCTATAAGAATTTGTCAAGTTTTGCACACCACCTCAGAAATAACAGATAGTAAGGCGAAAGTATGTTCTATTCAAAAAACATGTCGGAAATATGTGGATGGAATTGCAATCTTCGAACAATAAAGAAAATGTAAATATCCAAAATAAAGCGGGAAAGATCGAATCTAACACATGTTTTTATATTTAGTTAGCTTCACGCCCCCTCAAAAAATTGTTTACCCCTTTGTGGGGCATCTTTTAATAAGAACCATTTTTCTATAATATAGTTGATAATATATACCGGTTAGTATATAAGTTGGTTATTGCAAACCAAAATTCAAAAAATTATTTCAATTTTGGTGCGTAATCAATTAGAAAACAATAATTGCTAGGAAAAGTATAAGATGCCAGGAACAAAAATTGTGTTACACGGTGTTGTTTGTGTGTTATGATTGTTTAACAATTTCTTTTTCGGTGTGTGGGTTTATCGTATGTGATGCTCGGACATTGTTATTTTTATATTGGAACCAATCTTACATGGTGTAAGGTAGAGTGACATAACAAAGTTCACTGTTTCTTGGTTTTGCTTATGTGCATTATCGAAATCAATATACCATTTAATAGATCTCATTCAATCAAGTCAAAAATTTAATTTCCAAACTGCAGAATTTTATATTGGTTTATTATGCAAAAAAAAAACAGATTTCTCAGAAGTTATATTTATTTATTTTAGCGAAGACAAGAATATGACGTTTCAATACAGAGAACACCAGACACATTGCATATTCCCTTTTTTGGATCAGAATCAACTAGCCCTGCTCCAACCGATTGGTTGTGCTTGAAAAAGTTATCATGAATGCAAATCAACGCTTTACTACCGGTATGTTGATTCCTAGATGAAAAAAATGCGGAGACGGCATCCATTCATTATTGGACATTTAATACATCAAACATCTTTTGAATAGTGTGTTTCTAGTGTTCCATACTAAGATGAAGATGGTCTTTGCAATATGTATTTCGGATTTACATATTTATCCTGGGTGAGAGGAAAGCCGATACAGCAGCTGAAGCATATGGCAAATGAGTGAAACGACGGCCTCTCGTTTGGTTACCAGTCCATGTTGGGTATGGGATTGAGTTAGTCAGTGATTTTATAGATACAAGCTATAGTATTGAAGTTAATTATTTGAATTGGTTGGGAAGGTTCGCAGACTGCTTTAATGATATGGGGAACCATGGTTAATGAGAGGTGGTTTTATGCAGCGCCCTCGCAACAATGAAGAATCCAAATATATCTTTTCATTGATCAAGCACCATTGGATCCAATCAAGCAACCAGTAAATCAGTTGAGTTCACTTTATCTGTGAACTAATTTTGAGGGAAGTTTTATTTAGTTTCAGGAGTTGCATTACGCAGCGGCTGTTGAAATGTTTGAGATTGTAATTAATTTAAAAAAAAACTAAATGCTTGTCTTTTTGTCGACAAAAACCTCGACTCGTACTCAGGTTACTAAGATTGAAAGGCTATGGTCTACGGAAAGATTGTTAAAACACTGCCAGGTCACTTAGGATTACTATAAGCGTGTTTGGAAAATATTTGAATCGAGGTACAATCTACGACTTGGGTAACAATCGATTTCAAGTAAGTACGGGAAGAGAAGATTGAAACAGATATCTTTGCAGATCCTTTTGAATGACTAAGTTTAATTTCTTAATCTCAAAAGACAACAGCACATGTTAATTTGTGTTTTATGATGTGCGGCAGGAACCCTCCTTGATACTGACGAGCAAGTATGTATTTAGCTATTAGTTTCACCCACTGGGACAGAAAAGCCGTTTCGAATAATGCGTGAATTTCGAACCCAAAGTTAGAAGTTTGCAGCTGGCTTATAGAATCTTCTCATAACCACAACCAGAAAACACAAAATTTTAATTTATTCACATATATATTTGATTGGCTACATTCTCTGGAGCATAAATGAAACGATATACACTTGGTAAAAAATTTTTGCATGAAAATGAAAAATGTTGCATGAAAATTTACTAGGCTATCTGAAGGAAAAAGGCATTCATTCGATAATGTTGAACATATGGTAAAAATTCAATAAGTTTTTCAAATACAAAATATAATCTGGTAAAATAAATATTATAGAGTTTAGTGCAAAATCAATTAAAAAGACATTCTGCATAATTTTGAGCTTCTACAATGGATCAATTTAGAATGAAAAAACAAACTTTCATTAAAAAACCTAGTGTATAAAAATGATGACTATGAAACACAAATTGGCGAATGCTAAAATGAATTGAAAATATCACAAAGAATTCAGTGTTTGAAGCAATAATTAACAAAGTTTAAAAAGTAGTTTCCTAATCAAGTTTCGGTTTAAAGCCCTTGAGTGTACAGCGTTTCTATGTAATGAATTTTAATCATGACAAAAATTCACATTAATATAAGGGTTTTTGAACCATCAACATTGATCACTACTTCTCTTTTTCATTTCTTACTTTTCTAGCGGATTTCTTTGTGTATGTTTGTATATAGAAGTTACTAAAAAGTATGATGAAAGACATGGAATATCCCACCAGTGCCCAGTGCATCCAAGGTGGAAAATCACATCCAGAATATATAGATCTTCCAGTATGCGCAATCGCAAGTGTAAATTGTCCCTAAAAATATATATAAAAGTTTAAAACTGAGATTACCACTGAAGTTTATCAGGGTAAGCTTTTCAAGAAAAACAACTGTGTTTTGATCGTTCATTTGCAAAAAAGCAAAGTCGAGTACAGCATTATTTGGTTGCGCATATGGCATAGCATAACAGTCTTCATTTAATATTATTGAAGCCATCACATCATAATGTTGTTATTAGACACAAAATGTACCGGTACATATGGATCGTTTTGTTAGTATTTTTCTTCTAAAAAAATCTCTTTTCTCGTTAACTATTAGACCAATTGCTTTGAAAAAATTATTAACTTAACTTAAATGAACTTAGGCGATACCACAGTCGGAGTTACGGGATAACAGCATGAAATTGTACACTGTGGGTATCTATTGATTTTAAATCAAATTTAGCTTTCCTATTGTTATGGCACTGTCCCAATTTTATTTATATCTCTCTATCGCAAACAGACCCAATATTTATGTGCATGCAATTGCGTTTCTTGTTATAGTTGTAAAATGCTTGTCTGAAGAAGTCTGACCTCGGTCAGACGAAACGTTACAGAAATATATTTGTGTTCGTGTGCAGCAAGACTCTTGCATTAAATAGAATTACCGTATTTGTTCCTAAATTTTCCACTAAACCCACAAGATTTGATATTCCACCCAAAATTTTGCTGTTCAATTCTTATTCATGGAAAAATGGTTTTTATTCTGCAAAGCGTGGCAGCTGTCTTCCGTTTTATTTTTGCTACATCCTGCTACATGAAAGCGAGTGCCCCTTTATATGTGAGCATTACTCTCTTGTGTATATTACAAAAGTGAGTTTGACGACCCCTTATTGCGAAAGGCCTTGGATAAAATTATATGTGAAGTTCATTGGTAAAAAAGAAAGAAGCAAATGAATGTGCGTACCAATTGGAGCATTGTGATGTATTTTTTCCACCATAGATATTGTTGCATTTGAGGACCAAGTGCAGCGAGTCCATAGTATGAATACATCATAACATGAATTGCAGAATTCAACATTGCTCCGAAAAAAGCTAAATTAAAAAAATATGCAAAAGATAATTAGTATTTAGCAATAAAGTTGAGTTCCAGATCATTTTTCTTCTGAACGAAAGCTAGTTGTCACATATATGGAGATTTTTAATGCAACTGCACAATAATTTCACAAGGACACATTATGCATTTTAATTTCAACGAATAATCTTGCAATATATAGATAATGGTTGGATAATTCATCTCAGCAGTCAAAACTAATGTAGTCTGACTGAAATAAAGCCAAGATTAGAATTTTCGCGATAATAAAAAAGGTCACATAAAAAGGTTGTGTCCATTGTTTTTTATTTTTAATATATTCTTATCATTAAATTTTAGTTTCAGAGGGTCGCAATAAAATTGTGACTGTGCCAAATGGGTCATGAAGAACACTGATGTAAATCATAGTTCGATATTATAAACTTGTCATGTCTTCATAGAGCAGAGAATTGATAGAGCTCGGATTGTACGATTATTTGCATCTCTAGGGATTCGTGATTGCGGATTCCATAAACCTTTTGGGAATATTTTTATTTATAGTTTTGTTATGTAAATTCAGTAATCTTCACTGTCAGTCTTCTTATAAAGAGGTTAAGTATACTTACACTGTCCACCTGGCACCCACTTCACTCCAATCCACCATAATATGGGCATTGTAGAGTGGTGGTACACATGAAGAACAGTGATTTGTCTGGATTTTTTACGTAGCATGAAAAACACAGTGTCCAATAGCTCAATGAGTTTGGAAAAATAGTACCACCATAGAGCATTTGCTATCTAAATTGTAAGAAAATTGCATAGCGTATTAAGAAACGATAGAACATAGTTACGAAAGAGACAAATAATAGCTGTGTATATCAGGATCTAACACATTGTGAAGAATGCATAAAGCAATAGAAAAATACTTGGTTTTAAATATTTTTTTTCTCCCAGGAAAAATAAAGTGAAAAAAATCCAACCCAAAATACATAATATTACAAACTATAGTAATATTTTTGTAACAATACTATTATGCTGGATGACAATGTTACAGGAAACTTATCTTTAAAATTCCGATGTTGAAATCACGTTGGCCACATCTTTTTAATAGGTTTCAAGTAGATTAATATACATTGATAAAAATATTTTAGTCACTCGTGTTCAAAGTGAATCGAATTTCCAAACATGCTCAAAAATAGTTACTGTATAACCGATATAGCAAATTCTTGATTTTGTGAAAAAATTAAAATACTTTAATTCTGCATAACTATATCTATGTTCAGACCATTTCTGTTTATTTTATTTACCTAACAAAACTGTGAAAAGAGAATGAATACAGTTTTGTCTCAAATTTTGTTATTATTAACTAATAGGCCTATCAATCTTTAAAACTTGACAGTCATTTGAGCAATTTCTTTATTGGAATGATGACCCAATTTAAATACACTGTATTCAACATTTGAACACAATATCAAAGAATATATTCAAAATATTAGATTAATTGTCTATGACAATCCCTAATTTTAATCAGCCATAGCATAGTACAATAAATCTTACCCTCATTTCATTAGGATCGTATGAATCATGTTTGACTGGAGTACATATATAGCTGTATTTTGCTGCTTTGCTTGCAGAAATTAGTTCCTTCATTATGTAATAATTAAGACCCACCAAAGCAAAATTGTATGCACTCAATAACATCCCAAACTCATAGGGATTCCTGAAACAGGAATATATATAGTATAGGATCATTCATATTTATCTTGGGGGTAGGAATTGCATACTCCCAATAGCGATAATCAAATTAAAACTCAAAAAATAAGTTTACTAACTAAGCGTTCTTAATAGTTTAATATGAATATCAGGGCTCTTCAAACTTGAGGTGTCACTCTCGCTGGGTTGCGGAAGGGCCCAATGGGTATCACAGTACAATCTTTTTCGACACCAACTTAGGTTAAAACAAAATATTGATCAAATCTGAATGATTTGAATCATCATCGAAATAGATCCAAGATTGGATCTTTTGTGCGAGAATATGCAAGTACATCGATCTCATCAAAAGTATTGTCAATTTTACTTTTTTTTAATAATTTCCGTATTATCAAATTTTTGATAATATAATTTATAAATTTTTTTTTTAAATTTGGCTGTGATGAAAAAAGTTTGAAGAACGCTGAATGCATATCATGTCTATTGTATATGCCTGAATTTTCATTATCAAAATTTGGTCAAAATCGAAAGTTTTCCAATCCAAAATCGATTACAAATAGAGTTCACAGTCCTGTTTCAAATCTAGAGCCCAAATTATGTTAATTCAGAAATTATGGCACAGTCTTCCAGTTCAGCAGTATTTCTCGTACTTAGCTTTTTATAAATAGAAGATATATTCAGAATTTCAGATATAACAAAATTAACAATTACTTTACCTGTTGGCCATGAATTTAGGTCCGACATACTTAACAAAAATTAAGTATAAAGCAACTATAGAAATTGTTGGGATTATAGATGGAATCAGGAACCAATCAGCAACTCTCTTGTCAGCGATCGTCTCAGCCCAGGAATAAAAATCCATAAACTTATGAATTAAGTGAGACATTGTGCTGAAAAGACACTGGGCTAATTTCTACAAGTAAACTAATAAAATATAAATTGTATTCAGTAAGACTATATCAGTATATAGACACTCAAAGAACACATCAAACAAAGAATGCAGCTTGTTGGTAAACCTCCAAAAGGTTAAGTCTGTAAGTGGGTAACAGTACAGCAGTAAGAGCAAAAACATACAGACATAAGCGCATCTGCGCGCCAAAGTCAATTCATCAACAAGTTTAAAAAGTGCTTTTGAAATCATCTCGAATCATCAGAAAAACTCAACATATTAGGCTCTATCGAATTTATTCAAATATTTCACAATCATTGAAACTTCCTAAACGGAGTACAGAGAATGACTATGAACACTGATACAATACTGCAATACAGCAATAATACAAGACTTCCGGCTTATGGCATCGCACTCATTTTAACTTCCTTCCCTTATGAAAATCATACACGCGAGTATTTGACTCTAAACATATAAATTAGCCGGGCCACTCCTATATTCCCGTATGGGCTAACTTATATGTAAATACCGCCCACCCATCATATCATGCTTTGAAATCGTTGAACAGAACAATGTGCGCAACCGACCATTTCGGTAAGCGTAGTCGTCTTGGCAACAGTTGTGCACGACATTCTCCTTTGAATGCCTAGAATAGGATTTACAAATTTTATCTGGGGGGAGAGAAAAGCCGATAAGACGGTTTATTTATATGACCAATGAGAACGTATATATTCTCATTGATATGGCGCAGCACGGCACAAGTCCATGTCGGGTATGGGATTGATTGGTCGGCCAGTTAATCGTTTCAGATGCACGAACTTGATCTGATGACGGAGAAAGCTGAAACCAACCAGCGGTTTCGTGAACCATCCATCCACTCGCACATAATAATCACCCAAGCAGGTGTGCCATGGCGAGCGCATTCCTAACGCTTAACACGGTTCGTCACACCTCCTGAGCCCAGTTTATTGATACTAAATCTAAACCCTTTGGAATCACATCAGGCATGAATTCATCCTGATCGAAGACGCTTGCAACACAACTAACCTAGAAATTCCTCGCTCCAACTAACGTGCAACACTGTAAAAATCAATTTTATAAGCCCAGACGGACTAGTGATATTTCGCCTCAATCTAAAACAACATGCAAACTGTAGTAATCTGTGTGTGCATGATCTTAAACTCTGTAACGTCCAGTGCAATCTTTTTTTTTTAATTTTTCATTTCTTTCCCATTCCCCCAATAATAGAGAAAATCTAAATCCTTTTTAAAACATGCAAATACACAATTTTCACAAAGAAATTGACAGTTTTTATTTAGAAAAAAAATCATGACATTTCATTCTACACAAAATCATTGTTGCCAAAGCTGAACTTATATCTGCACAGCCACACTAAATCGTCTATTGCTGTAGTGCATGTCAACATGTAACAAATATGTCAACAAATCAGGATATGAAAATATTTATATAATAATAAGAAAATAGAACAAAATCATCTTGATGGCGTCATTTGTAGATCAAAATTTCTTCTACAGAAATTATAAACTTCCGCGGCAGAGCAGGTCGACAAATGAGCTTTTTGTATCAACTTCTCGACCGAGCTGTGTATGAATAAGTTAGGAGAGTATAAAAAGTATAAGATAGCAAAAGTTATAATAGAAATATTGAAGGATTTGATCATTGTGTGATCATTTAATCATCACATTGTGTGTGTGTGTGTATGTGACTTGAAAAAAAAAAAGAATAAAATACACCCATTTCAATCAGCACAATGAAATATTCAAGTATGGAATCCAAACGGCACAACACACACACCTCAAAACCTCACTTGAATTGAATTTGAACAAAAGAAATTAGAATTGGTGTTAGAAAAAAAAAGTGAGAAACACCTTCACCTCTATTACTATTAGAAGTTAAAACAAGGAATATGAAATGTTCAACCAACCTTGCTGCCACTTCTTTGAAATTTTTGAAATTTAGACACATATATAAAGCAGACACAAAAGACACTTTCGGAATAGATGTATACAATCGAAGTACAGTTCTAAAAAGAATGATTTGAATCTTAAAAAATAATAACAACTGGAATAATCAAACTATACTTGTGTTACTTGATGTTACTATAAATATAAAATTATAGTAGTTTTTTTAATACACTTATTATATTTTTTAAATTATTTTCCTGTCCATAATTAAATACAAACCAGCATATTCCACCTATCAGAACATACCGAAATTTTGCGTCATTAGCTTTCTCCGCAGCATCAAATTCTACCGGCCTTTTTAAATTCTTTTCTCGTGTTGAAAGCATATGGAGAAGATCAGCAGTTTCATTCTATTCGAATACAATGATTGAAAGATGATGACGTAAAAAGACAAGACATTGAAAACAATAAGAGAACAACAAAGATGGAAATTACACAAGGGATGTCAATTGTAGACCCCTATTTCCTGTGTTATGCAAAACGATCCTTACAAATGATGTCACTTTATTCCAAATCAATGAGGGATTTTCATCTGTTGTAATGAACATACATTATACAATTCATGTATGTTCATTACAACAGAAGAAAATGTAAGGATCGTTTTGCATAATACAGTTAATAGGTGTCTACAATTGACATACTGGTATTTTAAACCCTAACATACATAACTAGTTTCTATCTTCTATGTAAAACTTATTAAAGTGATCAATCTCACATGTAAAAATTAAATTGAAAAAACTAAAAACAAGCACTAGAATTTCAGGTAAGCAAAGCTGAGCAGTATATCAATACCAATATAATAACGATTTTATTGAAACTCAGTCTTAATTGCAATCAACACTCCTATGCTTGACATTCAAAATTCTTTTGAGAGAAATTGATTTGTGTAGAACCTACCTGGTTATCACTGTATAAAATTCGTACATTGGCTTGTGATAAAGAACACACAGTTGATACATAATATGATGAATGCTGTGCTCTACCACCCGACATATCTCCTGAATACGAAAAACAGATATTGGACATATCATATCAGTAGTAGGTTTTGAAATAAATAAAAGTGAAAGCCTTTAAGCGACAACAACAATCTATAACTACTGAAAACTTAGGGCAATCGATCAAGTAGTTGGTAAGAAAAGCGATTTTCTCACAGGAAGAAAAAGAATACAAACAAGATGAACAACAACAACATAATAACAAAACGATCCGAGTGTATGTACAATGTCAAATTGTGAAGAACAGGTCAATGAAAGATAAAAAAGATACTGTATGCCACCCGAAATGCAAAACAAACGTTTAAGCAAAGGACCAGCCAAGCATATAGTTCCAAACAAAGAATTCCACGCCAGCAGTGGGAGGGAGAATTTATCAAAATTACTTTATTGATAGGCTGCTATAGTGGAAAGTATAGGCTTCTAGTAATTGCACCAACATCATGAATGCGCCAATAGACACAAGGAATTTCACATTTATATAGATCAAAATATGAATGACTATAATGTCTTTATCATATAGCATACCTTTTTTAATGCGATCTTGCTCGATTATAAGATAAACTCTATCATAATTTCTATTCAACTGTTGAAATCGGGAAATTATTTTCTGTCGACCAGATACCTGTGATAAGTCTGACACCATCTTTCTTTCCACAGCTGTCCTGTAGAGAAATAACAAAAAATGATCTTAACATTATCTCATTTCCATTTTAGAATAAAAATATATCACATTATTCACATATTATGTTGTTCGGCATAGTGTAAACAAAAGTTTTTATTTGGGCAATATTTGATTCAATAATTAAAACTTCACATAAATTACCGGTTTGTGTTTTACGATGTAAAAAATTTTGCCCATGTGTGAAACCATTGTTAAAACACCGTAAAGCAGAGGGAATTCTGCGTATGGTTTTTCAGAGAACCGATACAACATCTAATCACACAGCTTTATAACCTATTGTGAAGTTAAGCCCTTGTCCCTTGTAGAATTTCGCCTAATTTATTCAAAAAGCTTTGCAGCGTCATGTTGGCCAGCCATACCAATTTGTAATTGCGGTCACCAGAGCATGACACTGCAAAGCTAAACTGACAATTTGAACTTTCTTTCAATTCACATCAATTTTTAGGTCAGTCGCTGATATTTTAGGCCATTCGCTGATCACCTCATTCAGTAATGCATGTAATAAATTGTGTTCGTGTAGATTCAGTCTTACAGGAAGATGCCATTCCTATGAGCCACCATAATTGAATTTGGAATGTAAGAACTGCTAAACAAAATTTGTCTTCGCCACAATGCTTTTCTTTAGCTAGCTAAATCAGACAATACAGGAGTGACAAATAAATCAACTCACCCTCTACCAACAATATAGTCACAGTGAGGTAATGAAGCAACAACAGTGTATACTTTGTGTTTACATCTTAATGTTGTAATAATAGGTTGACTACTGCTGAGTTCTTTACTATCAACTAAAACAACCAGTTTGTCTAAAAACAAACAAAAAATATTTAAGAAAAAAACTGAAAATTAGACATGTAAACCTTATAAAAAATATTATAAAATATGAAAATATCAATCATAAAAACGAGATGCTGAAAAATATGGAGATGACAGCCAAAACGAAGTAGTACGAATATGCAATCTTTTGCAACTATTGCCAACTATCATTATATATCAGTGGTTTTCAACAGAGGCTCCATCAGCAAGGTCCAGGGGTACCAATAGTTTCTACTCAAAATCTAGTGTCTATATTAATATATGTATATTGTTTGAATATAATCAAATATACCCTATTAGGATTGACATGATACAATTCAAAAACCATTATATTTTGCCAGTATTAGGTTTATTTTTATACATATTTATAGTTTGTTCAACTCATACAATAAAAACAATTAAACTATTGTGCAGAGTTTTCACGAGCGACCGGAATGTTTCACAGTGGTTCCACTCCATCAAAAAGGTTGAAAACCACTGCCATTTATCCTAACTATTTTTACATGCTTGAAATATCATTCTTAATTTTCTACCCGTGTTTGTTGGTTCACTTGTCATTCTATTGAGTGAAGAATTAATCAAATCAGATCGAGATGATTGTGGCGAATCAAACTGTAAACTAGTTTTGCTTGAAGAAAGAATGGAGCTTGTTGTTCTCCCTGGTGTCGTTTTAGATAAATCTGATGACGCTGAACTTGATATTGAAGCTGGAGGTAAAGGAATGATTGAAATGATAAAAAAATGAAAAATGCTCCTGTAACAAGAAAGCAAAGGCGAAACATTTGAACACAAAGAAGTTTGCTGAGCTCTATCTAACAAAAATAAAGCATATTTTGTTTGAAAAACATGAACACCTTCAAGAATAAGTATATGCAAAACTTATCGTAAAGTTGATTTTTTTGCTAACAAGTTTAATAGAAAGATACCTTTCTGTTCCCCGCTGCTCTGAATTGAACGCCGTTTCTCCTAAGAATAAAAGCATTAAAAGGTAACCTAAGAATATTACAGTAAAATACAAGGGGCTAGTTTTGAAAAGTAAAGCAAAACTTTCAAGTACTATGTAATGAAATAATGTAGGCTACTGCTCAAATATATGGACACAAAGGCCAAAACGAAGTAGTGCGGCTATCTAGTCTTTCAAAGTATCGGTACGGTACCATAGTCTTCCCAACTTCGACTAACCAACAGATCTCAAAAAGCACAAATTTTGCACGCAGAACCGCGACAAGGTACAAAATTTTCAATTTTGATGACGTCATCACATACAAAAAACGAATTACATAGAGCTGAAGTAAATAAACGATTATATACTTCAAAATAGCAATTCGTTGAACCTAAATATCTTTAAAACTTACCATCCTCGCTCTAAATTCTAGCTGTTTTTGTCGACATCTTCTCAATCGTTCTTCTCTATCAATACCACCTAACGATGATGTTACGGAAGTTTGAGAACTTTGTGACGAGGAGGTAGAGAGTTTGAGAGTCGTATCTAAATAAAACAAAAAATAAAACTGTTTTTCAAACCTCTGTTAGGTATATGAAAACTTCCGTTAAGCATGAAAGTCGAATATAAAATCATCTCACAAAACTACTGACTAAATCATTTGATCGAACAAAATGAAATATTTGATGAGAGAGCAATGCTCAACTATATGGACTGAAAGGACAAAATGAAGCATATGGGTACAGGTATGTAATCTTTTACAGTAGATAACTTTTACAGTACCCGTACGTAGCCATCCTGACTTCGCTTGATCCCCACATAGTGACAATCGCGAAGATGGAACCACCACAAGATGCGCACTTTTTTAATTGATGACATCATTGCACACATAAAAACGAATCCGATAGTGGTCACGGAAATTTTGGAAATGAATAAAGAAAAAAGCCTTCTAGCGACAACAACAATCTTTAACCACGTCAAAATTATTAACCCAGTAGTTAATAATAAAGAGAAGAGCGTTTTTTTCACAACAAAATAAAGAAGAATACTAACAACAACAACATAACAATCTATAGGCCCACTTTGTGTCCAAAAAGTATTTTTTATTCTCTGTTACAAATGTCATAACAGGATTTACCTTTTATTGTTGCATTCGACCTTTTCTTGAATTCCATTTTACGTTGAGGTTGTGGGGTAGCTGATATGATATCACAGGAAACATCCTCAGAACGAGGATCCGAATTTCGATCTTCTTCAGAAACTTCTTTACGGACAGCATCAGCCAATGAGCGTTGATGAAATGAACTCTTCATAACAGGACTCTTGATTTTTGAAGTATCGCTGGATTGCACTTTATTTAGCATATGATTATTTTTATCGCAAAAATTTTTCTGCAAACTCGTATTTTGAATATATGAACAATTCCCACTAGGATTAACGATTTTTTGGACATTTTTCGATGTAGAACATTTTTCCATTGATGTAGGATCAACATACTTAGCGTCACACATGTCACATACAGTATGTGGGCCTCTGTTCACATATGTGCATAAATCACATGCCCACATATAAAATTTCGTGTCTTTTACACCGGAATGATTTGGCTTTTCTGAATCACACAATTTGCAGATTTGTAAAGTTGATGAATTTTCTAAAGTACAGGCTGGACACGACCAAGTTCCAGAAGAAATTTTTGAACTTCGTTCGGCGGTGTCGTTTTGTCGTTGCAAAGATGTGTTCCCACTTTCAATACTGTCTGTAGAATCGTCCATATATACAATTCGTTTTCTTGATTGCTTGTTTTTATTAGGAAATTGCTTTTTCAATTTACTAACTACAGGTGAAACAGGTTTATCATCGTAATTCATTTTTCTGAGTCTGTTCAATTCAGCCTGCAATTATGAGAAATGGAGATAAATTTGTGATCTTTTGAAAATCTACCAATTGAAATATCTATTGCATTTAACCGCAATACCAAAAGCCATATAAGACCTCAAAACCCCATTAAGGTAAAAGGCCCCAGCTGCTCAACAAGCTGAATTTGGGCTTTTCAAGTATTCTATAGCCAACAGCCTTTGTTGCCTCATTTTAGCAGTTTCAGCTCTACCCAAATTAACTGATTTTTTAGGGCTTCCCCCTTTTATATAGTTTATAACAAGGATGTGCAACAGGCAGCCAGTGGAGCATAACCCAGCAAACAAATATCACTCGACAGGAAAATGCGATATGCATTGAAATATTACCATGATTTATTTTATGGTGTAAACCAAGACTTATTTATATTTTCCTGTAACATGGAAAATAGCTTCAATATAGTGAGCAACTAACTATAAAGTACATCTAAATTAAATAATGCTTCACCCCTGTGTTATATATTAGAGTGAGTCACAGTCAACATTTTTCTACCGTAATCTCCAGTAGATTGATTAACAATATAAAATACTGATATTCTCTACCTGTCTCCTTGTTACTCTTTGTTTAGACATATTGCTGGGATTTTCTAACAAAGTAATTTCTCCAAGATCAGTATTGTCATCATGCTCTATTTCATCACAAACAAAACTATCTTCTTCATATCCTGAAACATCATCTGAAACTTCCTGCAAATAGGTCATATTGTAGAGTAAATCTCAAGAATTTTTTTTTTTCCCCCATCGATAAGATGATTTTAAAAAGCAGATGCGAAGAACAGGATTGTTTGATGCTGCTGTTTGAGCACCAGTCGATTTGCCCCCAAATTAATTGGTTTAAAAATTGGTTTAAATCTTTAGTGCCAAAGAAGTTGAAATATTATTGCACAAAATTACTCAGCCTATTTTGTGCCAAAAAAAAAATGTTTTATAATACAAGATTACAATACAGTATACCAGTTTCATAAATCCTATTGTATTTGAAAAATGTTAAAGAATATTTTTTAGTACCGGTATATCCCAACCCCTCTAAATTTGTCCTGTCCTACACTTTTTTTTACTTTTCAACTGATTGCCCTACATCATGGGTCAAAATGAAGGCGATCGGTAATCCAATATCTTAACAGAATAAAAGTATTTAATAGAACTAAGGAGTTCGTGGCTTTTTTTCTCGCATCATAATCTGATGTACAGATGTATGTGAAACACCCAAAACTCCAAATTTGACTTCCATATATTATTCACAAAATTTTGAATTAGTGAGAAAATTATTGATATTCACAAATTTCAAACAGGGTTCTATGTGATGCTAGAGTCTTGCTGCACAACGACGAAAACATTTTTCAGTAATATAACGTCTGACCTATGTCAGAATTGTTCAAACAAGCATATTCCAGCTATGAAATACAGGAAATACAAAGTCTCAAATCTAATAAAATAGTCATCTTTATTCTCGCTACAGCATCCTTGCAATATGCATAGTTCCTCGCACAACTCCAACAAATAATTTCAAATAGTCCTTTGAATATCATTCACACGTCATGAAATGAGATTTCACCTGTGAAAAAACATCCAATCTTTGTCCAACTCCATAAGCAAGTTTGAATTTTCCATTGTGACCTTCAAATTTAGAAGGTTCCCCAAAGAAATCAGGCTTTGATTGTAAATACATAGCATGCTCATCAATGGTACTTTCTGGATGATGCAAACAAATAATACTACAAATAACAAACAAATTAAAATATATTGCTGTTTCTGGTTTCCTAAAAGAACAATATCTGGTTAAAACACATCAACGTAATGAATACGAAAATTTTAAGTATTTTTTAGCAACTATTTCAGTATTGCATAACCATAAATTCCTCAAGAATTTTGATAAATTGATTGAAATATGAATACAAACTCTTGTGATCTTGATTCTTTAAATTCGCTGTTTTTAAATATTATTAATACCATGTAACTCGGACAAATTTTGAAAATCCCTAAATCTTTATCTGTGTTGGTTCATTCAAATATATTTAGCGGGCATATATAAATGAAATGAGATATATTCCATTCCCAACTAATCATACACCCGGCCTGAACAGATATATTTGGAGGAGATTTTGCATAGAAATGCAAGTGGAACCTTAATTTCGTGTACTGCTGTATACTAATTGCAGCGTCCGTTTCATTGTTATATTTAAACTGAGCACCAACCAAGCAGATAGATAGATTTCATTATAGTCCTATATGAGAATATAAATCATTCTAATCAAAATAGCTACAACTTATGAGCCAATATAACTGTTTTAATTCCATTCAACCTGTCTACCGAGACTGTTCACTCCTCCCTTCAAACTGAGCAAAAAGAAAAAAAATCTCACCATCGGCAGCGACATGTTGAGTTAATACTGTAGCATCATTCATAAAATTTCTCATTTCCTCAAGATCTTCAGGTAATTCTTCATCTTCATCCGATGAAACATTGACTCCATCATCACTCACCTCCGCTTCATCTTCCACAAAATTCTTCATTCGATATCGACGTTGCTTCTTAGGCTTTTGATGAAATTAACAAATACGAAAATACAATATTTAGGTAAAATTGTATTCAGGTAATTTTGGATTATAATCCATTTTTCTTCAGAAAGTTTTTTTTACATATTTTCTCCAAACAAGATTCTTTATCAGTGGTTTACAATATAAATTTTCTACAAAAAATGAATTTGTAAATCTCATGACCAAAGGCTTTGAATACCACACAGCATATAGCGCTTTTATGACCGCAAACAAATATTAATTACAAAGGAATTATTTTGACACCTGATTTTTTTTCAAACAGAAATTACCTCAAAACAAGAGAATTAGCGAGTTTTTGAAAATGTGGCTTTACCTAGACAAGTTTCTAGGCTGTGATACTTCACACATATACAATTACTATTGTGTAGCATTTAAATACAAAATAAACAATCAAATTTACTAGAAACTAAAATCAATAAGTTTTGAGCTCTTGTTGAAAAAACAAACAATTTTGAGGTAATTTGGGTTTTTTCAGGCAACTCCAGACTTGGGTCACGACCCATAGGTTGGAATATTCAATATTCCTATATTGAATAATTCTTGACTAGATTTAACACAGAGAACAGTCCTTCAGTCCACAGAGAAGAGTCCTTTCTAAATTGTTGTTAGATAATATTCCAATTTCTTCAAACAAAACAAGATACAACTTCTAATAACAAATAATTCTTACATTATTATTATTTCCAACGAAGGCATCATCTGAAGAATCTTCTTCATCGTTCGAAAACTTCGGACATTTTGGCGTACTGTGCTTATTTGTTGTCATTTTTTTTATATTACGATGCGCTGCAATAATTGGTGATTCTTTAGGATGCAAACTACGGAGAAGATTACGCTTGTGTTCATCAGGATCTTGCTTGTCATTCGGTGTAAAAACTAGTTGAGAAAGTTCACTTTCAGGTGAGAAGAGTAGTTTATTTGTCCGTTTCTTCCGTATGCATATCGGAGATTCTTCAGAATCTTCCGAACTTCGTAAAATTTTTGGAGTTTCGAATTTTGGACTTTTGAATTCAACAAAACTAGAACCATTTGAAATTTTTCTCTGGCGCTTACAAAAAGTAGAATTGTTGTTATCATCGTTAAATTCTCTTTTCCGTTTCAATGAATCGTTAGGTTGCTGAATTTTTTCTTGCAATGTATCATTGTCAGAATATCCCATTTCAGGATTACCATTTCCCTCAAATCTAGTTGGCACTTGTACGTGTTCCGTTGTCGTAGGAATGGCATCATTAGTTTCTAGATTAATAAATGAAGAAGATCGTTGTGGTTTCACTTCAGCGACTGGTATATTAACATCAGATTGGCATTTTGGTAAATCAGCGAAAAGAGCTCGATTTTCAACCCTTTGTGTGAGCGTTACATGAGCAAGAGATGTCTCCACTTTTTCTTCTGGTTTTATTGAAATAATTTCTGGAGAAGATTTTGGATTGAAGTTATTCGATGATCTCCTTTTAGTCTTTAACACGGGACTTTTTTCAGTAAAAGACTCATGAGAGTTTTCAAAATCATCAAAACTACCAAAATCAAAATTGACATCAAATTCCGCATCGAACATATCAGCAGATGTATTGAATGTAGCTTGCTTGTCTGGTGCCTTCTTCGTCTGGTTTACGCTATTTTGAATGGTATGAACGTCTGCATCAGTTGTCATTTCGTTTTTAGATATAGAATTATTTTTTGAAGACGTTGGAATTAAACTGCTTCGAGTCCTATCGTCAGGTTCATTACTATTTTGTATGACATCACGATCAGTTTTATTTTCCGCAGAGTGGGTTACATCCTCATTGAAATTGTCTTCCAATTTTGCTTCAGTTTCGGTTAAAACTGTATTAACAGCCTTTTTTGTATTTTCTTTATTTTCCAGCATCAAACTATCATCAAATGTATTGTTCTCATTGTCATCATCTCGAAGCGCAAAACAAGCCCTTTTCAATGGTTTAACTTGATTTTTTAGTTTAGTTTCACAATCTTCAAAATCTGAATTATCAAACTCATCCATTGAGTCTAAATCAATAGAACTAAATGAAGATGGAGTTTGAAGATCAATTTCAATAGAATTTCTTCTCGATTGATTTTTATTTATTGGTAGCAAAACCGGAGTTTCTGTAGGAATAGCTGATAAATTATCAATTAGTTTCATTAGAAGGCTATTTTCGTTCGATTCTGGACATTCAGAAGCGCATTGGACGTTTATACCACTTTTTTGAGCAAGACGAATTTTTTGATCTTTCGAGTCAAATGTAGTAATTTGTTCAAATTTTTGCTCATTTAAAACTTCTTCCTCTTTGTTAATATTTCTATTTTCATTCTCATCCACTCTTTCCCTTGAATTGTCATTCGATTCCCAATCTCCAATATCAAAATCAGGCATCATATCAATTTCTTCAACATCTTCATCATTCCGTTTATCACCCACAACAGTATTCCCTTGTGATTCTATCTTAGTACCATTTAAATTCCTCACAGAGGTATTACTACTAGATTCAGGATCATGTAAAATAGACTCAATTCCTGTTAAAGTATCATCTCTGCTGTTAGATTCTGAAGACACGTTATTAACAGAAAACTCAAGCAATTTTGATTTGAAATTTTTCTTCTCTGGAAATATTTTCTTCAGTGGTGCTGGTTCAAAGTCAGTGTCCGTACTCATTTCTGGCGATAAATTTTTCTGTTCTATTTTTTGGTCTGGTATTTTTTGTTTTGTTATCTTTTTGAGAGGTTTTTCTTTTGGAACCAAGAAACTGTCTAATATATTTTTCTTTTCAGTGCCAATTTTTAATTTGTTGTATTTTCCACCCAAAAAAGGAGCAAGGTTTTCATCAAAACTTTTTTCATCTGATTGTTTTACCAGATCACAAATCTCCATTATCTGTTAGAGAGAGAGAAAAAATTATTTTCAAAAAAAAGTACATGGAAATTGAAAAATCATGACAACAGAGTCTTCTCTTTTTTCAACTATACATATCCATCCAGCTTGTCTGATTTCATTGGATATAGAGTACAGTATCGAAGAACGGGAATATACATAAACCAGTCATGTGAATGTACATGGGTACCAGATTTAAACAGCACAAAATACAATCTAACATTTCGTTGGTATATGAGTTCATCAATTAATACTATTAGAAGAGTACCGATACATATATCATGTAGGTAATGAAAAGAACCTGGATTCAACAAGTTATACTTAAACCAAAATCGAACCTGATCAGTGCAAAATTTCTAAAGCTTAATTAGGTATATGAAAATTCTTATTAATTTCAATTGTTTTGTCATAATGTAAACACTCACTTCAACAAAGTTGTTTGTGACAGAAGAATGACCACTGACACTCGGAGATTGAAATCTAGTTTGCCAATCTGTCCATTCTGATAATGATAACATCGGTTGCTTCGTTGATGGAGAATTTTGATTTTTCTAATAAAATGAAATTCAACAAACAAGATAAAAAATATCAGTACTCCACCATTCATAAGAAGAAACTGATTTTATTTTGCTTTCAAACATTTTTTCGGAAGTTTTGATACTTAATCCAAATATAAAAGTAGATAATACAAACAAAAGCACAGCTACATTTTAAGCTAAAATTATGCTTTAAAAATATACCTAATACCAATAATGCATTTTCTAAAATATATAACACATTGATATAGAGAACAGTTAAATTAACCTAAAATAATTTTAAAGCCAATGTGTCTGCTGAAACCTAACAACGTAAATAAAATATAAACACAATTACCTTTTTATCTAAACACATCATACGGCTTCCTGCTGGCAATATTTTTAACATCTCTTTTTCTTTCGAATTCAATTTCAACATATCGTTCCATTCCTTTATTTGTTCTTGATTCAGAAAAATTGGATCTCGAGCTTCGACTGGGATAGTAAGATGTAAAAAAAATATAAAAATTTGGTTGAAAAGAACAGAAAACAATGCTCAAATATATGGACTAAAGGAATGAATCAGTACTGTTGAAAAGACCTTAGGTGAGCTCATAGTTTGCTGAAACATTAGCGGACAAACGTGACGCTAGTGTTCCCATACATCATAAAAAGTGTTCTCATAAAATAAAATTTTAGGTGAATCATCAGGTCTAATGATATCGGGAAAAATATTGAAAAAAGTAATAGCGTTATTTATGATAACTTGTTCTACATTTAATGACTAAAAATTTAAAGTTGAGCGGCGGATTAATTGCATGAAAAGGCTCATTTCTACCAATGACAATTTTGCAAAATCTGTATGTCACCTTTTGGTGATACATCCCCATTTCTAGTATGATCTTCCGAGATACAAGAGGCTATTGGTATTTGTTAATCACAAAAAACATTGCTAAGAATTTTGAACACTAATTGTGCGACATTTGTTTGAAGGCATGATCCAAAATTTAGCCGAGTAAAGTGCGAAACATCCTCAAAAATTATATTTCTATTGGTTGATTGGAATAACTCATTTCAAGTAGTCTATAGACATAGAGATAAAAATGTCATGCAAATATGAACATCAAAAAATTCAATCTTCAAATAAATACCATTTTTCAACATTACAGAAATATCCAAATTCTCAGTTTTTCTTGCATTTTTCTTCTTCGCAAATTTTGAAACTGCAGGGGTCGGCTCAGGTTTTTTCTCAATAGTCATAAACATTTTGAAAACTTCTGGGTTCAATCCCTGTGGAACCATTCTCGGATTGTGTTGATAAAACTGCAGGCCACGAGATGAATTACCAGTGATGGCTTTTTGAATACTTTTTCTGTTTGAGAGACTGGAGTTGTAATCCTATAAAAACAAATTGTAATCAAATGAAAGAAATTCCCGGCTCCCGAAGTATGCGAACCAAGATGGCGGACATCGGAATGTAATATGTGTACTAGGTTAGAGTTAGGCCATAATTTTAGGTATAAATACTACGGGAGGCTCTTGGCTAGTCTTCGAACTGATAATAGGACTAAAAAAAGGAAAATTGGAAAAAAATTATCGCCTAACCCTAACCTGTTACGTTCCGATGTCCGCCATCTGGGTTCGCATACTTCGGGAGCACCAGAAATTCCAACCTTTTTAAATATTCTCAAACCTAGCGATGTGATGCCAATAATGATGCTCTATTTCTCATCATTCAAATGACATAGTTACAACATATTTTATGTGGCCTAGTGTTTTAAGTGTAGACTTAACTATGGTGGCATCGCACGCATTGCGCGAGGTAGTAAACTGGGTAGGTATTGCTAAGCCTGGAAGAGTCCGGTCTTTACAAAATGTAGTAGGTTTTAATTAACAGTATTGAGTACAAAGGCAGTGCACGGCAATGTACAGAGCGAACCTCATTCAAAAAAAGTTTATGGGATTAAATATTCAGGAAACACAATTATAATAGAAATATATCAAATGCACATGCAGAAACGATGCCACATGGTAACAACTGAGCCGAATACACTACGAAAGCAAAATGATTTCAGCTTTGAAAAAGTAAAAATAAAAACAATAAAAAGAAAAAAATGACAACAATAAACAATAACTTGTCATATCAGACTCGGATGAGTCGTCACATGACTCAACTTGACTTTCTATCCATCACTGATCAACAATTTTATAATAATTTCTTATGGACGGAGAACTATAAATTCAATACCCTTTCTTCTTTTCCCTCTGTAACGAGCATTACTATTCTTCCTTTTCTTTTTCTTCCAGTTCTTCCCATCCTTTGTACGAGTCGAATCGGACTTTTGTGAGCATCGAAACAAACAATCAAATCCACATCTCCGATATCAAGACCTTCCTCACCAACACAAGTTGATATCAATGTATTATAACCACCTTCTCGAAATTTTGATACGACCTGTAAATAGGTACGAATACTAGATATTGCTATCAGATCAGGGATAGTATTCGAATGAAAAACATAAAAGAATAATTTTTATCATGAAACATATGATGTATTCTGAATTGAGTGGCCTGTTGAGCTCAATGATATATATTTTGAAAAGTTGTTTACGTGTGTAGTTAGTCCAGTAAAATCCCAATCAATAGTAATGTTTCTGATTCGATTGTGGCATAGTGAACAGAATAACTCACTGAAAGTAAATTTTTCCAACATGTCCAATTTACCACTATCTAAAGACGTATAGATATAGACATACCATGATAATAATATGTAAGTATGATTAAAATTTGCTTATTCTGAATTTCAGCAAAAATTTTTAGGATAACCAGACATAGCTTATTAGCATGAACACAACAGTTTTGAGACACTTTTTTTAAAATAAATATCGAGATCTTTTTTAGACATATTCCAAGTCATCCCATAATTTAAAGTAATTAAAAAATACCAGTTAATTTACCATCAATTGATCTTTTTGGGTAAATTTTGCAATTTTTCCAGAAGCGGTTGAATGACCAACAAATTGCATTGGGCGAACAAGAGGTCGATGGTTTTGCAGAAGTTCTGTAATTTCTTGCACACTATCTCGATATTGACAGAAAACCATAACCCTTGTCGAATCATCACCATGACCTGAATGTATAATAATCAATAAAGTAATAAATTTCAGAAAGTATCTAAAATTAATTATAAAACAAAGCAATACCATTTACCACATACCCTGCCTTTCAATAGCAACACCTAATCCGCATTAGGGTACAATTAACAATTAGAAGGATATTATATTTTTTTTTTTTCCAAAATACAATAATTGACATGAAAACTCCAAAAGCTTCAACTCACTTTTTGTAAAATCTTTAAAATGATTAAGAACAACCTCTTCCAACTTCTTCATTTTTGGATGACTGTAGACATAAGGGTGTGCACTGGGAAGCCCTTTTTGAAGTGACTAAAAAAATAATAAATTGAGATCTTTATGGCTAATTAACCGTTGGGAATTTCAGTTAAACGGTTCAGGAATAAACTAACAAAAATTGACTTCCAAGTCTGACTTTTTGGCGTACAAATATTTTCGATTCATCGGTATATATTCCTACAACCGAGTGAACAATTTTAAAAAGGTCTGTAGTTGAAATTCCAAATTAAATGTTTTTACCAATCAACTATTATTTGAATAAAATTCATAAATTATTCAATTTTCCAAGTTTCCATTTTTTATTAAAAAATGGAAAAGTTGAATAATTTATGAATTTTACTCAAATAATTCGTTTCTAATTATTGAAACCTTGTATTAATTTTCAGACCATGAAATGAAATTATGGAATGGTAATATTCCTAAAGCTCCAGCAAAATGATGTTCTCTCAAATCTATACTTTCCAAAAGTAGAAATGTTATAACATACCTGTTGTGTTTGTCCAGCTTGTGTAAGTAATACTGTAGGATTAGGAGATTCACCAAACATGTTCGTTAAATTCTGGTACATTTCCCGGAACAATGCGTTAGCACCAAGCACAGATTTTGCTCTCATATTTCCTGGAAGATAATTTAAAGTTATGGATCTGAGTGTTAAACACTGTAGGTAGAGAATACCAGAATCCACAGATACAAACTTCCCCAGAAAGCATACTTAGATAATTTTACATCACTAAATGTGTCTATTACCCAAGTAGAAGCAGACAATGCATCTTGATCTGTCTCTCAATATCTGCCTAAACATGGTTGAGAAAAAAATAAAACGTTGAATCTTCAGACGTTTGAATTAATTAAATCTCACAAGAGGGTAAAGATTTGTGTTTTTCGAAGATTTTTGTATAATATTTTTACACTAACACCTCACCCATAAACGGCACAATATCTAATTGAATAGATATCTGTTCTCTCAAAATAGAAGCTGCTATTCTCTTGCTAATGATCAGTATATACTCGTTGTACAGAGTAAATGTGTTGAAATGCCTCAAAAAAAAAAATGTCATAGTAAAAAATATCTTGATATAGTACATTTACCTTTATCTCCCTCCATCATTGCTTTAAGAAATATGAAGAAAGATCTCATGCCATGTTGTTGCAGAAGTTCAAGTCCATGAAACAGGCTAATACATGTTGCAAAATCTCCTTCAACTGAACCCATCTCATATTTCTATGAATAAAGGAAAAAGTTTGTGCCAATATTAAAACATATTCTTTTATGCCACAGGTCTGTCTAGCAATACTCTTCTGGGAGAATTCCAAATTAACAGCTCGATTTATTTCAATAAGATAAGAATAAATATAATGCCGTGCTTTCCAGACTCGCACAAGGCCTCTCTGTCTGCTTAGACTCGCAACGCATGCACGCATGTTTGTCACCAGTTGGTAGACAAATTTACAATCCAAAGGCGACCAATTTAGTCGCAATTTTGATACCCATCCCGCAGTGTTCTGCGGAACACAGTTTGAGAAATGCTGTATTAGAGCAATGCTTTTTTGTCTTTAGTTTCATTTAAAAATGGATTAACTTCATCCTCAGATCAGAGGTACATGAAAAAATAAAAGCGAAATGCAAAAACCTTATCTATGTTACCTACATTCAATCCACTAGGTGGATCTTTACGAAATTGATCTCTTGCCATTAGCAAACCATATTTGGAGTAACTTGAGGTTTCTCTGTCAAACAATGCTCTACGATTAACAAGACTTTTGGTGAAAATTTCGATAACCTGAAATGAAAAAACATAGGATTTCAGCATTATCTCAGATCTTCTGAACTTTCCAGGAGTTTAAATTTATTCAAATCATTACGCAATGAAATAAAAACTCATTCAAAGCAGCTATCTATGCTGATGTCACAAGTTTGATATCTGGAGTTCAATCAACTCGTGTAATTACAAATTTAATTAAAACAACATTTTAAATGATTTTACCTTTAAATAATTGTCTTTCATTTTAGTCATAGTTTCATCAAGTTTGCAAACCACCTTTTCGACTTTCCGTTGATGAGAAAAACTTTGAATATCGATGGAATCTTCTGATCTTATTTCAATATGTGAGATCAACAAATTCGTAATTACCTACACATACAAATTGTAATTTTTGCATTTTAAATAACAGTTTTGATTTTCTAAGAGTCTATCTTTATAATTCTAAATTGCCGCGAATATTTTTTCTGAGTGAAGCCAGATTGAGAACCTTGACTATTTTGAACTGCGAGCAAATTTGTCCAAGACATGCACACGATTTTGGAACCAAAGCGGTTAATCGGTTTACCGGAAACTATCGTCTGGTAAATCGTCAATGGATCAGATTTAATTTTTACAGAACTAATAACATTCATGAATGGTTATTTGAAGTCTAAAATATATTGAGCTAAATATGATTAATTCTAAACTTTATTCGAATTATGGTAAATTTAATGAACATCCTTTGTGAAAAGCCTCTGCTCTGCCATTAATGCAAAAATGTGAAATTTGAGAAAAAACGCCCCTGTCACGTTTAAGGTACTGCAGATTGCGCTCGCCAAATTTCAAGTAATCGTGCTTTCGATAACCCTAACGTCACTGAATTCCAGGAATGAATAAAATTTATAATCACCAATTTTTTATTTCGAAGGGTGACGTTTTTTTTGTTTGAGGGGGCGTTTTTTACAAAAGATCCAGTGATCTATCCCAAATACCATGAAATCAATATCATAAATCATGATTTTAAGTAAACAAAAAAACGATTATATATTGCTGTATTCCAGCTCAGAGCATTTCCAACTACTTTCTGACAATAATATAAAAAGCAAAATACTTGTTGCACAGATTTCACATCAGTTCCTGGTGTTGCGCTTAGAGCAAGAACACGAAAGTTTCTGGAGCAAGATGCTAACTGGTTGATAACCTACAACAAAAAGAATCTTAAATGATAAAGAAGAAATGGCCCAGACATACCCACTTTCTGTACTGTATGAATGCATGCTGTATGTATAACTGGCTTGAAACACATTAATTCTCTGGCCAGTGACGACTATAAAATTTGGACATGTAAACAATATGACATAAAGTTAAATAAAAAATAGGCATACTACCACAAGAAAGTCAACAAGATAGCAAAAAAGAAAATATTTAGAAAAAAGATTCTTCACATCAAGTTGTGTAAAGTGACTGATTACCATGGGCAGGGGGTATATTCACTTGGTTAACACAGACAGTCCCCGAACTCGTAACAGAACCACAATAAGGAAAATCGGAATAAAGTTATAGCCTAACCCTAGCCTGGTACACATACTATAGGAGTACTGACTATAGTGCCTTGTGATTCCTGATATTTTCTACATATTCAAGTGAAAGATCCTTACAATATAACAATAGATTAAAGAGATAAAAGGCCTGACCTGACAATAAGCATGCTTTCCCTGTGCTTTATGAGCTTCATCAATGACAACACATTTAATTTCCAGTGCAGGGCAGACTCCTCTTGCCAGATCATTGTTAATGACTTGGGGTGTGAGAAAGAAAACTCTTTTTGAATTCCACAATGCTTCTCTTTTATGTACAGAAGTCGTCATTCCTGTTGAAGAGAAAAAAAATAAATCGGAACAATAGTATTCAAAAAAACTGGATTATATCTGGTGGAAGGTGTAGAAAACTTATATGTTTGCCTCCAATGTCACACACATATCAAAGGCGAAATAAATTGTGCGTAGCAGATGGTCTGACTAAATGCAGATTTCAACGGTTTGACAAGCATTCCATATCTAATATAAATAGTAACGAACAATCCCAAAATAGGAATAGAATCTGAAATGTCGATAAGATCTCACATGTGGGACCAAGGCATCTCTGGGTATGAGAAGTGAATAGTTATTAACAAATTACTTGATTCAGACGCACAGACATGCTAGTGAAGGAAACTGCAAGCAGACCTGGGGTTATGTGAATTGTGAACAATCCTATGACAACGAGAAGTCCATCCACCACAAGATTTGAACCAGTGATGTTGTGTAAGATAATCAGATTGGCATGGCAAGCGGTTCCCAGAGATTAATTTGCAAAATGCATCAACTCAAGCACTAATCCAATGTTATTGCACACATTATTTTTGCTTATGGACCCAATTATTATTGTACGATAAATTGATGCCTTCCTATAGATCTTAGCAAGAAGATCATATATATTTGCATATCTGTACATAGAGGGTGGTATAGTAGAACTCCACTGATGCATAACACTCAAAATAATAAATAAGTGTTCGTTGAATATTAAGAAGTCGAAAATTGAATTATTTTTTACATGCCTGTGATTTCAGCTTGATCTTGCAGTGGTATTCCCATGATTTTATAACAAGCTTCAATTTGTTGAGAAACGAGAGGTTTTGTTGGAGCCATGAAGACAATTTTACCCTGAAAATATGAAATATGATAAATGCACTGCTTGTAAAAATTTCCCAAATATTGTAGTTAGGGCAATTCCTATAGGTGAGAGTAAAATTATATACTGGCTATTGTAAGATGCTAATATCACATTCAGAATTTTAGCCTATGAACGAAACAATATTTATTTGATGGGGAGGGAGGGGGGGACGGGGGTTTTATTACACTATTACTGGCTTTAGTGAAAAGAATAACAAAGTTCATTCTTTTATGTGTTAAAGTAGTGTGAAAACGAACTATTGATCATACGAAAGAATTGGCAGAATTACATTTTAACAGAACCAAAACAAAATTGTATATGAAAATTTCTATAAAGAATTAGACATTTTTGAGTTTACACACATCAAACAAGGATGAAACTGCTATGTATGATCTGTATCATCTGTACCAGACTCTCTCCAGGTTTTTATAAAGCGTCACCAATTTAGCACACCCTGAGTGGAATGGTGAGCACGAGATGCAAACTAGAGAACTACAGCTTGTGATACCAACATGCTATCTATGAAGCTATCAAATCAAACTTTATTATTACTTAACGATCTTAAGATCGGTAAGTATGTTGATAGGTATTTGTCTGTCTGTATGTCTGTTTGTCTGTTAGATGAACGCGATATCTCAAGAAGGCGAGGTTGAATCTGCTCCAAATTTCGCATGTGCATTCATCACATCTCGGACCAGAAGCCTATTGATTTTGGATGAATTATGTTGTATAATTAGCGAGTTATCAATTAATTAGTGATGGGACACGCGGAGTCATGATTTGAAACCGCAGTTTCGATCGATAAGTCTTCAGTCTCCGACCGATATTCTCGTTTAATATTGTTATTCTGTATCAAATAAAGCTATAAAAATTGAGCAAATACCTGAGGATACCACCTATAAAAATTATACATCACAACTGCAGCAATAAAGGTTTTTCCGAGACCAGTAGGTAGAGATACTAGTGTGTTTTTCATCAATGAACTTTTCACTATTGAAAATTGATATTCACGAATAGGATAGTTTGTTGGGTAAATCCAAATATGTCCAAGAGAGTTTTCAAATCCATCAATATATTCAACTGTAAAAATGGAAATAAAATAATCTCAAGTTATAAACATATTGCACTTGGTAATCATGCAATATTGAAATTTAAATGCAATGAGGAAATACTATATCCGACATATTTATTTAGAAATCAATTTTTATAGCAAGAATCACGGAGCATAATGATTTTGGTCACTAACTATATAATCTGTCATTATCATCTTCATAATTGCACCTCAGTCAATACTGCAATATCAAGGCGGTAAGGAAGCGCAATATATTCTGAAATCTTGTAAGTAACTACTCTGTGATTTTGTTTTTGATAAATATAAATAAAACCTTACCAAAAAATAATAATATGATATTTTAAACATCATATTTCAGTACTCGTAAAATCTGTAAGATAACTAGACCAAGAGTGCAAGAGTGACATAAAATTGCAGTGTTGCAATACCCGGTACAACAATAACAGAATTAATACAGCTTGATAACTCACCTTCATTTTGGTTCATATTACTATTAGAATGACTGGGAGGTGCAATTGTTGATTCCATTAATTCAGCAGCTTCAATAAGGTCGTCATCTGTCAAATCTATTGCATCAATGCATTCCATATCTACTACTTGCTGAGCGTTGAAAACTTTTCCATCGTCAAACTTGTTATATTTAGTTTTCGAGAATTTCGTGTTATTGTTTTTAGTCTGTTTAGATGGATCCTTTTTGTTCCAGGCTTGAAATAAGGTTTTTTGTTTGACATTGTGATTCTTCGACATTGCAAAAAATTGCAACAACTACTATAATAAACCCCTAGTCAATAAAGTTCAGTATTGCAGCAATGATCCACGATACATTAGCATAGTTACCGTATGCCTAAAAAAAAAATTGAAGTAGATTAAGTTACAATCACGGCAGAAGCCAGCTAGTCTGACTCGAAAGGCCCGCTGTAGAATAGGTGGTGGTATGAGTCAATTAATTTATGATAGGAGGTAAGAGTAGTCAAACGCAAATAGTTAAAAATAATAAAACCAGTCAAGTTTATTTTTCACATTGCTGATTTGAGCTTTATTTTGGTAATATCGATACGTCTTCAGTTATCATTAGCTACGTATTATACAAAAAAAAAATTGACGCAACTCAATGCGAAATGGTGCACCATCTAGGTAAATGAAATATGTCTAATCAATGAGCATATATACAATGAGTGGAAACTTGCAAAGATTTGCTCATTTTGGTATTGTTCCCTGCATTTTTACGTCGTCCAGCTAAATGGTTCGTTGCATATTAAGAAAACGCATTGCTCGCTGCCAAAATCCCTTGCTTCAGCCGAGTCGGGTGCGAAATTGGCCGTATTGAGGTCTGTAATTCTTCAATACATATTTGGTTTTGGGTTTCGAAGTATGGTACGCTGAAAGCATACAACTATGAGCATATGCTTATTGGGAATGCATATCTATTAGGCAGAAAACGTATCTACAGAACAGAATATGAACCAGTCGCCGAGAGGGGTGCGGTTATTTATGTATTTATTCATTGATATAACATGGGATTTACATATTTATCCATGGGAGAGGAAAGCCGAGAAGAATGCCTAAATATATGGCGAACCACGGCCTCTCACAATCATAGCTCTGTTCTCCATATGAATCACATGGCTCTGCGAGCTATTCGTTTACCTATTAAAAATACTGATTTTAACTATAAATTACTCTGGGATATCTTGCCTTTGAAAACAAAAGCGAGAAATTGGAAGAAAATCAGGAAATGAAACGTGTGTATTATGTAATGGAGAACCTGAGTTTGTTTCACATATTTTCATGTATTGTAAATTACAAAAAATATTTATGAAGAATTTGTTTTAGATATATTAAAATTGATTAGAATACATTTTGTTATCAATATGATTCTTGCATATCATTTAATTTTAACGATCCTTTATATAGTCATATAGATACTGTTGATTTGGATGCAATTATACTTTTGTTATCAATAGTGAGAAATATTTCAGGACTGCTATTAACTATGTGAGCTATTTTTTCTGCAATGCAAAATACATCTTGCGTCTGCTATTTACTATGTGAATTAATTTTTCTGCAATGTAAAGTATTCCCATAACTGCTTTTACTATGTGGGCTGTTTTTTCGGTACTCTTGTAGTATGTGTACCAGGTTAGGTTACGATTCTCCTTATTTTTGTTCTATTAAAAGTTCGGGAATTGTCTGTGTTACACAAGTGAATATCCCCTACCGATAGAATTTAGTCCATTTACACAACTTGATATAAAATAGGCGAACAAAATTAGTTACCTTCATATTGGTACACATACTTCTGGAGCACCATTTTTTTTGTAATGTAAAATATTTAATATGTGAACTAATTTTTTTGGAATGCAAAATATTTTCTACAGCTTCTGTATTTTTCATATGTCACTTTTCATTTCATCGAAAATACACATGGTCTGGCACATTGTTCATTCTTTGTGGAGATTTTGGTAAATTTACAGATGGAATAAGACCGACATTCAGCTTTTTTCTGTTTTACAACTGTAATACAAATTGAAGTATGTAAACCCAGTTGGTAGACACCGGAACCATGTGTACCAGGTTAGGGTCTACTACATACAAGCATTCCCAAACTTTTCAAGCCGCACCCCCTTTTTAGAATTTGTGAAGTCTTGCGCCCCACCTCAAAATAGTTAGCTAACAATAATAAGCTACAAATAACAGTAAGGCATAAGTACGTTTTATTGGAAAAACAGTTGAAAATACATGGATGGAACGAAATAAATGACAAGTTTTGTTATGCAAATATTTACAAGTTTTGATATGTATAAAATTAGCCAAGTCCAGAAGTCAGTATTTTAAACTAATAGAGAGAGAGAGTTTATTTCGTTCGTCAAACCATGAACATATATAAATTATAATAAAAAAACAGATGCTCAGGTGTTTGACTGGGAGACAACGTTACAACATTTGGGGTCATTTAACAGGTTCGGTGTTAAATTCTTCAATAGCTCTCATATACCGTATTCACTATATACATTATTCACAAGAATTTTTGATTTGGAAAGTACTAAATAATCATGTTTTGTCCTAAGATCATCATTTATTCAGCTGATAAGTTGACATGTATTGCATATCAACTGCATAAAAATGGGTTAGCAAGGATACCTATTATTTGGAAAAATTTATCTACTAAAATTAATGTGATAGGACATGGGTTTTTTATGAGCAAAGATGAGGAAAATTCTATTATTATAGCACTTTAATTATAAACATTTGATAATAGTAATGAAATCATGAGTATATTTCTTTATACACTATAATTTGAACCCATCAAATTATAATACTTGATTATGACTGGCAAGTGATTTGGAGGATAGTGACACACATTAATACATGATCAGGATTTGACCCTTCTCCAGCAGATATATATATATATATATGAAATAAAGTGCTCATGTACATATCTATATTCGGCTACAGAGCACGTATCATAGAATGAATTTTAAGGCGAAATATTGATAATATAACCGAAATAGCAATGATAAACAATAGGTTATTTTAAATAAGTATTACCGGTACTAAAAAATAAATAAAGTGCTCATATAGATATTTGGATACAGAGCAAGTATCATAGAATAAAATTCAAGGCAAAAAATTGATTAAATACCAGAATAGCAAGTATAATAAACATTGAGATACTTTTAAACGAAGTATTACTAAAAATAAATAATGTGGTCATGTACATAGATATTTGGATACAGAGAAAGTGTCATAGAATTTAGGGCGAAATATGGATGCAAGTATGATAAACAATTTGATATTTTTATAAAAGTGTTTACTAACAAATAAAATAATAGATTATGGAGTTCCAGCAAGTGTGCTCATAACAAATAAAAAGATAGCAATTCATTTACCACAGTGAATTAAATTCATTACACATTACTACTTGCTATAACATGGCGGGCACATGATACTCCATCGTGTTTTAAACTTTTTTAAAGGTTTTGCTCGCTCTCCAGAACTCTCCATTTTTTATTTGTTTGTATTGTCAGATTGTGGACTTTTCAAAATAAACTATCTTTATCAATGAATACAATATCCCAGGTCACCACTTGGCTGGTTCATATTCTGTTCTGTAGTTAAGTTTTCTGCCTAATAAATGGTATGTATTCCCAATAAGCATTACAGTATGCTCATTCGTTCACTCAATGAGTGATTTTAATTACGGTTAATATAAATAAGTTCATATTCCATGTGCATCCATGATTCAGTATTTATTTTGTTCAATTCCAGTAGTAATCCATACCATAATTAGGTTATTTTAATAAATGCATTGATATAAAACAATAAAAATGAAATTAGTAAATATAAAATACATATCATAAACATATAATTTTTCTTTTTGAAATAACGCTTTACATAAATTTTTCAATTCCCTCTCAAATGGGTTGTTTATTCTATAATTCTCTATATTTTTCTACATATTATGGCCATTTTTATCTGCTTTTTGAAGAAGGCAAAATGGGGTGTTTTATTTTCGAATATAATAGAATTTCTCCATGGTCAAAATTTTATATCTCACTATTGATTACAAAAGTATAATTGCATCCAAATCAACAGTATCTATATGACTATATAAAGGATCGTTGAAATTAAATAATGTGCAAGAATCATATTGATAACAAAATGTATTCTAATCAATTTTAATATATCTAAAACAAAATCCTCATAAATATTTTTTGTAAATTTACAATACATGAAAATATGTGAAACAAACTCAGGTTCTTCATTACATAATACACACATTTCATTCTCTGCTATTCTTCCAATTTCTGGCTTTTGTTTTCAATGGCAAGATATCCAGAGAAATAGTAAAAATCAGTATTTTTAATAAGTAAACGAATAGCTCGCAGAGCCATGTGATTCATATGGAGGACAGAGCTATGATTGAGAGAGGCCGTGGTTTGCCATATATTTAGGCATTCTTCTCGGCTTTCCTCTACCCTTGGATAAATATGTAAATCCCATGCGCGGCGGTGTGGCTCAACGGGCTAAGCGTTAGGAATACGCTCGCCACCGCACCTCTAATTACTCTGCATGGGTCCGCAGGTTCGAATCCATGCAGGGATGGTTATGTGCAAGAGGATTGCTGGACTCCTCGCCGCCGTTGGGTGATTCACGTAACCGCTGGTCGGTTACGGCTTCCTCCACTAACAAGTCCATGCTTCCGAAAACAAACAATATAACTAATCCCATGCCCGACTTGGAATGGTAACCGGACGAGAGGCCGTGGTTCGCCATATGGATAAGTCGTCTTATCGGCTTTTCCTTTCCCCGGGATAAATATGTGTATCCTTATCCTCATTATCCTAATAAATACATAAATAACCGCACCCCACTGGGCGACTGGTTCATATTCTGTACTGTAGGATAAATAATCCAATATTCATTTTTCATATGTCCATTCCATCAGTGTTTGAGGTGTTGATCGCATCGGCATACAATTCATCAATTTTTAGTATATTGAGTTAGATTATGTACAATAAACGTAAAAAATTAAATATATTAGACATGTTCATTTTAATACATACTAAATTTATACACACTAGATTTATAGTTCAAATACAATTCCTTAGTATTTCAAATTCTCTGACAAAATTTGGTGATTTTCTATTTTTTTCAATGTTGAGTCTGTAAGTGATTGCAGTTTTTATTTGTTGATAACTAGGTGCTGATTAGGGGTATTACTTTCGAATATAACAGAATTTCTTTGTATCCATATTTTATATCTAGTGATTGAAATTAAATAAACATCTTGTAATGTTGGAATGTAACAAATAGCTTAAATCCAATAAAACACAAGTTTCATAATTTTTCAAAAGTCTGGCATTATTTAAATTCCTAACAGTATTTTCCATGAAATCAAAAACATAATCAAAATATTCACAATTCATAAAAAGATGGCTAACAAATTCTGGTTCTTTTCCACATAACACACACATATCATTTCCTGCTATATTTCTTATTCCAGGTTTTGTTTTCATATAGTTTGCCAGAATATTATTATGAATATTCTCACATGCAATATTTAAATTACAATTGCGTAGAAAAATTAATCTGTCCCCAGTCATAGAAATAACAATTTTTTTATAAATAGTTTTATGCATATCTTCTTTTATATCTGTACTACTTATGTTATGCTTTCTTAAAAATTCTAATATTAATCTATACTCACTTTGAGGACAAAATCTATGTAAACATGTATTTTTAGTTCTAATCCCCCAAAATGTACTAAGTTGTTGTCCAATATTGTATTCCAACAAAGGACATACAAATATGATTGTAATCCTCATTATAATCACATTCTCTAGCTTTATAATAATCCAAGACACTAATTATGTACATGCACATTGTAAAAATGGGTATGTTAATAATATCATAACCCCCAAAATTTTTTGGTTTGCACAAATTCCCTATTTTCAGTATGCTTCTTCCATTGAATACAAATTTTTCCACGTTTACTATCTAATAGATATGCATTCCCAATAAGCATATGCTCATAGTTGTATGCTTTCAGCGTACCATACTTCGAAACCCAAAACCAAATATGTATTGAAGAATTAAAGACCTCAATACGGTCAATTTCGCACCCGACTCGGCTGAAGCAAGGGATTTTGGCAGCGAGCAATGCGTTTTCTTAATATGCAACGAACCATTTAGCCGGACGACGTAAAAAATGCAGGGAACAATACCAAAATGAGCAAATCTTTGCAAGTTTCCACTCATTGTATATATGCTCATTGGTCTAATGAACGATCGCCATATCGTTTAGGATAGGGTTTGCATGTTTATCCCAGGGGAGAAGAAAGCCGAATAAGGCGGCTCAATCGTATGGCGAACCATGGCCCCTCGTTCGTCACATTGAACTTTAGTAAAAAAGTAAGTAAAGAGAAAAACAAAACGATTTATTGTTTTGTCAAGCAAAGAACAATGCAAAATACAGAATGTTACTCGCTAGACATGGAGAAGTGATACGACCATACGGCCACTGCATTACATTCACTATTTTGTATAAGATGCACACTTACTGGATGTATGTAAACGCTGTATATAAAAAAAATGTCTGAATGGTATATTTGTAAATACAAAAGTGTATAACGACATTACAAAAATGTAATTATACACATAGAAGATATAGCATCAGAGATTCATTTCGATCGAAATGGGGTAGCGAAGGACGGTAAAGGGAGAATTAGTTAAAATATTTGACCAAACTTAATTGTATCTGTTAGATGTTAGATAGATTAAACAATACTCGGATCTCTCTGATGTATTATATAGCAGTCTTTCACAGCTTCCAAAAACCTACTCAGTTAATGTGATTTGTTCATTCAGTCTGATCGAATCTCTGGAGTTTCAGATTCGCAATTTATTTTCTTGTTGTGCAACACATCATGATCCAATTGGAAAATCTGTGGAGTAGTAAATAATGACAAAAGCATGACGTACACAACGAGTATTATGCGTCGAAAGAATCTTACTTTCTTGGAAAGCTCTAAGTTCTTATTTCCTGAGCAGACCAGCTAAATGTTCCAAACAATTACTTAAACTTCTTATGATTGACAATGAGTCAACAGAAGTTCCTCAGCTTATTAAAATGTATTTAATATTCTCACAACATGTAATGGAGATATTTGAATTAGCTGTTAACAACTGGAAAAAATGAAACTTCAACAGCATATGTTTTCATTATTCTTACTAAATTAAAAAATAGATTAAAATTTCTATCTGATGAAGAATTTTTTGGGTATGATGTTCACCAACATTTTTCGACTCTGCAATAACGTATTTAGAAAAATGATTTGACTTTGATGAAAATTCAACATTTGGAAAATTATCAAAATTATCTTTTTTTGTGAAATCTTCCTTCAAAATATCAGACACTTGTAAAAATTGTAGAGCATTTGAAGCTAAAAGATAAACTTAATTTGAATATGGATGACCTATTCGATGAAGTTGCACTCATTCAAGAATTTTTTGGCACATTTCAAAGCACTAAACTGTTCACAGAATGCAAAACAACAAGCAGTAAATCACAATCTCAAGTGTGTTCATGTTTTCAAAATATTTTCATTCGTGCTCTCTATTCCCGGAACCTTAGCTGATTGTGAACGCCATTCTAGTGTAATGTCATCTAAATGGCGCAGTGAAAGGCACAGATGCTCCATACAACTAATGAAAAGTGAGCTTTGAATATACTTTAACTAGAAAGACACGTGTCGCGAATTTTTGGAAAAAATAAAACGTGACCCACAATTGCTGAAGTCAGCAAAGAGTCAGAACAAATATAACTTTAGGAATTATAAACTTATGCAACTGCAAAATTAGAGCTTGATGTTAAATGAACAATAAATGAAAAACACATGGTAATTTTCAAATATATCTTTTTAGCTTGTATATAATTTTTATTTCATTGTTCTATATTGTTCTTTCCTGCAAGTTACAAAACAAATGATGACGGTAATCTATGTCCTTTATTGAAACTTTTCATAGTTGGTAACCCTAAGCGTGACACTGGGCGACATAGCGTTGTTAAATATTATACATAGGATGTCGTATACACAGCATTTAGAATATTATACTATTAAACATTTATAATAAATTCAATATGTAAAATATTCAATCATATATTAGTTATGTTTACCACAATTTGGTTTATTTTCGAGTCGCGCCATGTGGGAGGCGCTGGCGTATGGCAGGGGCATTTTTAGCCTAAACCTGTAATGCTATTTAGCGGTCTAAACTGTTGTAACCGTCAACTACAGCCGTGTAACGCGTTTAAAAAGGTATTCAAGTTACGGTGAAATGCCATTTGAATATTTACCAACTGACTTTTTTATCAGTATTAAGATTATGGTGAAATGCCATCAAATCCTATCAAGTCCACAGAAATATTTGAAATAAATATAAGTAAAAACATTCCAGCGGAAAATACAATCTTTAACCATTGAAAATTTCAAAGCAATTGGTCCGGTATCATAGAGAAAGACGATTTTTCCATAACGATAAAATTCTATAATGAAGAACAAGAACCACAAGAACGTAATAACAAAACGTCGTCTATAGGTCCACTACGTGTCCAATAAAACAAACACTGTACTAAATTATGGAGTTAATATGAAATAAATGTATGAATCATCATTGGTGGCACCTATTTTAGCAATCGCCCGTGTGTTTATTGTGAATAACGAAGTTGTCATGTTGGATAATTTCTGTTTACTAGGCGGAGATAAAATCTCTTATCTGTGCAAAATAATTATTGCTTGAATTTCATCAAACATTAATCTTTTCATCTGATAATTAAGCACTTTCACAAACATGAGAAATTTTAACTAGTTTTTCGGTAATATGAAAGCTAAAGAGGCAAGGTATTGTTTCTTGGCAAGAGTTCAATATTGTTAAAATGTCATGCTCATATGTTTGAAATGGATCACGTAACAAAACTTTATGTAATATTATGGCAATACATGGTTTTTGTATTGTCATCATTCATACCAAATCACTAACTCGTTTTCATTTATGCAGTCTACCAATATGCCCTTAGGAGATGCTGCGAGTTTGAACTGCGCGAATTCAGCAAACTTTATGCTACACAATTTCAGCAACTGACGATCAAACTGTGCAATTAGATGCCAATTCGATGGCACGTTTCCAAAACTTTACTGAAAAAACTTATTATGAATTAATGGCAGTCATAATTTAAGTATATTCTGCTCTGTATACCCATCATTTTCGCTTTTCTCCCAGCTCAAAGTATAGCTAATGTATAGCACAGTATAATAATGCGTTAGGCAGTTAGATAAGCAGAGTAACACAGTTTCAGTATGCTACATCATAGCATGAATATAATAGCATAGCATGTATAATCGCATTAAAAGGGAAAATATTTCATGGCTATCGAAATATTTTGAAACAAACTCAATTGTCCGCTGCGGAATTCAATCCGAAAATGAGTCAAAGTTCTTTACCCGGACGATGGAGTCTTAGGATTTCCCAACGTATGAGATTCAGAGGCACTCGAAAATGAAATACGATCGAGAAATCACTCATTTTTTAAAATTTATTATTTAGAATGCGAATAAACACAGACATCCGTCGGACCACCTGAAATTATATGCGATAACTTTGAACAAACATACGGCGCAATTGAAAATGTAATCACAATTCACCATTCTCTCAGGTTACTGTATCATAAAATGAAACAATTTGCGAGCATTGCAAACATTACGTTGTATTGAGCAATTTATGTTGCATATGTTTTCACGAGATCATTCACTTGACCTTGGAGTCTTGCCAGCTTAATTGCAAGGATATATCAGCCTTGAACGATTCTGATTTAGGATCTTCTGCAGAACCCAGCCGCTAATGTAAAAGTGTGAGATTTGAGAAAAACACCCTCGCCAGGTTTTAAGCACTGCTGAACTCTGATGTGCATGCTAAATTAAATACACTTCTACTATTTCCATTTTCCTTTTTGCCTATGAGTCCATACAGTGATTTTTACAATTATGTAAATATTCGCTGACTAAATGGAATGAACATTGAGAATAGCGTTTTTGAGTTGATGTGTGTATTCATATTCCAATATTCTGTTGAATTGGCCACCGTTTCTTCTGCATATTTCAATTGTGTTTCTCGAACGGTGGCATTCAATGGTCGTTCTCTTTTTTTTTTTATTACCGTGGCTTCCAAACAAATAAATTTGCCTTTTCTCTGTAGGTGATCAGCAAATATGTTCGTCAAAAGTGCAAACTGAGCAGAATACGCGGGTGCGATAATCCGGGAAACAATAGTCTCGTAAACGTGGTCGCAGGGATATGCACGTGAAATGATTCGGCAGTCTTTTTAGATTGCATAATCTGTTCATGGCGTGTTCACCTCCTTGTTTTATGGAAAAAAAACAATGTAGTGAGCTGAGACTGTACATATTATTTTATGCAATTCAAAGAATCTATGATAAAAAAGATTATAAAGAGGTTCTCAGTATCAGTGCAGTTTTTTTTATTTATTCGAGGCAATTTTCCTTGGCACTTCGCTGTCAACGAAAAAGCGTATTATTACTGAAAATGCATGGTATAGCCAAATCTTGCATTTTCAGTAATAATACGCTTGAAAATAACAATTCAATTCTTTTGTACTTTATTTCAATACGATATATTTAGTTGCGCTAAGCATGGCTTCGTACGTAGGCCCAGGATGTGCTCGGAATACTCATTTTCTGTTGGTTATATTACTGGGATATATATTGCATGGAACAATCGCACATGAAGGTATGGGTTTTCTGGTTGTAAACCGATATATTATTAGAGCTTTATTATGATGTTTTTTGAAATTTTGTTAGAAACAATTGCATTCAAATTTGAACTTGAGTAACATGATTATGAAACAAATAAGAGTACACATTTTGGAGTATTCGTCGCGTTACCTAGTGGAAATGAAAGTTTTTGTATGTCCTTTCCATATGGCTCGGCCAATTTTAAACTATAAATAAGAACCGAAAAATTTGTTCATGTCATTTAATCTATACTGTATGTTTGGCAACGTATGTGAGTCCAATTTTATTTCGCACGACTTCGTGCTGAATTCAAGGAGACAAACCGCATTTTACTAGTAAGGGTGCATGACTTAATTCGCCTTCATATGGGAAAATACAAACTCACGCCCAGAACCCAGACAAAATAGCCATATACATATTAACTACCACTCGTACCAATGTGCCAGATACTCAAAACAGGCTCGTAAAATTTGTATTTTTGGAATGAAATAACTTTATTTGGTTGCCAACCATCGGCAGTTGCTTTCAAACCAGGACAAATCTAGCGGAACTCACGATATTATATAGCCAACATCTTAATTATTTTTGTTAATTTGCAACAGTGCGGAAAACCTGTACTATGAAATGCTCAATTCTCTACCTCTCGCTCCCCTTTTTTATTAATATTATTGCTTCATTCACTAACACATAACAGGAGAAGGTGCGGGAAAAGAAATTTGGAAAAAATGGTCCGAACAACCGGCTTTAGAACGTGATAGAATGTATTATGGACAATTTCCCGAAAATTTTATGTGGGGAGCAGCTACCGCTGCATATCAAACTGAGGGAGCGTGGAACGAGGACGGTAAAGGCGAAAGCGTATGGGATCATTACACGCATAATTCACCCTGTTGGTAAGAAACATTTCTTCTGTAGTTGGTTGAAATTAGTGCTAACTGGGTATCTTCCTACCGCCGGTTGAGGCACATGCTACCGATCCGACCCACGATGGGGAAAATATTTATTTTTTGCGCCCATCGAAGCTCTTTTATATTTGCAGCGCGATTGTTCGGTTTCTGCTTGTACGAAAACTGATTGACGGACGTTACATTTGTATTGCATTAAAAATTACGGTACTATCTTGTTCTTGTACCGCTACTAATTTACTGTTTCTTTGATCGTGTTTATTTTAAGTCATGTTAATATGAGTTAGAATAAATTATTGTCCTAACTTCCAACTATACTTAGACACCAGAACAGAAAAACAGATAAGAAAATTGTTGGCGGGTAAAAAAGAGTAGGGTGCAAATATCTCCGTATTGTATTGAACGTGGATTGAATTGATGTTAGGTTGATTTATTATGTTAAGAAAAATAACATATGCATTCTTCGAAGTCACAGTCGCTGGAGTTGACTTTGATGACCGTTTGGTCGTATCATTCCCTCCTGTCTATATTAAACTAATTTATTACTTATTACTATTATTATTACGATATAATAACTGTTATTTTATTTTGATTGACGAAAAAACAAATTCCTCTCTCTAGTCTATTTGGTCAAACGCCTCAATAATACAGAAACATGCATTGATCAAGTCATTGAATAACTGTTATGTACAATGTTGTTGTTCATGTTTCTAGGTGGATGCGGAACATGACTGGAGATATTGCATGCGACTCCTATCATCAGATGGATCAAGACGTCGATGCAGCCGTACAACTTGGTCTTGGTTATTATAGATTTTCTATAGCTTGGACTCGTATTGTTCCTGATGGACGTAACGGCACAAAACCGAACATGGCTGGAATTAAATTCTATAACGATACCATTAACAAACTCTTAGCAGCTGGTGTCCAACCGCTTGTTACTTTGTTTCACTGGGATACGCCACAAGTCCTTCAAGACGAATTTGAGGGGTTTGGTAGCAGAAATATCGTAGAACATTATGCCTACTATGCAGATATATGTTTCAAATATTTTGGCGATCGTGTGAAGCACTGGTATACATTCAATGAGCCACTGACATATTGTTGGCTAGGACACGGCCTTGGTGTCAGTGCCCCGGGGATGTTTAGAATGGCAAAGGGTGCTTACGACTGTGGGCATTACATGCTTTTGGCTCACGCAACTGCGTATCACAGGTAAGACACCCTGTATTTGAGTATCTATATCGAAGTTTTACACAAAAAATATTCACTCAGCCATAGGCGCGTATCGGGTAAACAAAAAATGTGACGCTTACTCTCACAATGTGGATTACATAAACTGCAGGGTTTGACTTTTCGGATTTGCCCCGACATGGATATTATGACGCAACAAATTGAAATTAGTTATTGGGCACGTTAGTAGACCTATGGATCGTTTCAATATTATGTTGTTGTTGTTCTTTGACACGTTATGAAAAAGTCGCTTTTCTCTTTGACTACCGAGCCAATTGAAATTTTCAGTGGTTGAAGATTGATTTTTTTGCCACAAGGCTATTACTTTCATTTTTTTTATTATTGGACACGGAAGGGACCTATAGATCGTTTTAAACATTTTTGGACACCTAGTGGGAAACGCTTCGCTTTTATGCTGGCACTATTCTTCTTGTTTTTGATCACGTGCTCATCGAACGTCGGTACTCGGTGGTATGTAACAAAGTTCTTGCTTTCTCAGTGGAGAATCGCGTACAGCGCCGTGGGTACCGATAGCGGCAAAGGTGAGGACTGCTTCTCTCTGATTAACGTGTCCATATATTTGAGCCTTGCTCTCTTGTTTACGAGGGGATCGCTACCCGATCTTAAACGTTTTAGCAATATCTTGTAAACCTTGCGGTTTTCAAAACATTACCTAAAGTTTTTCGAGAAATCATCTATTGTTTAAATATTGGTTTCTATCATAAATCAAATTGAAATTAAACTAACAATGAATTTTTCCGTTTTATTTACAGCTACATTTTTGTTGTAAACAAGTAATTAATTGTAATATATATACCGTATGCATTGAAAAGTGCAGCAGGAAAATGGATGAACAATTTAATATATATATAGTGTGAATGATAAAATGAAACAGATTGACCAGATCATTCAGCATTGAGTGTACAAATATTATTCACAATACACAATTCACGTTAAAGCACGAAGCACTAGCTGTATTGAATATAACATTGTGTTATATTGCATTTCTCCTATAGATGATGTATAACATTGTGATAAATGATGAAAATATTATATGCAAACATAAATGAATGGCATATGGTTAAATATTATTTTTGCCCTCTTTCGTTTTGTCCCGACCACAAAATTTCGTTCCCAATTAAAAACACAAGCCTTTCAAAAATGTTCAGAACGTTGTACCATCACTTCCATTTCCGGCGCAGTTGTTTCCAGAGATGCACCCTATAATAAATTTCATGTTGTTAATATTTGGGACAAACTGTAACGGTTTTTTATGCATAAAAATTGTTAAACTCCTATGGTAAAAACAAACTTTATTTGATATTCATAATCTGATTTCAGCTGAATGGACACAAAAATAAGGAGGCATTAATACAAACAAATTTATATTAACGATCCGTTTATATAGAAAATAGCACAAATAATTTATTTGATTTGAATGAGCGATTTAGATGCCTTTTATCTCCAATGCGTCATTATTTGTTTTATTGTTGAATGATTGAATTCAACATTTGTCGTTAAATACGAAAATGTGATTCTATTTTATATCCACCATATTGTACATGTCCCCGGTGGAATATCAAAGCCGTAAAAACAAACATCAATCACAAAGCTATCAAGAATTGCTGCGTTTGTGGAATTTTTTATTTTTTGGATGTAGATTTTGTACAGGTTGTGAGACCTTTTTTGTGTACCAAAGGTACCAAATTCATAATCTACGAATCCAGTTTTTCTTTTTCTGCTCAATTATGCTTTATAAAAAAGTCTTTATTACCAAATATTTTCAGATATCAGGATGTGTACAAAGCTACTCAGAATGGCACAGTATCAATTACAATTAACGTGGAATGGGCAGAACCTGAAGATCCACAAGACCCAACAGACGTTGCAGCAGCAGAAAGATACATGCAGTTTAAAATGGGATGGTTTGCCCACCCTGTGTACGTCAACGGCGACTATCCAGACATTATGAAAGGTTTGGTATTATGATGAACAAATTTATTTATCTGTCTTTTTGAAACTAAATTACCAAAGATATTAATTTTATCTTAGATTTTGCAGAATTTTTCATGTGTAGATGTGTTAAAATACTTCTCAACTACTTGTTACAACAATTAGGCTTATGGTATAGTGCTTGTAATATTGCCACCTATGCGACCAGCAAGGGCCTTCCACTTGCTTAGGCTCTATGCCAATTCTGGGTGTAAATTATTACATAACACCATCATAAAATCATTTACCATATTCATGTATAGGCCAGCCTGTTTATTCTCTATATGCAAGACTTCAAACTGAATTTACGTACACCTAATTTTGTACTTCGTTGAAAGATAATAAAATGTGGAGAAAATTCAATTTCTATTACAAAACCTCAATTTAGAGTTTTCATTCCTATCTTTATCCAAACTTTACCACTTGTTCCCATAAGGCAATTTGACATAATATTGGCAGTTCATATTCTAATTTTCGTTTTACAAGAAATGCTGATGCTGATCTTTTTATATTTTATTTTACAAATAATTATTTGCCCTCATATTTTTGTTCAGATCTTGTCAGGAATAAAACTCAGAATCAACCTTGCTATGTTCACTTGGGATCAAGGTTGCCAGAATTCACAGAGGAAGAAAAAGCCTATGTAAAAGGAACATCTGATTATTTTTCAATGCAAATGTATACCTCAAGATACATTCATGATATCTACCCACCAGATTGGTTCGTCGCAGCAATCGCAGATCGTAACAACCGACAAATGTGCGATCCGAGATGGGTGCAGTCACCAGGTAAGTTCTGTCAGACACATTGTAAATTTAATTGCAGTATTTACTCTTTTTAATGATTTAATGAATCAGGTTTTAAAGTCATGATAGGTACGATAGTGTAAATAATGTGTAACAGGTAACTTGTAATGCTTGATGATAAAATACAATTTATAAAATACAGATTGTGAAATACAAGTTGGTATAGAATATGTCCCATAATTATAAAGATACTCTAAAAATTTAACGTTGTGTCAATTTAGTTTGATTTGGATATGTTCTGCTTAGTTAACAACTTGCTGCAATTGTGTGGCAAAATGTAGAAATTTAATTTTGAATTCAATGCTTCGTAACAGAACCAGGTAGATATAACAAAACTGTTTATTTTTGACATTGATGTAAATTTTGCATCACTACTTGAAAAAAAAAAAAATTTTAGGTGCTGGATGGCTTCGAGCAGTTCCTTGGGGTATTCGTCGACTTCTAACCTACATCAAAAATGAATATACTTCATTGCCAATCATGATTACAGAGAATGGTGTGGATACAAACCTAGTTTATGATGATTTTAATCGGATTAATTATTTCAAAACTCATTTTAGTGAATTGTTGAAAGGTAAATGAAAATTGTTTTTAGTTTTTATCACTTACTCTAATTTTTTGGTATTTCAAAATGTATCCAAGTTACATTAAAAGTAACAACGATTTTAACAAGTCTTGGGTGAGTACAATATTGTTGCAGAGAGTTGCTTGGCTTAACCAATCCGCGCGTCCCGTTTTTTTGCTTCAGAAATATGGTACGCCTATCTAGAGCCCAAGACTGCGATTTTGAAATTGCAATACTTTGTAATTACTTTTCAGCAATACACATTGATGGAATAGATCTGTTTGGTTATCTGGCTTGGACATTGATAGACAACTTTGAATGGGCTCAAGGATTTGGCCCAAAGTTTGGAGTTTTCTATGTTGATTTCGAGGATCCTAATAGACAACGCTACAAAAAAAGATCCGTTGATTGGTGAGAATCGGATTATTTCAATAAAGTTTAAAAATCTCAGTAAAGTTTACTCATTTGAAAATCACTATCTGATAATAACTATGCTTCATTAGGATAGGGTTGTATTTACATATTTATCCCATGGAAGAAAAAAGCCGATGAGAAAGAAGACAGCTTCATCATCAGGATCTCGCGTCTGGTTACCAGACCATGTTTGGTATGGATTAGTTCGCCAGTTATTTGGTTTCAGATGTATAAACTTGCTGATGATAGAGAAAGGCGTATGTGGCCAGCGGTTATGTGAACCACCATAAGTAGGCGAGGAGTCCAGCAATCCTCTCACATAAAATTATCCTCCACTTGATTCGGACCTGTGAGAGTAAACAGATGTTGATGATAAGCGTATTCCTACCACTTGTCACAATACGTCAAACCGCTGAGCTTCTGCTTTCATTATCAAATGATTGTCAAAATGCTAATGTCGAACATGTTTGATTAATATTAGCCATATCTATCAAATATTGAGGATTTATTTTAAAAAGACATTTTTAATTGTAGTTATTTGACTGTATATACAATTTATCACCCTGGTGTTAACCATATTTTTTATCTTTTTTATTTCAGGTACAGAGAAGTAACAACAACAAACAGTCTGACAGAACCAGACAGAGAAAAAGTTTTTTACAGGGAATTTCCGAAAAGTTTCGCTTGGGGAGTAACAACAAATGCATATTCGGTTAATTATACTTTTTTATTTTTTTGATTAACATTAAGTACATTTTGCTTATTAGAATGAGAAGATACTAAATTATGAATAAAACTAAGAATCTTTAATGCAATAATAACTTTTTATTATACTTCAATGTGTTTGAACTAGAATTTAGATCTTTCTCACATCAACCATTGAATACTTTTTTCATACAACATTTCTAAATGACTTCCTCTTTGAACAAGGCTCTGCATGAGAATCCACTGTTATGTAGGAAACTATAATAGTTAAAAATAAATGTTTTCTGATTCAGCATCTATTCTGGTTGAGATGGTGTGCATGGTCTTAAACGTGAGATTTTTAGCATGCAATTTTAACAAAATTAGATCCAACGCTTCAACCATTGGAAAATCACCACTGAGTGATCTTTTCCTTTTCAACATTATCAATGCATCTGAAACAAATAACTTGCTAAAAGATAGGATAGGATTTACATATTTATAATGGGGGAGAGGAAATACATTATGATGGCTTAATCAAATGGCAAACCACGGCCCTTCGTCAATTTACCAGTTCATATCGGTATGGGCTTAGTAAGCCAGTTATTTTGTTTTCAGATTCATGGACTTGAACTTATCGACTTTCCTCTCCCCCTGGAAAAATATGTCTAGACTTTATGCCATAAAAGGGCAGTTGAGGGGGTATGTTTCCCTGTTAAACCATAATATAATATTTTCTTAACATGGAATAAAATCGAATTTTATCTTATAATTATATTTAGGTTTTTTTTCTACCGAGTGGATTAGCTATTTGTTTATATGTTGAGTTTCTAAGAGGAAGATGGCTAAAATTTATTTCTAAATCATTTTCAAGATTGAGGGTGGACATGATGCAGATGGAAAGGGGGAAAGTATTTGGGATGAATTCACTGACAGAATAATTGGTTCACCTATAGTAGATGGATCAAATGGAAATGATGCGGCAAATAGTTACAATAACATTGAAAGAGATTTGGAAATTCTAAAAGAATTGCGGGCAAGTTAATAGAATATGTATTTAATAACATAGATCATAGGTTCTCAAAGTGCTCCAGACGAAGTTCCAGGGCTCTGTGAGAGAAACATAGGGTCTCTGCGAGCTATTCATTTACTTATTGAAATACTGTATATTTTAAAATACAAAACGGCAAATACATTTGAATCATTAAATAAAGTCATTTTAGTTTACTCACAAACATTAATCTGTAGGTAACAATGTGTTATTTTGTTTCTATTTTAAAACAAAATTATTCTGGGGCTCCGTAAATAATAGTCAACTTCACAGGCTCCATAACACCAAAATTTGAGAATCTTTTCTGTAAATAATAAGTTATTTATCTATTTATAAGCAGTCAGTTTTCCTTTTTTTGCATCTTTCAGCACATCAGATAATTTTGATGTATTTTTTTCATTGAAATTTATTATCAGGGTTATTTAGGATGATTTTTGAATTTAAACTAACATTGTATGCTGTTAATCTGTCAGGTGTCTCACTATCATTTCTCCATCTCATGGTCTCGGATTTGGCCAGACATAGGCTCATCTGAAGTAAATCAAGCTGGAATAGATTATTACAACAAGCTGATTGACGGCTTGATTGCTTTAGGAATTACGCCAGTTGTATCTCTACATCATTGGGACCAGCCAACAGTATGCTACTTGAATATTCAGTCTAATAAATAAATATATATATATTTAAATTATATATACAGGTTTATATTTAAAAAAAATAAAACATGAACAGAAATAAAACAGTTTTGAACAATGCAAATAATATTTTTCAGTTTGTGTAGGTAAGTTCATCAGTGTATTTTTTTCAGTCAAAGTACCACCCAATTAATATTTGAAACTGTCTTTATCCACCTATAATCACCGTACATGACAGTCAATTGAATAGGAAAAATTTCGAATTAAAAGAATTGTATTGGTTCAAAATGAAAAAAGCAATAAATAATATTTTTAGTCTAAATGTGTGTGAACAGAAAGTATGTAGTGTTTGCTCATTATTTTTCAACAATGCAACTATTTTTTTAGAGTATCAGCAACATCGGATGGATAGATACTAATGTACACAAGTTATTCCCTGATTACGCAAGAGTGTGCTTCCAAAAGTATGAATTTTATTTCCCCACTAATAAATTTTATCTTATCTGAGTGACCATTGTCAGATATTATTTGTTGCAGTTTTGATGAATATTTGATGTAGTATCAGTTTTGTGATGACTGAAATTTTTTAGTATTTTTGACATCAAATTGTAGTTTCAATTTTATAGGTATCATTATTTAAAAACATTGTTTTCTAAGTTTTTATCTGGAATGCTGGCTACTATTGTTATGCGCATAACTGAAAACCGTGCAAAATCACTAAAGTTATTGTACCAGTATAATGATAGAATTTGACAATGATTTTTTTTTAAGTTGCTAGTTTCACTAAGACCATAGAAATTAAAAGTAGTTTATGGCGTTAGGTAAATGTGCTTTCAATTCGAAATCATTGCCAAATTAATATTCTAACTATTCTATTTAGTTTTGGAGACAGGGTAAAAATGTGGATCACACTTAGTTCACCACAGACAGAAGCAAGGAAAGGATATGATACAGAAGAATTTCCACCCCAGATCATTGTAACTCTATTGATTTTTATCATTGTTTTTTTACATTTGGGATTATTTCTTTTAAACTCTGCTATGGTACAAAAAAATGATAATGAACAAAAGTAACACACAGGACGTAAATTCAGGAAAGTTGCGAAAACCTGACAAAAAGACATAGAAAAACGATGATCTGTAAAAAACTTCATCATGCATATTTTACATGACATATTATTATAAGTTAAGTCTAATACCTGTTTCAGAACTTGTCATACGAAGCAGCACACTACATGATTCTTGCACATGCTAAAGCTTATCACGTATATGATGAAGAATTTCGGGCAACTCAGAGGGGACAGGTAACATCGTTTGATACTCCACTGTTTTTTTTTGTAAAACTTATTTGTTGCATCGACAGTGAATGGAGGGTTTTATTTGTTTGAAGTGCGGTTGCCATTATACACCCAATTGCCCTGCGCAGGTTCACTGTTTTGATTCTTGTGGTGGGAAAATATGGGCAGGATCTTTGCTAGATTCCTCGCCATCGCATGGTGGCTCATGTAACCGCAGGTCGTTTGTGGCTTCCTCAACAATCGAGTTCATGAATATGAAACCAATAGGTAATTGACATATCCATACCTGACATGGACTGGTAGCCAATTGAGAGTACTTGGTTTACTGTAAGAATATGTTTTTTCACCGTTTTCTTTTCCCCAGATAAATAATAAAATCCTGTTCCATCCAAATAAAAAAATTAGGCTAAATTTATGCTATTGCATTAACACACATGCCATTGCAGTTTAAATTATCCAATTATGTTAACAATTTGACAGCAAAATCTATATAATTTATTTTTGGTTTCAAATGCATACCTTATTTTATCTTGACTAATCCTTCTTCCTGCATTTCATGAAGCCAACATGAATTGAGCTAACATATTGAAATATATTGCTTGTTCGTCATTTTAACTCCGATATTTCATTCAGATTTCAATATCGATGGAATCAATGTGGGGAGAACCCTTTGACAGAAATAATCAGAATGATGTAGATGCAGCAGACAGATTTATGCAGGTTAAACATTTTTAAATATTCATTTGGTTTACTTTAAAAAAAAAAATCATTCAACCATTTCATGTTTATACCCGGTGTTGTAAAATGTCTCACATCCTATCCCTCAATTGTAAGCATACAATACACCTGCTTCAACTGTCTAATTATGGTATCGTATTCATCCTAACCCAGGCAATAGCATAGATTTCACATCATATGCCTAATTTACGTTTACCCAGAAATCTATCACAGAGTAGTTGGGGCAAGTGAAAGAAGAACTTAGGCCACAGAACATGACATTTTAACTGGTTTATGCCAATGCTCTGTGATAAAATAAGCATTCATTTGCTGAGGATTTGGTGACAATCTATAAAGCTGAATCCATGATAATCTGAACATTTTCAGAAATCGAAGTGGCGTTGAATTATAAATACTGTGAAAAACCTGCAATTAAATTTTTATCCTTTGATGGCTTAAGTCAGTATTTCATTTTGCAAAGTTTAATTTGAATTCAGGTTGATACACATGCTATTTTAGTTTGCATAGTTCACACAACTGTTTGAATATTGCGTAAGAAAAAAAATGATAGGAACAATTTAGGTCATGACATTGTTAACAGTCAAATCAAATATGCATTGATCATAAAATAATGTGAAGACAATGACTTTATTTTAGTGTTTAACTACTGTACAAGCTTATACACACCCACAGATTACACACCATAATAACTTTAAAGACAATAAACTAAGCAATATCGCTTTATATTCACTTGAATTGTTACGAAATTCGTGCTGTGTCATTGTGGTAACATCTTCGTTATATTAGTTATCAATATTTGCTGATGGTGTCGCCTTGTGCATCATTTCAACATACTGTAAATAGTTTATTTCAATGTATCATCACTGTTTTATGATTAACAGAACTGTGTTAAGGATGTAGTCCGGTCACTTAAAAAACAAACTGACATGTCAGCAAACAGCTGCAAACTCTAACATAATGTTCAACAATGTAAATAAGGAAGCAACTTATGTAATCATTGGAAATGCTTGGAGACACCAATCATATTTATTCCAGTATAACAACGAGTGGAAACAATGAAAGTTTCGAATTTATTTTAGATCTGACGCTGCAATATACCAGTCCTCACAGACAAATTACTCCCATTTTTATGTTTCAAAGCAAAACTTTTTGTTGCTTTATCATTTTGTTTCTGATTTTTTACATAGCTTGTCATCAAATCATTAATATATCAAACTAAAAAATTGACTCTTTGAATGTTATTTGCCATAAAAATCATTATGAAAGAATTATGAAATTTTGTGTTCTAAAAAGTTAAAAAACAAAACATAACGAGAAAACAAGTTTATGTTATAGACATCTAGCTCAAACAAACTGTCTTTTGCAGAATAATTATTCTTGGATTCGGATTTTCTGGCACTTTTGTAAATGTCATTTGGATAGTTATTTTGTTTTTTGTTAACATCCATAATTTGATAGAATTTTTTCAAAGTCTGAATTAATATGGTAGGAAAATACATTGTATAAAATTAGCAAACAAATTGATTAGTGTAATTGATAAATAATGAATTCACAGAGGTATTGAGCTTTTTTCGAGGTCTCCAAATAAAGGCGTTTGGGTTCATTGTCTGGGTTCCCCAACCTTTTTATCAAGTAACCCAAATTTTGAAAAAAATATTTTTTTTTGAAATCTCGCAACCCAAAATTATTTTCAAATACTATACGCAATGTAGTGTTTTTATAATGACAAAATAAATTACTAATACAAGAAAAAAACATTCTTACATAACATTAAACAGAAATTATCTTAAGATTGCATAAATGAGAGAAAAATGTGTTTGTTTGCGAGTTTATAATGTCATGACATGCCTCACTTAAAGAATAGAAAAGATGCTGCTAAGTTTCAGAAATCAATAACTTTTATGTTTTTGTTTAAAAAAGGGAGATTTTCAGGCGACCCACATGCTGGGAAACACTGCTCTGGGATATTAAAGTGTGTCAATTGTCTGAACAGCTCCTTCAAGGCTTTAACCAATGTTACCAAGGCATGCTTTTGGCAATATAGCATCACATTTATTTATTTATTGGTTATTGAAAACCAGAACTTCCTGGAGTTCATGATTGCGGCAGTGGCCTAGTTTCTCTCTGGAATGCTTAATTACGTTTGGTTCAATTAAATCAGCTCTTTAGTTTACTAATACATTTATTTATAAAAGTGAAAAGACACTGATAATGTTTAGGTCCACAATTATTGGTAATATTTTTAATTTACTTTTTATTTCAGTGGGAAATGGGTTGGTTTATGCATCCTCTCATCTATGGTGATTATCCACTCATAATGAAGAAGAAAATATATGAGAAGCGAATGCAAGACAATACTCCTGAAAGTTTCTTTCCACAATTTACAGAAGAAGAAAAAGAATTCATCAAAGGTATAATAGTCTGCATATGATATGTAATTTGAGATGTTTTAAGGAATTAGTACAATACTTATAGAGACAAAGCGAATTTTACACACTCTTCAATAAGTGTTTATATTTCAGTTGAAACTACTTTTTTTTTGAAAGTGAATATGACATATCTGAAATGATGAATGCCATTATATTTCCGAATATTAACATTTTTCCATTCTGTGCAAAAATCATACCTACTCAATACTGCATACTGAATATTCATGAATTTTATTTGGGTTTAATTGCCTGGTGTGGATCCTGTTGGCCTTATTATATTGGCATTGCGAGTTAGCGATTGCTGGTTATATTTCTGATTGGCCACATCTTATCCGCATATACTAGTCTAAACAAGAATCTTAATAACCATTCTTGAGTTGTTTTCTTCCATTGGAACTTCCATTGGAGCTACACTGGGATACTGGGTCACTTAAACATATTTTAAAGTCCGGCTCTTATTAGCATTCTATGTTTGACTTTTTTCCTAGGTAGTATTAATCACTTTCGCATAGGTGAGGCTGCTCGATAACCATCACTGTTTATCGCATCTTCTCTCACACTAATGCACTTTTTTAATTTTTCTTAATTCTGTATGTACAATGGGAACTTTCGGCATGGGAAAAATAACACTACTAGCAGACTGACTATAAATCTAAATATCTCCAAAAGGAAAGTGTAAAACGCACAGAATTTTATTCAAGACAGAATGCACAATCTTACATTTATACACATTATTTCATTTTGCTATTTCATAGGAACTGTTGACTTTTTGGCACTAAACCATTATACAACCAACTATATCAGCCAAGGAGATATTTATGGAAACAAGACAGCTCCAATTCTGTCAGCTGATGAATGCAGAGATATTCCAACTGCTATACCTGAATTACCACCTCTACCAGAAATACCAGATTTGTCGTGTGCCAACGAGACATTTCCGTTCCCACTACCGGGTGACAGTGAATATGATGAGTGGGTCAAATGGGCCATTGAACAAAGCCCAGGACATGGAAGCAAACATCCGAATGAATACAAAGAAAAAGATGCCACAAGTGAGTTGCTTTATATATTCCGATACAGGCAAAATCAGAAGTCAACTATACAGAAGAAAAACAGCTATTTACCGTATATTACCATGTTGGTGATTTATATTTCAGCAAGAGCCAATTTCGAACCATACATGGACATATTTAGATCATACGATTGGGGATGGCAAGTTGGGGTCGAAGATCAATATGTTGTTCCATGGGGTTTGAGAGAAATATTAAAATGGATGAAAGGTGAGAAATAAGAGAAAATTTTATATTTGGTGCAAACAAACTTTTTCAAATATATCTTATTGAAAATAATGTTTTTGAAATGGGACAGCACCTTATAGAACAGAATAATACAAACCTGTAGCTGCATAAATGAAAACTTTTTTTCATGATTTTTTCCCAATTCAAAAAATTAATGTTAATATCTTGTCAATATCTTGAACTTACAAGGGTTTTCTGACAAGCGTGTTTCCAGTATTTTATTGGTTGTATTGGACAAAGAAATGAACAATTTCGCTATCCAGTTTTATTTCTGTTTAAAATTCATTTGTATCTGTTTGTAGCTCAATATGGAGACCTGCCGATTTATATAACTGCAAATGGACTTTCTGAACCAATAAAAGTTAAAGAAGTTTCAGACTGCAATGATGAAAGAATTGGACACTATGTTGTGTAGGTTTTCAGTATTTCAAAACCTAGTTTTTAATGTTAGTTTGCTGAAACAAGAATGTGATGATATCCCTACGGCCTACACTACACTTGCTGACAAAGGTTCAAATAGGTTTAATGAATGGAACATCATGTGTAATTATTAACTGTCTTCAAACAAACTTGACTATATTTTGAGTAATAAAATACCAATAAAATGCTCTTTGTGTATCTGCTGGTTACCCTCTTAAATACAACATGTAGAAGTGTGTTGACCTTTGATCCCATCGATAAAAAAGTTTGATTGGCAGTACACATCTTGCGTAGCTCTCCTTAAATTCAAATCTGCTGTTAAAAGTGACAGCTCAATATGTCCTCTACTGAGCAGGCCATTCAAATGGTGATTGACCATCCTTTGATCTAAATATGAAGACTTTGAAATTGTCTATAGATGGAATATTTAATTTTATACCTAACTATGCTTTACTTTTTTGTAAGATTCAAATGCTTGCTTTTTGTATACATAGGGAACGTGATGTTGGACTGGATGACAGAGAGAGGGTGGAATATCACAGAGCTTATATTGACGAAGTATTAAAAGCAATACATCTCGATAATGTTGATGTTCGAGGATATTTTGCAGATTCTCTGATGGATGGTTTTGAATACTTATCTGGTTAATATATTTTTGATTTTTAAACCACAGTTTGAACCCGGATTAAACTTTGGTGCACATTTAGATATCAGATACAAAAAGCTGTGATGCTTGAAAAGCAGTAAATTTAGTGTTGTCCAAATCTATCTGGCAGTTGATAAAAAAAAAATTAAAGTGCTATTCTACTTCATATAAAATATGTTGCAGGATATCTCGATGTCGTGGTATATCATATGAATAAAATGACAAATCAGCTTTCCTCTCCCTGGGATAAATATGTAAATCCCAAGTCCTGAAAAATAAATAATGAGTGATCTATTGAGTGATTTTCCAATGAAGCAAGCTTCTATCAGCATTTTGGAAATGTCTATTCTTCTGCTGTATATTGCAACAAATGCTCTTGCACTGATGTAGCCTGCATTATGATAGCCTACTACTAAAGCTTTGTGGTGCTTTTGTTGCAGCTGAATCACTTTTCACTTAGTGTCAATCTTGTCATGAAAATGTTTTCATTTTTATTTGTTAGTTAAGTTTTGCGTTATCCACTATTTGAGATTTTATTTTATGTCTGCTTTCAAATGATTAAAATATCACAATATTTTAATAGGTTACACAGAAAGATTCGGTCTCTACAGAGTAAATTTTGATACATATGAAAGAACAGCTAAGAGTTCTGCACACTTTTATGCATCTCTGATTCGAGAAAATGGAATTCATGAACCAAAGCATCAATGCCAACCAGATAATGAAAGAGATAGAATGGTTTATGGAAAATTCCCTGAAGGTACAGTTTGCTAACAACTCTAACTGGTTTTGGCTTCCTCCACCATCAAGTCCGAGTCTCTGAAACAAATAACTGGCTAACTAATCACATACCCAGCATGGACTGGTAATCGGATTAGAGGCTCTTGTTTGCCATATGATTTAGCCGTCCTATCAACTTTTCGCTCCCACGAAGTAAAAAATGTAAATACCTTTTCTCCTATTCTATACTCGTCAAATAACTGTATATTAACATATGCCAAAATTCAGAAATTGTTTAGTAACTAAAACAAGAGAGCTATGCTCAAATATATGGACACGTGGCGCCACATAATTTCGGTGACGTCATAGCAAAAAATAAAAGTAATATCAATCTGGAGAGATATACCATCTTTAACCACTGAAAATTTCAAATCAATTGGTCCAGTAATCAAAAAGAAAAGCGATTTCTTCAAAATGTGTCAAAGAACAACATAACAACAATATGATCGTTTTATCCACTACGTGTCAAATTAACCTAATATAACAGTGCACAATAACAAAAAAGTTCAACCCAGTTACTGTATTTCCCTATTAAGCATTGTATTCATATTTATCATCATATTCACGCCATCTAGTGTGAAATTGATGAGAAATGAAAAAAGGATGAGCATCGTCCAAGCACTGCGTTTGAAGGTGCAGAGACCAACACCATCCGAGTGTATGGTGCAATGAAATCTGATATTACTAACCATTTAATTTACAATGAGGCACAGTCACATAACAATTCTATTTAACAAATAAATTAAGCAATAAGCTATTCATGCCATCAGTTTAGGCTACGCAAGACTAACTCCTAATCTTTTTTAATGCCTTTCCGCTAGCGAATCTGTATGTGTATAATACAAGGATTCTGTAGCAGGAATAAACATGACCATACTATGCAATTCGATAGTCCTGCCGCACACTAACACAGATGTATTTCTGTTTTTGGTAAGACAAAACCTCACAGAAATACATTTCTGTTAGTGTGCTGCAGGACTCTTGAATTGCATAGTGAGCTATTTTTATACAATAATTTTTTTGTAGATTTTGCGTGGTCATCAGCAACATCTGCTTATCAAATAGAAGGAGGATGGAATGCAAGTGATAAAGGATTGAGCATTTGGGATACTTTTGCTCAGGAAGGAGGCCATGTGGCCAACAATGACACTGGAGATGTGGCTTGCGACAGCTATAATAAATATGAGGTTCATTTACTTGAATGTTAAATAACTGAATCAAGTGAAATCTTAGTGAATTAGTATGTTTTACATTGATGTCCAAATATCATAAAAATTTGACATTTGGTGCATCTCCCTAAGCCACTGGTTTCTAAGCAGTAGGACATGGCCCACTGCTGGACCACAGAAAGTTTTTCAGGTAGGCAACAAACAAATGAAAATTGATAAAGTCATTGATAAATTAGTTGATTTTAGTAGCAATGGATGATGATGCTGTAATTCTGATTTTAGTTATCAAAACGAAAGTGCCTATTTTTGTGAAATAATTTCTTGATTTTCTTGTAGTTTTTCCCTTCCATGAGAATGTTAAAGAGCCACAAAATTTTTTTACTACGAAATTGGGCCACAAAGAAAAAAAGGTTGAGAACCACTGCACTAAGCATTACACATATCATTCCATCATTTACACTTCGTGTTTTTCAAAATTCCATTGAGATAAAACCTATAAATTCTTTATAATTTTACTTGCTTGCAGACTGATGTACAAATGTTGAAAGACATGTCAGTTGGTTACTATCGTTTCTCAATATCATGGCCAAGGGTAATTCCTACAGGAGAATTGGCAGCTAATGGAAGTGGTTGGAGTCAAGCTGGAATTGATTATTATAATAAAGTGATTGATGAACTGCTCGCTAACGACATCACTCCTATGGTGACACTTTATCATTGGGACCTACCTCAGGCAAGTAGGCTATGTGTTTTTGAAAACTATATGGGAATGAATTATTCATATTTTCTAAAAAAAGGCATTAAGAAATCCTGATTTATGCATGTATGCTGTAGATCAGGAGTCGGCAACTTTTGTCCCTCGCAGGCCAAAATTAAGGGTTGTAAGGCTTTGGCGGGTCACACAAATTTTTTGAGTGGTGGAAATGCGACAATTCGTGAATTCAGATCAGTCGATCTATTGAAAAAAAAATTACAAATGACATTTAATGTGGAACTTGTTGTTGTGCATCATGCTTGATAGCTTTTTGACATCAGGTGACACAATGAACGAAGCCAAGATTAGAACATTTTCTAAATGGGCATCACTAATCCGAGCTCTCTTCTTGTTCTTTGTAGCATGTTCATTTCATTTTTGAAAATAATGGTTCGCATGCAAATGTACTTGATGCAACATTGATGCAAATTTTTTCGCATGGTTTGTCAAATTTGGATTTCATCTCAAATTGCATTGCATCCCAAGGAACTCCATTTGAACTGTTTGGGCCATTGAACCACTGTCCTCAGTGTGTTGCGTTGCCATTTGTCTAATTATAATTAAAATGCAGGCTTGTTAAACAAGTATCTAGCTGCTCACTTACTTGTTAGGTTATAATATAATTTAGTCTACACGTGTCTCACAGTAAACTTGTTACGTAAAGAATATAAACTACTCATTAGGCGTAGTTTATAAAATTCATTCATTGTCAAAATCGCCATTTTGTCGCTACAATTCAGTGAAGCGTCGCGGGCCGGATTATTTTACTTGGCGAGCCGGATCCGGCCCGGGGGCCGTAGAATGCCGATTCTTGCTGTAGATCTACGTTGCTCACTAAATTTTCAAATTGGCATGATTTAAATCAACAGAAAATTGAGTGAGAAACTTTATATCCTTTACAGCTGCCTAATCGATGCCTTGACAAACAATATTCTCGATTTTTTTTTCAAAATTGTCAACGCATTTGCCATCGATTGGGTTTCTGCATGACTATCTACTTATCATTTTTCTATGCTTTTGTGCTGGTGGATTCGTATGCATACAATTTAGGGATGCTGTAGCAAGAGTGAAAATGAGTCAAGAGTCTTCCTGCACAATAGCACAAATATATTATGTTACAGAAATATGTTTGTGTTAGTGTGCAGCAAGACTCTTGAATCATGTACTTATGATCGTAAAAAAATTTTCTTGGTAATTCATCATTTTCTGAAATAATAAAGATTGTGATTTTAAAGTTTGAAAATTTTTTTTCTATATTTTAATTTTAACGCTCAACTGTAGTGCTGCTAATTTTTCTAAGCAAGGTTCAAGGACTTTATTCATGTGATGGATAAATAATATGTGAGAACTCCTCATCATTGCAAAGTTATTTACTCATCTGATATGCAACACTGATGTGTGCTGTACCAACCACATTTATGTATCCATAACTGTTGACTAGCTAGCTATTTTGTAAATCACCTGATTTGGCAGTCAAACAAAATACTCTCATCCTTTATTCAATGCATTTTATTTACATTTTTCGCTCTCCCAAGATAAATATGAATAGTATATACTTAAATTCCAAATTTGTTTCAACTGTAACTGATTGATTAGAGCATCGTTTCATAATTCATCAAATTTATTCTATGCATGAAGCCGCGAGCCTGAAGGGCCATGACCCCCCCCCCCATCATTTTTTAAACATTTCTTTTTAAATGAGATTTTGCAACATTTGCAGTAGGACATTAATTCATACACCTTTTCCAACACCATTTTGCTCTATTTTTGAACAATTTACTGAAAACTAGACGTCTGGCTTGCTATCAGTAATCCTTTCATCAAATAAAACAATTGAAAATGCAGGCTTTTATGCTTTGAATAACATAGACAGCGAAGTACGCCTGTAAGAGCAATTTTTTAAGATATTGTTATATATCAGTGGCTACTTTTATCTGGCTTTGTTCTGAGCAAAAGTCATGAGTGAGTATTATGTCATTATACAAAAAAAATTGGCAGCCCTCCAAATTTTGGGCTGGCTACGCTTTTGTGATCATGATCTATTCTACAGGATTTACAAGACAAATATGATGGATGGTTGGATCAAACTGGTGCAATTGATGATGCTTTTGAAGCATATGCAGATCTGTGTTATAAATCATTTGGAGACAGAGTCAAATTCTGGATTACTTTTAATGAACCTTTCATTGTTGCATATTTGGGTTAGTATTGTTACTAATAAGAATTACATAAAAATCTAAGAATATTTTCTTAGGAAATCATCATCTCAATCATACGTCAAAATCAGCTTTTTATTTATTATCTGAAACGAGTTCTCAGAAAACAAATAATCATCTAATAGACAATGCAAGGGAGCTATATCGACCAAATGCATCATTGTTTGACTATGAGAAGCCTGGCATTTATTTACATATAATCATCCTACATAAGAATATATTCCGCTATTCTCTTGTCTTGTAATAAACGATATATAAAGTCTGTTCTCAACGGTATCCCAGGAAGATAACCACCAAACAAAAATGGGAACAATTAAACTCCTAATTTCAAATTGTAATGGTTAATTTTTTCCCATAATGGAATCATTGAAATTTAATAGCAATTCCTGGTATGTTAATATTTAGGATATGGAGTTGCCTCATTTGCACCTGGACATTATGACGAAGCTAAGGGACAATATTATGCAAGTCACAGTATACTGAAGGCTCATGCAAAAGCTTGGCATAAGTATGATGACACATACAGAGCTGATCAGGGCGGTCAATGTGGAATTACATTAAACTCAAACTGGGTTGAACCAAGAATAGCTACTGATCCAGAGTACATTGCTGCTGCGGTAAGAAATAAAATAATCTCTAACTTTGAATTTTCGGAAAAAAATGCTGTATAGTAATTAATGTAAAAGTTAATTGTTAAGTGTTTATTTACTGTAGCAGTGATAATTTTCTTATTTTAGATTTCTAGTTTGCGATTAATATCAGTCTTTTTATTAATTCAAAAAAGTCTAATTTTTATAAAAAAATTACAGTATGTATATTGAATTTTATTTGGTGAATTTTGACCTAAGTCAAGTCCTTTAAAAAAAAAATGTACAGGAAGATATGTTGGTTGTATCATATGAATTCCCGAAAAACACTTCATCTAATAGCATAAATTACTTTTTATCCAGCTTTTTTGAACATTTACAATTTATAATTATTAACTAGCATAGATGCTTTGGAGTTTTTTTTTTAATTTTATTTTTTAAATTTTTTATACCAGGAAAGAAGTTTGGCATTCAGTACTGGTTGGTGGGCTCATCCAATATTTCTTACTGGAGATTATCCTGAAGTGATGAGAGAGAATGTAAGCTTTTCATATACCTATTGTGGATACATTTATGTTAGTTGGGAACCATATTTTAGTGGTTTTCTGGAAGGTTACATTTAGAAAAAAACTCAAATTATTTTATTATTTTAGTTAGTTAGTTGAATTATTGTTCTATTTCTGGGGTGAGTAGAGGTGACATCAAAATTGTTGTTGAATAAAAATTATCAGAATTAATTTTTTAAACATTGTTATAAATCGACTAACTACATGAAGATGTTTTTTTATATTTCATTTTTTTAATTTTAAATATTTTTATTGCAGAGTCACAATAATAGAATACTACTATACTACATGTTTATACATTTTTTTGTACATAAAAGAGCTCATTTTTATAAGTTGTAATCTGTAATTTTTTATTTTTATACTTCAGTTCCTGGCCAAGTCCTATGAAAGTAACCAATCATTGATATTGTATTATAAAAAGTAGCCAAATTAATTTTATCATCTGTTTACTTGTTTGCTGTAGACAAGGCCCCATGCCATCAATGATGGCCTGCTAAATCGAAAATCCTTGGATTTACATTTTTAAATCTGTTACCAACAAAGTTAGACCAATGCATTATCGAATAATCACACTTGCCAAAATAATGTGATTTTGTCATATGTTCAGGTTGCAAAAAGAAATGAATACTACAACATTACAGAACCCAGGTTGTTAGAATTCACAGAGGAAGAAAAACAAATGATAAAAGGAACTTCTGATTTCTTTGGATTGAATCATTACACAAGCAATCTCATTTTTCCGAATTCATATTATCCAGAAAAGGGTCCAACATATGATTCAGATCAAGTAAATTTATTGTTTAAAATTAGAATTTTATTTGAAGATATCTTATGTAGAAATAACATAAAAGTTTTCAATATATATAAATAACAGTGTTGTGCTTGAATGTAGGTTTGAATCTTGTTGATGATAATTATGTGCGAGAGGATTGATGGACTCCTCGCCGCCGTTGAGTTGTTAATGTGACCGCTGGTCAGTTACAGCTTTCTCCACCGTTCATGCATCTGAAACAAATAACTGGCTAACTAATCTCATACATGACATGGACTGGTAACTAGACGAGAGGCTGTAGTTCGCCATATGATTAAGTTGTCTTTTCGGCTCTCCTCTCAATTAAATGTCTAAATTCTATTCAGGATAAATATGTAAAGTCAAAGAATGATTGTATGATAAATAATATGAGGTGTTAGTAGAAGTTCGAGAGTCATCAGTCAATTAAAGTGTAAAGTCAAGTTAATCATTGAGCACAGTTTGACTGCTGGTTAGTTGAGTATGATTTCAATTCATTTCAAGACTCAAATCACTTTAGGTCTTCGATAGATGGAGACTCAAGTCCAACCCAGCTGAGTCAATTACTTGACCCTCCCTATTCATGTATTGAGATTATACTTGATTAAAAGCATTTTTATGTTTATTCCCTCCAGGAAGCAAGTGGTGATGGATGTGCTGAATGGCCTGGATCTGGATCGGATTGGTTAGTTCAGGTACCATGGGGCATAAGGAAGCTATTGAATTGGATAAAAGTAAGTGAATCAATCATTTGCTAATGTTATAAATTATGAAATGTTAAAGCTATGCTAAAAACAATGGTGATTATATTTTTTGATTAGATTTTAGGAATTTGTTCAAAATTAGAATTTTATAAATGCTAACGCTAAATTTTGAATACAATGAATGGATTAATCTTATGTGACTAAATACAGGGTTGTATTGTATTTTATATAGCTTTAGTGTTTTTTTCACCTTAAATGTAAGTGATGTCTAATTGAGATGAGAATAAATTACATGAAGTACCTTGAAGCTTCTTACTGTTCTAAAGTAGATAAATAATTCCACAAGTTTTCTGTGGTAACTTATTGATGAGTTGGGCTTTATTTTCTTATAGCTGACTGCTCTCTAGGCTTTATTGACTCTTAATATAATTAGGACCTAAATAAGTTTAGATTAAATTAAAGTCAAATAATGCTACAAGAAAGAAGAAAAACTAATCAACATTATCCAATATAAGTTTATTTCGACTCCATAATCAGCGTAACAGACTATGAAATATTTGATAAAAACTGATTATAAAATCAAGAAAGCAAACAAAACTTTAAGTGTAATCATTACCAAAGTAAAAACAATAGGGCGGGTCAATGGGACAGTTCATCATGTTTTGAACTATATATATATATATGGATGGGTTACAACCAGAGGTGGGATTCAAATTTTTTATCAGCCGATTTCTTCACAAAAGTCATATTTTTCAGTCGGTTCTGTTACAAACAGAACATTGACAGTAACCAGTAATGCTAACCGATTCGCTGATCTCTTAAAATTCTGTGAGACGGTTCTATAAAACCGGTGCGAACCGGCTCAATCCCACCACTGGTTACAACTCAACAAGGGTGGTAAATAACTAAGCTAGTGCTGTATTTGCATGATCCTGGTTACTATGACTGAAACCTCTTATTTTTTTTGTATAGCTTTTCTTCCTTTCTTTTTTAAGCTTGCATACTTCTGCCTTTTCTGGCTTTCAAAGTTATGAAAAATATCCAAATATCCTCCTCAAATGCTATAAATACTTTTGCAGAGAACATATGGAGATCCTGATATTTATGTCACTGAAAATGGAATATCAGAAAAGGATCGATTTGAGTTGAATGATGAATTTCGAATAACTTATTACAAGAACTACATTAATGAAGTTTTCAAAGGTACATAAGCAGTGATATTTTAATGTATAAGTAATTCCAAATTATACTTCGATATCCAATCAAGCCTAGTTTAGCAGGTCAAACTCTGCAAGTCAAGTTTTAAAAATTGTTATTATTGTATTTTACAAACCATAAGGTGCACCTCCTAATCTTTTTTTTTTCGAATTCGATTGTGCGGCTTTTACACCAGTGCGCCTAATGTATGGATCAGATAGTGCTTCATATTTTTTTGCTCACACTCGAAACCAGTACGCATATTGCTTTAAAATCTGTTGCATTTATTGCCCGTTTTGCCCTGTGCATGAATAAAAACCCAATCTAATCAATTTATTGACTTTCCCCCTTCTGGTTCGTAAAATATGAAACCTGTAAACTGCAGTTGTTTATAAATATATTTTACTTATTTTCTGTCTTTGAAATTATTGCAGCTGCTACAATTGATGATGTGAAAGTAAAAGGATATACAGCTTGGTCTCTTATGGATAACTTTGAGTGGGCAATGGGTTATACAGAACGTTTCGGATTATATTATGTCAACTTCTCTGATCCAGCTAGGCCACGAACTCCAAAAGCTTCTGCAGAATATTACAAAAGTTTAGTTGAATTCAATGGATTTGAAAGAGATGCAACTGAACCATGGACTTATTTCTGGGGAAAGTGAGTGAGAAACAATACTGCTGGTATTGAATCTTGGGTACTCCCGTAGTGTGTGTACCAGGTTTGGGTTAGGTCATACTATCACTTTATATATCAATTTATTTCGGTTTTCCTTTTTTTCAGTTCTATTATGAGTTCGGGGACTGTCTGTGTTGGTCAAGTGTGAATATACCTCCTGCCCACAGGTTTCAGTCCCTTTGTACAAATTGATGTACAGCAGGCAAACAAAATTAGTTACTTACATATTGATACACACACTTCTGGAGAGCCGAATCTTGTACTCTCAGTGAATATTAGATTCATTTTTTCATTTTTAATTCTGGAATAGATTAGTGAGAAATTACAGTTTTATGGGATATATATAATGCTTCTGGTGATAGATTGAACTTTTGTTCATTGTAAAATACCTTTCAAGTGAATATTTTTTTGCTAGGAGTGATATTGATCAAGAGACATTTTACTATGATCGATTTCAAAATGGTTTTATTTGGGGAGCAAGTTCATCAGCATATGGAGTTGAAGGTGCTTGGAACTTGGAAGGGAAAGGTAATACGATTTTATATGTATTATTTCATTGAATGAAAGATTGAAAAATAGGTTCCATATGCTATCCGATCGAAGAATTATTTATTAATCATTAATTTTAAAATATTCTAGTGATAATTTTTGACTTTGTATGATTTAATAGTTAAGCAAAATGCTAACAACAATTAAATAATGCACTTCAGAGAATGGTGCTTGAATAATATTTCAACTCAAAATTGATATACCGGTAGCCAAAATATACAATGAAATTCTTCAAGTAATGACTCCATGACATGCATTTTACTTTTTACACTGGTATGCAAAGGTTTTATTACTTGTTTATTTGGTATAGGTTCTATCACTTTTAGATAACATTCGCAATCTATGTTGAGTCTTATTATTTGACTTTTATTTTCTCAGGTGAAAACATCTGGGACACGTTCACGCATGCAAGTGATTCCTCAATCCCAATCAGCGAGGAAATGAACAGTACATACATTCCATACAGTATCCTGGATGATTATTCATCTCTTAAAACTGGTGATATAGCATGTGACTCCTATTACAAAGTGGATCCTGATATACAGGTATTTAAATAAAATTGTATTGTTAGCAATTTCTCTAAAATAGATTTTTGCATTAGAGAATCAGTTGATTGTTTAAACTGAAAATGAAAAAAGACCATGGTTCATATTGGCTTCTAACAGTGGCTTCCAATTTTATTCTTTTCTATCGATAGTTGTTGAAGGGTGTTGGAGTATCACATCACAAATTCTCTATCTCATGGTCTCGTTTGTTCCCAACTGGAGAAGTATCTGAGAATGGAGTGAATGCTGATGGTCTGGATTATTACAATAGGCTCATTGATGGATTGCTGAAAAATGGAATACATCCAGTAGCTACCATCTATCATTATGATTTACCACAGTCTTTAGAAGATCAAGGAGGTGAATGGCATAGCTCAAATAATTTGGGATATGATATTTCTTGGAAAAACAAAAATAAAATTGTCATATATATCCAAATATAATTTAAAAACTTTTTAACCTTTTCTTTTCCAACTTGATTAGTTGAAATTTAGTTTGCGATTATTGAAGTTTTGTTACGATAAACATAGTGAAAAAAAAATTCATAGTAACTAGAAATCATAACTGATTTACCGCTCGTATGAAATACGCAAGAATATTGTACAAAAAACACTTTGCCAAAAGTATTTTTTGATCCAAAAGTATTTTAAAACTGTATGAATATCAATAAAAATTGAAGGCTGTGTAACTCCCAGTCTACATCATGTTATGTTGTAACATTACATTTATTTAATATCACCTAATATCACGCAATTAATTAATATCAATAATGTGACAACCACTGCCACAAAATCTTTGTAGTTTGTAAAAAAGTTGCCCTGTTCGTCTTTTGATCCGTGTTTTGATTTTCAAAGTTATTGTCCGATTTTGTATTGTGTGTGTTTATTTTGTTGTGTGCTTCAACTGTTTTGGATGGAAGGGCACGTTACTCTTTCTTAAGTTATGCTCATTTTCGAGGTCCTCTGCAATTTTTTTCTATGTTTAGTATTGTTTTGTTTTATATCGGAGCGACCAAAATAAAATTGATTGATTGATTGATCAACAAATTTGTCAGGTTAATAAACATTGATAAATATATTTTTTTTTATCTATCTATTATGTAATAGTAATCAGTTTACTTTTATGTAAATACCCCCTTTTTTGAGAAAACTTATGCAAAAAATCAAAGAGAAGCTTTTTTAATCATACCTTTATTATAGGATGGTTAAATGACAACATTGTTACCTGGTTTAACTCATATGCTGACTACTGCTTCAATAAATTTGGTGATAGAATCAAAACATGGATTACGATTCATGATCCTTACTCAGTGGCTTGGAAAGGTTATGGATCTGGAGAGCATGCACCAGGTATCACAAGTTGTACATACCTACTCAATAATTACATGAAAAACATAATTTCTGTACTTTAATAGTACTTGAAGTGATTGTGAATTAATTTATAGGAAAATCCGATGCTCCTGATAGTGATCCATACGCTGTTGGAAAGAATCTACTGCTAGCTCATGCAGCTGCTTATAATACTTATAACTCAACATACAAGACATTGCAAGGAGGCCGAGTAAGTAATATGTTTAGACATTACTGGCCTAAGAAACAATTGCGCAACATTTGATTATAATGAATACATGATGCAATTTTAATTGACATCTTACCTATAGCTGAATTTATTTATACTGATTGCATTTATTTTGAGTACTTTATCTTTAGTTTGTAATTGTATTTGCAAAGCATTTTGTGTAAACATAATAATAAACACTTTCACCTGGAAGTAGAGTAATGTACTGATATGTTGATTTAGGATTTATTACTGACGGAATATCAGATGGTCTGATACATAAACACATTTACAGTAGTTTACATTTAAATGTAAAAATACCAATTTCTAAAATACCAAATTTAAAATAAGCTCAACTTTCATTATATGCAAAATCTGAATCTGAATTCTTACAAATAATTTATCATTCTAGGTTTCAATTGCATTATCAACAGACTGGTTTGAACCGGTTGATTCCAGTTCTAGTTCACCTATGGATATTGATGCTGCCATGAGAGTTTCAGATTTTAGACTTGGTTGGTTTGCCAACCCAATATTTGTTGATGGGGATTATCCAACAATCATGAAGCAACAGATGGATACAGTCAGCCCTGGAAATTTGCCAAATTTAACCAGTAATGTGCAAGGTAATTTAATAATCTTCTTCAAGTACTGTGTTATATTTTATTGAAACTATTTTGACTGGATATATATTGCAGTATAATACAATTTCTTTGGTTTCAGAGCTGTGTTTCTGAAACAAAGCGTTATTTGGATTTTAAAATTTCATAAGTACCTCAACACATTGTAAAATTAAAACTTCTAGTGCATAGAAGTTACCTTGTATGAATAAAGCTTGTACAATTTATGTTTCTGAAGCTCTAACTGAAGTTTTAAAATATGATTGTGTTCATAACTTCAGGAACTGCTGATTTCTTTCTCCTCATCCCTGGAACTGCTTATCTCGTTTCTGATTTTGCACCACCTGGAGCTGTGGGTGTTTTAAAACATCAGGTCAGTCATCATGTTAAACTGTTAATAAAATGGAACTTATTAAGCTGAATGTTGTTATGAAAAATCACTTTTTTTTTGAATACTAAACTGTCTACTGACTTCAAAATTTCCAGGGGTTAAACAAATATTGTTGTTGTTGCTAGAAGGCTATTACTTCTATTTATTTAGAAGTTCTTGGTTGCTAAGGGATTTTAAGCCATTACTCATATTTTAAAAACCTTAATTTTAAGTGAATATACTGTTAAAAGTCGCATTAAATTAACAATGATTGTTAGGTCTTTTGAAACACTTGTTTTATGGTCTTGAGTGACATTATGGTTTCATAAATACTCAAATTATTTAACGAATATTTTGTCTGCTATGTTTAGGATGCCAGATTCACTCAAGATCCAAGTTGGATGAATGATTTCCCAAATGCAGCTTCTGAATATCGTGTTTCCTGGTCTATAAGGAGAATATTATATCTTGTATCAACCAAATACTCTCAAAATTTGCCAGTATTTATAGATGATTCAGGATTCCAAACATCGGATAGCATTCAAGAAATTGATGATTATGAAAGGGCTGAATATTATCAAACTCATATTAGTGAAGTTCTCAAAGGTACAGTTCTTTAAAAGTTTAATTTATTAATTTTAAACCAGAAAATGATGCACCATAAATTCAATATTACTATATGTATTTGATGTTTTGAATATATTGCAAACCCCAATATCTTAGCCAATTATCAGTTACCAGATCTTACTAGGTTTGTTTATTGCTAGCTAACAAGATTAATATTTTAATTGCTTTTTGAATATGTTTTGAGGGCAGTGAAATCAAGAACTTTCAGCGTATATCTCCACAAATTCGAGCTTTCAACATTTGAAGAAGCTTATACCAGATGCTTTAAATTCATTTTAAATGGTTTAATTTGTTGATATGATTATTGACAAGTACATCATGCCTTTGAATGATGAATATTGGTTGGTTGGCATTGCTTGTATTGCAAGATTCGTTTATTTTTATATAAATAATTTATTGAAATATTTTGTATAGCCAAATATGAAGACTTGGTTAATGTTGTTGGATTTTTCACCCATTTGATGGATTCATTTGAATGGGAAAAAGGTTTCACACAACGATCAGGACTTTATCACATTCGTTTCAGCAACATTTACAAGTAATAACATCATGATAATATGGAATCAAAATATGACTTTAGATGTAGGAGTGTTCATATCCAATGAATTTTATTTTCTAGATTTTTGTCTGACAATAAAATGGTCTCTTTGCGCAAATTAAAGTCTAGTTTGTTAAAATAGTTTGAACTAAATCTATTCTACAATATATTCTCCATCAAAGTCATATCTGCCGCAGTTTGCCCTGTGGAGTTTGACAACAATTATGATTTCACTAATGAATGACAAATTTTGCATATAAAGTTGTCATTTCAATTATCAATACATTAAAAATACCTTTTTTGACTAGTTTTAACTCTCGAACTATGCTAAAAACTAGTAGTATGGAGCTTTATTTAGTACCGCTACCTGCTATTAATTATTTAGTTTCATTAGAATGTTTAGTTTTAACTTCCGAATATGGTAATTTTTTCAAAGTCACTATATCCATGATTGGTGATGATTGTTGTCTATGAACTTTACATATGCCATTTGCCGATGCTATGTTTTTTCTTCAGACCAAGAACTGCAAAAACATCTTCAAAGTCCTACAGTGAAATTATTCGGCAAAATGGTTTCCGACTTCCTGCCACAGATTCCTGGCAGTACGGAACATTCCCAGAAGGTTTTGCATGGGGTGTTTCTGACTCTGCCTTCTCAGTGAGTAATTTCTACAAACCTTCGTTATCATTTGCCTATGAACAATGCCGATTATCAGTTTATTGATAAAGTGAAATTTATTGTAAACTCAGTGTTGTAAACATGGACGGTATTTTGTTGTTGATACTCTTCTTGTATTTGAAATTTCTCGTGTTTGAGAAGTAGAGTGGAATAGTTCATACAGTCAAAAAGTGTTTGCGTGCAACTACCCTGGCCATCCTTGTCTTTGTATCTGGAACACTGAACAGATTATCTTGTCCTTTGAGAGGAAGTGATTTTCATAAGAGTAAACCTTCAAATCAGCTCTCCATTCTCATAGAATGAAACCAATAATTTATGTTCTATACCTTTTTTACCACAAAAAATTGCTCTGCGAAAAACTTTAGTTGCCATATTTTTCCATGAAATTATTTATATGTATGTATGTATGTATGTATGTATGTATGTATGTATGTATGGCTTTCAATGTCTTGATCTTATGAGTAAAAGAGAATAACATTAAAGTCTTTATTTTTTTTTCTCAGATTGAAGGTTTTCCAAATGCAGAGGGAAAAGAAGAAAGTATGTGGGACAACTGGGTAACAGATTATGGAAATGCATCAGGAGTATATGCTCTCAGTCCTACAGAATATTCCGAATATGTTTATAAAACCGGAGTTTCTCACTACAAAGTTTCAATATCATGGCCTAGGTTGGTATACTGAAATATGTAACTTTCAAAATTTGTGGTAGATTACTGTATATATAGCTGCTAACATTGTACTGAAGTAGGATTCGGTCAATTACTAATATCCCATATGATTTGCTGGATAATTTATTTAATATTATTATCTCACCCCTACGGCAAATCCTATTGGTGGTTCAATACAATCCACATCTTATCCACTTGGGTGTCACTAATATGGCTATATTTGGCATAGTGGTGATAGCAGCATATCTTGGCTATTGTGACTGCAATTTTCCTATAAGGTCAAGCTTGTAGAAATAGTAATATTAATATATTGGGTATAAAGGTCACAGAAGCCTGAGTATAGAACCATAGTTTTAGCATCATCATAGCATCAATTTCCTTCTTAAACTATATATTTCATTCCAAGCCAGTCATTCCTAAATTCCTATTTATTTGAATAGAGAAATTCACATAACATATTTTTTCAGTATATTTTTATACAGTCATCGACAGTGTGGGACATCCTGCTCTCTTAGGCCCTCTTATCAACTTTACTCTCCATGGGTATAAATATGCAAATCCTATCCCATAAAAATAATTAATAGTCTTCAGCTATACCTGACGTTTCTCATATGTTTTATATTTTTAGAATACAATCTGACCCATTAGCAATTGGCCATTATCAAGATTTGTTTGCTGAACTCAAAAACAATGGTACTTCAGTGGTCGCCGTATTATATGACCATGACATGTTACAAAATTTATCAACTACGAACAATGGATGGGCTGATGAAAGCATCATTGCAGAATTTGCTGATTATGTATCAGATTGTATCTTTAACCTTGGAGAATATGTGTCACATTGGATTACTTTTGCTAATCCTTATGAAGAGGTAAGTGTCACCTACATGTTTTTAAAATACATTGCTTGCAAGATTTAATATTTAGGACTGTTCATCTTCTTCTATGTTAAATTATATTTAAACTGTCATTTTGTATATCTCAAGGCTTTTATTTTTAGTCCAATAGTTTCAATTGTCGATTTCCTTTTTTTTGTAAATTTTTCGATAACCGGAGTGTACGAAATATTTTTGTTCCAGATTATCAAGGGTTACAATGGTGACATCTGGCCTCCTGGATTGGTTGATGAACGACTTGGTTTACAAGCTGCTCATAACATGTTAAGAGCTCATGCTGAGGCTCACAAAATACTCAAAGCTTCGTGAGTACAATTTTTAAACAGCATAACAAATTAAAAATATTGAGGAAGATGTTATAGTTAATCAATCAATCATACAAATCAAAAAGGCTTCTAAGATGTTCAAAATACACTTATATATAGAGTTAATCAAGTGTTAGTTAATTGGTTGAACAAATATGGTTAAAAGTATATGATAGTGAATTAGCATAGAATTTTTTTATAGAAAAAATAAATAAATATTTGATACAGTTTGTTAACTTTTGTCATGTACCATGAAGCGTATATCACAAATTATCTAATTTAATGATATATTGTTGCACCATTGCTATTTAAACTTGATATGGTTTTGATATGGTTGATATAGTTTTCTAAGCTTTCCTCTCCCAGTAACTTTCGACAAACTTCTTGATCAGAAAAATGATATGTTTGACTATGACTGTATTTGGTTTAGTGACCCAATGTGTTAAGTACAGTTTTGTCTTATTTGCTTCTACACCAGCACACATATTTATTTGCAGTATTTCATTTAGACGAGAATTAGTTTATATTTTCAGTTGTCATTTAAGATATAAAAATGGACAAGTTAAAATGATCAACCTGACAGCGGCACACAAAATTTGTAGACTTGCATTTTTTGTCTAATACCTCCAACATATGCCAATATTAGGCTATTTTTTAAATTGATTACCGGTACTTACATCACAGCTTTGTACAAGACACTTAATTATTTGTTACTTTTTATAGCATAACCACAAGACTTTGCCGGCTCTCTTCTATTGTCTTGTACACACAACTTGCAAATGAAACGAAGAAATATTACATTTCAGGCCTTTTTCCGGTACCCCGATGAGTATGTCTGTGCTTGTGGACTGGAAGGGTCCAAGCAATCCCAATATTCAGCAAGATATTGATGCAAGTGAAAACGCGATGTTGGAAAGTGCTGCTTGGTTCCTAGATCCGTTAATAAATGGAGATTATCCGCAATATCTTAAAGATAAACATGGAAGTGACTTGCCTGTGTTTACAGCATCAGAAAGGGATAACTTGGCTATTGACTTCATTGCAATGGAACATCATACTACATGGCTTGTATGTATTTTTATATTTGCTTTGAATTTTTCTGATAAATAACATGATATTACAATGAAAAGTAAAAAAATTGTTTCTTATTTTCTGACAGCAATAAAACATTATTCACCAGATACATATCGGAATTTATTTTTGTAAGATTTTAATTACCGGTACATACCAAAATTTCAATTTAAATATGTAATGTTGTTCTCAGCTATGGGCTTCTTGTAAGGTTGGGCATAAATATAAAATCTTATTCTATCCAGATTGATTCACAATCTGCACAAAGACAGTCTGCCACTGCCATAAATACAGCATCTCCCGAAATAAGAGTGAGTCCTAATGGAATGAGAAAGGCTTTGTCTTGGTTGAAAAATCGATATAACAACATGGATATTATTGTAACAAGTAATGGACTTCCAGATGAAGCAAATTCTGATGTAACAGGAACTGAGCTGCAAGATTACAGATCAAACTACATTAATGAAGCTTTGAAAGGTATGTTATGCTTGTTGTGTTTGATTGGTGTATCTACACAATAGCAGTTAGGTCACCCATCTTCTTTGTTACTAGAGCCATTTTGCACAATTTCATATACAGTCCATACATAATATTGCATAATAATAACTCATAATAATATGATAATAGAATGCACGAGTAATAGTACATTTTCCATTACATGTCCTGTCTTCAAGCGAGCTAAGCATTAGAAATACGCTCGACACCACACCTCTGATTACTGTGCGTGGGTTTTGAATCCTGTTAGGGATATTTACGGTATGTGCAAGAGAATTTCTGCAGCTCTTGCTGCCGTAGGATGGTTCACGTAACTGCTAGTCAGTTATGGCTTCTTCCCCCATCAAATATGTGCATCTGAAACAAATAATTGACTATCTGATGCTATACCAAACCCGAGGCTATGTTTCACCATATGATTAAACTATCTTATCGGCATTCCTCTCTTCGGGGTAAATACATAAATTCTATTCAAACATGCTATACCATACTTTACTGATCACAAGTTAAAGTCCCATCATTGGACTGCCAGGCCACCGTTTAATTTAATTTAATAACACCATTTAATTCAATCAACAAGGGAAAAGTTGACTGAGATATAACAAAATTATTTTTTTCTTTTCAAATTGGTAGATCCATTTTGATTATCGTATTTTTCCGTGTATAATATGCTCCCAGGTTTCAGTATATTTTTAACAAGAATTTTTCAAACTCCATGCATAATACGCATATCAAAATTCTATCCTCTCTTGCCTTTTAGTTGTTTTTCCGGACGTTTCTCTGTATGCTTGACTTTTGTTAACTATTTATATCTGGTAGTATGTTTTATGTATTTGCCTGTGAAACACCTGCCAATCATGGTGTGATGTTATTTGACATTAAAGTATCTTGTAAAGTTATTTGTCCCTCTCCTTTAAAAGCTGACAAGGCCCATTCGGAACATGTTTTCAGACGCCGCCGCACTTTAGAGAGAAGACGTAGGTCACTCATATGGTGATTTATTACGATAAAGTTTTGACCACTCGACTCGCCGAAACGAGTAAAACACACCAGACATGACAGCAGTTAACGGATGCACAGCGTGTTTTCATCACTTTTATTTCACCATTTTTTCTGCGCCTTCATGAACACTAAATTGTTGTTGAACTGGGTATGCTTCTACCAAATCAAGCATGATCTGATTCTAACAGACTTTGCCACATAAAATTAAGAACTTAAGATTAATAAATGTGACAATTATTAGCCAGTTAAAGCATAAAATGAGAATTAATATTTTTTGATATTTTCTAGACCAATGTATAATGCGCACCCCCATATTTGTGAGACTAAATTTGACCATCAAAGTGCGTATTATACGCGGAGAAATACGGTAACTCTTTGCAGAGATTGCATGGCGCACCACATGAAAAATTGTAATCTGGTTTCATTTATATTACTCTTCACTATAATCATCACGCTAATATTTCTAAATTTTCCTTTAGCTTATGTACAAGATGGTGTCAGTGTCAAAGGATATTTCACTCGATCTTTGTTTGATGGTTATGAATGGGATCTGAAATATACTGCAAGGTGAAATATTGTGGAAAGAATACTAATGTTCTACTAAGTTTCAGATTAGTTGTGTATTTGGAATTGGGCATTGATCTTGCCTCATTTTAAAATTTATTTTAGAGCTGGATCGTGCGTAATTCAAATATTTCATCTTTGATAAATCTCTTCTTTAACAGACATTGTATTAACATTGATTTTTGCATTTTTAATATATTTATAGTAAATTGAACTATTGTCTCATTACAAAATATACCTAAATTAATATACTCAATCTTTTTGCCAAATTAAACTAATATTGACGAAATGTGACATGAGTTGTTTTATTTTATGGACATTGATGCAGGCTTTTTGTTTTAACCTTATTCAACTGCTCATCAATTTGCCCATCAAATATTTCTATGCTGGAAGTTTTTACTAAAAAAATCTAGAAATATTCGTTTCCTTGGTAGTGCTGACTTGAATTATTTTAGGGCTTCTGTTACCCACTATTTACTAAAATCTCTTCCATAGGAATAATCATATAAATAATGGGTTATCGTAAAAAGCTTATTAAACGAAAAATCAATAATTGCCATGATTATTGTATTTTCTTCAAAGAAACCGTAAAGCGGTTTGTCTATAAAACAATATTACCGGTAATGGTTTTGAGGGTAGACAATGAGGCATGAAGTACTGCTATATGATTCATACAATGAGTGCAATGGTTTTCAAGGGGCACAAACGAATTTTGAGTAAAAAAAGGATTTGAAGTGCGCCTTATGGTGTGTAAAATACGATATTTTCATGTCTTTGGGTATCAGTGGTCTAATGCTACACTTTTTGATTATTCATTTAACATTTACTGAAAATTCAGAAAACTTTGTTTGAATAGAACTTTTTTAATAGGTAATAATAATTTACTTTTCTTCAGATTTGGATTGTTTCATATAGACTTTGACTCAGCTGATTTTACAAAAACAGCAAAGTCATATATTACGAGCTACAGAACGATAATAGATAACAATGGATTTCCTATCGAGACTTCTACTGGAGATTATGGTTTGCAACCAACAGAAGTTATATGGCAGGAACCTACGGATTCAACAACATCAAGAAAAAGTAGAGCCATAAAAGATCCAATCACTGCTTCAACTGTCCCCTCTGAAGCAAGTGTGTCAGTGTGGAAGGTGATAGAATATGCTGAATCTTCTTTGAAATTTGTACTTAAGTTGCATAACTCACACTAACTAGCATACAAGGGGTCGGCTATTGTCACACTACGAAAATAACATCATGATACCAAAATGTAACAGTGTAATTCCATTTGTATATTAAAAACGGGCGGAGTTATTGGTTAGATGACTACCTCTGAATACATGATTAATGAGACACTAAAGTACCTATCAACACATTTTTTTTAGTTACGAATATTCATGTAAAAATGTGTTCAGTCAAATATAATCTATTTAAAGAATGAAATGTTGTCTCAAGCAAGTTAAATCTAATAGATAATGTTTTTGTCATACAAAAAATTAGTTTAAAATTCACTTGTATACACCAGGACTTCAGTGGACAATCACGTAGGGAAAGAGATGAATTTCATTATGGTGTTTTTCCAGAAGGTTTCAAATGGAGCACATCTACATCAGCTTATCAGGTAAGATAATAATCAATGGTGAAATTTATCTTTGGAAAAGGTGAAGACAATGATTGTGGCATTTCTCAGAATTTTACATGCAAAATCGACTTATGAATAAAACACAAACAAGCTTTGTCAAATTGAAAAAGGTCTTGAGAAAAATTCAATTACATCTATATTTTGTAACTTCTGTATTTATTATACCGATAATTTATATTACCGGTATGTCTTGTCTTTTCATACTCTGACCCAAAAGTGGATGGAAAAAATGATTGTTTTGCTCAACTTGTTAAGATATTCTTGGTATAACTCTAAACGCATACAATTTTTAAACCACAAGTAGATAACAAAACTTGCTTGCTTGTACACAAATACTCTGGTAACTCAGACCTCAATATATTAAGTTTATCGGTATTACATATGTTTTTTATTTATTATGTTTCTTTTTATGGAAACTTACGGAATTTCTACTTCAAAAACTTTTGTCATTTGAAATATTCACTATTGCCTGGAATTCATTTTACTTTAGATTGAAGGAGGATGGAATTCAGATGGCAAAGGACCAAACATCTGGGATACTTTTTCACACGAAATCAATAACACTGCAAATAATGAAACTGGAGATATTGCCTGTGATAGTTACCATAAAGTATGTTTTTAGTTATTTCTTCAAAGTAGTATTTATATGAAACTAATACATCCTATATAATGGAATAAGATATGATTCTAATATTTACTTTTTTGGGGAGGTTTGCGAAAAACAGGATTGAGAATAAATTTTTTTTTATTTAATATATTTATGATTTCCTAAAATTCAAAGACAGTTATGCAACAATATAATTATACCAACTTATTTTTTTAATTAAATATTTCAAATGATATAATTAAAAATCTTTTGCATGAATATATTGTTGTTTATATTTTTGTATTTGACTTGAGTACTCAATAAAACATAAAGTTTACTTTAATTTGCTGGTTTGGATATTGGCATACCTTATGTGATTCTCTCCACTTGTTAATTGTTCCCAAATAGTGATTTTTTAAAAATTTCATTGTGAAATATGATAAAATTTAAAAATTATTTTGAAGCCATTCTAGAAGACCTTAAATATACACTGAATATGATAGACACCGAAGGCAGCACAATTCAACTTTTATAAATTAATTTTTTTGTGGTTTATTTAAATTAAACTTTACAACAGGTTGAAGAAGACATTAACATGGTCAAATTATTGGGAGTAAATCAGTATAGATTCTCATTATCATGGTCTCGTATTTTCCCTGATGGTGGAGTGGGAAATGCTGGTGTGAACCAACCTGGTGTCGATTATTATAATAAACTTATTGATGGTCTGCTTGAAGCTGGAGTTGAACCGGTTGTGACACTCTACCATTGGGATCTTCCTCAGGTCAATAACTATATATTTCAAAAATAAAATGAAATAAAAATTCAACAAAATACAAAATTTTTATTTTGTTTGGATAAAGAAAATAATAGGAACATACACAAGTAGATCAACTATTAAAACATTTGGACATATCTCGACACAGCTTGGATTATACTCAAAATTTTCGTGTTTTGTTTTTCATTAGCAAATTTTATTCAATAATTTTATTTTGTATTCTTATTAAATATTTTACATTTATCACTAAAAAATCTCTAATGTGCAGAATGTGTTTTAGGCATTCTTATGAGATATTTTACATTTATCACTAAAAAATCTCTAATGTGTAGAATGTGTTTTGAATACTGAAAATTCACCGATCATGGCGGAATTCATGTTCATAAAATAAACTAGTGATGGATTTGTTACAGTGAATTTCATGTGAGGTTTATTATATTTTATATATTCATTCAAATTAAAGCATACTATTACTATTACCAACAAGACATTGATAAAGTTGAGCCTCTATGCTTAAAAAATAAAATTCGAATTATTTGTCTTATCCTACCATTTTATTGCAGTCTGGGTAAAATGATTATCACAGATACAAGATGTTGTTAGAACGGGAAATGCCAGGTTAAAACTCGAAAGAGATGAAAAATTGATTTTACAATTTTTCCAATCTGTGACATTCATTATTAAGCTTGTTGAAAAAGATTATTTATTTTTAAAATATAACCAATATGATTTTCGACATGCACAGGCGTTAGAAGACATTGGTGGACTGAGAAACGAAACTATAATAGAATACTTCAATGATTATGCTGATTTTTGTTTCAAAACATTTGGAGATAGAGTTAAATTCTGGATAACATTTAATGAACCATACGTCATCTGTTGGCTCGGGTAAGCTTGTTTTAATTTATTCCTGAAGAAGTATTTGAATTAAATATAATCTACATTTTTTGAAGCAATATTTAAAAAGTGCCATCTGTCTAATCGCATTCATTGTCATCTAAAGTTGGAGTTTTTAATTGTTAACCAAATATACCATGGATGCATAGTGTATTGTGTACCGCAATCTATTTTAGAAGCAATAGAAACTCACCATCGCACCACTGATTACTCGCGAGTTTAAATTCAGGGGTGACTGTGACTAAACTGACTTGAGTCTGGCAAAACAGAAAAACATCCTCATGTTTTGTAGGTTTAATGTCATTATTGTAAAATCTTCTATAGCCGGGTATTCAAAGAACGAAGAACATTTTTACTTTAGTTTAGTTTTTTATTTTCTATGAAGAACATTTTCTTACTATTTTGAAAACGTATCTTGCTTACATTTTGCAATAATTTTATTCACTGCCAGATATGGAATAGGTGTATTTGCTCCTGGAGATAGCACTGCACCTGGTGAGATGCCATACAAAACAGCACATAATCTCATCAAAGCCCATGCTCGTGCATTTCACACATATGATGAGAAGTACAGAACATCACAGAACGGAAAGTTAGGAATGACTATGAGTACAGAATGGGCTGAACCTAAGGATCCATCTAACCCAGATGATGTTGCAGCAGCCGATCGATTTGTACAGGTTTGTACATGCTACAAATCAGTCAGTCAGTTGTTTATTTTTTCATCAAACTGAAAATACACCTGATACAAACATAAAATAGGAAACTGCATAAAAATTGTAGAACCGTCTGCAAATATTGCCATCTGCAAATTTAAATATAATCAGCGATACGCTAAATTAATATGTGTAAGGTACACAAGAGGCATTAGTTTGCCATATTATTGATTTTCTCTTCTTTCCGAAATAATATAAAGATCCTAATCTATCAATAACAAACAATTGCAATAAAAAGGTTGGATATTTAGGTATACTGGAATGTTTATACTTTTTACAGTCTATTCTTGGTTGGTTTGCGCATCCCATATTCAAAAATGGAGACTATCCTGATTCATTGAAGTGGCAAGTTGGAAACAAGAGTGAACTAGCAGGTATGATTTTTAATTGTTAGACATTTGGATGAAACAAAAACAACAATTTTGTATTTTGTGTACAATGTTGTGAGGGAATTTGTATTTCCCTTGGTTTAAATTTAGTAGTAATTTTTGTTCCTGTCTTGGGTTCTAGTACTGCGAATCAATTACACCAATTGGTATGTTGTGCAGGAATGAACTGGGCAGTGCCGATGTTTTTATACGAGTTTGCTTTACACAAGATCATGCTGAAAGAGTGTGATCACGCTGTAAGATAAATTTCAGGTGGTTCAGGTTAACACAATCAGCAAAACATTTTTACAAATTTCTATACTCCAAGCTGGAGTAGATATTCTTAATTTCTGAGAGTTAAATTTGAAAACCCCTAGTTGTGTATTGGAGTAAAATGTTCTACAAATCCAAACAGCACTAAGTGTACCAAACAGTCTTGTATAAAAGTACAAATTCGAAGCCAAAATTTTTTTTTTGACCGGGTTTCGGACCCCATTTAAAAATTTTCACCTCCTCGACTCCAAGATGAAGTTTTAGACTGACGATATGATTAGCTCAAACAAAAAGTTTATTAATGATTATATTTTAAAAAAAGATTTGCCTCAATCTCGACTTCCTGCCTTTACTGAAGAGGAGAAAGCAATGATAGTTGGGACCTATGATTTCTTTGCAATCAATGGATATACAACCAGAATCATTAATTATGACTTGAAACCACTTAAAATAGAAGGAAAAACTGGATCAGAAGCTTACTCATATTCAGATGACAGAGACTGTCATGAAGTATGTTGAATAGTTTAGAAATATAAATAGGCCTTTTTAATTGTAATGCAATTTTTCCACATTATGTTATACCAGGGATTTCCAAAAAGTTGCTCAGTCTTTAGTGCGCCCATGGGCACCTATTTTATGGGATGTCAATATTTAATCTTTTCCATACCCTAATTGTAAGTTTATATCGGTTCCAATGTACACTGAAATTACCTTTGTAATCCATCTAAAAATAATGCTTCTGACATACATATATCTAAATGATTTTTGTAATCCAATCATTTAAAAAGAAATTTGTGAAAATAGCTTGTTTATCTTTACTATTTAGCAAATAAAGCAGCAATGTTTCCATGTATTTTTATTCTTTTCTTTCAAAAATAGCTTTGATATATCTATTGGCACGACTATTGACAATTACTTGACACAAATTTAAAGTTTAAAATGGGCGCTCCAGAAGTATGTGTGTGTACCAATATGAAGTTGTGTAAAGGCCTGAAGCCTATGGGCAGGGGGTATACTCACTTGGCTAACAAGGACAGTCCCCGGACTTGTAATGAAACTGAAATAAGGAAAAACGGAATTAAATTATGGTCTATCCATAACCTGGTACACACACTACGAGAGTACCTTAAAATGCTATTAAAATTAGCACGCAATTTATTCTTTTAAAAAATTTTAACTCCAGAAGGAATCCAGCTTTACTAAGATAGTCAGTTTAAAATGCAACTCCGTGTTTTTGCTTGAAAGGAACCAGTACCGGGTGCCATACAAGCTGTTCCTGATTGGCTGCAAATTGTTCCATGGGGAATGAGAAGATTGTTAAACTGGATTGATCGTGAATATAATCATCCTCCTATATATATCACTGAGAATGGTGTTGGAATGGACGTGGCAACAACTGATGATCAAATTAGAATTATGTTTTACAAAGCTTACATTAATGAAGCATTAAAAGGTAATCAATTATTTTTTTTTTGTTGAATTGTCCAATGCGTTTGGTATTTGATATAAGTCTAAAAATTGATTCATTGCTAAGTTTGATTGAAGTAGCCTTATAATTATGATAAATATGTGTTTTAAATAATATTATTTCAGCTTAAGAATTTGCTAAAATCATTTACCTGCCTGCTGGAGTAAAAACTCCAATGATTATAGACATGATGAATACGACGCTTATTCACTATATCACTTTGAACAAGGCCCTGTATGAGCATCCACTTGAGGGACTAGGATATGTAGGGTTATGCATTTCAATTTCATTTTTATTAAAAATTAAAATGCTGTTGATGTCAAATATATACCTTCTTATTTACAGCTGCACTAATAGACGGTGTGGACTTGCGGGGTTATACAGCCTGGTCTTTGATGGATAACTTCGAATGGGCAAGTGGATATGGTCCAAAATTTGGTTTATTCAATGTCGATTTCAACGATCCTTCCAGACCTAGAACTCCAAAACGATCTGCGACTTTTTACAAGTATATTTATTTCATTGTTACTTGATTAAAATATAAATCAGTCAAGTTAGTAAGTAGCGGAACCTTTTCACACTAATTCATAACATTGAATTTTTTTCTGCCCATGTTGTAATTAGCAGTGAAATTTTATATAGCATTGACATATGTTTATTGAATTTCTGAGATAAATATGAATTTCTACACGCTCTTTCCAGAATCATTTGATATACAGTGATACCTTGGTAGTCGGACATAGTTTGTTCAAAGTTAGTGTTCGACTACTGAAACTTATTTTGTCATTAGTTGTGGCCATCTTGTTTGTATATTTGAGCATCTCTATCTTGTTGAATTTTCGCTCAAGTAATGCAGTTTATTTGACTAGAGTTTTTTCATCGACCACCGAATTGTATTGAGTCGTTCGATTACTGAGGTGTCACTGTATGTTCAATCACTTTTGCAGGGAAATAATACAAAATAATGGCTTCCCTGCATTGGATAGAGATACTCCTATTGTAGGCAAATTTCCAGACAATTTTATATGGGCAACAGCAACCTCATCTTATCAGGTGAGAAATATCTGTAGCACATGATAAATTATATTTTCAATGTCAATCTTGAAATAACAATATTTTTATTCCAAATGCTTCTAAAATTCTCAATAAAGAAATTTTTTACCAAATTATGAGACAGTAAAATAAATAAGTAACATTACATTTAATTTGCATTGCCACTGTCTTTTCTTGATTTACAATTTAACACATGTTGAATTTTCTTGCAAATACTTTATGTTTTACATGTTTTTGATGGATAGATTGAAGGTGCTTGGCGACAAGATGGTAAAGGTCTCAGTATTTGGGATAGAACTTCACATACACCAGGTCTTGTAGCCAGTGGAGACACTGGAGATGTTGCGTGCGACAGTTATAATAAAATTGATGAGGATGTTGCAATCTTGAAAGATATTGGAGTCACTCATTACAGGCACGTTTGTATGCCATTTACTTCTGTACAATGTACATATCATTTATTCTGTAATGTTGAACGAACATTAATTTGTGTGAATTTTCTTGTATAAAATTGACTACATCTTTCTGCTCTATCTGTTTTATACAAATTTTATATATTTTGTGTCTGTGATAGTCAACTTATTTTCGACAATGCGATCGACCGCCCGATGATAAATTCACAGACAAAAACGAATGAGTAGTAACAATTACTGACTTGCTAAGTATTAATCAAAATTAAGATTAAAATGGATGGCCTGACTTTACTGCTACTGTTGGGAACAAAATTTATAGCACTACAGGGTAGACAACATCTTTATGATGATGAAGAGGTTGAGGGCAAAATGAAATATAGATTGTAGAATTGTTCCTCGCTCAAAACATTTGACTAGATCTGTTCGTTTTTAAAGCTTGACAGCGACAAGCTTGTAATGAAAACAATTTTTTTAGCATGTTGTTGATAAAGTTGACTTAAAATCATTCATCGCGTGACAAACGATCAAACGATCGCAGGGATTTAGAAACGTCATTATATAGTGTTGTTAAAAAAAATATCTTTTATAATATTTCTTCTATACTACAGGTTCAGTTTGTCTTGGCCTAGGATACTTCCAACTGGAAAGTATGAATCGGATGCTGACATAAACTGGGAAGGTCTTCAGTATTATAAAAATTTTACTAATGCATTGTTGGCTGCTGGTATAGAGCCAATGGTTACACTCTATCATTGGGATCTACCATTGCAACTAGAGGTGGGATATGTATGGATGATTATCATGTTTAAAATAACCTAAACATATCTAAGGTAATATTATTAGGTTAGCACATCTATGGAGAATGCTCCTACAATGTCAGTCAGACCAGATTTATACCACAATGACTTTTCATCATATCCATCTAATACGAGTCATTTTTCAATTTATTTGGTTAGGATGGGATTTACATATTTATCCTAGGGTAGAGGAAATGGATAAGAAGGCCTAATCATATGGCGAACAACGCTCTCTCGTTCGGTTACCATTCTATGTGTTTAGTGTGAGATTAGCTAGCCAGTTATTTGTTTCAGAGGCATAAACTTGATGGTGGACGAAGCTGTAACCGATCGGCGGTTACTGGAACAACCCCTTTGGTGGTGAGGAGTCCAGCAATCCCCTGTACATAATTATTCCCGACAGGATGCAAACCTATGCACATTAATTAGAGGTGTGGTGGGGAGCGTATTCCTAACGCTTAGCACAATGTGCCACATCGCAGAGCGGGGTTTTTGCAAGATTTTCTTTATAATGTAGGAAGAATATGGTGGCTGGTTGGGAGAAGAAATTATTGGATGGTTCACGGAGTATGCGCGAGTTTGCTATCGCGAACTCGGCGATAAAGTAAAACTGTGGATTACTTTCAATGAACCTTGGGTTTTCACATGTGAGTTACTTATTTTATCAAATTTATATTTTTTTGGTCTGTGAAGACTAGAAAATCAATCTTTTTTTAGATAAATTATTATATTGTTAGCAGTAGCAAGAAAATAGTCTCTTGTCAAAGCATTTCAAAAATATATATAATAATAAATATACCAACTTTTTTAACATCACTTTAAAATTTACAGATCTTGGATATGGTGTGGCTGGTCATTCACCAAATAAAGCTGACAATCCAGGTTTAGATGAATATCTTGCTGCTCACAATGTTATTTTATCTCATGCTGAAGCTTACAAGTATGTAGACAAACCCAATACAAGAAAATGTTCAATTCCAATTTCAATTCTTTCACAAATGGTACCTCGTTACTTTTTACTGGTTGCCTGTATTAAGCTTTCAAATCTTCATGAAAATGTTAGGAAATGATTGTCACCCATTTTTCAATTTTTTTTACATTCGATATGGTTTTAATGCACTCAGCACTGTGCATTAGATAAGTTGTGTGTATTGCTTGTATCCATTTTACCAAAATTATAGCTTTCTATTTTATGTGAAAACAAACGAGCATGCATGAATAGATAACTTGCTTTTTCCTCATATTGTAACTTACCTACAATTAATTCTATTTCTTTTACTCCTATATCAGATTGTATCGTGCTGAGTTTGCTGCAGCCCAAAAAGGTCAAGTTGGAATCACCCTCAACTGTGATTACTCAGAAGCAAGAAACACAGAGAGTTGGTTAGATCGAGATGCAGCTGAAAGAACGTTACAATTCTTTTTGGGTTGGTTCGCTCATCCTGTATATGTTAATGGGGATTATCCTGAAGTTATGAAGGTAATAGATTTATGAGAATAAATCAATTTTCCAGTGGTCTCAAGTCACTAACTTTTGAGTGAGTTATGATTCGTTTTAAATGATCCTTATTGGTTAACTTATTGTGCTAGAAAAATGAATGTTATAAGATTGCTATTCAAAAAAAGTAGGGCAGGATACCTGTGTGAGTAGAAGTTACAAGATTGCAACTGAATTGATCAGGAATCGAAGCTATATTGTATAAAGCCAGTATGGTTATTTACATCATCAGTTCAGGTTACACAAGATTAACTACTTTTTCTTGTGCTCTGTTCCTTTGTGCAAGTGGATCCGTTCACATGTCATGCAAAGATGCTGTAGCAAAAATGGAAATGACTATTCTCTTTGATTCAAGAATTTCGCTGCACACAGACAAAATGTTACAGAAATACATTTGTGTTAGGGTGTAGCAAGGCTCTCAAATCAAATAGAGTGGTTAGTTATACTATGTGGTTCAAGAGTCTTATGAGGTGAAGAAATTTAATAAACAAAGGGAATTTTTAGTATTTGAGCATTCTTTTACTTTTCAGACTCTCATTGCTGCTAGGAGTGCTGCACAAGGCCTAGCGTCATCAAGGTTGCCTGAATTTACAGAGGAACAGAAAACTAGGATTGCTGGAACATTCGATTTCTTTGGACTAAATCATTATACATCAACTTTGTCTTTCAACAATTTTATCCAAGATTTAGCAGTGACTAGCTATGATTCTGATAAGGAAGTCTCTACAAGTTCTGATATAACTTGGCCACAAGCACAATCTGAATGGCTTAAGGAGGTATGTTGCCTATTTGAGATTATCATAAAAACATATCGTTTGACATAAAATCGCCAGTATATTATGTAATTATAGATGGTAGCATGTCTGGAACATTCCTGTTAGTTAAAATGTGCACAGGTTATTTAAAGAGGTTACATTTAAAGTCTGCCTCTAATTTGCGATATTTGCTATGTCAGAATCGATTTTGCCTGTATATTATTTTTTTAAAAGGATTTACATATTTATCCCAGGGGACAAGAAACCCCTAAGACAACTTAATCATATGGCAAAACAAAGCCTTTCGTAAGGTTACCAGTCCTTGTCGGGCATAGCAGTATAGTGGTTAGTCAGTTATTTGTTTCAGATGTATGGACTGGATGGTGTAGGAAGATGCATCCGGCTAGCAATTACATGAACGCCCTACAGTGGCGAGGAGTCCAGCAATCCTCTCGTACATAATTATCCGACGCAGGTAATCAGAGGTGCGGTTGGGAGTGTATTCTTGACGTTTAGCACAATGTGCCACACCGCATTGAATGAAATTGATAAACATGGTAATAAATAGCAAGTAAAGAAACATTATTACAAAATTGCTACATTATTGAACAATTCAAATTATTCTAGAAACTATGATCCTAAAATAAAATTTGTAATCTTCTTATTATTGACCAAATATTACTGAACTGGAATATAAACATACCAAAAATATTTCAGGTACCATGGGGTCTCCGACGACTTCTTAACTGGATCAAGAAAAATTATGGTGATGTTCCAATTTTGATCACAGAAAATGGTTTATCAGAAGCCGGATCTTCAGAAGATCTGAATGATTGGTGGAGAAAAGAGTTTTACACACGATATATTAATGAAGTATTGAAAGGTGAATTGTGTATTATAATATTTTCCACAAATTTCGTATCTGTGTTTGGAAGTGATGTATTGATATCAATGTGTACCTTCTTTATCAATAGCGATGATTTGAGAAAGTGTTTCAAACATCAGTATAGACATGTGAAGCTTGAGTTTCAAAATAATAAAGTATGACTCATCAGTATGATCCACATAAATTTGTAATTGGGGCATTTCCATGCTCAGTTCTTTTGAGTATAGCTATTTTATGATAACATAGGTGGAACTGAATCATGTACGATACTCTTGGACTATTATTAAATCGGATTATAATTAACAATGGTCAAGATGAGAGTGAATATAAAAATGTAGTGCATGGCTCTATATGCAAACGTTGGGAATTCGCTGGTTATTGTACTCATGATCATCCTTCATGGTTTGAGTAGCTTGGCAAAGGATTATGGGACTTCTCACTGTTGCATTGTGGTTCATGTAATCTCTTGCCAGTTGGGGCTTCTTCTGCAAGCATATTACATTCATCTGCTGCAATTAACTGGCAAATTAGCTGTGTATACCGGACATGGCATTCTTTTGAAAGCAGAGACTGTGGTTTGTCATATGATAAATCTATTTTATCAAAATTGTACAAAATATCCTATTATGGTTTAGTTTTAAAATCTAGTTTAAAACAGTCTAGTATTGAACAAATCAAACTTGGTTGCTCTGTATTAATGATTGAATATGATAGCAAATTGACACCACATTTTTATGTTTCTAGCCATTATTGACGATGGAGTAAATGTGATTGGATACACAGCTTGGTCTTTGATGGACAACTTTGAATGGGCGATGGGTTACGAAGAGAGGTTTGGAATTCACTGGGTCAATTTTACTGACCCCAACAGACCAAGAATACCAAAAGCATCAGCTTCGTGCTTAAAAGAGTTATTCACCAGAAATGAATTCCCCGCTGAGGGATTGGAAATGTGTAGAAATGATGATACAGAACCAGTTACTGAACAACCAACAACCACTCCTGAAATTACAGATGAACCAACAGAACCACCAGGTTGTAAGATTTGATTATTGTACATTAACTACAGTAAAGTATAGATGTTTGGAAGATTTTAGAAATATTGATGTTTCTTTCCAATGCAAATATAAATACAAACTTTTCAGCCTATCTTTCCAATTAGGATGTAAGACAATAATATGAAAAGTTGATATCCATTGTTTCAAAAAATGTATATAACAAATTGTCATTAAATTAAGTGTTACTAAATTAGGAAACATTGTCCTCACTTTTACTGCCCTCAAAAAAAATGCAAGACTCTCTTACAATTTCTCAACAATTAGGCAGCTCAGCTGCTGGAGCATTATATCATGTGTTATGAATACGCTAGTCATTGCAATATATGCTCGCTATCATATGTTTTAACAGATTTAAATCCTCTGGGCAATAATTTTGGGCAAGATGATTTCTGGGCTTCCCACTAGCGTGGGGTGGTTTAGGTAACCACCGGTTGGTTGCACCTTCTGAAACAAAAGTCTGGCTAACTAATCCCATACCCAAAATGGACTTTTGACCTGACGTGGTTCGTCATATGATCAAGCCGCCATACCGCCTCCTCCCTCCCTTTGGAAGAAAATATTGAAATCCTATCCTATTTTTTTACTTTTAACATGACATGTTAGTAAAAAGTAACAAAGTGAGATTTGGTATTGACTTTGTGTAAATCAACTATACAAACTTTCCAAACAGTCACAGAACCACCAGAAACTGAAACACCACCTGAGACAGAGGAACCAGAAACAGATCCACCAGAGACAGAACCCCCTGTAACAGAGGAACCGGGAAATCCTGAAGGTATATTTACTGATAATTTGTTCTCATTTCAATTTTTATCCATGTATTTCATTCTGTGTATAATGAGTTTTAACAGTGATTGTGGATACCGTATTTTCCGGCGAATAAGTCTACCGAGCAAATAAGACGAGGCCCGTTTTTTAAGCCTGAAAAAATGGGTTTTTGCATACAACCTTCCGATAAGACGGGCCGATATCTCAACCACATTACCATGCAACGGCTTCTGAGCGGTCGAGGTGTTTGCGCATTCGTTAAAATATCCGATAATGAAATTTTCTTGTAGCGTAATATTCAATCCATGACAACTACGGGAATTCAAACTGTCTTTCAATTTTAATCTAATTGTGCTCGACATAACTGTAGACATGATAACGTGAGATAAACTGCCTGATTATATTAAGTTTTGATACATATGGTTGGGCTCTTGCGAATTCGTTATCGCCATTATAAAAATCCCAAGATCTGCGATAAAATCCCGGAAAGTACAATTTAATTAGGCGCAATAAATATACATATAAAGTGTATATATCAAACATAAATATTCATCATCTCGAAATCTCCAGAAACGAAATGTGTTGCTTCATTAATTTAATAGTGAACAATCTAATCTGCGATTGCGGCAATATAAATAGGATCTCTGCTCCAAAATACCAACGCAATCCGTGGACATAAACATTATAAGATTATATGTTGCTTTGATTCGTATTTTTTTTAAATTAAAAAACATATCTGAGCTGTTGCTGCAACATTTATTCCGCTCCATCCAAATGCTGTCACTCATTATTTTGGGATATCACCGTAGGAAAAAAACCTTGAGTCAGCGATAATATCCCACAGAGAAAAATTTATTTCAAAAAATGAATTTAATATACTTCACAATTATACATATATCATAGTCGGTCAGGCCCAGTCGGTAAATGTAGAATACAAAATGTTTTTGCGATTTGCAATGTCAAAAATCATCTTTAATCTGTCACAGATCGTCCTATAATAAAACTTAAATGCTGTTTTCTGTTTTTTAGTATTTTATAGGGCCGCTTTTCAATCAAGAGAATCCTAGTCACGTATTCACTTCTTTGTTTATCTTAGCATCTTGTCACACATGATTATGTAATAACTCGTTTCTCACAAGTGCCATGGTTGTTTTGAGAACAATAAAGTAATTATGTGTCCTCGTGGCACAGAACATATGTCGAGGGGAATTTGTGATTTAGCGAGAATAAATGCTGACATAAAAAATGTTACTTGAATAAGAGATGATGCTGACTAAAACAATTGACAATTTTTCACAAATTGCAATCCCCTGTGTATCGGTAATAGCCGTTCAGGCAGTTTGCAAGGTTAATAAAAGTTTATTCAAGATCAACATTATGATTAAAATTATTTGCAGAAATCGCTCCTCCATTTTTCCTTGGTACGTACATGACGACTCAGGATGCAGAAGCTGCTTTGAATGCAATGTTTGGTCTAACAATTGCATTTTTCTTGACTACAATCGTTTCAGGTAAGGCAAATTTGTCTTACTACTCCATTATAGTAACAGTTATTGTTTAATCAATTTTGAAAGCCCTTATTTCATGCTTGCCTATCATAAGAACTCATATGCAATTTTAATTTCTGAAAACGGTTCAAAATTGTGATAAAGTATAATCTTGGTAGAGATATCAGTAATTGACACATAGACATGAAAAGATTCATGTACATGCTATCAGTAAAACAGCTATCTATATTAGAATTCCAATTAGGAATACAACATTGAGTAGAATACAACGGAAGTAGGAACTCTCACATACCTATAGCGTTATTTTTTTTTTGGTAAATTATACTTTTCATTTTCTATACTTTCATTTATCAGGTCTATTCATATTCAAATTATTACGAACACCAGCATCCATGGCAAAGAAATTGGCAGATGACGTTGTGTTCACCAATAATGGAGTTGAGAAAGGAGAGAAATCAAAAGATAATGAGTTGAATCTTACTTCATTGTAAAATCTTCGGAGTTCAAAGGGAAATTTTCATATTAAATAAAAAACTTTTTGAAATTGATGGATTTTTTTCTTTCATTAAGTGCAATTAATTTTTTACAACTATCGTAATTAAGATGTGTTTTTTGGGTAATTTCAAATATTTGTAAAAAATAGTACAAAGGTGCGAGAAATGTTTCAAAAATGAATGTGATGGATTTTTTTGATGTTTTCTTATTGATGACGAATATAGATAACAATATCTCCTAATTTGAACTCAGAAACGGTGCAAAATTATTTTAATGGAATCTTCTTGTATATAAGCTTTAAGCTTTGATTAATATAATAATACTCATTTTAGGTGATAGATTTTGAAGTTAATTATGTGTTGCCTTTTTCGTTATTTGCACTGCTCGAATCTTCAAGTTTAGGCAATCTATCAATAAAAATAAATTTTATAAAATTCTGTGTTTATGGTGGTCAACTTGACAGGAGTTCTTCAGAGGTGAATATCATAGGATAACCTGAAGGCAATTTCCAGTCGGCAAAAACTTCTACGAAAAACTATTGATCTTTCAAAGATGATGTCGTTTTTAATCAGATATGACACAATCTCGTCTCGCAATAATCATTTTCAGAAATTTGATGAGATTGGTGCGCGCAGAAAAGTTTCCATCGTGAGTTCACAGGTTCGAATTCGATGTGAATTATGCTCTTGAAACTTTGGGCGTAGATCTTCGCAGGGTGGTTGCCGTGGTAACTTATGGGTTACATATTCCTTCATAATCAAAGTCCATGCAACTGGAAAGATAATGGTGTAAGTTAACTATTATCACACGTGGTTCGGTATAGGATTAAGCCGTCTTATCGGTCTACCTCCCCCCGGAATAAATATTTGAATCCTATCCTAAAATTCACTGCATTACATAATGAGCTACTACTGTTTCAATGTTATGTAGACAGGTATGTGTTGTAGATGAATTTTGTCTTACAAACTTTGTGATTCTAGATGTCGTATTGAAACGGTTCGAATTCCTCGGAACAATGAGTTAGAGGACGACGTACAAAATATAGAAAAAGTTTTATGTACACTTCATTCTGGTCGAACTTAATGTTAAATTCAAATTGAACAAAAATGAAGAACTGATTTCTACTTCTGAAACTTGGATATCAAATGTTTGCGATTATTTTCGTTTAGTATTATGAAAAACTGCCTGAATAAATGAAGGATTGCGTAAGATTAATTTAGGAATCAAATTTTCAAAGACAAATACAAATAAAGAATTTGTGAACATAGATACATATTCAAACATACACAACCCGAATGCATATGGACCAAATAAAAGCTGTTTTATAGGGTCAGTCATTACCTTCAATATCTAACGAGATATATATATATCTGTTGTTTTTCGACATCGTCTAGCCATGTAAAATGTGCAGTTTATTTATATATATAAGATGACGTGTTGTGCATTTCGCGATTTTTAAAAAGCTAGACTATTACCTAGAGATCACTTCCTGAATTTTTTCATAAGAACGGAGAACAATAGTTTTGCTGGTGATCAACGGTTAATGCCAACTTGTGCCGCAACGACAATTTTTTTCACTGAGAGCGAGAGAGAGATTTTATCTTCATAAGCAATTTAATACAATATTGAATTTTTTTATTAAAGTATATATATTATCCAATTCACTCATTATTTTGTGTAAGTCAGTTTGCAAGTCCGTTAAAGGTCATCGAGACCCCTGACAATTTTTGCCCCGTAATCACACCGTCAGAATTAGTTGCGACAATTCAAATATATATAAATTTAAAAAGACAGAAAATGAGTCAGCAGTTAATCCATGCTTCGACAACTAATAGCAGGATTGTGACAGAGTTCAGAGGACATGTATTAATATTATATTAAACTACACTGTGATCTAATACATTACTGACCACCATAACAGAACCGGGCTCGGTATAAAAAAAATGCACCACTGAACCGAACCAATACCCAATGTTATACGAATAGCATAGTATTATGCCTCTTATACATCTCGTCAGGTGCCTTCACTAATGAAACCCAGCGGTATAAAATTTACCTTAAATTTCGATAAACTTTACGAAAGCTTCTGTAGTAACCCTTGTTTGAAAATAGATCTATAACGGTCTGACCTCATTTCTTATACTTTGGAATGTCGTCTACCTATTGAAAACGAAGATCCAGTCTGGTCGTGCTTGCCGCTGAAATCTTTGGGTTATTTATTAATCTATGTTCCCATTGGCTAATTGACACACCTATAGATGTTTGTAAAATTATCTATGTAGGGCAAGTAATATTGCATGTTTCGGTAGATATATGTTTATTTTTATTGAATGTATATTTTGGTTATGCGTGTAGCGTTAATTGTAACTTGTCATCAAATACACCACTTGGATAAATGACAATCAAATATATACAATTGTTCACGTGTGCCGGTACCAATGCTAAAACAGTCATATTTTTATGAATATTTTATCACAATTTTCAATTATTAATATCACCCAAATGTGCAAAAGTAGACGGGATGACAAGTAAAGTACAAAGATTCGGTTAGGTTTAATTCGAGTGTTATGAATGATTTGTTCTCTTATACACTCAGTAGTCATCGTACGCAGTTCCTAAGCACCAGCAATCTATTTCACAAGAAAGTATATGAATCACATATTTATCCCGGGCGAGAAGAAAATCAATAAGATGGCTTAATCGTATGGCAAACCACGGTATCCACGGTAAAATCAGTTATTTGTTTCAGATGCATGGACCCATAAAGATGTTGATGTCACCGTTTGATGCAGTAAGAACGCGAGAAAGGGTAGATATATCCTTCAAGCTGCCTGGTTACCGTTATGGTGGTCAGTAACAATAACCCGGTTAGCCATTTGGATAGCCGACATGGGTTGGTAACCGGGCGAAAGTCCATTTGTCCAACGATAAATGTCACGCAAACAAAATGGCGGATTTGTAACGGCACAGATTTTCATAGGATCTTCGAGGCTGAGCCAGAATGATTCTTCGCCACTCTTTACCAATGACGTCGATAGCGATTACACTAATTTTGTTTATAGGTTGAGAATTAAACAAACTGATATGCTTTAATAAAGGACTTTTACATTGTTGACCTTGATTTTGTTGACGCAGAGAGTAATCGAGAGATATCTTATTCGAGAATGTATTACTTTTGCGAGGGGATTGCAGAGAAAATAAAATAATATTGGATAAATTAAGTGACGGATTGTGTAATGATGCTATCAAAAAGAATTGATACGTAATAAAAGAAGAACGAATTTGAATATGCTGTTACTACTTGTCCAACTTGTCAGCATAAAACATAAAAGAAAACGGTTTGTTTTAAACACTCTGAAAATGGGGTCAATTGGTTGTTGCGAATGTAATAGACACTCCGACCCGATAAGTAACCACGAGTCTCTTGTCCGTTTCTATTATATAAAGTATTATATATTCAGCAATTAAAACATTTTATCTGTTTCTCAACAGTGTTCCCTTCAAAGTGAATTGAAAATTGTAACAGGTAATTGTGGGTCCATGTAATATATATAATACTATTACATTATTTCGTCATGAAAGTTTTTATTTTTGATCAAGTTTCAGACCCAGACTCAGATTAAAATTATATGCCTGTAATCGAAATGTTTCATTCTTCTTCCAAAACAGTTTTAAAACGAAACCGTGATTCACAAATTGAAGGAGAAAAAATGTTTGTTCTGAAAAATCTTCTGATCGGGACTTCGAAACCCCGGACTTGACATGAACACAATGCTGACTCAATAATAATCATTTTAAAGCAGTCAAAGAGCATTTTGTATAAACATTGCAATTATATTTAATGAAAATGTACGACGAAGATGTTTTTTTTGTGTAGAATTTATCTTTGTAACTTGGATTAAATATCTTCTATATATATTAGTAAAAAAATAACACTAAAAAATACTCCACAAACCAATAATTTCAAGGACAATAATAACAAAATCTTGCGTCGACAAAATGATAACAAGGTGGAACACTGTGCTACAGACACTTGTGCCGATGGAATGAGGGGTCTTTTGAGTTCGATCCAAACGTACCACTGGGTCAGTCGAGTCCGCGGACTTCGGTTGTTGTTTGCTTTTGGTCTCAGTATCCGTACGTATTTCTTTGTCTCGTCTGAAGAGGAGGTATCATAAGGATACGCGTACGCGCACTTCACAACACTCTTTTAATTAGACAGCTGTAAGGTTTTTAACAAGTTTTGAAAGTTAGAACAAGTTATGCAATGGCGGTAGATTTAAATATAATTTGAAACGTTTTAGATGATATTTCAGTTTTTTTCCAAATGACTGGAATTTTACATTTTTAAGAAAACAAAAATTCCACTTTGTATATTTGAATTTAACTTTGATATTACCTCTATGAATTTTACGCAATCTTTCGTCGCAATAAAATATTTTAAGTTTCGCCTAAATCTCCGTAAACAAAAAGTAACCTGTTAAATTAATTTTTTTTAATCATAAATGAGTACTTAAAAATCAAATAATCCTACAAAAGTTTCGCGTTTAAACATACCTGGTAGTTTAAAAAAATATTCGGTTCTAATGGAACTCCATAAAAAAGTTAATTGCGTTCTTTGAAAAAAAAAAATTGCTGCTCTTTTTCTCCCAAATAAGTGAACTAAGAATCAGTGGAAATAAATACTCTCTCAGTTATATAATTCAAACCTTTAACTGAAAAACGTCTTTAAATTTCTGATTTTTTATATATGTGTGAATGCGGAAAATAAAAAAATCATTAATAAAAAGAGAAAGAACGATAGGAAGAGTCAATATCGCACTCACACTTCTTCCATTCATCACCTCGGTAAGTGACCCAGATATTAGGATCGAGACCCGGATCCCGGGGGCGCAGCTTGGATTAATGAGGAATCGCCCGTTCGCACTATACAATCCGCGTCTGGGCTGGTCCGTCAGGCTGCGACCCCGGATGTTGCGCAGTTTCATGGCTTACGTACAACATGGCTACTCCGAGTACAAGACAAGCAATCGTTCAAGCGATTTTAAAACGAAGATCAAACGAGCAACTGCAAAAAGAAAAGAAATCTATGAAAGGTATTTATGTGAAATTTGATTAAAATATTTGCGAACTTCATGATTCATACAACGTAATAGTTTCAAAACACCAAAGAAGTCATGTTTACTGGAACGTGAGTCACCGATCTATACGTAGAATTGGTACTCGACAAAACTACGATGGTTAGCATACTTGTTTGGCCCGTGCTGAGTGTATTATTCGAATTCTACTGATATTACTCATAGGATACTTCTACTACAGTTATTTAGCGTTCGTGAATGGGAATTATTGTTTTTCTCAGCATGAATTACTCACTATATCTAACTCAAAGGCCATTTGAAAAAAATTATTTCAAATCATAAATTGAAAAAATAACTTAAATATTTAAGTTTTCGACATTATCGCGAAACTACGATTTTTATTTAAATTGTGTAATAAAATTAAATACAATTGATTGCAATATTTAACAATTTCAGGATATATACCAAGCTACCTGGAAGGAGATGAGAAATGCGTTGTTTGTGGCGATAAAGCCACTGGTTATCATTATAAATGTATCACATGCGAAGGATGCAAGGTAAAGTTAAAACTTTGTTAAAAAAAAGAATATCTATTTTTAACTCCGGCCCTTTAATGACTTTTGTAGTCATTTATATTTAAGTTCGATTTGGTTGAAAGAAATGGATATCGACACAAAAAATATTAAATCACAGCATATCGTTATAGCACAAAATGCATATATCACGAAAAATGATGCATTACGATTAGCACGCGATCCGCAAGCTCATTTTTTCGTACTTAATTTATATTTTTCAAAGAGGATTATTTTGTCTATTTTACAAAATTTGAAATGGCGAATCAAATAAAATACTGGCCAACAAATAATACTGGTTAACTTTCCTATGCATCATAAAAAAAATTATTTCGCCAAGTACACAATTTTTGTCAAACATCCTTACTTCTTTTTTGGAAGTGAAAACGTATGCCCAATGAAAATTTGAAATTATATTTAGAAGAAAAATATTGCATATGAAAGCGGTTTCTGTTTTTCAGGGATTTTTTCGTCGAACTGTCCAGAAAAGTTTAGAAGGAACGTATCAATGCAAACATTCATCTCAATGTGAAATAAATAAAGTAACAAGGAATCAATGCCAACTATGTAGATATAATAAATGCATCAGAGTCGGCATGGCAAAAGATCGTAAGTAATAAATGAATTACTTAGTAAATGAATAAAATTTGTAGCCCCAATGAGAAGACATTCATAGGGCTAAGAGCATGTTGCTTTCTTGATCTACGGTACCTAAACTGGTAGTATCTGACTGGTCACGACTATATTAAATGTGAATCTCAACTTATTCCAATTCAATGCATCTTATACAAATACCTGGCTAACTAATCCCATACCCCAGAGGCCGTGGTTCGCCCTATGCTTAATTAAGACGTCTTATCGGCTTCTCTCTCCACGGAGTAAATGTGGAAAAACTATCCTATCACATAGAATGAAAGGAAGAATATATCGTCACGCTAATACCCAAATTGCGTAATTCATTTTTAGCAGTTTTGAGAAAAACGTAAAAAACTTCCTATTGATATTGTTATGCCATTGAGAGTCAATAATTTGCCATGGTTCAATTTTTGAAATCGTAGCCGGATTTAAGGTAATTTTTATGACGCAGTTAAGTGACGTTATAATGGCGCACTGTGACTATGACTTGGGGACATACGCAAACTTTACTATATAAATCAGTCCTGAAAACTAAACATTTCAAAAACGAATGTAATTCTCAGTATCTACAATGTCTAATCCCCAAATTAGCTAATCAGTTTCAATTACATTACTTTTTATGTTTAAAAATATATATTTCATCAATATAACACGTTCTGCACACCCACCGAAATAAGACTAAGATTAAATATAAAGAATAAAATACCAATGCACCCAATATAAAAGCCAACCAAGGTGAATTGGACTCGGACAGTGAATATCACAAGTGCACGTCTTCCTATACTGTAGTATAAATTCAAATTAATACGCGCTAAGCTAGAATCCAAGATGAAAAAACTCGAAAATACTTCGCCGAGGTTATTTTGCCTTTGTGGCGTCACAATAGTTCAGCGGTAACAATGATAATTCATTATGACGAAACAATTGCACAAATGTGCATGTCATACTAAATCTCCATTTTTATGGGTTTCGGAATTCTTAAAATAAAATCTGAATTAACAGACAGGTGCGCAGCATTACACAAATACCTATTTTATGAAAAACTCAAAATCGCCAAAAATGACTTACGCAATTCGGTTATTAGCGTGACGATATGCAATGTTATTTATTATTGCATCAACGCTGCAAATTACACACTGGCACACTGTTATAATAATACAACTAATGTCCATTTTTCCGGCAAAAATCTCAAGATTTAGGCCGGTCTGTCTCGGCCATACTATATGATGTATATTTATATTCTTTATGCTTCACATATTTTCTTTTTTCTTACATTTAGTTGTGCTTGATGAAGACAAGCGAGTTGCAAAGCGAAGATTAATTGAACAGAATCGTGAACTTCGACGACATAAAGAGATTAGTCAAATGATGGCACAGTGTGGATGGAGAATCGAACGACCGACCGATGAAGAAAGAAGACTTATTCATGATATCACTCAAGCTTATTTTCGAGCGAACGATTCTCAACAAGTAAATATACCTAATTGAGCCAAACAACGCCAGATTTGTGATTGTAAAGGTGTTATCAATACAATTCCCCATTTCGCCATTATTTTGCGCAAATGTTGTAATTTTATGTGAGGTGCAGGGTGAGTGAGTCATAAAACTAGGAAAAAAATTGTAGTTGCATTTTTCCAATGTGGTCTATTGTTTCAACAGCTTTGGCAATTTTATTGTCTATTCACTTTGAGATTGCGCGATCAATTTTAAATGTATTTTTTTCAGAAGACAACACTTTGCATTCATAACGGTATGTCAGTATCTGATCGATTTTCAACCGCTCTCACTGCTGCTATAACAAATGTTGTCGATTTTGCAAAGAAAATTCCTCTATTTGTCAATCACGTGAGTACAGAGACTATTTGGGATTTTAAAACCTGGTTTGACTGATGATTCAAATAAATCTCAAAGAGGCGACATATAACTAACGCTTCAGTAAATTATCAAAGATATAAGCTATCTCCCAATAGCATCCACATATTTATGAATACGCGGAATGAATGGAAAACTAGATACTTTTACTGTAGATGTACGATTTATGATCAATTCCTCAAGAATTCAAACATTTAGCTGGTTTATCATAACATATTTTACAACTTTTTTATTAGATTTCGTCCGAAGATCAAGTCCTCATTTTGAAAGTCTGTTGTATGGAAGTCATTACACTCCGCTGTGTCACAAGTTATCGAAAATTGACCAAGCAAGTTACATTATTCCCAACTGTTGACGTCACAAAGGAGCAGCTAAGCAAAACAAGACTTGAACCGTTCAGCGATTCACTGTTCACGATAGCAGAACACATGGAAGGGCTTGATCTCACACCGGTAGAAATTGCTTTACTGCAAAGCGTGATATTATTCACATCAGGTATGTTACAAAGTATGCCTTGTCGCGTACATCATACTACGTTTTATCGAATATTTTCCAGTTGTATTATGAATTGTACCGATCATTTTCAAAAGGATGATATTAGCTTGTCCTATGTGGTGTTTCGGAGAGTATCGCTTTTCTTGTTATTTCCGTAACATTCACCAATTAACAATAAGTCGACAATGACGTAACAACTATAATTTGTGCGTGAACTAATTTTCATTGTCTTCCGAGGAACTTAACTTAGTTATGATAATAAAATACCAGTCTCGAAAACGCTTCGATAGACCAGGTAAAATTATCTAGCAGTACCTGTAAGCGGCATGTGTATCAATATTCTCCATAAAATAATGGTTTTAAACACCATTTTGTAAGCACCAACTCTACAAAATAGGGATAAATGTAATTTTGTATTAGTTAAGTATAGGGAGACTGGGACAATGTCTCTGAGGTCAAGGGTCGCGAATGTTATCAAAGGGTTAAAAGGCAAATACAGCCAAAAGTGAGATAAAACTCTCGACCACTCAGAAAACCCGCAAATGCTCCCGCTACTAAATATAACAACATAATCTAAAATTAGTTTAGTATTAAAAACATGACAATGATAAAATTGAATATATTTAAAACTTATATTTTTAACCTGATCCAGATCGACCCAACATTACTGAAAGAACTAAACTTGATCACGCGCAAGATATTGTTATTCGAGCTTTTGAGCACCATCTCAATGAAGTTTGGCCTCATGACCCTCAATATTGTTCCAGTTTGCTTATCAAAGTAAGTTATTGCCCTGAAATACATTTTAGTTATTTTGTTTTTGTCGTATTTGTACTATGTACATTATCAGTACTTTTACTGGCAAAAGAACTATTTATAAATTAATTTGTTTAGGCTTCCAATGCGATTTATCGTTTCATTTCGTGTTCTGTTGTTTTGGCTCATTTATCATCTTTCATAATAAAGCGTTTGTAAATGTCATTTTAATTACATCTGTTTCTGTATCAGCTTTGGGTATTAGTCTATAGACAAGAGGACGATACGCCTATATTGCCTTACGGTGTAAATAAAAGCAAAAAATTACCAGTTTATGCTGCTAAAAATCGTTAAAGGATAAACTTGATCATGTAATTACTAATTACGGCTCAATTTATGTTTTGAATTTCCGATGTATTCTGTTCAATCTTTCTTAGTTGACCGAAGTCCGCACAGTCAGCTCCAGTCTTGCCGATACATTGATGAGTATGAGGATGGATGATCCTCAAGAATTAGGTCGATTGTTTCAAGTACGACCTCACTCGAACCCGGTGCCAGGTAAATGTAACATATTTATATCGCGTGAATTTTGTGTATTTTATATCGACGGGAGATTTATCGATCGTATATTCGTTCTAACCAGGTGTTTGATTTGTTCCAGTGGGTCGCTTTTTTTCGACATATTGAATAGAATGATTTGCGGTATTCTCACCAAAACTGCACATGTAACACCTCTTAATTAATTTGCGTTCGATTTATCTTCCTAAGTAATTTGAAGCCCGGTTCCGATTCCAGCCGAGTGACTAATTAAGCGAGGATGATGTTTTAAACTAATTAAGAACTATAGGTTTTCAAAATTGATTGCTGTTTTATTCTATATCAAAATTTTCAGACTCGGCACCATCATTGACAAATCCGTTCCATTCCCATCAACCTTCGACGTCGCATCCCTTCTTTGAAAGAACTGGGATGGCCGAATTATATCGTGCACAATTTCCATCAAATGGAATTTATACTCAACACAAGTCAATTTGTATACCTTATACTAACGGACATTTACTACACGCGCGTTCCATGCCGCATTTGTCAGCACCAAACGCAGACGTCGGATATGCACCTTGGAAAACGGATCTTCTGAAAGATATGCTGAATAACACAGGCGATAACCTGAGAAATGGAATAACACTTAGTGCATATTCTTTGGAGAACGGCGTGGGAAATCTGATTACAACAACACCAAATCTGGCGAATGTTTTGGCTACCACTGGGCGAGACAAAGTTGTCGTCAACGACTCATCATTGATGAATAGAAATGGGTTTCAACCACCGGAGAGGCTTACTCATTCTAATAATATTTCTTACAAAACTTTGCGTAACAGCAACAATAAACTATTCGAGAAAGCGGTAAAGCAAAGTGACAACACCACAAATCCAACTCCAAACGTTGAAGAACGACGCCGAATTTTAAAATATGAGAACTGTAAACCCAACGCTGGCTCTGAGAATCATCAGAATACATCCCAAAAAGTGTTGCCAGGAAATGGTATTACAAACCTTATAACACGCAACCATGATCTCCTTAGAAAGTCTTTTTCACACCCCCCGACTTTCGCGTCAAATGATTCAGCTATCCTTCAGCCATGTATCCCTACGTTGCCTTTACCTCTGCAAACCCCAATGACTGTGGCAACGAAGGATATTCTAACCACACAACCCACCACTAAAAATGGTTTTCAACCTATGAAAGATATTCACAGTAATAACCTCGTGACTGCTGATATTTTACGGATGGGACTGCCGATGTTATTACCATACGTGACCCGACCGCCAGCTTCACAAGCATTACGAGTTTTACCTACGCCTTCCAGTCAGCAATCCTCAGGTAAACATATAATGGCTGACGACGATATGACATGGACCAAAAAAGCAAATCCAGGCTCAGAGAATAATTGTGGCAATAACTGCCATAACGGTCCCGATTTAAAATTATCACCGGGAAAGTGCAATATTTACAAAACTGCAACTACCTCAAGTACCAATGGCCTTCATACACAAAGGAGTTTGGGGGCAAATGGTATATCGACTTCTCCATTGGGCGCCGCTGAAAAAAACTTAAACGCAAAAGACATACTGTGTTTGAAGAGTCAAGATTCTCGTATAAGTTACAATACAAAATATGTAGCTATAAAGCGACCAAATGGCTTTATACCACATACTACAAACAAGGTGAAACGCAATTGTATTTGCAAATCAGAATCGAATCAACTTGTGTCGAAGACAGATGATTCAACTCGTAACTCAATCACAGATGAGTTCACTTTGCGAACTGCAGCCCACAATCACACTCGCCCTAAATCATGCTAATTATTTCGGACATCAAACGTCGCAAATTGGATGTATAACCTGCTCAGCATGAGTTAATTACTAACTAGAATTGAATTCTGACTATCTTTTCGAATTGGCCGGTATACCGTTTTCATTGTTGTTATTATTATTTTTATCTGTTTTGGTATATTTTCATGAAATGGGTTAATTTGTACAACGCCTCATTTACTCAGGGATAGTAAAAAATAAGGATGAAAGGTGTAACTAGTCACGGCACTTAGGCTAATAGGGTTTAGGCTTCGTTCTACTTGATATAATAACCTGATATATAAACAGCCGACATGCCCTTTCTCGGCTTCAGTTTAATGTCGATGCTTTCAGATGGATTATAGCAACTCAGTGCGAGGTAAAATTTTGAGTATACGTGGGGGTAGTAGAACTTGGTTGTTAACTATAGGCCGAGGTGAAATTCACAAGTAATGGTACCAATATAAAGTATTTAAGGCGAAGATTTGATTGCAAATCTTGGCCGAAGAATGAAATGACGGACGGGACCTCGAACGCAATATCCTAATCGACGACAAGGCCAAGACAAAAAGTATATAGTGCCGACAAATAGTGATCTTCAGTGCCATAATATGCAGCGTAGGCCACTTAACTAAATGATAACTTGGCGCTTTAACCCCAGCTATCAAATTGTAAGCAGTAGTCTATATATTATTCAATCTCACACCACTATATTACTTCTACGTGACTCACGTTTGAGAGGTATTCAAGAAAATCTTCATACATGTGAATGGCCCCGTGAACGTATCAAGCCGTATATATCCCATCATTACAGCCCCAGGCTATAATTTGTGGAATCAACTGCCATAACGACTTACTGACGTTACTGAAAAGTGTCGACTGTGGCGTTTTATAATTAAGACGAGGTCTGCTTCGGTGTTAATTTCTAGTCTAGGAAAGCAGTTAGAAGCAGAATAGTATGCTTGGTTTAATGACAACTGTCGTTTCTCGGCATTTTGAAATACGTCGAGAACTGTGATACAAAAATCAACAATATATATATAGAACAAAAATTAAAACCATGTAAAAATAGATGCCGCAGGAAAAGTGACATGAGAGTAAAAAATGTTTATGTTTTCTAACTTTACAGTAGTGAACGTACGTAAGACCTATTTTCTGTTGACAAAACTTTTCGAATCATAATTTTGTTGATTAATGTCCGTGTGTGGCCTGATACAAAATCACTGGTGCTACGAATGGTGGCTAGCACATCGGTATAATCTATGAGAATACGAAGAGTGGCGTGCTTGCTGTTTGCTGGATTCTGTATAATACAGCTCACGTTATTATACTTTGAAAATCTGGATATACAGAGATTCATGCCTAACGAAAAGACAAACAAGCCTTATCGTGTTTTGAGAGGATATAATAAAGATTCAACGGGAAAATATCTTATACATCGCTTCTATAAATCTGAAGGATTCAACTTGGACAGTATTGAGCCAGAGGATGTGACACTGGTGACGCATTGTACGGTTGATCGACTTCATCATATCATTGGCCTAACCGAAACATGGGCGGGACCAATGTCTATTGCTATATTTGCTCCCGGTACGGATTCTGCTTTTGCTGATGACGCCATCGATGGACTTCGGCTGTGCTGGCCTGTTTTACGCAAGTGGGCAAATTTTCACCTGGTTTATCCAAAACACGAATCTGCAAGAGCAAATATGTCCAGTGCAGGTGATTTTGTATATCTTTCATGCAAAGACATTATGCGACGAATGGTTCTCAAGAAATCTCTGTTGGAGAGTCAGCACTCGCCCGGTGGATTGGGATATCCTCATAATCTTATGAGAAATGTTGCTCTAAGTGGTGTGCTGACAAATTTTGTTTTGACCGTTGATATAGAAATGATTCCGAGTGAAAATCTAAGAAAGAATTTTTTAGAATTTGCAAAAGAGAATCATCTTCATCCAAAACCACACACAGTTAAGAACAATCAGGAAAATACATCAGTGAACAAGACTGTATTTGTTGTACCTGCATTCGAAGTTAAGAAAGATTCTGAAATCGGTGGCACGAAGCAAAGTATCCTTGCTGCGATGAGAAAATCTGACGCAAGACCATTACTACAGGTATTGAAGGAACGAGAATATTCTTATATTACTTCTAGTTTATGATGCCCATATAAAGTTTCCATCCGTGTAACTGGCCGAATCTTTGATATGAAGTCATAGTTACGTTTATTTTTTGTAATTTTAGCAAAATTATCTCAATTTTAATGTAAACAGCACAATGCTCAAATATATGGACACGAAAGCAAAAACGGATAGCATCAAATCTTTTACAGTACCGGTATTCTGACCACCAGATCACTAAAATGTGATCATGAAACCACGACAAGATGCGCACTTTTTAATTTTGATGACGTCATCACAAAAAATCAGAAGTGAAAAACGAATTCCTCAGAGCCTATAGATATTTTTAAAATAAATTGAAGTAATAGCTTTTTGGGGACGACGATAGGCTTTAACCACTGAAATTTCCAAGCAATTGTTTCCGTAGTTGAAGAGAAAAACGATTTTCATAACAACAACATAATAGCAAAAGGACACATAGGTTCATTTCGTGCCCAATAATTCCCCCTTTTTCATTGAAATATTAAGTTATTACAGTACATTTCTATATGCACACCCAACGCCTTGATATACAAGTAGGCTAACAACTTTGAATGTCAATTTATTGCTCCATGTTAATTTTGATTCGATTTCAGGAAACATGTCCACAATGCCAAGTACAAACAAATTATGAAAAATGGGCCTCGACATCCGGACTTGTTCACCAATTTGGAGTTGCATACGAAGCAGAATTTGCTACAGGATGGGAACCGTTTTTTATCTCTAGTAGAATGGCGCCTTGGTTTGACGAAAAACTAACAAAATTTGGACACGATCGGTTATCACAAGTATGCTGTTCATTTTGAAATCAGTATAAGATTCTGCGCTATGAAGCACTTTCTTCAACCAGGAAGTCTCGAAACTGTACTTTGCATACCTAGAATAAAATGTATACGCACCCAACAAAATTTGGGGGAAGTGCTAGGTTGTGCTAAATTTTATATTCTCCAAAACAGAATAAAACAGGCTTTATCATAATAAGCACACATAATGCTGATAAATGGAAACAAATAACATCAAAATTAATGGCACTCCTGAGGTATGCGCACCATGATATCGCATAACCTGAACCCTTATCTGGTACACCACCTGAGTTCAGGTTGTACGCCATCTTGGTGCGCATATTTTAGGAGGTCCGAGCAATTATTTTCAGGCTTATGCATTTTGTTTTTGTAGATATGTGAACTGAAGAGCAATGAATACACATTTAAAGTCATAAATAACGGGTTTTTGATTGTTGCATCTTTCCGAATAAAATCGCGTATGACAGAGGAAGAACACATCCGGAAAGAAAACAAAATCACCTTCAAAGATCAATTCCGTGCTGGACTTAGAAAAAGTGGGAGAATAGCTAGTGACCTGATTGGCGTCTGCTAAAAGAAAAATTTACGGAATCATAGCATAATGGTTGATGAATGTCGTCGCGGAGGCGTAAAGGATAAAGAAACATTTATTTCAACGTTTATACGACCCTCAGTCGAAATAAAATATCACTTACATTCATTGCATTGTATCCATGGCAAACATATATATATATATGCCTAAAACAAGACGAAATTGAAAGTCACAGAAAATCAAACAACATTGGTTTGTATTGTTCTGTATTATAGTTACCAAGTTTCCCCGAAAATAAGACAAGGTCTTATTTCAATCTTCTTTCGAAAAATAACACTGGGGTTTATTTTGGGGAGATATCTTTTGTTTTCCTTCATCAAAAACAAAATTACAAAGTAGGTGAAAACGAGATTTTTATTTAAATATACATAATATGAAAACCGGTATCCATTTACTTATAAATAACACGTTTTTATTTGGAAGAAAAAATGCTAAACATAGTCTATTCAAAAATGACCAATCATTTATAACGTGTAGGGTAGATTTCTTGCTATCGACTAGGTAAAAAATATCGCGCTATCGACTAGGTCTTATTTTGAGGGGAGGGCTTATAGTGAAATCATTTTTAAAATTCAGGCTAGGTCTTATTTTCGGAGAATCCAAGTCTTCCATTATGGTTTTATCAAACTTTATATCCCTGCATTTCTTCAATACGCAATATCAGAAAACTGATTAAAAATTTGGATGCAAAAAATGAGAGCACGATAATAAATTTTATTTTATCCAGTTATTTGTGTATGCTTTGATCAGTTGGTAAAGGGAAAGTTTGTAGCTTGCATGAAGAAATAAGTATTCAAATGCCATTCCATGGAAGGGTGAGTGTCCTAAGTATACAGTAGGGGAAAGTGGGGAAGGTTGGGACACTTTTTTTCTTTTTCATATTTCGAGCCCTTTATTCTGCACATTCATATGACTTTGCGGGATAAATGCAGAGAGGGGTAAATGTAGTTTTTATTCAGCGACTAAGAAATTCCCTTTCGACACACATCTTACCACCAAAATGCTTTGAAAAACATTTGTCAAGTGTCCCACTGTACCCCACTTGTGGGGCACATTCGGACAGACCCTGGGGCACAACGGGTCATTCTGGTAAAATTCAACGAAGTATGCCCTTAAAAATAAGCAATCAATCAGCATAATCGTCTAAAGGACAGGGAGACTTCAAATTTAAAGATTTAAGATTTTAAAATCAATGTTCAACCGAAATATTTCAGATATTTCACCAAAAAATTCGCTTACAAATTAAATTATTTTCTAATCCGAATCTAAATCTGGAAATATTTTTGATTCTCGAATATATTTCATATTGGACCATGAGTTGAAAGATACCATTATGTTACATAAAAATATAACGCATCTCTAGGTCTCTAAGCACTTGTTGTATCAAACACTGTCGGATTGTGCCATGTAGGGCATGTCCCACTGAACTCCGGTCCATTGTTCCCCATAATCAACAAATATCTTCAGATCATCCAACGGCGAAATTCGGAAGGCCCATCTACTCGCCAACGTTATAAATATTTCACAGTGGACTATAGCTGAAAGATATCAGACGGTGGTTTGTCACGTTGAAAAGGCTAAGTTAGAAAAAAGAAAAAACTGGTACGGTGAAATTTTAGTTTCAACCCCCAAAACCAATTTCACCTCATAGCTTGCGTCGCTCTACCCGTCCGCTGTCCGTTTGCAGGGACGTTGTAACTCATCGAAGGGCGGATTGAAATATCAAACCGCGGACCGGATTCCGAATATAGTATTAATGTGAGAGCTGATTTTCCACTGTGTCCCATGTCCCAACGTGCCCCACCTTCCCCTACTTGGTGGAATATCTTCAACCTGACTCGCTCAGAGACCAGTAAACACACAGTGTATTGTCGAAAAGTTGCAAAATCGAATTGAATTATTCCAAGCAACAGATAATTAAATACACTAAGCTTGTTGCGTCATTAAACTTCTTTTTCGCAAAAAGTTTGCACGAAAATAATCATATATATATATAGAAAATTCGGTCTACGTTCTTTTTACACGCAGTACCATTGCCTTTAGCCCAAAGCGCTAAAAGTATTGAAATCCACAGTACCCATATTATCATCGCTGTACAGCCAAACAAATTTTATTGATGAACACTCCCGGTTTTCAGCGTGATTTGGAATTAGAAGATATGGCAGATGACACTCTCAGAACATATCACGATTCCTTCAATACCAAATCAGCCCGTTCTCTTCTATCCATGCGAATCGGAACCAGCGTTTGCACATTTATCTTGGGGAAAGGCGACTTTCTCATACGGCAAACCGCGGACTTCCATTCGGTTATCAGTACAGGCGACTAGGTACGGTAACTGTTTCCTATCAATGGCAGAAGATGTGACCGACCAACGTATACTTGAACGAATAATAGAGCCCAGCAATCTCCTGTTGTCGTCATCGTACGTGGGTGGAACTCACGATCATCACCGAGCGCCTGTCACTGATCCAAGCCAGATTTATCAGTGGAAACAATCACAAATATAACAAATGCAACAAAGTAACTTGATCAGTTACATCGTACACCACGGCATCCAAGATTGACTTCGGTCAAATCTTGATAAACCTCATACACATACATAACTCCCGCATTATACCATAAATTACTTTATTTTGCTAGAATCACCTAAAATAGCGTGTTTGGGAATATAATATGTATCAACAAGTGTATATCTTTGAATATTGCATGAAAACTAGAATCATTTAGCCAAACATTAGCAGCTAATGATAGCACCGTAACAAGCCAAAGGAGTGGGGCACACAGCAATAAAGTGGATAATTAAGTCATGTCGCATATGGAAAGGGTAGTTATTTGTTCCAGATGCATCACGATTTCCCTTAGTCCCCAGTTTTTTGTTTACAGTGGGTGGGGTGGATACTGTCGACAATGATAGACTCAAGAAATTGTAAGAGGTATGATGGATATTTTGGCTGGGTAGTTTCAGCACATACATGAAAGTAGGCGTTGCAATTCGAAACTATACTGTATATTTTCACCACTTTTGTTTTCATAATGTCGTTTTTTTAGTATTTTACAATAGAAAATGCGACATATTTTGTGCTAAAATATAATTATCTTTGATTTTCAATAAAATCTGAAATTAAATGAGATGATCATGCCACATGAAAAAGTCAACTTTAGCAAAAAGAAACAAATCATGCAAGCATTCTGTAGACTGAAAAAAAGATGGGATCCAAAAATATTACTCAGTTGTCTGCAGTTGCCATTGAAAGCCAAGATGAACTAAGTGCCCCCAATTTTGAATACAGTGATTGTTTTCGACCTCCTTCCATCTTTTTATCAACCTCAGTTAATTGCTTCAAAGCTGTTGACAATGGAAGATGATTCTTTATTGATGCCGGCAATGCTACGGTGTCAGACTTGCTCATTCTATTGCTGATTGGCAAATAAGAGAACCTGAAAGAATGAAATATTTATAATTTATGATATACTGTAAGCGATATTAATGCATAATTCATTCAAAATTACAATCAGAAATAATCAACAATTCTTCAAAATTATTGTTCGTGCAAACTGTAATGGATATTATCAAGGTGATAATAACAAAGAAATATTTTTGTAGTCTAGAATCCAGCTCGACATTTCCTGCCCAATTTTTTAAACATTAGGCGAGATGGTAATCATGAGACTTGAACCCATATCCTCAACGTCTAATTTAGGTTCAAGATCCTGTGATAACTTGGCCATTGCCGCTAGGAATTCAACTGAATTTGAAATAAAAATACATGCTACTAACCTTCCACAGTCAGGAGTAAGTGGTAATATATTGTGTGAATTTCCTCCAGATTTTGTTGCCGAATGAGATGATTGAACGGTGTCAGATTTATCCGAAGCTGAGATAAAACCAAGCATAACAGAAGAACATTGAATACTCCTTTGGATATTTTTTATCAAATGCGGTGAAAACACATCAAGATCAAAGGGATCAATATAACTTTCCAACCAGTCTACAAGATCATGATAAGAATCCTTAGGAACATCATAAAGATGTTTTTTCGAATCATCTTTCGTTGTTTTTCGAACCTGCGATGTGTGTAATAAACCATGGAGTGTACGAAGATCATACAGCCTTTGCAAAGCCCATGATTGCGTTACTGTAAAAGGGAGACTTCCTGATAGACTTGTACTGTTGCTGGCAGCTATTTTAACAGATTCCAAGACTACTTTTTTCAATTCCACATAAGAATGTAAAACACCGAATAACAGAGACTGTGCAACGTTTTGCAAAGTTGTTCTACTCATTGAGTGTCCTCCGACTCTGCTTATATTTTCACAAACATCATATAATAATTCTTGAACAGGCCAAGAAACAGCCATAGGCAATTTGATCTCAGACTTCACTTTAGAACCAGTTTCACTTTCCTCTTCAATTGTGACATTGTCCCATGTAGGCATTGTGTCGAAAAAATTTATTCCTAGTTTTAGATTTAATACAGAAGACTTGAAATTTGTGATTGCTTTGGATACTGTGGCATCTGACCATAATTGCAAAAATGTGTCACTTTCTTTAGACATATTGCTGCATATTTCTTCCCATGCAGGAGAAATTGTTGGTTGAACAGATTGTGCAAGAGTGCTTTGATTCATGCTAGAGCTCAATTGTCGTTTCAATGTACTCTCTTCCCTCAGTTCTAATCCGAGAGAACAACCGGTCTGGAATTCATCACATAAAACACAAAAGTTTCGACAAAACATAGCAAGGAATAAAATTTCATCTACAGAACTAATTTCTGATGACAACCTTTCTGTAAGAGATGATTTTCGTTCATGTAAAGCTGTTAGCATACCGCGTAGACAACCCACACAAGCTTGTTGAAAATCTGAACATATTTTTTCTTTTTCCTCCTTGCTGACAAGTGGTGAAGATTTTTTCTCAGATGCTAGATTTCTGTCAGGTTGATTTTCCATATTAACGTTGGGTATGTAGGAACTAAGGTCACCTATAACCTGCCTCATACTGGAGTCAAGTTGTTGGCATAAATTATGTAAAGGTGGAGTGACAGTTAGGGCTTTCAATGCAAGTCTCCCTTTGACTTCTTTGCCTCTTCGTAATGAAACTTGTTTCCAGGCAGTGTCAGGAAGAATATCGCTGGACAATTCGTGCCATATAAATTCGTTTGTTGTTTCTGAGTTTAGTGATATTGTTTTTAAATTTTCTAGTGCTTCATTAAGTTTTTGTTTACCGGTTTCGAGTAAATTAAAGAATGAATTTTGCGACAAAGATTTGACTTTATCCAAGAAAAGACTTTTTAATATTTCATCCCATAATGAAAGGCGTCGACCTAACGTGGAAATACACGAAGCTTCCCATTCTGTAGGCTTCGAATCCCCAGAATCAAGAATTCCTACTTTCCAGGCATCAGTTTCATTTGAGATTTTTGGTTTCACATCGCTTATTTCAATGATAGTATTCCAAATTGATTGTCTCATCACAGCAAGCGCTTTAAAAGTATTGACATAGGAAAGAAGTTCAAGAATTCCATTTTTGATTGAATTCTCACATTTTTCAAGCCATTGAGAACAAGTTGATTGAACAAAGTCTGGTGTGAGTGCAGAGTTTGTTTCACTAATGTGTAATGATTTCAATCTTGCCACTGAATCAGGGAGATGTTTGCTCCAGTACTTCTCTTCACATGTGGACCCAGATTTTTCATAGTCTGTACATTTTTCAGAGAACGATTTATATGATTCTTTGAGGGCATGTTGAACTAAACCGATATCATAATCAGTGGAAATAGATATTTTTGATTTCCTTTTGATAATACCTTCTTCAGCGGATTGTGAATTTTGTACCTGTGCCACGAAAAGAACATGTGCTTGCTTTAATGTTGCAGCAAGCAGAGTAACTACTTTACATAATTTTGCTGTTCCAACTTCTTCACTCAAGATAAATTTTTCATTTATTGCACAAAACCTGGCATCCATAAACTCATTGAAAGCTTTTGTAATGTCCGATTCTTCTAACAATATAATAGAACATAAAGCTTCTGATATAGACTTAGAGTGAAGGGCATTGTCTTTTAAAAGTCTTCTACACTCTGTAAGAATCGTAGATCGCAAGTTATCGAGAGCTTGTGCTTGTTGTCCCAACACAGGAAACCATTGTAATATAGGGCAGTATGTCGTTGAACCATCAAGACTAAGGTTGTTTAACACTTGTCGACTCTAAAGCAAAATTCATCAACTTTAAATTATAGCAGGTATGAAAAACATAAATTGGAATCATAAAATGATAGTTTACCAGCATGTAACTTCAAGTTAAAAAAATAGCAATCATCATCAGTTATTGTACAAAAAAAACTTGACCCAGGATGTGTTAAAGTAAACAAATTCTGCTTTATTGAATGTTGAACAATTTGTTATAACATTTCTCTAAGACACCCTTTTTGACCCGCTGAACACTTTTTATATTTGATAATTTGAAAAAAAAAATGGATATACAAATCTTAGAACCCTAGCTTTTTATCGGGATGATATATAATTATATATGGTCATAGGAATGGGCTGAAAAAAAGAAACGAATGTATTATATAGTGTACCTGCATATAAAGATGGGTTGCTTCAATCATATTTCCACCTTCAATTCGAGACCATATTGTTTCTGACACTTCCATCAATAACTTGACTTGAGCAGATAGCTCCAGATAACTAAGAGATGCAAACAAAACTGATAAATGACACATAATAATTATGAAAAAGTTCAATGGTTGCTCAAAAAATAACTACAAAATTTCATATGATGCTGAGCTAATGATAAGATATTGAACACAAAATGAAGTACAATGCCGAAAAAATATTGAAAAAGAGAAAGTTTTTGAAATAATAATACCATACCCATCCTGGAATAAAAGAACTTAACATATCAAAACCCACCTGCCCACCGAGAAAGCACTTTCCTTCGGCTTTGAATATGCTAATTTATCCACTTTAAGTTCCGTCGCGTTATATTTCTGTACGCTACAGACCGATTCCTTCACATTCACAGCACATTTTTTCATTTCTGCAATTGTATCTGCAGCTTCTATAAGATCTCGATATCTTTCGCCAACCATTTGTCTCAAATCTTCCTTTTTCGTTTCAATTTCATGGCGTGTTTTCTTTGCGAGGGCCCGTAATTCAGTTACAGGAAATTTAGAAAAAAGCTGTTGCACGGATTCATTCGACATGTTGTTTTTTGTATTGTACAGATAGCAGTTTTGGAAATTATCCAGATATTTATTTACATGATTATTCGTGAGATGATTGATATTCTGTTAAAAAAATTTCAAGATCATTTGATCAATTTGAACACAGTGTGAAAAATAATCGGAGAATAATGAAAGGCAAACAAATTGGGCTGATGCAAAGATATACCGTATCCAAAAAAAGGAAAACTAAGTAAAAAATTTATTTCATCCGTTTATTGTCAGTGGAGAATCCCCATATGGAAAATCCTCAAAAACTATTTTTTTTTTTCAATTTCCACCTGTGCTCAAATTTAAATGGCGTTCATTATCCGTCAGCGTGTTACAGAAAAAAAAATTCACTTTTGTTGTTCCAAGCGTAAGTTTCCATCCTTATCTTGCACAGCAGCAATACCCATATCTCTCAAGACAGGACTGTCTGCCATACCTAATTTTTCAAGTTTTTTAATTTCTGTCTGATTTGCAGCATTATTTTCACAAAGGTTACGAATCGCAAATAATGCCCACTGTTGCATAAAAGGGTTGTTATCATCAATATTACAGCATTCAAGAATCAATGGAATCCCACCTAATTCTCGAATATCATCCTGAAGTTTGGAGTTTCGATAACATAAATTTCCCAACAATCTAACTAAACTCCGTTTAAAAGGCATAGCGTGATCGCTAATTTGAATTAAACCGCTACGTTTGGTAGCTGGCATATCAGTAATATTAGATTTGCCATTTTTACCAACTAAATTTAAACCTTTTAATAGGTCAATAAGTGAATGTATTAGCTTTGAAGCATCAATCTCATCATTCCAAGATCCAGATATAGCTGTAACCCAACATAGTGTATCAAGTAATACAGCTGAAAATTCAATGTTACTTGAGGAATGTCCCTCACACAAAACTTCATACATTATTAGAAATTGTTCAGAGAGCACCATGATATTAGATCTGTTAGAGTCAGTAGTATTTGCATCGTTTTCCTCCTCTCTTGAATCACAGTAAAGTTGTAGAACGATGAGTTGAATTTTGTCAGATGATTTTGAAAATAACAGAGGCAAAAACATTGGGTGATTGAAGAAAATGTTCGTGACACACAAATAAACCCAACTGCATAATTCAGTTTGAGATACCATATTACAGATGGCTAAAACAATCCTCTCTCCTTCTGGGTTTGAAAATAAATCATCCTGATGAATTTTGTTCTTCAAAAGACAGTTATACAAAATCATAATACAAATTTCAGTACAATTTTCTCTTTCTTGATTCTCACACAAAAATTTGATGAAAAAGTCAGGAAATACAATATTCCAGAAATACTTTTGTGTCTCTAAATTTCCAGCTACAAAATTTCCAAAAAATTGAAAAGCACAAGTATAAAGTTTATCAATATATTTATCATTTTGATTGAGATTGTATACCATTTTTGATACAGTTTCAGGCATATTCATCTTCATAACAATATTCTGATTTTGCTGGCATTCAATGCAGCTGTTACGCAAAATTCTGAGAATATCCAACAAAATCAATTGGTCTTCTTCTTTGGATTGATCAACAACAATTAATTCATTGAGCAGTTCTTTGTATAACTGAGTATGATCGCAATTCCTGAATTCTTCATTTTTGAACTTGTTTTGTAGCTCTGCATAATTCATATCACAGTATTGATATTTTACTATATTTGATAATTATTGCCAATTCTGTAATTTACGAGAATAGAAATTAGAATTGAAATGGTGTTATTGGAAAAACTTCAAATTTGCTCTGAGCAAGCATAATATATATGTATATATATATGAGATATTGCAAAAATAGAAGTGATCATCTTCATGAAAAAACAAGTTCATCATTATTGAACCCAACATCATTCTCTCGACCAAGAAATCAAACTTCTTGTTAAGTTGTGAAAATGTCAAAGCTATATTTTCATTCCAACAATTTCTATTGCAATATTGATTATAAAAATACATTAGGAAAAGGATTTACAAAATGATTTGCATCCACAATATCTTTATTACTGTTTTGTCAGTTTCTATGATAGCCTGGTTTCAGTTTATACATGACAGTAGGTACATGACAGTAGTTTTTTTAGAGTTGTTTGGAGACCTCTAGAGGGCAATGAAATTTTGAGGACAAGCTGGAACCTTTACAGGACACAGGAACATGAATGAGCTATACAAGAATTCAGATAAAAAAATCTGTCACATATCGAATGTACATAAACCGCATGCCGAAAGCATATGGAAATCCAGTGTAAATCTTTTCAGATGTCAGTATATTTTGTTTCATGCGTTAAGCTATGTTATAAAATACAGTAAGTTAGAAATTTCAAAAATCAACATAAAAAAATGTCCGCTTCAGGGGACTAGATACTGTTTATTAGTCAAGAAATGATGAATTTTCAAAATTATGTGAGATTGTGTCCGCTAATATTCTAGGGTTACCCCAAACAAAAAAAATTAGGAAAATTTCAAATGTTAGAAAATATTTGCCGCTGAAGATAAGCGTGATTTCATTATTTCTTATTGATTAACACATTTAACACAATACAATCGGATTCGATTGGTATTCGATTCTGTAATCATGCGTAATCCATTGCAGAATATGATTCATTTCGCACACATCGGAATAGGTCAAAAAACAAAAAGTAAACACTTTTAAAATTTTAGTCGCATATATTACCAACAGAGAAAGACGAGAATAAATTATTTGCTGAAAAGAGCCTATTTCACATATATCGGCATAGCTGAAAAATTGTAAAAAAAGTGAGGCTAGATTTTATTATTTGATATTGATAACGTACTTAAACTTTATACAATACAACTTGAGTTGTCGAAAACAAAATTTTATAATCATGCGTTATCCATTGCTGAAAAGATATACATTGAAAAGGTTCTTAAACTCTACATATTACAACTTGAGTCGATGGGAACAAATAATCATGATTATGCGTAATCCATTGCTGAAAAGAAAAAAGATGCAATAGTGTCACACCACCACCCTTCACTGAGCACAAATGATCGATTTAGCGCACCACTGCACAGAATTAGAAGAAGGCATGTGAGTAACTTCTCGATGGTTCTTTCGGCAGGGTTGGATTAGCTTGTTTCATTGACGAATAGGGGTATTCGTTTCATTGAGCAATATCAGTCACCATGTCGTACAATTGTGATGCAACATATGGGATTCCTTATGGGTAAGTTTGTTATTTATTTGTGTAGTTACGGAATAAGATTATGGCGTATGAAAGATTGTTGTTAAGATAGTAACAATGCCAAAATTATAATTTCATAATGTCGTATGAATACTAACATATTCAATACATTCCTAAATGGGACTTGAAACTGTGGTGCTAAATTTGTTTCAATATGTGTAACTTCATTGTATCGATTTCTTATCTTGACCTTTTATAGTCAATATGCTGCTGCGCAGACGTCAGCAACATCTGGATATGAACATTACGGCCAACAAGTTGCTTCAGGATACTGGACATCAGGAACCGCAACAACCGCTTCAAGTGTAGGCTCATATGCTGGGTAAGGTTTCAAAAAAGTCTACTTTTTGACTGACCATGAGATGTCAAAATTTTGAATGACAAATTTTGCTAGGTAAAATTAATCAAGTACATGCTTCAACATCAATTTTTACCAATTTTAGATATGGCTCCACTGCTGCTGCTACAGCTCAAAGTTCCCATAATTTTGGTGATTATGGTTACAATTATGGAACTAATACAACTTCTGGTTATAGTGCTTTAACTGCCACTAATGCAGCTTCGCAGGCCTTTCAGGTAACTATTATAATGTTTATTTATCGTAAGCAATAGAATATATAGTTTATTAACTATTAATATGGTGCAATATCGCCAATATGCCGTTTTACTCATGTCATAACATGAACATATTTACTCTATTCGAACAATTCTGTATTCTTTGGCGAGCTAATAACTGCTACAATGGTTACAGGGGAAAAGAATGCTTTTAGGAGTGAATTTCCATTTAATCCACTTTATATTTCTACTGTATTTGAGCCTATTCGAAAAGTATCTATGAACAAGGTTTTTCACAAATTTTCACAGCAATCTTGGTATAGTAGTGCCAATGCATCAAGTGGTACGGCTGGACAACAACAACAGCAAGCTGTAATATTGTCACAAATCGCAAGTCAGCAACAATATGGACAGGTATTTTTGCAAGAGGGTTGTACAAACATTCTCCTCAAAAAATAACATTTTATACTCAATATTTCTTTCACATTTTTTGGATTTGATGTGGTTTCAGAATTTATAGTGGCCGGAATTTACTGGCGCCTAATGGACTATCGTAATTTCATATGTCCATTTCAGTGAATGTTTCAGTTTTCTAAGATGAGGAAATACCAAATTTTATTGATATTTGACTACCATATTCCTATCATCATTTCTGTTTCTATAACGATTACTATTTTCTAATAAGCATGGTAAGTGATTCACAATGATTGTAAATTATGGTCCTTTATGGAGATACAATTTTATGAGTTAGCACCTAAATGTAAAAGATATGTTTAAAATTGAGTATTATTGACTTCTTTATATTCAGTACATTCAACAATACCAACAGCAATTTTCAGCTTACCAACAATATGTGGGAAATACAGCAGGTAAAATGATGTTTTTGTGTGAATCAACTGTAGAGAAAATTCTCTCGCTTTATATCCTTGCTGGTAATTTGATCTAACATTGCTTTTGATTGAAAATATGTGACAATTTACAAAAAAAATTTTCCAATTCGTAGTAATAAATAAACTGTAATTCTGGCATTTTACTGATTATTCCCAGGATCAACCTTTCAACAACAACAACAGCAGCAACAAACTGGAGGATTTTCGAACTGGCTCATACCAATATATCAATATTAAAGGATTAATACTAATTCTGTAATTAACCTATCGTATTGATACCAATATATCAATATTAAATGATTAATACTAATTCTGTAATTAACCTAGCGTATTGATACCAATATATCAATATTAAATGATTAATACTAATTCTGTAATTAACCTAGCGTGAATAAAAATTAGAAGTGAAATGGTGTTATCGGAAAACTTCAAACTTGCTCTGAACATGCATATATATATATATAAGATATTGCAAAAATAGAAGTGATTATCTTCAAGAAAGAAGAAATTCATCATTATCGAATCCAACATCATTGTCTCTCGGCCCAGAACTCTTGTTGAGTTGTGAAAATGTCAAAGCCGGTCTTACTACTTACTGAATACAGCGCGAAACACCGCAAAGAGCGCAAAACAGCAAGAAACAGCGCAAAACAGAGGGAAACGTCGCAAAACAGTGGGGAAACAGCGTGAAAGAGAGCAAAACAGAGGTAAACAGTGTGAAGCAGAAAAAAATTTTGCGATGAGTTCAGGGCACTTTGTTTTGGGTTGGAGTACCACGGCAGCAAATTAAAAACACAAACCAACGTATGTAGCCAGTAATGCTGTAATGGCAGGTCTGCCCCTGCTGGTGACACATTTTGGGTACCATAATTTAAAACATTTTCCATATGGATATGGTTGGCTTTAGGGTTAGGGTTAGGTAAAAAGGGACCTCCGGAAGTATGTGCACCAAGATGGCACACAACCTGAAAATAGTATGTGTGTGTGTGTGTAGCGGATTAAGGTTGTGCGACATATTGCTGCACATACTTCTGGAGCACCAAAAAGGTAGATAAAATTTTTCATGATAACCTATAATCCGGTACATAACCTTGTAAATATACCGGAAATAGCGCCATAAAACCATGACGAGAGGCGCCGTGGTTCTTTCGTGGCAGGAGGTGGTAATGACTGCGCCTTCTGTTTCGCGCTGTTTTCCTCTGTTTCGCGCTCTTTGCGGTGTTTCGGCGCTGTATTCCAAGTGCAGTTTCAAGTATTTTGTGGCGTCTACAGCTGCCGCAAAACCATGGCGGGATTTCCAAACCACGGCCACTAAGACCAAACCCACGGCGACTGACTTTTTAGCTGCCACAAACCAATAGCGAGCTGCCGTGGTTACGGCAGCAAATCGAATACCACCAATTTTACTGCCGTAACCACGGCAGGTCGGCTGTAATAGCAGGGCTACCCCTAATCTGCTGATGGTGATAAATATTTGGTGAGTTGGAATGTTTTTCTTATGGATACAGTTTGGATGGATTTGGGGTTAGGGTTAGGGTTTAAGTAGATATAATTTCGCATGATAAACTAAAATATGGTACATGAATTTGTAAATATACTGGTAATAGCGCCATAAAACCATGGCAGGAGACGGCGTGGTACGTTCGTGGCAGGAGCTGCCATGAAGTGGTAAGAGCTGCGCCTCCTGTATTCAGTAAGTAGTAAGACCCTGTCAAAGCTATATTTTCATTCCACCCATTTGTCTTGCAATATGGATTATGAGAATACATAAGTAGGAAATAACTTTACAAAATGATTTGCATCCACAATATCTTCATTACTGTTTTGTCAGTTTCTATAATAACCAGGTTCAGTCCATGAGTGAGGTACACAACAGTAATGTTTTATAGGGCTGTTTGTGGACTTCTCGACAGCTAGAGGCCCTTTTTACAGTTTTATATACAAGTTCCTCAAAGTTTACAAAATCATTGGTATCCACAATAGCTTTATTATCGAAGTAAAGATCTTTATATGTTATACCCATGACTGCATGACAGAGATAACTTGGGGCAGTAAAATTTTCAGAACAAGTTGGAACCTTTACAGAACAGCAGAACACAGGAACATGAATGAGAAGAGTTCAGATAAGACAATCTGTTACAATATTAAACATACATACTGACATAAACCACATGCCGAGAGCATATTAAAATTTGGCTTTTGGCATTTATATAGCCTACCGTAAGCTAAAATATGTTCATTACAATATAAAGTAACATTTTTGATTCTTTACATAAGAAATGAAAATGCACAGAAATAAGTTACACATTATCTAGTGAAATGAAATAGACTATGTTTCATTCAAGTTATGACTGTATATCTTTGTGGGCAATCAAGTGCTGCAGAACCTAGGCCTACTTTTATTAAATGTTTTGATGTCTAGTGTCAGTTCGGTACTGATTTTTAAAGACATGAATAAAAATTAACTATCATTCCATCGCTCTCTCACATTTTTGGGTTCCACAAGATGGAAATTTTAATAACAGAATAATTAAATAACAAATAAAATGCGATTTCTATTGATCATATTATTTTATCAATCATTTTATTGCCCGTTACAGTGTTATGCTGATTACGGAGTCAAAATAAACCTCTATTTATACTACTGTACTAAATAAGTTCGGACTTTGCGTGCCAAAACATAAGTAAGGTAAATGCATTGGCTGGTAGATAGAGAGATTTATTTTTTCCAGTAGACATATCGGTTAACTAACACGCTCGGCAAATTCTTGAAATCCTAAAAATGCGCTGCGACACGTCCTACGTTACGCACGCTTGATTGAGCATGTGCGTGAGATTTACGTCAAATCAAACAAATTTCTGTTGCTCCATTGCGCCGCATGCGTCTTTCCACTTTTTCCAAAATTTATGACGTCATGATAAATATGTATTTTTCATTGATAAACTGCACTATTTCGAAATTATAAGATTTAAATTAAGTCGTTAACAATTTGAATATTTTTTTTCATAAAGTAAATTAGTTACAGCATTTCAAAACACATAAAACAGTTCTCACGCACCTACCCAGGCTAAGCAACGCGTTTCCGTTTGAGCCGCTTGCCCCGCGCCGCGCTTGTCGTCCTTTTTCCGCGGGTTGGATCAGCTTTTTCAGCGAAGAGTGGATTCGGCTCTTCGTTTCATTGGGCTATATCAGTCGCCATGTCGTACAATTATGCCGCTGCATATGGGACCTCCTATGGGTAAGTTTGTTATTTATTTATGTAGTTGTAAAATAAGAATACGACGTAGTTAAAATAATTTTTAATATTCTATTGAATGACACCAGGTCACGTGCGACTATGTGCCCGTAGTGTGTGTTTTCTGAATTTTCTTACGCGCGAATTCACTCACATCACATACATATACGGAATAGGAATTTCTGACCAATTTATATTAGGTGAAACAAAATACGCAGCCTAGCCTATGTAGGTATACTACTAATAATAAAAAGAATGTTTTAATTTAAAATAAATATGATTGATTGAAATCCTGAAAATTTATTTTATCTTTGCAATAAAATCAGCATTTACCGGTACTGATTTAGCATAATATTTAAATTTGTCATTTTTATTAAATTAGTTCATATTAATTTATATTTGTTCAAATTCTAGAACAATGAAAGATTGTTGCGGAGATATAAATATCACTAATACAAACTATAAATACTGATGTGTGGAACACACAATTCACAAATGGCAAAATTATTTTTTCATAATGCTGTAATGTCGTACGAATACTAAAAGATTTGATACATTCTAAAATGGAACCTCAAACTATGGTCCTCAATTTAAATATGTGCAACTTCAACACTTTATCGTTTTTTTATCTTGCTATTTTATAGTCAATATGCTGCTGCGCAACCATCATCTTACAGCACTCAAACGCCAGCAACATCTGGATATGGACATTATGGTCAACAAGCTGCTTCAGGATATGGAACATCAGGATCCGCAACGACTGCTTCTACAACAGCTTCAAGTGTGAGCTCATATGCTGGGTGAGATTTCAAAGAAAATTGTTTTGTCAAAAATATAAAAATTTGGAAGATGACCACCTGTCTCGCCATTGTGTACTTTTTTTTTACTATTTAGTCTTAATCAGGTGCAGACTCTTACACCTTCCCATACTGACATGATAGAGTGATTCGTTAGTTGATGTCCTATGTTTTTTACGTAGTCCAGTAAAATTATTAAAATGTACCTGATTACTATGGATAGCCATAATTGAATAAATTACTATTCTGAATGCATTGTGAAGTAATATTTCAAGCATGATATATTGAATATATTCCAAATTGGTTCTTGTCCTTCATTTGTTTCTGTTTATGGACATACATATAAGAGTTGGGGTATTTTCTATTTTTTTACATTACTAGAAGTTATATTAAGAAGTCTCTTTTATGTCTGACCATGAGATGTTAAATGACAAATTTCTGATGAAAATAGTCCTAAATTATATTTAAAGTCAAGAATTTACTATATTCAACGTAAATATTTGGAGCTCCAGAATTATGTGCACCAAGAAGGCGCACATCCTGAACATAGTATGTGTATCAGGTTAGGGTTCAGGCTGTGCGCCATCTTAGTGCACATACTTTGGGAGCGCCAATATCTCTATATGCATTTTAATATTCGTTATATTGTAGACATTCCTGATCTTGGCCAGGGGTCTTATATCTTGTTCACATTAATGCTTTATGAAAAGGCCACACTTTTTATAGTAAAGAATTTGTTCGATAACCTGGGTAAAATGAATCCATTTATTGCTTGAATCAATTTTTAATAATTTTAGATATGGCTCCACTGCTGCTGCTACTACAACGACAGCTCAAAGTACTTATAACTTTGGGGGTTACGGTTACAATTATGGAACTGATGCAACTTCTGGTTATAGTGCTTCAACTGCCACTAATGCAGCTTTGCAGGCTTTCCAGGTAACCAAGGTTTGCAAGGTTTATTTATTATAAGCAATAGAATATATAATTTATTATCTATTAATATGGTGCAATATGCGCATTACTCAATAACATAAACATATTTACTGTATCTGAACAATTTTGAATTATTTGGTGGGCTTGCTACGCAGAGGAGTAGGATGCTATTAGAAAGGGATTTCCATTCAGTCTATTTTGTATTTCTACTGTGACTGAGCCTAATTCAAAACTATCTATGAACAAGTGTTTTGACAAATTTTCACAGCAATCTTGGTATAGTAGTCCCAATGCATCAAGTGGTACGGCTGCAGCTCCTGCACAACAACAACAACAACAACAGCAGCAGCAAGCCGTAACATCGTCACAAACAGCAAGTCAGCAACAATATGGACAGGTACTTTAGAAAAATGGTTGTGTAAACTTTCTGCTATGAAAATACAATTTTATACTCGATGTATTTTTCCCTTTTTTAATTTAATATAATTTCAGAATTAATAGTGGCCATAATTTTTGGACTATCATAGTTTTATACGTTCATTTCATGGGACATTCCAGTTTTCTGAAAAAAAAAAATCAAATTTGAATTGAAGACTACTGTATTCCTATATTCTTACTATTTTCTAATAAGCATGGCCACTGACTGATCATGAATGTAATTATGGAGATACAATGTTATGAGTTTGCACCTAAGTGTAAAAGATATGTGCAAAATTAATGTTTATTGATTTATTTATATTCAGTACATTCAACAATACCAACAGCAAATTTCAGCTTACCAGCAATATGTGGGAAATACAGCAGGTAAATTATGTTTTGTAAGAATCAACTGTAGAGAAAGAAAAAAAAATTCATCATAGCTTTGCTGTTTTAGTTTGATCGATCATTCCTTTTAATTGAAAAGACAATTTACAAAAACTGTTGTTCCAATCATATTTGTAGCATTGATTTCTGCTGTGTTTTCAATTTGGTATTTTAATAATTATTCCCAGGATCAACTAATCAACAACAACAACAGCAGCAACAACAAGGACTATTCAAAACTCCCCAAGCTCTTGCCGCTAAACGTAAAAAAATGTTTTAATTTTATAAATTGATTTAGTAATTTGATAGATGCTTCCGCTATTTATATATAATAGACAGAAATACATTGAAGGCATATACTATACGCATCTTGAAATTTACACAATTTTACTTGGACCAATCATTTTTATCATGGAGCAGAGTTGAGCAATGCCAATGATTTTTAAAATGATCAAGTTCTAACAAATTATATGTTTTCAAATTGAATTTCAAGCTCGGGTTTCTGCCTTTCTCCTTATAAGGATTGTTAGATGCCATCAATTGGTTATGTTGACTTGTGTTTGCACTTTGTGTAGTAGTTAGTGCATTTAATGTTGTGTTAACTGAACGATACTAAAATTGGAATGAGAATTCAACATTTTTCTCTTAATTTAGCTAAAACTGACACTCAGCAGCAGTCTACTGGTTGGGGGGCATACAACCAACGTCAGTCTCCTTCAGCAATTGCTACCAGGGTATGTTATTTTATTTCATTAGCGATAACCTTATACAGGAATTATTATTGCAGTGACATTTGACGTAAATCAGTTTTTTTTTTCAATAATTCAAAATAATTTTAATTCAATTAATAAATATGTTTGAGAATTCAAAGTTTTTTTCGTCGTAGTTTACTATGTAATAAATAATAGAAGTAATAAATATTAGGAGTTTTAAAAAAAAACTAGGATTCCAAAGTTTCCAGATTTTGATGACACTTTTACTCGATGTTTTCTATATTTATGTATTGTTTTTTTGTTTAGACTGACACTGCAAAAACAGGTTGGGGTGTTTATCAACAACAACAACAGCAACAACAACAACCAGGCATAGCAAGTCAACAAACATCTTCTCTGACCAATCAACAACAAAAACCAGCTGGACTAGTTTACAGAAGTCCAATGAAATATTCGGTATTTTTTTTTGTTATTGGACGCAAAATATACGTATGGATTGATTCGCTAAATTGTTGTTTTTGTTGGGGTAAGCGCAACACAATTTCAAGTGTTTACCGCTTGAAGGTGATTAAAGACTCCAACTAAAAGACATTTTCTTTTTCCTCCTTATCTCATATAGGACCCGAAGTTTAATATTGGAAACTTTGATTTATGAAACTGAACGAAAGTAAAACAAATAGATCATTAACTTCAAAATTGCCCAATTATGAGAAAGACAATACAACGCAGTTCATAGGTATTATTCTGTCATTGTATATGTTGAACCAATTGAAGATTTGTGTTGTATAGTATAAGATGTAAAACCAGGCCTGGTGATGATATTTTATGAAAACCCAATCGGTTTACACTATGTATGGGTCGTAAACGTATCAATCAAGGTTATGCTTAATACAAGGCATCTGACTGAAATTTTGAAAAAAAATTATAATCTTTAACCGGCGATGTTGCGCATCGTGCGAGCACTGCTGAGCGTTAGGAATACACTCACCACCGCACTTCTGATTATCCTTATTCGACTCCCATGCGGATAATTATATTCACTGAAATTGCTGGACTCCTCGCCGTCGTAGTGTTGATCACATAGTGTTGATCACGTAATTGCTGGAACGCTTTGGCCTCCATCATCAAGTCCATGCATCTGAAACGAACGACTGACTAACTAATCCCATACCAGACATAGACTGGTAATCTGATGAAAGGTCATGGTTCACCATATGATTATGCCATCTCATTAACTTTCTTCTCTTTAGATAAATTTGTAAATCCCATTCTATAACTTTTAATACATTTTCCTAATCAGACTGACACACAGTATGGATCGACTCAGGGCTACACTGCCAATCAAGCTTATAAATCACCAGCCGGAAACACGACACAGGCTGGATATGGCACTAGTAGTCCCAGCCAAGGTTATGGCAGTTCTACTCAACAACAAGGATATGGAACCCAGCAATCCCAAGGTTACGGAAATAATCAGGTATGTTAATAATGGCCCAATTTATTCAATTTAAACTAGCTTTATATTGTAGAATTCTATTTATTGGATATGATCGTTTTGTTATTATGTTGTTCTTGTTGTTAGTATTTCTTTTCTTCTTTTTTTATGAAAAATCTATGGGATTTTTTTTTTTTGTGCAATGGCCAATGATGTTCTCAAAATTGAAAATTTCATGCCTTGTGGCAGCGTCGCCTTTTGCTATCCGATGGACAGGCGGAGTCGTGAGGACTGCGGTACCGGTTGTCTACTGTGACAGATTGCTTACCTGTACACCGTACTACTTCGTACTTATTCAAAAGTATTTGTTCTGCTTTGCAGTTTATTCCAATTTCAAATGTTCAAAACTTTGTCTATTTTACAACGAAAGTATAATGTATGCTCAATTTCACTTTCACTTTTGAGTTTGTTATAAATTGTAGTTTGATTGATAAAGTGTTCAATTTTTAGTAATAGCATCATTTTCTTGTATGTAATTGATTTAAAATTTCACTGAATTTTTTCTGTTGGGAATGGATATGTGGCAAAATGAATATAAAGTTTTTCACATTTTTTTAACGTTATAGCTCTTACTTGCTCGTTTCTCTCAACTGGCAATACGATTTTTTCTTTTTTTCTGGGACTATTTGCTCGAGATAGGGAGACATGCACTCACTCAAATGTAAATGAGCATATTTACTAGCGACACACTATTATAATTTGCCGAATGCCATTTGGGCTATTTTTTCATATAACATAGACCTGTCAAACGTGTTGTGTTTATAAAATTCTTATAGGATTGGGTAGCTTTCATTTAAAGTTACTTTGGAATTCTTATTCAACGCAATTTTTTGTCTCTTTCTTTACAGCAGTCATCATATTCAAGTCCCAGTCAAGGAGGTTACAATGCAAACCAAGGATACAAAAGCCAATCAACTGGTTACCAGACTGGTGGAAACCAAGGAAACCAACAAACATACAGTGGTAATTACAATCAAGGCAACAATCAAGGAAATTATAACAGAGGATATGGACAAAGCCCGAATAATGCAAATGGTAAACTACTGTAATAATTATATCAAACACATTTGGACTCTTCCGTGCATGATTACTATGCATATTCTCGTTTTAAATAGACCATAAAAATAAGCTTTTGTTCCCTTGCACACGATTCTGGTGTGTTCTGTAAATACAGAGAAATCTTCATATATGAATATTTCACTGTATCATCCTTGTATTTGGTATAAATTGTAATTTTTGTATGTATCATAATTCATAATTATATGCTAACTTTTTTGTGAAAAAAATAGTCTTTTATTCTACTTATTGTATAATTTTTCAAGGAGATTTAAAACAAATGAAAACAGCAAATATTAGCTAATTCAACAATGTGCAAAGTATTTAAATGACGATTTTTCTTATTACAAAATTTTAATTTCTAAGAATATATATCATATACTTGTGAATAAATATAATAATTAATATCTTCAGGTAATGTTGGGATGAATAACAACATGCAAGGTGGGCAGAGAGGGGGCCCAGTTAGACCCCTGTTGACCCAACGCAGCCCAATGGGAGGAGGGGGTGGAAACCAAAGTTATGGTGGTAACAACCAAGGTCCTCGAGATGGACCAGATATTCCACCGTTTCCAAGAGCGTGGCATTCTCAGGATGGATATGAGGGTCCACCAAGGCAGGATAACTGGCAACAGCAGGTATGTTCATTGTTTGTGAAATAACTTTATCGGATTTCGGGAGTAGACCTATGGACTGTTTTGTGAAATTGGGGTTCTTGGGGTTGTTGTAAATAGTCCCTATTTTATGAATCACAGGCGCAAGTTTTTTCTCAAAAATCGATAAAACCCCAATTCAAGCATTTTATTGGCAGTACATACGCTTTGTAACCCCGTGGCTTCATTTTATGCAACTAGGGGACCAATTAATTTTAATTTTCAGTACCGGTACTTATTTCTGAAGGAAGTAGACCCTGGAACGCTACTACTGCATTTTCATTTCATTTGTTTCTGTAAGTCTTGTGGGCCACAATTTTTCACACGAAGCTGTGCAGAGGACACCTGTGACATTTGGTACAATTTTTTCATCCTGTGCTCCGTTTCCATAAATATATATTGCTCTCTTATAAAGTTTGTATTGGTAGTTTATTTTTATTCATTTTTCTTTTTAGCGAAACTTTGGCGAACAACGAGAACAGCGGTGAGTTACATTTTCTACTTTTAATAAGTTTTTAGCATGTGCTGTGCTCTGAAGTAGATAATTTGCAAGCTTTGATGAGATTGAAATGAGCCTGCCTGCACAAGTTCTTCCCTTTTTTGGTGATGTAACAGATAATGGGGATTGCATTACTAGGCCCCATGCTCCATGTACAAATGTCTGTATTTAGTTCTAGTATTCTATTTTTTTATCATTGCACAATACAGTTATTTTTTTTTTAAGTTTTCTTGCAAGATACTAATACTGACACCTTATATACAATTTTTTTTGCTTTTAGTTGGGGAAGAGGAGGGGGAAATATTGGCGGTGGGGGAGGAAGATTTGGAAATCAGCAACAACAACAACAAACACCGCAACCCAGAGGAATTTATAGTAATAACTCGAGGAATGCAAGAGGTGAATAATATAATAAGTAAAGTCCCTTGACCATGTTTGATTATTCATAAATGTACATGTATGATTTTGAGTAATTTAATTGATAATATATGAAACATGCCAAAATGTCCATATTCAGAATTGTACACCATATCACAATGATTACACCGCCAAAAATTGCAGTTCTAATAGGTTGTATAAAAAAGGTTCCGAAAGTTTCAAATATTGCCTATATCAGGTTCCTCAGGATCAAACAGAGAACTATGGAGCCCAGCAAACAAGAAGAGTGGAACGTCAATGATTAATAAAATGGACAAAGATGTGAAAGAAGTCAAGAAAGAGTTCGGAGAAGTAATCGACAAGGTATATTAATGCCTATGAACAAATGCATTCATCTGTATTTAAATTACCAGTGATTATTTCATTTGGAAACATTTCTTAGTTTTACATGGTGTGAATTAGGCATAACGCAAGCAAGTTACAGATGCCTGGTTTAAACCTTATCCTACCACCGAGTGTAGCAAATTGGTTTGGCAAGGACCAAAATGGAAAATTTCAGTCATTGCAAAAATACAAGTAGAAAATTATTAGCTACTTACATATTTGTGGTGGCTAAAACAGAGCTCCATTCAGGTTGATGACATGGAAAGTGGAAAAATTTAGAATAGGGCCAGTTGATCTTAAAATATCTTTCAAGATGTGTTCAGAAAATGATTCGTGATTTTGTCAGTTTTGTTACCGTTTTTTTTTTCAATTCAATGCAAAGTGCAGTTGATGATTGGTAATGATATCTACTTTTTCAGAAACAAAATATAAATTTGTTTAAATATAATTTTATCTGTTACAGGAAAAGCATTCAGAAATCAAGACCTTCTTGTATGCATGGCTTGGTGCTCGGAAACTGAGGCCGACTTATGACATCAGACAGATTGGTGAAAGACCAAATATCTCCTTCAGATGTGATGTAAGTTTCCTCGCTGTATTTTTTTTGTTACACAAATTTATGCGAAGCAAGGCCTCGACTTCTATACTTTAAGTGAAAGAGGACTGATTGAAATCGGGCTTGGAAGCTAGCTATCAAAAATGTTAGTCGCCTAACCATTAAAATATTTTTTGAGATTCATAATTTTCTAATACTTTAAATTATAAAATTCCTCTATTTAAGCTTGAATATAAGTCCCGATATTAATTTAGATTAGTATATTTTATGGTTTGATTTTTAAATTTGAATGTATATCATATTGTGAATTTTGTTTTCTTCAACAGCTTAGAGTTGATAAGTACAATTTTGTCGGTGTTGGAAAAGCAGCAAACAAAAAAGAAGCGCAGACGACAGCAGCCTGGAAATTTGCAGACTATCTTGTTAGAATGGGAGAAATCAACAATTCTGAGCTTCCCAACAAAAATATAGTAAATTGTTTTATCAATTATCAAAGCAAAAATGAATTTTACCTTAGCCATAAAGCGGGGGTGGGCAAAGTTTCTGGACCAGGGGTCAAAAATTTTGCCCACTTTGACTAGTGTGACATGGAAAGTTACATTTTATAAACAATATTATTTACAGTTTTACAAAAGAAAAAGTGGCGAACCATAAAATTGAACATATAATACATAATAAACAAAAAAAAACAATAAGCGTCTTGCCCAGTGGTTCCCAAACTTTTTTGGCCATCGCCCCCCTAAAGTAGTTTATACAACTTCGTCGCCCCCCTGTACTACAAAAAAATGTAAAGTCAGAAACGAATATATTACAGACCAAATAAGAAGACAAATCATAGTTTATGGTGTTTTTTAATGAAATAGATGAGCTTGGTGTTCTTCAGCGAGTTTTTTATTATATATATCTAAAATTACCCCGTTTACTGATGGAAAGGTGATTTCATTGTTTTAATAGCAATAGTAGCACGACTGAAAACCCCCTTTTTACCATATAATAGGTCGGAAATGAAAGAATCCAGGGTTCAACCTCCTCAAAAACCGCCGTGTACTCTTGCCTTATAGCATTTCACTTCCTAAATTCACCCCATTTCACATTAAAATAATAAAACGAAACTTAATCGTTCACCAGTCCGATCACCAGTCCATAAGAAGATACATTCTTACAAAAATTGAGCAGTGATCAATCTCTCGAAGAGAATATGAATTTTATTTTCTTATTGCTTTGCAATATATTCGAATATTTACTGCGCTATTGAACCCCTGCACTCAGCATCAACTTTTCTGCGTGTTTCCATTTGTCTAATTATAATTAAATTGTAGGCTCGTTAAACGAGTGGCTGTTCAATAAATTGTTAGGATATAGTATAATTCAGTATAAACGTGTCTCACGATAAATTCTGTTACGTAAAAAAATGTAATTTACTCCTCGAGCGTAGATTATAAATAAAAAAAATTTCATCGTCAAAACCGCCGTTTGGATATTTCCCCGGGCATAGACTTCCTTGTTTACTTCGTGGCATTAGCCAATCAGCAAGATACAAAAAACGTAACAATGCCCCTTTTCGCATCCGCTCAGGCGCTCAGACACTCTCACTCAGACAGATTTTCAGGCGTGGTCGTGAACATTACCTCATTTTCGCGTTTTTGAATTATATTCGTTAGTTTTTAGTTATTTTTCGGAAATTTGAATATAAATCAAATAAGTCAATGATTACTTTGTCTTGCTTTGAGTTTCAGTTTAAATACAGCAATCAAAAATTAGTGTAAAAATAGCTGTGATAGACTAGGCTAAAATTCTTTATCGGTACCGGTACTTGTAAAAAACAGATTGTTAAATGGTGTATATTAGAATGATAGTTTGAAACAAATACCCCATTTTACAGGCAACAACTCGCGAAACCACTCTTAAAATAAGCACCGAAAATTTTAAAATGGTAAAGTATGGGAAGAATTTTCCGCGGTCAAAGGTCGGGGAAAGGTCCATTCAGTGAATCGTCCCGGGCCAGATTATTTTATTCCGGCCGTATTTTGCCGACCACTGGGATACGCAAACTACCTTGCCTTACTGCGAAGACGAAACAAGAAATCCTTTCGCGTGTGATAATCGCCCACGTGATTCAAGCCTGCGAATGCACACAGAGTACAGAATTAAGTGCGCCGAACCTAAAACAGGTTTCGCGAAATCGCCCCCCTATCGCCCCCTTAGACTTTTTCGCCCCCCTCTGTATCGTTTTCGCCCACTGGGGGGCGATATCGCCCACTTTGGGAATCACTGGTCTTGCCAATACCAAATTTAATTGCAATCTCAACAAATTTCTTGAGCTATATTTTAGCTGAACATCAAAATTGGTTTTTGCTTGGACGGCATCAGGTGGGCCAGATTGAATTACCCAACTGGCCGGATTTGGCCCGCAGGTCATAGTTTGCTCAATTCAGCTATAAAGCTTGAGCTAAGCTGAAAAGTCACTATTGTGTGAAATGTAGAGTAAAATATAATTTCACTTCGAGATTTCAATTTTTGCTGGAAGAAACTGTAAATTCTCTAAAAGAATTCTTATTTATTTACAAAGGGTGACCCAGAAAATAGAACCCATAAATTCCCCAATTACGCTTTGCACAGAAATAATATTGACTCTCGTAAATGACCCGGATTCTGAACTTTTGGGTCACGCTGTACCAGATGATGTATCAAGTTACTCTGAAAATATCCGAATGTTTTAATTTTAAAGAATGACTCTGTAGAGCGAATATTGCAACATACTTGCCTTTCAGAAAGTACCTGATGACAAGGAGGGAGATATAGGAGACGTAAAAGAAGAAGCCGTTGATGATATTCCTGATGAGGAAATTTTCGTACCTAAGAAGGACAACAACATGACTAATAGAAATAGAAAAGGCGGTATGTTACTTATTAACTCAATTATCGTAAACTAGAAAGGAGTTTTAGCATTTTTATGTCATAATGACAGAATTAAGTAATATATGTTAGAACAGGGTGGTCCAAACCCAGGGCCACGGGCCACATGTGGCCTGCTGCTTCATTATCTGTGGCTCGCGTCACATTCGGAGAGAAATCAATAAATCGCATTTCGTGTTGTTTTGTGATCAAATTAATCAGCAAAATCTCTTTTTGGTCGGGAATATATGCTAACAATATAGGCATCATAGGAAACAAAAATCAAATGAGGATTCTATTAGCCTGGGATGCCTATGCCTGATAACTATGTTATTGCACAATAAAGGTGTTTGTTTTGTATTGCACTGTTTACCTATTCTTGGCACTATTGTGGCCCACGAACAATGAAAAAATAAATTTGTGGCCCACAAAGCCGACAACCTTGCACCACCCCGTGTTAGAATTTAAAAAAGATAGTTATCATTAAAACGATTTTTTATTCAACAAAAATATAATCTCATTCCAAAAAATGTTACTGGGTCCTTTCTTATCTCTTTTGTACATGCTAATAACTTTCATAACTAGAAAATAAATATCTAAGAATGTTATATTTTTGTTCCTATGCGTATTAATGTCTAATTCGACTATTTTCGTGACAGTTGCACTAAAACCTCAATCGAAAATATTCAAGCAGCAAAATATTTTTGTTTATCACATATATTCTTGTTAGTCAATCCGAACTGAACAAATGTTTTATTGAAAATATTTTCAGGTCGTGACAGAGATCGTAGAAATAAGCGTGGAAACTGGGGACCGGTAAGTACCATGTTATTTATATAATTAAAAAAAAAATGCTGAGTCGAGTTTCATTAGTTTTTTATGTGACATATTTAAATGCCTTCTCTCCTAACACGGCTTCGTTCAAGCTGTCACTGTTAATCTTTTCCAATTTGGTATGGCCTCCCCAATTTGTCCCACCCTGGGTAAAGTGGGATGTGCGCATGTGTTTGTGTCCTGAATTCTTTTTTCCTAAAGATGGAGTGAATATAATTTATGACAAAAATTTATAACAGCATTTTCATAATTATTCTGTAAATTTACAAATTCAACCATTCTTTCTCAGGCTCCAAGACCACTCTTAGGAGGGGGTGGCGGTGGTGGAGAAATTCGTCCTCTCATGGCATTACCAGTAGGACCTTCGTGGGATGGACCAATGGGACCTCCTCCTCCACATCTGATGAGAATGCCTCACCCAGGAATGATGGATTTCAGTAAGATTTTTCTTGTCTGTATCAAAAATATTTTCATAACTTTTTTGCTCTGATGTTTCATCGACATCGTCAACCTTAATCATACCAGTTATTCTGTGAACCGGTATTTAGAACTCATAATATAATCTTTAGCAGCCCGTGGCTTACGTTTTTGCATAAATCTTTTATCTTTTGTTTGACGCTTATTTGTGCCTTTCATCCTTAACACGGCACTGTAGAAGCACTGCCACCAAATGCACCGATACCTACTATTTTCCAAAGGACGAAAATTCTTCCATTTTTCTTCACTTGCTCGGCTTATGTGTGATCAACTGCACATCAGTTATATTATCTGTTCAATCTTTTAGGGCCACCAATGTGGGATGGGCCACCCATGATGGGGCCACCACATCACATGGGACCACCACACATGCATATGAGACCGGGCATGCCTCCACCTTTCATGAGAAACAGACAAAATGATTTCTGGCGTAGAAGAGATATCGAAGAAAGAATGATGGATATGAGCAGAGGAAATGACTGGTATGTTGAAATATTGTCTAGTAACAAAGTAAGTTTTGAAACAAATATTTTACCCTGCTGGCGCATTTTGCTAAAATAGAGATTATGGATACAAAAGAGGTTGTACAAGTAATGATATGATGGCCTGCTGCTACTTTTGTCCAATAAAATTAGCATTTCAGGTAAAAATTTCAGTACTCCTTTAGTATGCGAACTAAGAAGGCGGACACCGGAACGTAGATGTGTACCAAGTCAGGGTTAGGCCCTAATTTCAGATATAAATACTACGTAAGTCACTTGGTTCATCCCCGAACTTTTTAATAGAACTAAAATAAGGAAAATTGAAATGAAATTATGGCCTAACCCTATCATGGCATACCTGAATAATTATGGTTTTTCTAGAAACAATTGCTCTATATGTCAAACCGGATAAACTTTGTCAGCATAGAGTTCACTTTGCATGCACTTACTTGTTTACAAAATGTAGATTTGATCCGAACATGTTTTAGGTGTGGGATAAAAAACCAAAGCAACATACCAAATTAAATGTGTTTTTCATTTTAAAGTAAGGCGATCATTTTTGAATATCCTTTTTCGTGTCTGGAATTCACTAAATTTTTCATCTTAAAAAATGGAACAAATTTGGTTTAACCAGGGCTCACCCAGAAGATATGTTCATTAGTCAAATGATAAGAAACCAACAAGAAGCTGAAAGAAAACGAGGAGGTTCCGGAGTCCCTCGTCCCATCATGCAACCTATGGAAGCTATGCCTGGAGAATGGGAGCGTGTTCAACAGGTTTGGTTATGTCTTTTTCACAGAACTATTCACTCACTGTCCTAGGTCTGAAAAACTTGTCACAACAGTTGACTGTCACTGATTATTATAAGTTACTTATTTTTTCATGTTTTCATAACTTACTGTATCTTGACTGCCACGGCTCAAATTTGTCTTTTCTAACGAAATTTAATTTTTTCCTCTAATTTTAACTATTCTTGATCCTTATGGAATTATATCGAATGGAATATCTGTAACTTTGTAATATAAATTCATTTCAATTTCAAGTTTATGTATTACAAATAATTTGCTTCGAACGAGTACACAAGTCACAATTTTTCTGTCAATAGTTTGAACGGTAAACTTTAATTTTATATTTCTTTATCTTTTTTGGAGTCGCTTTCCATCTAATACTTCATAAATTTTAGACTCGTCCTGTTATCACATCGGACGATCGTCACATGATGACGAAACATGCAGAGATTTATCCACAAGAGGGAGAATTGAAAAATCTTCACAGAATTGTCAACACTGTCGAACAAGCTCTCAAACTTTTGTCAGATAAATTCGTCAACGAAGATCATCCTAAGGAAGAACGTAAGACAATTTTAATATTGTTGTTAAATTGATGTTTTTATCCTACGTTTTTACAGTTTTCAGGAATCGAATGGAGGTGTTATGATTAAACTGTTTGCCCTAAATGAATTCTTTTTGGAAGGAAAATATTTTTTAAATTCCTTCTTTTAACCAAGGATTCGAAATATTGAATATACCATAATTAATTAATTGATCAATTCGAAAATATGATTTTTCCAGATGACTTATTCAAATATGAAATTCGTGATTGCAATGATCTAACAAAGATCATCATATTTCCAAAATGCATATAAAAAGATGTAGGGCATTTCTTTGCTCAGATATGAGTCTGCTTTACTTCAGAGTGAGTGCCTGTAACTTTGCTCAGAGATGAATATCGTTTACATCTAAGTGAGTGCGCGTAACTTTATGCTCAGAGATGAGTCTCGTTTACTTCTGAGTGAGTACCTGTAACTTTGGCTCAGAGGTGAATCTATTTACTTCTGACTGAGTGAGTACCTGTAACTTTCCTCAGATATCAGTCTACTTTACTTCTGACTGAGTACCCTTAACTTTACTTAAAGATGAGTCTATTTTACTTCTGATTGAGTGCTTGTAAAATTAAGGTTGTAAAATTAGGGTTGTAAAATTAAGGTCTTGAAGTCTCGATTTTAGGTTAATCATGATGACTGGTTTATTTCAGCTAAAAAAGAAGAACCAGAAAAAATGGAAAAAGATGAAACAAAGAAGGAGGGAGAGGAAGAAAAGAAAGAATCTCAAGAAGCGATCGAGGAAAAGAAAGAAACAGAGGGAGAAACTAGTGTGGAAAATAAAGAAGAGAAAAAAGATGAGAGCGAGAAGAAAGATGAAGAGGAAAAGAAGGAAGGAGAAGAAAAGAAAGAAGAAAAAAGAGCAAAAATTAAAATGTATTCAATCTTGTTTTTTTATTTTTTGCACCACGAGCGAGTCAGTGCTAAATATAAGGATAGGTACTTTTTTATAAAAAAAAATCCAATAAGTCTAAGAAGTACTAAGGCACTCGATAATGTCCTATCTACAGTTTGCTACACAGTTGTATAATGATTTTCTAAATGACTAACTGTTGTAGTAGATTGACAAAATAGGCGATAATAGAAATTAGTATGAATATGGCATTGCGAACATGTCATTGATTGGTCATGCATTTTCAGCACACGTCCCACAGTTGGGATAGATTATTCTGTAACTTTATGCGCTGGACTTGAGTATGATAGAACCCCATGGTCCAAAGATCCTGAGTTTGAACCTCTCGCTCATCACCTCATCTAGAGTGCAATTAATTGCTTATACAAACGTGAGCTGGAAAGATCGTTCTTGCGTATCAGTCAATGGCTGCTTTTTACAAACCTTTGTTCATAGTGTAGCTAAAACAATTGTGAATATAAAAACCCAACATTCATATTTATTTTCAATAAACTATTCAGACTCAAAAGACCAAAGAAGACGCCCAAGCAGGTTGACACTCGTCCGAGAGTTCTCTGTGGAGTCAACAGGATTGGACCTTTGGCTAAAGGACTTCTCATCACCAAAGATGATCACGTTGAACTAGCTCTTCTCTGCGGAGAAATACCGACTATTAAATTGTTGGACAGGATTATGGAACACATTGATGGTACGATTGATTTTATAATAGTTTGTGTTGATTAATAAAGTGTCTTTGAGTAGCATCAGGTTTTTTTGTCTTTTTTAGAAAAATTATTCACTGTTGATGAAGATTTCAAATTAAACGTTATAAAAATGGAGGAGGAAGCCGGATTTTTAATCAAGAGTGTGGAAGATACACCTGTCGAGGTATTTTCTATTGAACATACAGATTATGTTCGGTTAATTATAGATGTTAGATCTTAGTGAAATCTGTTGAGAATCAATCTATGATAGATTGCTTTGATATACCTTCACTCCTGAGTGAGTGCTCGTGATCTTCATTTGGACGAAATTCCATACAAACTATTTATTAGAAGTGTAATTCTAAAACAACTGTAGCAGGTTTCTCAACTGGGCCGCAGAGAGGTTCTTTGGGTGTGATGGTCCAAGGCTTTCGAAAGCTTCACGATAAATGTGTTAGTTGACTGTGTGAAATTGACTGAGTTGTTTAATTCTTCCACTGTAAGGCAATCATTTATTATTTTGCATTCATTTGTTGAATATCAATAAATGTGGTGAAAATTAAAAGAGCAAAACTGGACATTTTTGCAGAACTGTGGGGGCCCACATTGGTTGAAAGTCTCAGGGGTTTACTAATCTAAAGTAATGCGAGATAGATTGGTAAGATGATCAAGTTGAAAATTTTTCTCTATTAGGTTATGGTCACTCTCACTGCTATGGCTCTTCGAAAACCTGCTAAAAAGGAAGCAGAAACGAAAAAAGAAAGCAAAAAAGATGATGAGGAAAATGATAATAAAGAAGAAAAAGAAACCACGACTGCAGAAGGTATGATTTTAATGTTAAACCTGCTAGAATGCTTAATTTCGAGAAATTGGTCATTTGTTAGCAGCGTTCAAATTTATAAAGATAATCGAAGCTCAATACTACCGAGTTGTTGCTACCAGACTATTACTACAAAGTGTAGTGATGTTATTGCTATCACAATATAATTTCAGAATCAAACTTGGATATATTTAAGTGAACTTATGAATTACACAGTATAGAAATATAAAATGTTAATTTACGCAACTCAATATTTTGTGGGTGCACGGTTGCAAGACCTTTTGTTCGATAAATTACTTACTGATACCGTAGGCTCTGAATTCATTTTTTCTGATCTTTTTGCAGCTTCAATGAAGATTAGTGATCATCTTGACTAAAATTTATTACACACTTATGCTTAGTAACTGAACTAATATTTGTGGTCTTGTTTTTATTCATCTGGGTTTCAATTTCAACCCAAAACAGAGCCAGATCCTGAGGGAATGCTGCCCAAGGCTAAAATGTTGGAAGCCCTCGCCTGTCTTCGTCACACTCAGTGGTTTCAGGTTCATATGAATTTTTCACCGGGCATTTTTTGCCCCAACTTCATAGATAGCTGGTAACTTTTTATGGCCCTGTTTGTAGGACCTGATACCGTGTCCATAATTATTATCGATTAGTTGTATTTTAAAATAAGTTCCTTGTGTTTGTGAAATTTTCATTTCAAAAATACGACTTTTCAACTTATTATTGGCCAGCTCTGTAAACAAATTAGATGGATTTATCTTGAGATTTTATAAACTGATTGTTTGTTTGTAGTAAAATAATTGAATGTTGCTTCTTTTTTGTTTACGGGGTTCCGATTTTAAGTTGTGAAGTACAAAAATTCGACATAAATATTTATATCTTTTGTAAATTTTGCACATGGTATCAGCTCACAATTTGACGTAAAGACAACCTCGCGCTTTGTCCTGCTCATTGTAGCACATGGATGCGAGCTTGTTCTAAAATTTTGTCTGCTGTTAAAGACATGCCAACGTCTTTTCGCTCCTAGACTTTGCCGAGTCTGGGTTACTGATATGGCAAATTTTACAATGTGGGTCTACATTTCAGGCAAAAGCTTGCTCCATTCAGTCCTGCGTCATCTTAACAAGAATTCTGAGGGATTTGCAAAGAAGAGATGAAATGTGGAGTCACATCGCTGAATGGGTAGGTTTCACAACCAATGGATGTTGATATATCACAGTTTATCTACAGCAACTTTTTGACATCCTTCTTTTGGGTGTTGACTTCCCTGCAGTGTTCACTATTAGCGCACTTTTTTGCGAAAATTGCGAAGCACTTTCGCAACTTTTTTTAGGGACTGCGAAATAGCACTTTTTTCCGATTTTGAAGAGAAATAGCACTTTTTTCCGATTTTGAATGGAATAAAAATTCAAAGTTAACAAATATTTTCGAGTATTAAGTTGACAAATAAGTAACATACTAGTACTTTTGTAACTCAATTCTGCATATCATAACGTTATTTACCGAAATTCTAACCTATGAGATGCAGACATAGGAGATAAAGCTTTTGCATTAACGGCAAAATTCTTGTTTATAATATGATTATTATACAAGCATACAAGCACACCGATTCCGCTTCTCCGGCAAAAAACGCTCCCGGGTGTACCAGATGTTGGAATACTACACAGTGCGTTTCTTTGAACGAGAGTGGTCATGTGACTATCAATGATATCGATGAATTCAAAATTACTATAAAAGTGTTAGTAACGTGTTATAGTCACTTTGGATGAATTGTGACCAAACTGCACGATTTTCAAATCAGACGAAACTTTTAGCAGCATGTCACAGATTTGCAAAATCACCAAATTCACAAAATACCATTAAGTACCATTTTATTGTAATCACAATGTTGAAAGGAGGTAGCATTTTCCGGAATTTTGCGATATTTACACAACTATTTCTCATTGATATGCGGACGGGTGGGCAAAATTCAATATTTTTTTGAATCGAATATTTTTAAGGAGTACCGAATAAACGTGGTGGAACATTAAAAAATCGGCAACAAAGCCTTTTTACTGGTTAATTCCGTTGTAATCGCTAATTGTTCTTGTCACCGATCGTTTTGGGGCGATATCCAGGTTTTGGGTAATCTATATTCCCGCCCTCTCTTTTTTACAAATATGAATTCTTGTGGGTCGGCGGACATCGAAGTTTTATATTTCGGGTTGACCCGTTCGTTCACATCGGCAACAGCTGTTGAAGACATTGAGGACTCAAATTAACATTTGCGTTGACTTTAATATTACCTATCAAGATTTGTAAATTTACCGTCCCAATTTTATGCGAATGGTAATATTATTGTCCATACCGTGATGCAGATATTTATTAAGACGATAATTAACTTTCTCATGTTTTACTATGGTGATAAACTCACAAATCTGAAATTGTGCCAATCCTGAATGTTGATTTAAAATAGTCATTGAATAATTCGGCAATAAAGGCATTTCTGGTGGTCATAAGACGAGATGACGTTAATGAACAGCACTTCTTTTACAGGATATTTTACGTATGCGACTTAATGCTAAAAAAATTGGGCTCGAGTGCTTATTTTTTCGAGCGCTCGAGTGCCTAATAGAGGTCAGGCGCTAATTGTAACTAATTCCCTCAAGTTTCAACGTGTTTTCAACAAAACAATACCCCGGCGATAATTATAGCTGAAATGTTACCGAGCAATTCACAATTTTATTTATGGAATTTGCAAATTCACCAGTTTCTTGACGATTTTGATATTGTCACGCCCTAATTATTAGTGCAAAGAAATACTCCCCTTTTCCGCGGCGGTTTGACGGGTTCTTTGTTCCATCTTCAGAAAGTTCTGACACGGGGATATAGAATACTAAATCCAGAGGGTTGAATCCCTGTCCACTTACTGGTAATTTTCCGTTTTGAAATGCGTAAAAACATTCTCTATTTTAAATTAAATGACGTTTGCGGGCTAGAGTTCTCCCCAAAAATGATGTGTTCCAGACGTTGGTTAGAGTTAGACGATAGATAAAACATTAGATTAATAATTTCGAAAATACAAAGTTATATCGCAAAAAATGCGTTATGATACATTTGGAATGAAACATTATTTACGGTTAATTCAGATCATATTTTACTTTTCACACACCCGTTTCCGAAAATACAAGGTTATATCGCGAAAATGTGTTTTGTTACATTTAAAATAAAACATTTTTGCGATTAATTTAGATCATATTTTACTTTTCAGGACACCCGTTTTCGAAAATACAAGGTTATATCGCAAAATGTGTTTTGTTACATTTAAAATAAAACATTTTGCGATTAATTTAGATCAAATTTTACCATTCACGGCAACCCGTTTCCGAAAATACAAAGTTATATCACAAAAAAATGCGTTTTGTTACATTTATTTTGCATACTCAATAAAATACATATTTTCCCTAATTAAGGTCGTCGACGAATCTGATCCTGTCGTTCAAGCTCGACACACGTTTGGACGAGTGTGGGGCGGTTTTTTGGTCGATAAATTAAAAAGTTGCCACACCTTATTTGTATAACGATAATAACTGAAAATTAAGATTTTATAATAGAAGTGAATTTGTCTCAAGATGGTATTTTACGATTCCTTCCCCACAGAAAATAAACACGCTGACAGGCTTGGTTATAATTGATATTCGTTTAATTTATTTTACACTATTAATAACCGCGCCACACCAATTGCGACCATATAAATTGCAGTCGCATCGGTATGGACTGGTATGTTTTTGGCGCTCTCACATTAATAATAATTTTCAACAAAACAATACCCGACGTTCATTAAAAGCTGAACTCGTTACCGAGTAATTCACAATTTTTATTTACGGAATTTGCAATTTCAAGATCTCACTTGGACGATTTTTGATTGATGTCATGCCCCTAATTATTACTGCTTAAATGCCTCAAAATACAACAAAATGTAATCATTTTCGACGATAACAGGCGCAACAATTCGTAAACGAGCCGTTGTAACGGAATTCGCGATTGATTTTACCTCTCTCTTGTTTACAATTTTTAACATCCCGCCGGCCATGTATGGTCGAATAAAATGTTCACATATTCGAAACATGACTTGGCCAAGGATAGAAGGGATCACTAGAGAGCTAATAGAAAGTACATACGCGAGGGTATGATATTAATATCGAGAATATTTGTAGCATATCACAGGACGGAAATATTTTGCACCCGGCTGATTGTTGGCAGAACAAACGATACGCTAAAGTTAATTGATCGAATACGGGGAAGTATTTATTTATCATCTCACTGCGAACATCGAGGTTTTGGCGGAATTGTACGATCATGTTGTTTTTCTTAAATAATAACTTTTTCAATAAATGTCATTTTACTTTTGCGCCTTTATTATATGTCGGGTTTTCATTTATTTTAAATTCGAAATTGTCCGAAATACTCCAACAGGTGTATAAGTACGATAATAATAGTACTTACCAAAGTACTTACCAGGGAAGTTTAATACACACGATGTGTAAGGGGCGTCCTAACTCCCGTTTATTAATTATAAATTTTTTTACATTCTGCTTAAAAAACAACGGCAGTCATCTCACGTAACTCTCGCGACCAAATCTTTTTTGTTTTGTATGGCATCGGCTTGGCGACGAATTTATTGCGGACTGAGTTTTAATTGTGTTTCGGGATAAGTTATTTTCTGTTTGTTGGTTTCTAAACTTTACAAACTTGGGTAGCAATTACTATTAATGTGAGATTTGTGCATATGAACGATTGAATATCGCGAATGGATGTCCGATATCTGAGAATGCGTATTTCTCTTTCAACATTAATTTTCAGGATATCAGCGTTCATGTGGTCTAATAAAAATTATTTATCAAATGAATTGGTATTTCGATACACTCTCAAAATTATTTGGGATCCACTATCATATCATTCGTTTATTTTTTATATTCATGTTTTTCTCAAGAATCACCCTCGTTATATTTAGTGTACCTTCGCAAAAGAAAACTCTTTGGTGTCATCGTTCCTATTAGTGTTTTTGAAATATATGGAAACCTCGGGCAAGTGGCGTTGTGATGCGAATATTTGATACTAGGTCAGCAGCATTACAAAGAGTGCTATTTATGAATGCTGAGAGTACATGACATTACTAAACATTTTGCCAATATATGATGTTTTCTGCCCGATTTAAACTGACTCACACGCCAACCAAGGAATGTCGACATTTAAAATTACTTGTCTTTGGGTAAGCTCTGAAATAGTATAATATAAATGTAAATGAGAAATTAGGTTACGCTAGCTCACGAAACGGAGGATTTTCAAAGTGATCTTGTGTAATACTTCGGAGAAAAAAGTTTGAAAGGAAAGTAGGTCAACCTATCTCCTAAAACAGGGGAGTATCCTGCCTAATATTTCGGAGGGAACGTAGGTTAACCTATCTTTTAAAACAGCGGGTGGCGACTTTCAAAGTGGTTCAAAATCACAAATTAATAATTATCAGATTAGGTTTAGGGATAAATCGAAAAGTTGAATTTCCAGCGCACCTAACCCTAATTAGTTGATTGCTATTTATATTTGGGGGGGATTATTTTGCAGGGGCTTTGTACAAACGATCCACCCTGTAACTACTATGGTTTCCAGCCTGCCTCGTGTCTGTTAGATGGAAGGAGTAACAAATGTGAAAGTCTTTGCTGTTTACGCGAGTAAGCAACTGACACCGTGATACATTGCATGAAGGTTTTGTCCGCGGCAGGTGTTAGCAGATGTCATTTCGTTGCTGATGAATTCCCTTGTATTAATTAAACATGAATTCGCTTAAAGGGAACTCGGTTAACGAAAAGGCTTCTCTTTAATTCATATTATTAACCGGAGGAGCGCTTTTTCGAGTATCTATGCGGTTTTAAATGGGTTATATGAAAAGCTAGGGCACCTAACTTGTTAAAATCGGCAAAAGCACTTTCGCACTTTTTTTTCCGACTGCGAAGCACTTTCGCACTCATAATTTGCTTAGAGTTAACACTGCTTCCCTGACTAACTCGGTAATGGGCATTTTAAATAAGCATATATACACCAATTCATAGAAGTGTTTAAATACATTTTTCATACCAGAATCCTATTTTAAAAAATTAAAATCTAGTTGTTTTAACTTCAATTCTATATTGTAAAATATTGCGATCTTTTCTGGAGATACTGTTTTGAACAATGAGACTAAAACGCTGATGAAATGAGATGTTCAAATTTTTCACTACCTATGTAATTATTAATTATATTTTATATCCATTACCTACTGGAGAGTGTATTCTTGTTGAGTACAAATTTCTCATTGACATAACTGTAGAACAAATTTGTGTGACATTGCTTTGAGTAAATCTCCACGAAACAAGCGAAGTTATGAATAATGCACTGATTTCGATTTTGACAAATTTTGGATGTAGATGAAATACTTAACCCTTCTGAACGATGTATTTTATTTTTCCTAATTTACAATTGACTATTATTCTAATCTCACAGCCATTGGAGGTCCTGATATACAGTTGTCTCAGTAGTTCTGAAGAGCAAATGAGTCCTGGTGATGCTTGTAGGAGATTTTTTGAAGTACTTGCTGGAGGTTTATTGTTACCAGGTAAGTGTTTTGTGTTCTTATATTTTCAAAGATATGTTTGTCGAATAGAGCAGTCATTCCCAACTTTTTTTAAACAACCCGAAAATTTTGCCACCCACGAATATGCAGTTGTACTTGTATAGCAACAAAACAAATTACAAAGCAATTATTTTACATATCACATGAATCTTAAATGGTACTTAGTAAAAATCACTGGTGTAGAGTAATAATTTTTCTTTTTGCTTGGTTGTTTGGCAAAGAACTTTTTGTTGGTCACAAACACAATTCTTTTAATCAGGTATGCCAGGAGTAGCAGATCCATGTGAAAAAGCCTCTCTTCAGCGTGATGTTCTCGATTGTCTTACTGTGCAACACAGAGAAGAAATTACGACTGTTTCTCAGAAATATTTGAGACAGATTGCTTTCAGAGAGATTCATTTTGTAGGTTGATTTTTGAATGAGATTCATTTAAAACTAAATCTTGAGTTATATTGCCTGGTTATTTTGAGTATTAAGTAGAAATAAGAGTTGTGGAAAGTAAAATTATAAATATTGTCTTACTTCCTGTGAGTAATCTGTTATCGCTTCCCCCCAATCTCTGAAATATTTTGATTTGTTTTGCTTAATTCAGATTCTTGGAATGGAAAAGCTCTCACCCTCATTTAAAATGGACAATCATTCTAATCATCAGAACAAGTATGGCAACAAGAATCAATCAACAGGTGCTTCATTGAATATTGAATCGTGAAATATTTTGAATACTGATCGTCTCTGCTCTTTCTTAAAGTTTTTTTTTTTAATTTTTCTAGATGTTAAACAGGATGCTGAAGTCGAAAAAGAACGACCGGCAGATGCCAATAATGCAAGAAAACGTAGGTTTGAACATAATGGCAATGATAGTGTTGCAGAAAGTCCGAAACGTTCTTTGACAGATGAAGAAGGTAATTAGTAATATCATTTTTATGTTTAGGTTGCAAGGAACTTGTTTGTTTTAGAAATTTCAGCTGGTCTGAATAGTTGTTTTGTATCGTATATCCTTCCAACTGTTATATAGTAATACTGGGAGAATAAATTGGGAATATTTTGACTTCAAACATGGGGCAATAAACATCATCAAATTTTTGGTTTCCCCAGTTTGACCAAACCCATAATGTGATTCTAGACACGGACACACAGCAGAACTTGGCCGAATTGTCAATTTCAGACGAAGCATCTGAAAATCGAACAAGCGGTGGCGATCAAACAGAAACAGACAAAGACCAGACACCAGCGGAAGAAGACTCGAAACAACCGAGTAAAGAAGAAGAAGAGGATGTTATGGAAACTGCTGAAGATTCTGGTGAAAGAGAGTTGACTAAAGAAGAGGAAGATGCATTGTTAGAAGAGGAGAACATGGATACATAATGTTAGATGATTCGCTGTATAAATGTAGTTTGTTGTGCTTTGTATAAATTTCTCTGATTAAGACCGACATAAATTGTGTTCTTTGAGCACAATTGATAACTATTCTTGCTCAGTTGGGCTTCGTCGAATCATTCAAGTTGATTGTCTGTAAATAGTTTTCAGACCTGTGTCCAAACCGTTTTGCTGCTTCATGTCTGACTGTTTTTGGCTTCATTGAAATTTCTTTTTTCGGAGAGACATTTGTTTTTGAAAATTTGACGTCATTCATTAAGAGGGGGGGTTGGGGGGGGGGACATTTTTATTAAAACCTATTAACTTGGTAAGAATGTTCTTAAATTGTATCACACTTTGGTTTTTTGCTGTACTTCAAAGAAATAATTGGCGTATTATGTCGAGATCAACCTGGAATTTTGTATAAATTAGTTCCTGCAATAAAAAACTTGCAGAATTAAACAAATGTTTTCTCTTTTCTGGTTGTTGCGATTTTTGGGGAAAGATTTTTAGGGTGAAAATGGATGCTAAGCTTATTTATGCCCCTCCTGGTAGTTACATGCTCTCACAAATTGCCTGCACTCTGCATAAATCATGTTTTATGAAAAAGGCGGTCGGGATTAGGGAATTTTGACTGAGGCACTCCGCCATAAAGCATTGGCAAACTCTAATGAAGACAAATAAGCACTATTCAAAGCTGTTTATCTTCGTTTAATACTAACCTTTGCCACCTCGAATACTGAAGCGGGTCTTTTCGGTGGAGCTGTTGCGGTAGTTTGTAGGTTTCCATATAGGAGCGAAGTAAGAAGACTCTGTATGAAATATGAAACTGGTTTGGTGGTGAATTCTTTGCAGAATAAAATTTCTTATTCCAGAATGGGAATCGAGACGCTTGAATGGATGGAAAATTCTTCTGTCTTGAAAACAACTGCGCTTGTATCACTTTCATGTGTTTAGCTTTAAATATTTCAACCATATCTTTCCATCACTTATACAAATTATATAAAAATAACGTGGAAAACTCCGATCGGTCGCGACCTGGTTTGTTCTATCCAGAATTTGGAATAACTTGATCAAATATAGTTGAAAATATTCATTTACCATTATTGGAACGAAATAGGTATATGGATTGCTTTATTAATTTGCTGTTAGTGTTGCTGTTGGGGTGATTGCTGTTGTTTGAGAAAATCAGTTTCTCCGCAAAAAATCGTCCAATCAATTTCAGAAGCTTCATATGGCTCAAACGTAGATGAATACTAGGGGCTATGGCTCAAACGCTATCCTTTATAAATTTCATCTGTATATTATGGTCCCGCAATAATTTTGCTGTTTCATTTAAATCAAAGGGGTGCACTTAGATTCCATCGTGCTTGACCTCCGTCACTTGTTCCGTCATCATTCCCGCAGAGCGAATTCTGTGCTCTAAGCAGGTGCCGATTTCGACGTCTTATCGGCGAGGCGCGGTGGCATTTTGAAATTTCGAATGATCAGACTGATTTCGATGTAAGTCGCATAGGCTACCTATCGGTACTGCGGTTAGTCACCCTGAGGCTGAGCACTGCCCCTTTGTATTTTTTTATTATAAAAATAATATTACTGATAAAATACCAACACCATGTTTGGCGCTATCTAGTGATACAAAATATTGAGAAGGTCAGCTTCGACGCGTGTAAAACGAAATTTATACAATTTATAATCAATTATACATTTTTTCATAATAACAATTTTATTTTATTTGCTTCCATGGATTAAAGCACACTATCTTTGTGTAATTTTGTTAATGCCGTGACGTAAAAATAACTGTACACTGGGCCTGCGTGTGACGCGTTTTATATCCCTAGTCTACCAGACTCTGAACTGTTGAATGCGGTGGCGTTCCGATTAGCTGTCGTGCAGTCCCATTTTCTTGGCTGTTTTCCAGAGTGTTTATGGTAGCAATTCCATATTTTGTGCTATGTCTTATAAAATTATAGAGGTAAAGTGAGTATTTTGTTCTCATATGTGTTAATATACTTTAAAGAGGATCTGCAGGGTAGGCTACTGTATTCAATGAGACGTGTAGTGGTGGTGTCTCTGGCTCTCCGTTTATCGTCGACAAGTTTCGGTTTTTTTAGCGTGGCACAGGAATATTTTGTACCGTCAGACCGTATGTGTCTATGATGTTAGTAACGAGAATGTAAAAAATGAATTACCTATTTAACTACAATATAAGTTGGTTATATTCAATATAGTAAATTTCAGGATTTAGGAACAATTTATAAATTTCAGTATTGACATTTTATATTGTGATTGAGAACAAATTTTTTTGAATTGTCATTGCTGTAATAATTAAATTAAGACAACCTCTATGTTCACTTTTCTGCACAACAAAAAACACTGTATACAATTGAAATTTCTCCATTGAATATGACATTCTATTGTTGGTTCTTCAGAAATTGTAAATTTCTGTAGGCTATTTAGTTTTTTCCATCTCTGAATAATCTTTTTCAACATTTATGCAAGAGAAAAGTGATTATATGACATGTTGTAATTAGAGTTGCCACTTCTGGAGACATTTTTTTTCGAATCGGATCTTCCTGAATCTGATTCCATTAAGCTTTTTTTTCTTCATTGCATGCGTATGTTTGCCCAAAGTCACATAAAAAGCTCAAATCTAGAGGAAAAAAAATTGAAAATGGAATATGCTAGATAGCAAGGATGACAAGGTTTTCTCAGTGAATAAGCCACACTTATTTCTATCATGATAAAAAATATGTAGGTCATAATATATCGCCAATATCTGCATTGATGAAAAACTTGCCGTTGCAATTTATCTATGAGTCTTACAATACTTAGTTATTATTGTGTATCTTTGAGCTCTACACAAGCAATCCTTCCTTGTATCAGGACTGAGGCTATTTGATGGACTTCATAGGAAAAAATAAGCAGGGAAAAAGTTGTATTGTACTGTTATGTCTGTATGTCATAAACACAGTAGCAGCACTGCTTTACCTAGTCCCACACCAGTATATGTGACTGCGGTATTTAACTTCTTGTCATATTGAATTAAGGCCGGCCTTAATACCGGTTTTTTATATTCAAAATATTAGTACAATTTTTTTTACATAATTTGTTAGTTGGGAAATTACAAGGAGAGCTTCACCAACACAGTATTCTGCCATCTCTGTTTTTTTATAGGCTCATCATCGTAATAGAGCATACTAATCAGGGAGATACGTGGCAAATAATTATGTTAGCCTAGTAGCATAGAGTAATACGACGAAAAACAATCTAATTGCATCTGAATTACTATAAATGGGAAATGCTTGAAGACTATAAAATTAACCACACAAAATTAAATTAATTTAGAGAAAATTAATCGTTCAAATGACTACGACTGCGAAAAAAATTTCCATAAATATCAAAGACACGAGTGTGGCTAACAGAGTTATTGGCAAACTCTGGCTTTATCATTATCCTGGACTATGATTAATTTCGTGATTCAGAAAGTCCAAATCTGGCACGTGCTATGACATTTGCTAGAAATAATCTGAAATGTTTTATTCCCGCTTGTATCGCGCTAACAAAATTAAACGAAAATACTACATTTTATTTAATGTAACAGCTGGAAAAAGAAATGTATATTATGTTCCTCTCATTTCGTTTACCGCCACGCGATTGGAAGCCTGACAAACGCAAATAAACATATATTTTTGGATGAGAAACATGATTGGTAATTAACATAGCCAGCCAATGAACTCATTCAGTAAAAGTTCTCTTCAAATGTACGCGGTATATTTCACTCAGAACAAAGTTTAAATTAAATTTAATCAAAATTAAATATTATCTTTAAATATTATTATGTCTGGCGTACTATAACTTAGTCGCAGCGCAGCGTGTGCTGTGGAGAAATCGCGCATAATAGAAAATTAGGCCATTCTGTGGAAAACTAAACCTGTAGTTTGGAGGAAATTACGCCACACATCATCTCGAGTGATACGTAAAAGAGTGTGTTGTGCTGAATTTGAAACTAATAACAGCAGATCAGTAAAAAAACAATCCACAGATCTATGATGAAATTCTAAAATTAGTTGAATGCTTTTTTTCCGGTTATGAGAGAGTTGATGTTAACATTGGTTTTCAGACATATCATGCAATGTGATAGCCATATTTCATAAATAAGAAAATTATTACAACCACCTACTTCTAATCTTTATTTCATTTCAATCATATTAGATATCCCTGGTGCAATGGATTGAAATTAGCCAGGATAGTTTACTCACATTACCCTCATCTGTATAGTACTTCTCATAATGCTGGCAATAATCATGTTCCTCTCTTATCCATTTCTAAATTAAACAAAAATGTTTATTTGGGTTATCATTTTTCAAAATTTACAATATCAGAATGAGAAAGTGGAATAACTTTTTATGTCTCAATTTTAACTTGTATGTTGAGTTTCGTTGAATCTTTAGGTTACAAATTATTATGAAAATAAATAATTATGCTTTGATAAAATTCATTTTAAGGCCATGATATTTTAGCTAATAATCTTTTATGTATGTTTTGCATAAATAGTTAAAAATTTAAATATTATTTTGTCAATATGACCAATCAACATGCAAGGCGAAAAAATTAAACAAGGCTACTATAGTAAAAAGTCTTAAGGTTTAACATAAGATATAGTGTACTACTACAATGTGATAATATAGTAAAGATTCCATGCTCAAAATATAAAAACTCAATATATGATCTGTGTCACTATGCATGATTTGAAGCAGAGACAGGCAAGATACGCAGGCCGCTGTATGACTTGTGGAACCTCATATCCTGTGAATTTTTAATCCTTTTTTCTATTTGTGACGGCACTATGGGCATTTCAACATGTTTTAAAGTGCATACCGCTATGAGCATTAAATTTGAAAATAGGGGTCGCGCAAAATGAAATTTAGGTATCAGCTTACATATGAACAGTTGCAAAGTCAGCTTCAAGTTGCTAAAAGCTAAGGAGTTGTTCGATAGTCCGGCACTCATTGTAACAATAATAGTATGTTTTTGCCCAATACGATGAACAGTCGTACGACCGTGATTTCGCTGAGCATTGATTCAATGCATGTAATTTGTTGTCATTCATAAATTCTTATTTCCAAACTTTATTTTATTCATTTTGCAGGTATACAATTATTTATGCATTCTATCAATAGACAATCTAGAACCAACAACAAATGAGAATGTCGTTCCGACCAGGGGTTCCAGGGTCAATTTTTGCTACCTCAGTAGTTCAACCTGTTCGACAACCTCCTATGATGGTGCAAGTAGCACCAGTTCGTCATGTTACCGTTTTACCTGCAAACAGCGTTGGAGTTGTCATGAGACCTGTTGTTAACCCATCAATCCATACGATAGCTGCACCACCAAGACCACAAATTGTTAGAACTTTCAGCGCAACACATGCTATTATTTCAAACTCTGTAGCAGTGCAACAGCAAGCAGCTGCCAGAATGAATGCTAAAGTTGAGGCAGCAGCGGGGGCAAATGCTGCAGCTATCCCTTCTGGAACAACTAATCCTGCTGTCACTGTCTTCGTTAGTAATATCACGGAAAGAGCATCAGACACGCTGGTTCGACAAATACTCATGAAATGTGGAACAGTATATGCTTGGAAAAGGGTTCAAGGAGCATCTGGAAAATTACAAGCATTTGGATTTTGTGAATATAAAGATGTAGAATCAGCTCTTCGTGCCATTTATCTTCTTCATGACTTTAAACTTGGTGATAAAAAACTCCTTGTTAAAGTTGATGCAAAAACACAAGAGATTATCAATAAATGGAAAGAAAATAATGGAATTAAAACTCCAGAAGATGGATCCGAGGCTCCACCTCCCAATGTAGACGAATCAAAAGCAGGTTTGGACTTGCTAATGAAAGAATATGCTGCTGAACTTAACACGTCTGTCTCGACACATAATGAACCAGAACCTACACCCGCTGCCCCTGTACAAAGAATGGAGGAACCCATGGTGCGGGAGTCGCATAATGTGGAAGAAAATTTGAAGGATCTCGACCTTGAAGATAGTGAAAAAGACTTCATAAGTAAAGAAATAAGATCATTTCGTGCAGCACAAAAACAAAAAGAAGAGGAAAAAAAGAAGGATGACGAAAAAAGAAAGAGATTAGAAAAGGAAAAAGAGAAACGAGATGACGATCGGGATAGAGAACGGAGTCGGCATCGTGAAAAAGAACGAGATGAGAGAGAACGATCTAGAAAAAAGGATCGCAGTCGAACTCCACAAAGGAGAAGGGAACCATCTCGAACTCGCCACAGTAGATCACCAGTTACAAGGATTCGTAGGAGCAGAACACCAGTGAGATCAAGTCGGCCACGTACACCACCAAGAAGAAGGTCACGAAGCAGGTCAAATCACAGATCTAGTTCTCGTATTCGCAGAAGTCGATCAAGGTCACCCAGGAGACGGGATGATGACGATGAAGATGATGAAAGTTATGAAAGAAGGAGACTCGAACGTAAAATTCGAGAAAAGGAACAAGCTTATCAAGAACGTTTAAGAGTGTGGGAAGTTCGCGAACGCCGACGTAAGCGAGAATATGAGAAAAGGGATGAACGAGATTTAATACTTCGTAAGGAAATGTTGAGAGAGGCAAAACGTTTGCAAGAATTCCTTGCAGACTACGATGACTTGAAAATGGATCCCAAATATTATACTGGTGGTGCAATGATGAAACGTAGAAGGGAATGGGAACGAGAAAATGATGCTGACAACAAAGACCGCAAAAAGGAGCAAGAAGAGATTGATGCTCTCAGACAAAAATTGGTCGAGGAAAACCATCCAGACCCAGAAGCGGCAATCGCGAAAGCTTTGAAGGAAACTGAAAATGTATGGCAGCCATTACTGAAACCTGACACTCCACCACCTGTGAAGAGAGAATCTTCTGTGAAAAAGCGAACTTCGTCGAGTTCTTCTTCATCATCTGGTTCGGACTCGGAGTCAGAAAGGGACGAAAAATCCGGATCTAACTCTAGTGAAAGCGAGGCTGAATCTGAAGAAAAATCCTCAAACGGACCTCGACTTGTCTCTGCTAATCTTGTTCCTGTTGTGGATGAACCTGCTACTTCATTTAAGAAAGGCACATTCAATACTTTCGAAGCGATTTCACACAATGGTAATGATACCCCAGAAAATTCTGGAGAGATAAAAATGGAATATGATGAGCAAAGCTTGTCACCGACAGCCTACCCTATTGCTCAAAACATTCCTAAAACCGAGCCAGTCATGCAGCTTCCAGGAGGAAATCAACGCAAAAAACTCAAAGTATCTGACGTTTTCAATCAAGATGATGATGAAGAGGAAGTTCCCAGAAAAAGAAAACTGGTTCCGCTTGAGTATACCCATGAGGAGAAAAATGCAGTTCATCCAGTGCGTACATCGGAAGACAAGCGTAAGTTGGTACGTGCATTGATAGATAAAATACCTACGAAAAAAGAAGACCTTTTTGATTTTAATCTCGATTGGTCACAAGTTGATGCCAACTTGATGGATAAAAGAATTCAGCCTTGGATAACTAAAAAAATTGTGGAATATATTGGCGAAGAAGAACCCACGTTGGTTGAATTCATATGCAGCAAGATTATGTCAAAAAGTCCTCCTGAACGAATTTACGAAGATGTTTCCATGGTGCTTGATGATGAAGCTGAAGTTTTTGTAGTAAAGATGTGGAGACTGCTCATATATGAAACAGAGGCCAAAAAGGAAGGCTTGACAAAATAGTAAAATTTAACAAATCATACATATATAGACCAAATTGCGATGGGCGACACTCTCCCAAATTTATCTAAAACTGCCGTTTAGAGAGAATTGCTGAGTGACATTGTTAAAAAGCAGCCAGAACTATGTATGAGAAGTCTTTGGTTGAACCATATGAAAATGAACAAATTAAGCTTGCTGATTGTCGGTAACATTCTGTTCACGGAGATGCGAATTTCATGCAGTAGAACCAAATTATGTCTCATTTAAGGTTTTGAGAAAATCACATTTTTGTTATTTTCGAATCTGTATAGTCAAAACCAAAAATATACATACGGCAATACCCAAATTCAAAACCAAAACAGGTTCAACTTTGGAACCCAAAAATCGGTCCATAATGAGAGGAGATAACTAAAAGTCTCCTGAAAAATGTGACATAAGTACTTTGGTTTTACTGTCTCAAATTTGGCTTCATATTACTTTACGTTACCAATGATTTATTAATCGCATTTCATGATAATATAGGAAGGTAGCTGTCTCATTATGGAGAAAATGACATGAAATCAGTAATAATCACACAATTTATTTGCAAATTCAAACTGTCATACGAAAAATTGATTGTGAAGTTCCACCTTGCTAAAACTCCATTCCTAGCTACAATTCTGGAAAATATAATTATGATCATGATAAGTGTGCCACCTTGCTATTTTTATAATAAACACCACTGCTAGAATATTATGTTAGAATTATTCCAATATTCGGTTTCGTCTTAGAGATGTACCAATATAGCAGTATTTGCTATATCAACGATGTCTGTATTGGCTTGAAGGGTAAAATTACAGGATACAACTACATTGCAGAATAAAATCCGACTGACTGAAATCATCCTTTAAATTCAAATTATTTTGGATTGCGTTTTTAGGTTTGTTATCGAAATAACGAATTGTTATATTCAGCTTGCTTTGGAAAGTTTATATTAGCATGATTATTCATTAGATGTTTTGTAAAGGCCAATTATATACTAATTTGCAAATACTGGTTTGGGAGCACCAATCTAATTATAAGTTGATTGTATTTTCCGATGGTTGTCAACTAATATTGGTACATCTCTATATGCATCATTATACATATGGAGGTTTTGATGGAAATTTCATAATTTGAAATAACTTTATCGCTGATGCTTTTCTACTTGTGTTTATAGGGCTGCAACATTCCTAAAATTAAGAAACAACGGAAAGTTTTATGATTTTTCTGAATTGATTGGTGAAAAAATTCTTACTGATTGAATATCTTATTCCAATTCCCCTGCTTCTACAGACTTATTCATTTATGCTTGTTTGTGACTTTAAATCTCGCCAGCAAAATGTTTTATTGACTGCAGCAGAATTCATGTTGGATATTTCATCACTGGGTACTTGCCACAGCATCACAACATTTATGCAGTGCTTGGCATCGATTTAAACCCATATGTTGGGAGAATTTATTTTATGAGAAAATATCTGTACGATTTAGCTTGAGTTGAAAGATGGGAGCTCTTAGTTGGACGGTGGGGTATAGTGTGCAGAATCGAATATTGTGCCCCGTACTTATTTAATTTTGTCACAATGTTGTGATTTGTGAAATACTATGTTATTTAAAACTGGTCATCATCACACCTGACTATTGGTATCTCGTAGTGAAACGGTGCGATTTATTTGGTTTGTTTCTGTATTGTGCACTCATCCACACAATCTAAAATACTGAATTATTTGCAACATTTCATCTTCCAAATCAATTCCTTCTTGTTCATGTTCTCAAATTCGCGTATATAAATAAAGATTATTTTGAAATTAGACTCACCAGAGCTAAACACAGGTTAATGGATTGTATTTTGTGCGCTGCTGCTTAGGGATGACTTGTCAAACCATTTTTTATTTCTCTTTGTAATAAACAAAAACTTTGGGATTTGTTCTTATATTCCGTGTGTTGGTTAGCAGTTAGCCTGAACAGTGTATAATTTCTTAATTGTAGCTAGAGTAGACAGGATACCTTTTCCACGAAATATTCTACTTTGAACTAGTACTTGCGTCTATGTCTTTCAGGGCCAATCAACACCAAAATAGAACTTGGGCAACATGTCAATGAATGCGTTTATATTACTTTGATACGATTTTGGTTGCCAGTGAAGAAATTGCTCTGCTTGGTTTCCAATTCCATGGAGATGTCTGGGAGTATCTCCAAAAAGCCCTGTCCGAACAAATGGCCCGCAAAATATTTTCGTTATCACTCCGAACAAGGATAAGGAAAGCTGTAACTGTAATGCTAGCAGATCCTAACCACTGCGGCACTGATAGTTGGATTGAAGCAGGATGATGATAAGGAAGGGGGCGGGGTCAAGGGATTGGCAGCAACAGTCATGGGGGCAGTCACGATAATGGCATATACAATTCGAATCAGTCAGTGGCCAGCCTCCGTTAAAAAAAATTGTATTCTTATTAAAAATATATATTTATCACTGCAATTCTGAATGACGGAACGGGACAGCTGGTCAAAATCGGTACTGTCCCGGCTAAACCGGGGTTATTTTATTGTAAGCCTAAGTACCGTATATACGGTATATATAGCTGCCAACATTGGTTCTGCAACGGCAAGACGTCGATGATCGCTGAAAAGGAAATATATTTTCCGTTTGAACAACAACAACAAAATTCGCGCTTGATCGGGACAAAATACATACTGAAAAGACAAACTTAAACGTGTGAGCCTTTTTCTTTTTTTCCTATACCTTTACGCATCGTTTCATTTACTGATTATCACTGACTGCTGCGGATCATGCCGTAAATCGTCATGTCGTTCGCTGCCAAATCAACTCTTGCCGCTTCTATCACCTTCACTTCATCAGTTATTGGATACGTTCACTACGACCAAAAAAGAAACAAAGAGGTTTGTATTTTGTTTATCCCTTTACCTGTTTGCGTGTTTCTTATTTTGCTATCACGCCCGTGTATTCTGCAGCCATTTTATTTCACTGTTTTGTCGTACAATGCGATACAATTTTATTTCGATCTCTCGTCTAAAACACGGAAAACGAAAAACAAGAACAGACAAGGGCGACGGAAAGATCGGAATATAGTTAAAATTTAGAAAAAGGTTTTTAACAAGTGCTTTATACAAGGCTTGTACACATTCACCCACACTCACACAAATGAGAAAATAACCTCAGTCTATCTTGTTTGAAACATTGTGTACTTGAACAAAAATAAAGCCATCATGCTTTTTCACTTATATTTATCTATTATTACGATTCTCCCCAGCCTAAAACTTGATCAAGAGAATCTTTATGGACTTTTATGTCTCCTTGTTATAACTGACATTTTCCAAATTTTCCGCCCTGCCTGTTGGCATTTATTTTAGAATTTTTTATTACATTCAGATTTATTAAAATAAAATCGATAGTATGATATTCCCTATTTAGGATAATATTTCCAGTTCATGATAAAGATATTTAATAATAATTCATCCCCAAATATTGAATATTCTACATCAATATAAAATGATTTGAAAGAGTTATTTCTCTGAACTCTGAAGCATATACAAATAGATCATGATCTTATCGAATTGCTGCCAGTATTGATCGTTAGTTTGTGAAACCTTATCCTTCCTCGATGGTTTGGCACATAAATTGATACGACATAGGAGGGGGGTCCGTTAAAACTAAGATTCATTCTGCGGTGTAAAAAGCGTTGGGAACCCCGATGAGGTGATGAAATAAGAAAGAGAAATCAGTGTAATAAGGGCTGGTTAACTTTGGTACAATTTTGACTCTGTCACTCGTCGGATATATTAATACGTAACTGATCCTGTCCCAATGTTGAAGTAGCTGTGCGGCTGTGTATCACTACTTATTTATTTTACAGAATTTTTTAATTTTGGTAGATTATGAAATAGCATCATAAAGTTATCAAATTATCTAGAAGGAGTTATCCCAAACATGTTAATCCAATGAATCTTTTTAAAAAGGCTTCATTCCCTGTGGTGCTAGTACTAGTAGCACCAATCTTTTTTTGTCCGCGAAGTATATTCTAATCAAGGGAGAGAGTTTACTTGTTTTGTCCACCAGAAAATATTTACACAACAAAAACATAATTAAGGGAAAGAAAAATAGTTCTTGGTACAGACTGGGTGGCAACAATTTGACCATGCGGTCTTCGGAACGTTAGTTTTAGGACAGAGGTTCTCAAACTTCCATGGTCCCATGCCCCCCTTCCAAAGACTTTAACATTTGCGGCACTTAACACCTTTGACCCTGCCTTTCGAATAAAATATTTTATGCACCTTATTTATCGGTTAAAAAGCCAACAAACTGAAACAAATCATAATCAATTTACATCAAATTATTGTAGTCGTCATGAATAATACCTTGTGAAGCTCTTAGCTTGTGTCGCCCAGATGGCCTATCCATGTTCCCTAACGACAAAGTTTGAAAAAGCCTGGTCTAGCAAATGGTGCCAACGCTGCCAATTAATTCTAAGCAACATTTTGCGGGTTTGGCGTTTGAAAAATTATTTCACATTGAGCCATGCTGAAATCCTTCATTGTACTTTCAGAGACTGCAAGAAGGTTTGTTGGAAGACAAACTGCGACAAGAAGAGGGAATAAAAAGACGAGAACAAAATAGACTTGAATTAGAAGAACAACAGAAACTGACATCTTATCTAATGGAAAAGCGGGAAATAGAAGATGCTGAGAAAGACAACAAGAGTAATTCTTAATCATAGCAATGCACAATGGCATAATTTATTTCCGATTAGACACAGAAGATTATCAGTGCTGTTTTTTGGCAGTGATGTGTTTTCTAAGGCATGTCTAAAAGCACTTTACAATAACTCAAAACTGTCAGCTGAATCTGGTAAAGCTGTGGATAAACTAGGGGTTGTCTGCTTACCTGAGAAGCAGAGCAAATTACCTGTTAAAATATTTGCGGACAAAGAAAAAATTCCTATATTTACATATCCAGAGTTTCCGAGAGACTGCAAGTACGATATTGGTGTAGTTGTATCATTCGGGAAATTATTACCTAAGAAAGTCATCAAGTCTTACAAATTTGGAATGATAAATGTACATGGAAGTATATTACCAAAATGGAGAGGTGCTTCACCATTAGCACACACTATAATGAATGGTGATAAAAATGCTGGAATCACTGTCATGGAGATTAAGTCTGGCAAGTTTGACCATGGACGTGTATTAGCACAGAGTGAAGTAATAAAAGTGAAACAAGAGTGGACTTCAGAAGATCTTGGAATTGCTCTGGAAGATATTGCATCAAAATGCTTACTCAAATGTCTTGGAAATATTGAATTGTATTTGGAAAATGCCAAAGAGCAAACTGGCGATATCTCATATGCACCTAAAATAACTACTGGACATTCCAATATTTCGTGGGAGGCACAAACTGCAGAAGAAATTTATAGGAAGTATAAGGCATTTGGATTTAAAAAAGACTTTGTATTACGGACGAATTACCAAGAAAAAGGGGTTAAATTACAAAAAATGACAAGACTAGACATGGAAGAAATTCCTCAAGGCTTGGTTGAAAAAACTATACCGGGAGATGTTCATTTTGACAAGAAATCCAAAACAATTTATGTAAGATGTAAGGATACATTTGTGGGAATAACAAAATTAGTTTATGGTAAGCCATTAGCAGCTCAAGATTTTTATAATGGATCAATGCAAGAAAGGATAAAACAGGGCGAAAAAATCAGGTTTGAATGAATTGTCAAACTAAAGCCAGTAGCTGTGTTTGTTATTGAGCATGATACTATGTTCCATGATTTCATTTTTGTTTTAATTCTTCTAATTTTAGCAGTTGAACATGCAAAATAAAATTTGAACTTGCAAAAAAATCTTCCTTAATCTTACAGTGAATTGTTAACAAACCATAACAGGTTAAAAATTTATTCAATTGTACAATAATATTAGACAGATGTAAACACAATAAAATAAACACAAAACTAGTTTCTTTATGTGGCGACTGTAGATGCTGAAGGAATTCTCTCTAATTCCTTTAATCTTGCTTTTTCTTGGTTCTCTTTGAGAACTTGTTGGATACAATACTCACTTTCCTGACCAGATTCTGTCAATCGCAAATCCAACTCTGTGATTGTGCTGTTCTCTTCCATGCCTTCTTGAAGTTGCTTGCCACCATCCTGTAATTTGACAAGCAAACATGCATCAAGATATTTCAGAAACATAGGGACAAGGATGTCCAAAATGAAATGAATATTCATTTAAATTGTTTTATTTGGCAAAATCATCATTTTGAGCCAATATAAACCTAATATCTTAACTGCATTCCTGACCGATAGATTCTGTTAAACATGACTCAATTTTAGAATATACATGGTGTCCATAAAGTCCCTTTAAAATTTCAATTTTGTTACGAAGTCAGTTCTCAATATATTTTGACCAGGGTTGTTGTTTTTTAATCAGTAATTGTCCAAGTTACATTTGTGAGGGCCAAAACAATATATGGCATCGATAAAATCTCTGCCATTTTAAATTTAGCAAAGCTGATGTGTGTAATTGGTGGCAAAGTCAAAAATGTTAGCTTTGCCTGGCAGAGAGAATGTGGAATGGTTGAGACTCGCATCAATTAGAGTAAATCCCCATCTGCTGGAATAAATTTCATTACAACTTCAACTTACTGGCCCAATTCTGTTTCCTGAAAGACTTATTGTTGTTAATGCAGTGTTAGATATGAGAACTTGAGAGAAAACAGCAGCTGATGGTTCAGTCAAGTCGTTACATGATAAGTTGATATCTTCTAATGTGTTGTTGTTTAAAAGTGCTTTTGCAATGGCCTGACCACCAACATCACCCATTCTGTTAATGTGAAAGGTTTTTTTCATTATGAATTGAACCTGGGATTTCCAAAACCGAATAACCGAAATAATTTACTATATCCAATGAGTAATGGACGAAAAAACTTATTTGATGGCAATTATAATGCATGAAATGAATACTTTTAGAATTGATTTTTTAACCTAAATCTGGTTAGGTATAATCGTAACCGTGGCAATGGAAACAATATGTGTATGATGGTACCACGCAATATGTCCATATAAGAAATTAAAAAAAAAAATTTTATGTGCAAGTGTGTGATTGACACTAACCTGTTCAATCTCAGGTTGAGAGCCTTCAATTTTGAATTTTTTGTGATGGAATATGCAATTGCTTTTGCTCCTTCTTGTCTTATGATGTTATCACAAAGGGTAATTGAAGTGAGGTTTGGGCATCTGCAACATATTTAAAACAATTTTCAATGATATTACTCTAATTAAAGTAAGCTCGATAATATACAAATTAGCAATTCACCTGTTGTTAATAAGTTTTGCGATTCCTCTTGCACCCTTATCACCGATGCAATTATGTGAAAGATCCAGATTAGTGAGGCAAGGATGATCGAGAAGATTGCTAACTAAAACTCGCACTTTTGCGTCATCTACCTTGCTTTTATGAACACATATTTTTTTCAACCATGTGCAGGATCGCAGTGCTTTTGCAACTAGAAGACAATCTCGTTGTGTGAATTGAAAAAGATTCCATTCAAAGTTCATTCCACAATCTCGCACACCATAAGTTACTTTGAATTCTTCCAAATTCGGAAGTTTCTCCAGAAGTTCTCCAAATTCAAAGTGGTCCATTTCAGGACTTTCCGTTCCTGCATCACTTCCCATATCTGATGCTTCTTCCTCTTGAACTCCGGGTTTCGTTGGTTCTTTTACAGGAGGAAGAAGTTGTTTGATGTCTAATCTTTTGACATATTTCGAGCATAGGGGAATGGCGTTTGTAACTACATTATCGCTGGTTTTCTCTGGTACAAAATTTTCCACAACATCTTGCATATATCTTTCAAAAAACATCCTTTTCCAGCTTCCTCCATAATTGGTGACGTCACATATATGGTATCTACAAAATTATGTTTGAACTTTGATAAAATCAGGAGAGGATTCTCATATCTATCTTGGGTAGAGTTAATGACACCTAATTGCATGGCATTGGACTCTCAACCAATTACCATTTCATGCCAAGTATGGGAATAGTTAATCTGATAGTTGTTTCACTGGGGAAGGAAGGTGTAACTGGCCAACAGATATAAAACCACCTTATGATGGTGGGATGTGTGCAATACTCTCTCACTTCATTATCACTATCCGCACAGGATTTAGTGTGGTCTGCCAATCGCTGAGCAGGTTATAACAAGACACTAACTTCATATGTAAAAGATCCAGAGAAAAGAAATACTTGGAATTTTCAAATATTTATCTAACCTGATACGGGTATGAGTTCTATTTATCTATTGACGCAACTTACTTAGCTTTACAACATCTTTTCCAATAGGATTCATCTTCAACCAAGTGAGCTGTTACAATGATATCTATTTTTGGTGCAATTTTATCAAGAACTTTGTTTTTATCTTTTGGATGAAGTTCTTTCAGTATTGGATTTTCTGGAAAAATGTAACATACATAAATACGCTAAAGCTGTTGTTATTATCATTTTAATTCAGTTTGGAATATGTTTAATAGGAATTACATTAAATGGAGGTTATTTTTATTAGAGTACATTATTTTCCATGTAAATAATAATCTGATATATAGCCCAAACTCATCTGAGCCAGCAGTGTGACAGTGGTCTCAAGATATGACATGCTTTTTACCAATCAGCAGAACAGTGTATTTAAACAGTTAGACAAGTCCTTACTTTCAAAATTGTCAACAATATGGTTTATCACTAAATCTTTCAAAAGAGGTACTGTTGCTAATGACCAATCAGGATCTTCTGCAATTATTCTTCTTAAAACCTTTGTATCATTGGGAATCGTGGGTGCTGCTGAAGGTTGCAAAGAATCTTTTTTAACATTGGATCTTCTGTCTTTAACGACCATGTTGATTATCAGTTCCGGTAACCGTTTTTCAAACGAGTATAAAAACGAAACGTATATAATAACTACAGGAACAGGTTTAATGCTTTTAGAAACAGAGAAACAAAGCCATCACCTTTTCAAAAAGCACTGGCGGAGACAAAAACCACAACTAAACAACGCTAGCTAGTAACCATGGCAACGTATCTGCTTGTTACAGCGAATTCCATCGAAATCTATTTTCCGTACCAAAACACTGATTTGAAAATTCATTTTTTATCAACAATATGCAAGTAAACAAAATTTAATGACATTTAAAATGATAAAACTATATAAATATGACGAAAGGCGGATCTATTATCAGGCAGAATTTGTTGCCACATTTTTTTCTGGCTTTCCGTGGGTTATGTTTATTGTAAACGACCACAAACTTTCAGCTGCAGTTCTATTACAGCCGATTGTTTTTAGAATTGTACATAAATAATATTTCAAATTTTCTCATAATTTGATATTGATTTTTGCACTGTACATTGATAAAATATTCTCATTAGACCGGTAGCAAAACATTTTACTGATTGTTAATATTATTGGCTTGCATACCTAGTTTTATAACGGATTTGAGGCCACTAGCTTGGGTAGAATTCTTTAATAGAAACTCTACAAATCGAAGAGAGGATTAGTTTTTTTACACAGTAGTATTGGTGCATTTATGCTTTTCCTAGCACACCACTAACCGCAAGCAGACTTTTAAAATATCAAATTTAATTAAAGATGAAAACTTTACAGAGTAGCATCCTTTCCAAACTATAATACCCCAAACACAAAATTCGAGTCAGAAACGTGGGACGGCTTTATTTTACTAAGCATAACATGCATCAGCAGTCACGAAACATTTTAAGCAGCAACAAGTACAAAAGGCATTCCTGGTTCACCATTCATTTGACAATTCAACTTGAGCTGGAGACATTTTAAAAGACACGAGTTAATTATACACCATGCATATAACTTAAATATGACAGGTGGCAAACAAAAGTGAACAGCACATAAAAATATGTGGTTGTGTAAAAATTTGCAATCTTTTAACTTTCACGGACTGTCAAGAGAAAGTAAATCCAGAATATTTTTATTAAACTTGAATCGTTCCTGGTGGAATAAATTGCAATTAGAGCGATAAATAATTTAAAAAATGCATGACAAATGATTGACTTCCTACCAAGGTAGTATCATCCAAAAATGGACTGAAAGCTGCCCAAAAATATCACAAGCAAAATCTTCAGAATAAAAACATTCTTTTTGACTGATGATATAATGGTTGAATATGATGAACTCCAGTTAATGATTCAGAATTTATATTAGGTGAAACTTGAACAAATACAATAATATTAATTAGTTCGAGAATGTTTTTCTTTGATTTTCCAAATCTTCAATCTCCCAGATTAATGCCGTCATGGAGGAAAATTACCAAAAAATAAACAACTATGAACAACAAATTGTTTTATTTTTTGAGCAGTATACAATAAAAACGGGAAAATAAAAATATTTGATAAAATCATGCTCTATCTACAAAGTTATTTTTATCAATTTAAATCTAGTTAATTCTATTTTTATGACACCGTTTAGAATGACAGTTTTGCTACTAATTTGTTTCATACAACTTTTTCGGTATCATCCCCTCAAACGAAAAATATACTGCATGAAAGGTATGAATGAAAGAAGATTCGGACTTGAAGAAAGTATTTAAATGTCTGAAAATCATTTTAATAAAGCAGGACAAGCGATTTTGTGTTGTAAAGTTTTTTTAAACACTGCTTTCATACAAAATATGCCAATGGGAGATCGGAAAATTAGATACAAAGCAGCACCAAAATTTGAATTTTTTTTAGTTTTTGATAAAATCACATCTGAATGTCATTGAATATTATACACATATCATAGGATAGAATCGATTTAATTTTAATGTTAGGACACCACACTTGGTTATGAACAGTATGACAGTAATATAGTATATAATAAGTAAATGCTAAAATAAAAGTATAATATACATTTAGAGATATTAGACTTGAAGTTAATGAAAAAAATAGAGAAAGAAATAAAATAATTACATTTTTGTCCACCGGATCAACATTCTCAATAAAAAAATAAGAACATGTTTATGTGCATTTGCTTGGACAGTTGCCATCATTGGATTGAAATATGGAAGATGGCTTTTGTCTTAAGTGAAGACAAATTACACTGCTATTTTATACACTATTTAAACCAAATAAATCTGCATGAAGCACAAAAAAGTACATTCATCAAAAATCCAAAAAAAATTTAAGTTTGCCAAATATTCAGGCTTTATAAAAGCGTCAGCTCTCAGCTATGAACATATTTTCATCCCAGTAACAAGCCATTATTGAAGATCCATATGGTTGTATTTTGTGAAGTTTCTTCTGATAACAAGGTGATCCAAAACTTGAACAATGATGTCGTAACGAGAGATAATGAAATGTAATGATCTGATTGAAATTATATTTCTCCATTCGGTTCTGCAATGCCAATATTATCATTAATATAGGATTGAAAGTAGATAGCATTGGCAATAGGTGTGAATATCAATATGTGCATTCAAAATGAGCCAGTGCTAAAAGCATGTATAAAAGCAATCAGGAAACACACCAACACACATGCCTAGTACTCTCCAAACTGGGGGTCTCGATCTCCCATGGGTTGTGAAAAGCACGATGGGAGTCGAATTAATCTTTTTTGACACTACTAATTTCGGTCTTCTGTTCGAAAATATGCAAGCACAATAATAGTATTCTCAGTTTATTTTATATTTTCAATTTTTCTGCATTCAAATCTACTTAATTTTAATCTTAGTTCATGAAGGGCAAAAAAAAATTTGGCCATGCCGAGTGGGTCATGACGAAAAAGTTTGGAGAACACTGCTTTTGTTGATGTCAGAATAACAATTGTTATAAATCAACATAATAACATCAATAGAGAGAATTGGTGAATAATTATCAATTTTGTTAGTTCTGAGATATCACCACTAGTTAGACTGCTATACGATCGATAAGAAAAAGCGGAACAATGTGGTTTCAAGTCGTCGTCAGCCCAATACACTCCCGAGGGATTGGCATAGCAAAATATTCAATATAGAACGATATTGTCGTCAAAGAAGCATGCAATGAAAGGCAATTTTATGGGTGATTTAGATTGTAATATATTTTCACCAATCACCATACTTTTTTTTTCTCAGTACTGAACATGGACACATTTCTTATTCTTCCATATAAACAGACAGCACAGCTGTTTTGTTTTTTTCTCGAAACTATTACTGAGCAAGAAACTATTCTACAATAACATATTCAAGACTTCATGTTCGTTGTACCTGTTGTCTCAAGAGTTCGCAAGCATCACATATTCTTCATACAAGTTGATCAAAATGGATTTGTTGCTGAATCAAACCATGCAGAAATGTTAACAGCAAACAATTAGAAAGAAGTGATTCAAAACACATTAGTGTGAAGCATTCTTAGTGCAAGTCTGATGGCTTAGCATTCACCAAGGTGTTTGAAGGATTCCGATCAAAAAGCTCGAAGGTGAATCGTGGCCATCGTTTTTCAATAGATCAAATTAGTAATCAAACAAAACAGAATAGACGATCAAAATCGAGCCAAATTTGAAGATACCAAAACTGTATATTGCATTTATCAGAATCTTCAAAAGTGATACTATGACAGGATTAACAAAGACTAAAGAATTAACAAGCCCAATATTATTTCATTACTGCCCAATCACAATATTAAGTTTTTCCTATGAAGTGATAGAGATTTGAAAACTGTGACACACAGTAGGAAGTGATCAAAAATGTTTAAAACTTCGAAAATGTATGTGAAAGCATTTTGAGTCGGTGCCATATTTAATATGATAAAAAGCATGCATGAAATGAACATTGTTCAAGTCAACAATAAAAGTATAAAAATTTCAATCCTATTTGGCATATATAGGTAATTTAAAATATTGATGTCCCAGGAATTCGAAATTGTTGTTTCACCGATGATGTAATAACAAAATGCGAATTATATCACAGTGTTGGAAAATCACCAGAGCAAGAACCATCAACACTACCTCAAAATGTTCAAATTTTACGAACCCGGCTTACATTATTCATGCAAGATGAAACACCATGATAAATTGAATTACAAATTTCAAAATATTGATAAATGGAATTATATTCTGTCAGAGAATACAACTGATAATTTCAGCAAAAATTGTATAAGGAAACCTCACACGAAGGCTTATTGGGACTTACTTCTTTGACTAGGCGGAATTAAATGTTCTGGTAATTTGTCAGGAAGATCGTGCCCATCAACTTTCAGTTGTATGAGATGCATACTCAAAGCAAATTCTTCATCAGTTAATGCACCATCTTTATCGTGATCAGCCAACTTCCAAATTTTGCTTAGTATGGTATTATTGAGTTTGGATTTCTCCATGACCTGAAACATATACAAAAATGCCATTTTATGATGTTTCTCAAAAATTTAAAACTGTTTAGCACATAATTTTGTTATCATATCAAGTCAAACATCGGACATCGGTTTTTAAAAATTAAAATTTTTACAAACGAAGCTTGAAAGACAGTAACATAATCATAACCATACAGTAACGTTATAACATCATAAATATATACAGATAAATGTAGGCTAAATCAATGTAAATCCATGGCGCGCATTCCTTTTAATCATGATAAAAATATAATGTGTAACTTGTGTAAATGTGTCAATAAAAAAAGATTTGCCATCCGAGCAAGAGTGTACGCAGGAGGTAGGTTTTGTTGGGGCGGGACACCTTTTGAAATGTGAAAAAAAGCATTTTCCTGTATGAAACATAGGAATTATTTCGTGGCTTGAAAGTAATTGAAACAGTTTTAGACGCTCCAGTTTGCCTCCAGACTCCTGAAAACCCACGGTTGCTGGCCTTCGGCCATACCCGTTAGCTGGTACAGTCTAGCTTGGCAATTGGAAATTTTAGAATCTCCTCTTGAAATATCCTGGCTACGCTTCTGCATCCCAACAATGGTCCTTTTTCAAGAGAATAATAATGAAACACAAACCGGTTTTGCAGCACTTCCTTTCACTTTTCCGTTGATTGGTTTTAAACCATGGAATATTTCATCATATCTAGGTTTGTCTTGTTCAACAATCCAGCCTTCTGTTCCTTCATCAATACCAGCGTTAACGCCAACACCCCACTTCTCACTGAATGGATTATCTTTGGAAGTTGCAAATGCTCCACCTAGAATATAAAAAAAATATTTTTATTACTTAATAGATAGCATGTTGTTAAAAATTTTTATTTATAAAAGAATGGAGATATATACTTATTAAAGATGTCCCTATATATATATAATCCATATATAATAGTGGATAAATTAAAGAATGAAGCATTGCAATATTTTTTATTTTCGATAATTTTACATTCGCAAGAAATGCCAAATTTGAAAATATAAGAGAATGATTTCGATGCTTAATCTTTATTTTTTGATAACCTGAACATGCATTGATACAATCTGAGTGACAATCCAATTTTTAGTTGAGAAATATGGTATAAGGAATTAGTCAAAATCAGTCAAAAAAAATAAAAATTTTATATTCAAATTCAGATGATCTTTAATAGTTGGTTGTGATTATTGCTGCAATATTTTACATCTAAAAGCGATGGAATGTAAGAATTTATAATTATTCTTGATTCAAATATTCTGTGATTCAAAAATTACAAATTAAACTGAAGAAAGAGTCATTCAGTCAATAACTGCTCGTATCAGTGGTATATTGTTAAAACTGAAATTTCGAAACTGGTTCATCACTAATGATATGCGGGAGAAAACCCATTATTTGGTCACAATTAATAATGAATAGCATGGATGACTATTTCATGTGAGTGGTGTAAAGTAAACAAATGACACTTGTCTAATTTTTTTGTCATAGCTTTGTAAAAATTGCAATCCAAAAACAGGAAAGTATAATTTGATTCATTTGAATGGTTCATGGATAAGTGTATTAAACTTGCATTATAGCATACTTTAATCATGAATATAAAATTCTTTGATTTCAAATAAAATTATGACATATCAAAAATGAATGAGTCACGACCAAATCACAATCTAACAGTGTAATAGTTTTTTTGCCATGCAACCATAGAGTTGTGATTGTGAAATTTAATAAATGAAATTGAGTGTCACAATGATATGTTTAAACAAATCGTTGAGACAAAATATACAAGAAATTCAACCATGCCTAGCAGTCTTAACGATAGCTAATATGAAAATTCTGAACTAGTGATAATATTCAATATTTTTTGTTTCATTTCAAAAAACGATTTTGGTTTAACTGACGATTGCACTTATAATAACATTAATAAAAGAACAATAAAAACTTCGGCATACTCAATTAAAAAAATATATGCATATATCAGGGATGGCGAACCTTTTTCACTGAATGGGTCGAAAATTATATTTTTATCGCGGAACAGAAGAGAGTGGGTCACAGATATTTAATCAATGCTTGTATCTATAAGAAACTTCTGAAACAAATCATGATACAACGGTTCTGTTTGTGTTGGTGTAGTTTAGGTCTTTACTTATACAGCACTTGTATCAGGGACTTTTTATGGCACTCGGTTTTTATGAAGAGTACGAAAACATGTATATGAATTACGTTTAGGATGATGCGACAAATTATTTTACGGTTCCAAAGACTTTGGAGGGAATTAGAGTGTTATATTTCTCTATCAGCTTAAACCATATTAAAAGAACTTTGCACTGTCCCATTGGTATTCCAGATTTCTAGTTTTTTTTTTCAAGTCTGAAAGATTTTGTATCCCCATCGGCATTGTAGGCGAGAAACTATTAAAATGCAAAGTAGCATCTAGGTCTCGTATAACCCCTAAAACAGTCTGCAGATCCACTTCTGAAAGAGACAAGACGTTGCGAGAAATGAACATCAATAGCATTGTTATGTCATAAACAATGTCAGAGCCAATAGCTGAATAAGGGCACACAGTGGTGCAGACATGCGTCCAAGATTAGGAGTTTTGAAAATTACCATACCGGAAATTAACAATTTGAATATAAACGATCACAACCCTGACTGCCCAAGTGGCGGTACAATATAATAGTTTAGTTATTGTTAAATTAATTTAAGGCCGGTTTTATCAATTTTTATCACCGATGTCTTAGCGTTTTTGTCATTTTATTCATGCCTTGGCAGGTCACGAATAAAATTCGGTGGGTCACTTTGTGACCCGCGGGTCAGTGGCTCGCCATCCCTGGCATATATGGATGATAAACTGCTCATGGAAAGCCTATTAAATAAAATATAACAGCCATATTCTTGAATAAGTTTTGCAAGCATTTTCACAGTTAAACACAGACATACTTGTCCATGGCTAGATAGCATATATGTAGTGAATGTTACCCCCAGAAAAACAAAAAACAAGAACAAAAATCCCATCATAGTCATTATTATAAAACCTCCAGTAAGAATGAATGTGTACAAATCCATTGAGCAATTGATTAGATAAGCTTAAAAACTTGAGAATCAATATATTAGTAACAATGAGTGTTAAATGCTAATTATAACAACAGCATATGTTGCCATTGTTGTTCATAATCACAGGCCAATGTGCATTGCATAATGGATATTTTATAGTAAACTAGCAAGTAGCAAGACTATATTATTTAACAAGGTTCGCTTGTAAATGAAACCACCAGAAAATGTATAAGTTTGAAAAGCATTTTCTCACAATGCAAGGGCCACTACAATCCCATAATTAGAATGCACATATACTTACCATATAATACCAATTACCCAATTCGTATATAAGAATAAAACAAAAAAGTCTGAATAGTTTTTTACAAAGCAAGAGTCTCATTAGCATAACAAATTTTAATAGTATTGCGTTTAAGGATAAGTATTCAGTCTGGCATCTAGTTCATATACTTGAACCTTGGCAAGAACTTTAACTCAAGATAACACAAACCTTTGACTTGAGGTCCATCTTGTTTGACTTTCTGATTTGCCATTGCTTCTTCTTTTTGTATCAACTTCATTAATTCAGCAATATCTTTTGCAAGCATATCGTCAACCTTGAAAAAAATAAAATGCCAATAATAAGACAACAATATTAGTTAGTTATACAAATTAAACCCACACAGAGACGAAAATGAAAAAACGTGACACATGAAACTTTATTGATTACATTCAGTGCCGGCTATTTTATTATATTATCGAATATTTTTATATTGATCTTAAAATTAACGAAATAATCCACATAACAAAACTTATCACACTGATCATCATATTGTTTAGTTGTGTTTATTCCAGGAAAAAGAAAGTATTTCAAAACAGAGTTTGCCTCCATTATGTATTACCGTATATTTAAACCTCACTTGTATCAGCTATGAATCATGCTAATCATTTCTCTAACTAAAAAATATTATAGTGCCATTTTTTGTGTAAAAATATTTTAGAGTAAAACATGAACGAATGGCAAGGAGCAAACAATATGAGCGAGTTTTAATTGTGCAAAACCTAGTAGAAACCACTTGTTAAAATGTACTTCATGTTCTAAATTTTTCTCTTTTGTTATGACATTTGCACTAATATAGAAATAGAAAAATTCCAATGTGAAATCATAATGCTCAATAATAAAATTTGTTATGTAGCCTACATCCTTGAGTTGGAAAATTTTGACGAATACCATATGTACATGATGAGTGACCATATGTACTTTTCCGTGAGCATTTCAAATGCATTCAAATATAAATAAATTTTTAACAGCTACTTGCTATCTCTGTTGGTGACAGCTGGTCAGTGTTCCCAATGGATATTTACATTGTAAAGCAACCACAATTCTAACCATTATAAGAGAAGGATCACTTGGCTATAAATTACAATAGTATGGTGAAGTACATTAGATAATAGTCAACTTATGGTATTTAGATTCCATGACTTTTATCATGCATGTCCAACTGGTGTAATAGGCACCACAAATGAAATATAAATAGCCTTATTGGATATTAAACCTCCTAATACAAAAGGTTGTGTTATTACGTCTGTGCATGGATTCATATACGTTGAAATTGAAATATCGTCATATTAAGATAATAATCTTCAATATCATATTTTAAAAATAAAATCTTTAAATACAGCTTTCATGGTTTGCAAAACCAATAACGAATAACAAGGCAAGCTAATCCGTGTCCAAATATGTAATAATTCCCCTCAATTCAATATTTACCTCTGTGTAATGTTATGCAATATTTTGTATAACAATTGAACTATTCCATAAGATCGAATATTGATAAGCGTTTAAACAAACAAATTGTAAAGATTATTTTGCCCCTATCTATCAGTGGTTCCTTGTGAAGCGAAGCGCTTATAAATACGTCATATAAAAAAATTAGTAAAAATCGAATCTTACCCTCCTGATCATTGATTCATTCAAAGACTTGAACTTTGAAAAATCAGCTTTCTTCAAATTTTCCCTCATTTCATTAACATTTGGGAAGTCACCTGAAAAAAAGTTGAAAAATGATACACAAATGGAATAGACACATGTTATGGTTTATTTTCAATGAATTTCCACTAACAAGTTTTAATTTTACAAATTAGTTCAAGATGTTTGGTTGTTTATTTTATCTACTTTATGCAACTTTTTTATATAAAATGCAGAAAGAAATTATTAGAAGAAAAGATAAGACAGAAAAAGAAGTTATATAGCAGTGTTACTTATACACATTGTACTTGATAAATAGGGAAATCACAATGATTGTTGAAAAATCATCTAAGAGCTGATAAAAAGTTTTCACATCGTGTAACAACAAGCATGCTACACATTACATAAGTAAGTAGACTACGCTAATATTTCTTAAGCACAGGAAAGTGAATCACTTCTGACAATGAAAGCATTGAAATATTCCCCTAATTTTCCAGATAAAAGAATTGCACGAGATGACAGAGGGTGTTTGTGGATAGTTCTGTAGTATATATACTATGAGAAACATGAAAGTATGACGACAACAAACAAAGTTGCTAAGCACAGGAAAGTGAATCACTTCTGACAATGAAAGCATTGAAATATTCCCCTAATTTTCCAGATAAAAGAATTGCATGAGATGACAGAGGGTGTTTGTGGATAGTTCTGTAGTATATATACTATGAGAAACATGAAAGTATGACGACAACAAACAAAGTTGCTATCCTCTAATTCAAAGGCGCTGCTCATGCAAGTGGATGCCAAAACAAGTTGAAAATTCAAAATATTCAAAATTGAGTATACTCGATATATTGAATTTTTAATTTCAGGAAAAATTTTAAATATTTTGAGAACATTTTGTTAGACAAAATATAAAGTTAGATGTCCTACACTAAAAAAAGAGATTAATATTATATAGAACAATATGTAATTTCTATAAATATTCAATGGTTTGTATAATCTTCTACGTTGAACAAGACTCAATTTAAAACATATACTTCCTATTGAATTCAGAATGTATTCAGTTTTGACCATTCCAGATTACACATTTATACAGTCATTGCGTTTTTACACATGTGAAAACAAACAAACTGTTTAAGTTATGACACGTGAACTGCAAACACATGTAATGCATGTTTAATCTAAATATCTGAATAATATGTTTTAGAAATGACAGAGATCTATCCAGTTCAAAAAATTCATGACACCCACACGAAGAGGTCCAACTGATGTACAGAATTAAGTGAATCTACGGTAATTAACAACACATTACTTTTTGATAATATTTTGTTAGACTCCACATATTTGAAATTTTTAGGATATTTTCTCCCAAATATAAATAGAACCCTGAAGCAGGAAAAATTATATTTGACAAAACAATCTAGTTTTATTTTGATTTCAATTTAATTTGTTCTCACTGGTAAATAAACTGTCACAGAATAGTTGTGTGACGCGAGTCAATCACATTAAAGTGCTATAAAGTAAATAGATCTAAACAGCAACAAAGAAAACTAATTGCTTTGTTAAATTTAATTTTAAAGTTGCACAAACAACATTAGACCACATTTAAATATATTGAGAGGAGAAAAAATCCCAGGCATATTCCAATTCTAAATATATTTACATATACTTTTAATATTAGGGACATTTACTGAGAATTACTTTATTTTTGCACCTGTGTTTAATATTGAATAAATTATATGAATAAAATCATTCATTTGAATCAGTTAGGTAATCTAAATTAACTTCAGTTCGACTGTATTGAATAAAGAATGTCAGACTGTACAGATAGAAGTTGCAAATCCAGTCACTGCTTGATTTATCATGTTGATACACAGATGAACCAATTTTTATATTCCAGATACCTCAAAAATAATGAACCAACATTTGAACAAATGTACAAGAATCCGTCTTATGACATCACAAAGCCCATGCCATTCATATCACAAACACACATCATTACTTACTGGCTCTAGCTATTCCTTTAGATGGATCCACTATGTTAATATTTAAAAAAGAAATCATTCACCGACTGGCTTTAATATTATGATAAAATAATATCATGATTAAATATCACTACACATAACATACAACATTCCATTTGTAAACTAACAATGCTTGCAGTAAGATGGTAATATCAAACCTAAAAAGTAGATCTTTCTTATAAAAAGTAACATATCTTTTTTCAATTTCAAATCAAAGTTAAACAAGTTTGAAGAAGGTATATGAGAATCTTAGCATTTCATTTATAAACAATATGTAACAACATTAATAGGTTAAATTTACCAACAATATAACTGAGTTTAGTTAGCTCGATAAAATGGGAAAATCTTGGGATACAGGATTTTTCGCTGATACCTCAAGACGCAAAGTCTATAATGTACTAAAGAAATCATGTGCAGGTTCAGATATAAATTATGAAGGAGGCTAAGATAACAACATATCACCGAAGTAAAGCTAAAGTAACTTATGTCACATTCACAATTTTCATAAATGAACATTTTTGATCTTCTGCCATTATGGACTAAGCGCTTTTGGCATGGGTTTTAAAGCTGTTTTTGATTTTGAATAGTGCCTTATGTCCATTTTTAGACTTAGCTGTACAGATCAGAAAATTACAAACAAATTTCTCAAAACCTTGGAATGTGACAAACAGGGATGGCCAATTCGAATAAAGTATTCGAATGTATTCGAATATCTCGTCATTCGAATATCGGAATTAGCGTTCATAAGAATATCGGATATTTGTGTAACGTCACACATTTTCGACCCCGCTCTCAAGACGTTTCCGTTGAATAAAAACATTCTCGATAGAAACTTGCGCGTGATTGTTTTCATCACTCATCAGCGTAACGTGTCATTTAGGCCGTAAACGCCTTTATGTTTGTGTTATTTTCTCTAAAACGAAAATTTTCCACAAATTTGTTCCACGTAACGAAGACAATTATTTTATTTTTGTACGCGCACGGAATTGTGAATTTGGTAAATACGTTTATCGGCGGCGAGTTTCTAAAGACAACGCAACTTTTTGATTGGAAAGCGGCAATTTAAAATACTGAAAATAAAACCGTAAACAATATAAGTTTTATTGAGGCCCGCGAAAATTTGAAAAACGCTTTTCTAGGCAGTGAAAATCGCAGAATTCCGTGTGCCTCCGGCACACATTATGTTTGGTCGGCGTTTAGAAACATATCGTCACGAATTGAGGGCGGGATTTGATTATCCATTACTTTAATTTGCCGTCGAATATTTTCAAAGTATATTTAATCAATTTTATTTTGATGAAATAAATTTCACTCCCGAGATGTTACAGAAGATTTACGGATTTTTCGAACGGTTTTATCTAAAAATAATCAGAATGGCAGCATTTCGATTGAGCGGAGACACTGTTAACAAGTACATCTAAATATTTGCCGAATTCGCAAAATACGGATCAAAACATTATTTAATCGGGCAGTTTACTACACGTTTTTTATTTTTATGGCCGCGGATTGCAATGGTATATAAGAGTGGTGAGGATTTTATTTTGTCGACGCAACCGCATGTTAAATTGAAGACAATTAAATTAATAATAAAGCAAGACATTTTAAATATGCTCGTATCGGTCACGAATTCATCACTTTGCACAACAGAAAAATATATTGTTCTATTATTTGTTGTAAAAGTCGACTCTTTTAACAGGTGGCATAATCGCGGCGATGAATACGTATTTTCAATTTACTGCTAAATTTTGTATTTATATTCATTGTATGAATTGAATTATACTCAATTATACAGAATTTTATATCATTATTTGAAATTTTTCTAAGGGCGATAACGAGTTGGCAAGATTGCAAAAATACGTATTAAAATTAAATACATCAGGCAGTTTATCTCGTACTTTTAGGTCACAGATCGCCGTGGACCGAATAGTAATGTTTTTTTTTGACGTAAGAAGAGGCAACCGCGAGTTACGTTGGACACATTAAATTAATATATAAAGATATTTTAGAAACTCGTAGTTGTCATGGATTCAATATTTAACGTAACAGGATGATCATTATACGCTGAAAAGACGGCTCTTTTAACGAGCGCGGAATCGCGGTGGGTGTTACCAAAGTCACTTTGGGTGTTACAGGCGGCAATGGGAATTTCCGATTTCGAAAATCCTGGCTGCGCGGCTGGCAGTGGTGGTCATTTATCCTCTACTGATTTATTTCTAATTTCAAACACAACAATATGTTACACATAATAACAATATGGTTCACATAAATTAATATACAAATATATATACTGGTAGGTAGTAGAATACTCTATGCTTAAATATTAAAATTTTTAAAGGCATAATGAATTTTCGATTGTTGTTGCTTGTTTCAGTTGCCTGTATTGCCAATAAATTTTATTACTCTCAGGAAATATACATAATTATCTGAATACAAGTAGTATTTTTGTCAACAGACTTGACTATTATCATAATATCATGGTACCAATGATGGAAAGCGTCAGACAACTCTTTGGCTATCTTTTCATATGGTCATTTGGACAAAGTGAATAATTTTAATAAACTGACTGTGTCACATGTTGCTAATATTTTTTATTGATAGCTAAAAACTATCAATTATCTTATGTACATATATTGTTGGTTTGTGGCTTTTTTCTGATATTTTTATTGAAGCTTATTTCCTGATTTACTGGGTTTTACTAAACAAAAATGTGGTATTTTCGATTTTAGAATGTATTCGGAATTCCAGATTCGAAAACATTATTTTAGAATGTATTCGGAATAGTTTAGTATTCGGAAATGGCCATCCCTGGTGACAAAGCTAATTTGGTTTTACTGCGACAATATCATAATATCGTTCTTACAATTTCTGCAACTACTTCTTAACTGCACATAAATTTGAATTCCAGTAGCTATGTGCATAACTGTTTTTAATGTTTAGCATGTTACTTTTTAATTCATTCGAATAGGTGTATACTACTTATCGCTCAAATGCCTTTTTTCATTTAATGAAACAATTAAGAGAAATTGATATAAAATTTAATTATTAGTAAAAAATAACAATAGAAGGTACTCCCGTAGTATGTGAACCAAGATGGCGGACACCTGCACATACTATGTTCAGGTGTCCGCCATCTTGGTTCACATACTACGGGAGCGCCCAATAGGATAATAATATAAACACAGCATATTTTATATAAAATACATTGGGACTATTATTGAAATGGAACAAAATGGAGACAGTAACAACACGCATCAAAACGTACACCATCATGCAAAGATACCTTTGTAGATCAAAAGAATAAAGTGAATAATCATTACCATGTTCTGAAAAGAGATGGAAAAAGTAATAGAGTGATAGACAGGGCATAGAAAAAGCAGAAAAAGAAATTTGTATGATATGGATTTTTATTCAAAGGTTAGACCTTCGTATATGCGAGACACATAGTGCTTTTAAATATCAAAAATATCATCTGAGCTAAATGTAGAAAAGCTTTAGCAATATTTAAAGCTAATTGAATCTAATAATTAGGAAATGAGTTTGCCACTACTACCAAAACGTCATACTGTTAAAAATATTAAAGGGTCGTACGACACTGTTAATAGATGTACACGAACAAGCATATATATCATCTACTATGGTAGAATATTATTTATGGAATTTTGAATATGTATCGACCAGATTGGATGAGTGTTCTGTATCGATTTTTAGTTTTAGGAATTAGTTTTATGCAGTGTAATTCCATTGACTCTGCAGGAAATGTTAACCTAATGCCTATACAGAAATTATCAATTGCAATTATATGCGCACATTATCATGTCATGCATATGGTAATACTGAATTATTAACTGAAACATATACAACGAAAATTTTATTTAATTATGTCTTGTTTGATTCAAAAATGTTATTACCATCAGTATGAAAAGATACCTTCTATATTAATAAAGATAAGATAACCAAGTTAAATTTAGGAGAAAAAAATTAACGTTTCATTTAGCATTACCACTTTTATTAAAAACTAATCGAAAATTTCGAAAATACTAAAACTTTTGATCAGCATACCGTAAATTGTACAGTATGAACAAATGCATTTTTTTCAGAATTACATAACTCATTTACAATCTAAAACCAAATGTATCATACCAAGAGGAATCTTGTACTTGTCCGAGATAATCTGGAATATTTTATCAAGATCGCTGATTAGTTTTGCTTTCGCTTTTTCCTTTCCAAATACACTTGGCATCTGATCATGAAGATGGCTGATAATGTATGCATTCACCTGTCATGTAGAATTAAAACGTTGAAAACAACACTTGAGATCAGTGGTTCTCAAAACGTGGGACGGGAGGGGGGATTCTAGTCAATTTGGGAGGGGGGCTAAAGCTAACTAAAAATAAGAACATTTGTTAGATTTGATCTTGCCCGCCATATTTTGAATACTTACAAAACTTATTTCATTATTTACGTTCCATTAACATATTTTCAAGTTGTTTTTTGAATAAAACATACTTCCGCCTTACTATCTGATATCTCATTACTTGTTAGCTAGTTATTTTTGAGGTGGGGCACGAGTCTTGACAAACTCTAAAAAGGTAGATAGAGGGATAGAGGGGATTTAGATAGATAGAGGGTGACGGTGACCCCCCAAAAACAGAAGTTGGGTCGAATGGAACATATTTTCGAGAGAATATAACTTTTGTGCAAAATGTTCTAGATCAGTAGTTCTCAACCTTTTGCAGTACGCGGATCGGTAAAATTTAAAAACAAATTTTGCGGAGCGGCAGACCTTCAAAATTGACCAAAAATGTCATTAAAACAAAACATAATCAAAAGAATGCAATTACGACAAAAGTAGGGGGTGCAAAAGAAGACAATCCAATTTAATGAGAAATTTGCTGCTGTCTTTTTGATATTATACGTCTTAATAGCAGTTCGAAAAAAAGTTTCTGCAGGGCGAAGTAGAGCGTTGACTTCCAAATGATTTGTTAGCTTTGCAGGTTTCATTGCGTCGTTTGAAAAAATTTTAGTAGGCACATGGAAAGCGGTACTTTTTCGCTGCTGGGAGCAATAGTGAAACCTAGCTCCAAATACATCCTATAATACTGCCTAATATGGACCTTTCCCCGAGCATCGACTTTCTTGTTTACTTTGTGACAGGGGCCAATCAGCAAGATGCAAAAAGTGATGTAACAATGCTCCCTCCTCGCATCCGCTCGGACACTGATCTCACTCGGACAGATTTTCAAGCGTGGTCGTAAACATTACCTCATTTTCGCGTTTTTTAACTCTATTCGTTAGTTTTCAGTTGTGTTTCAGAAACTTAAATATAAATCAGATAATTCAATGATCACTCAATATGATCAATGTCTTCCCAGGAGTTTTAATTTAATTGCAGTAATAAAAAATTAGTGTAGAAATAGCTGTGATAGACTAGGCTAAAATTCTTTACCGGTACTTTTCAAAAAACAGATTGTTGTATGCGATGAATCATAATGATGGTTTGAGACACATACCCCATTTTACAGGTGCCAACTTGCAAAAGCACTCTTAAAATAACCCTGAAAATTTTGCAATGGTGAAGTATAGGAAGAATTTTTCGGGGGTCAAAGGTCGGGGAAAGGTCCATAAAGTCTCCCTTTCGTTTTTTGCTTGTTTATGCGTAATTCATATAAACATTGCTGCACGGTCGTTTCGGGGCATGTTGGAAAGATGAAGTAGCAGTCTTTTCCTCTGTCCTGTCAACACCACTAACTTGGTTTTCACCGCCGGGTTTCTTTTGAAAGAACTGAATAATACTTTGCTGTTTGTTTGCCTTCATTTTACTATCAAACCTCGCTAAATTATAGACCTACTGTTAAATTACAGAACCTGCAAACTTCTCAATCAGGTACCGTACTATGTGCTATCAAACTCCTCCATTATGACGTTAGCCGTCGTTATCAGGTCATGGACTTAACGAACATTCAGCCGTTCAGGGCTTAAATGGGCAAAACACCTTTCACTAAGTTTGGTTGTTAGACGAATACTACGAATCAATAAGAGTTAAAAAATAACAAAATTAATGGACATGCCGTCAATACTTTGTATTTTGCAATTTGCTTATAATAAATTAATATTGGAATATATTTGGCGGACCGGCAGCAAGGTTGCCGCGGACCGGTGACGGCGGTTGATAACCACTGTTCTAGATAACTGAAACTTTTGGGTACAATCATGCACAAACAGAAGTTAGGCGTAAATAAATATAGGGTTCTTGTTTTGGGGGGTACCCCTGTACTACTCACAATAAACAACAAAAGAAGCGAAAATACTGCTGATTCCCTATACTGGTATAAGTCTAGATTAATTTTCCATCCCAATCAATAGTATTCCAAAGGCATCCTTCTTATCTACTGTATATATTTTGAAATACTTAGAGAAAACAGATAGATCATGATTAAAGCGTTATGAAAAAAAAAAAAATCCTTACCTTTGCTAATCTGGCTCTCTTAATCAGGTCATTTAATTTTCTGAGTGCAGCATTCCTTGGTAAACTCTGGATATCTTCAAACAAATCGTATTTTTCTTTTTCAAATAACGCTCTGTTTTCCGCATGATTGAGAGGTTCGTCCCAAAATGATCCAATGTATACTCTGACAACTTCAGGTGTTGTTATAACCTAATGATACAACAATTTAGTATATGATGAATGATGATATACCGGTAAGTTAGAATTGTTAGTTTGCAGTATATAATAACATGGGTGGCAATGTGGCATATTACGGTAAGTTTATTAGTGGCATATTATTTATTAGATGGCGGACCCCCGGTTCTATTACAAGTTTTGGGACTAGCAGAATGACTCCCGTAGTATTTGTACCTGAAAGTATGGCCTAACCCTATCCCGGTACACATGCTACGTTCTGGTGTCGGCCCTCTCGGTGCACATACTACGGAATTACTAAATTTTGATTATAAATTCTAATGTATAGAAGAAAAATGTTAGGTGCCATATAAACTTAGTTCTTACATAAACATTCAAAATTGGGTGGAGAATAGTAAAAATATATTGACACCACCATGTGTTACAATACCACTACTAACTATGAGACCACTGTTCTTCAAATATAGTGTATAAAATGTCTCATAACCTACACACGTCTTTATTTAATTAACAGTAGTTGCAAAAACAGGGCGTGATAATCCAGCTCGCCAGTTCACACAAAAGAGAATAAATCATATTGCATATTAAACAATGAAGAAAATGAGTCTCACACTTCTTAGAATGTGATTCATACCCACACACAAATGTGTAAGAAATCACAGTTCATACAAACAGACACAAAACAGTATGGAACCATCAATTATAACTTTTAACACTCTGCAAAAAACACAAATGGCCACGAGGTCATATGTCTTAAATAGACAAAGATACCAAAGTTTGTTTACCAACGGCGGACCTCGCAATATAAGAAAGTATTTCTAGTATTGCATACCCTCGTAGTAGAAGTAAATTAGCTTATGACCACATTTTTTGAGGTCACGATAAAATCACACATAAATCATCAAATGTATGAAAATAGGACACTACCTGAAATCAAAACATAAACAAGCACATCTTTGAAACTAACAGATGGTCCATAATAACCCAGGTCCATTCATGAAATGTGACATAAACTAGTTTGCTTTTACTGCGACCATATGACCAATGTTTGTATATTTGTAAAAGATAAATTTTGGTACAATACCTTTCCAAGGGACCACATCAAGGCACCATACACTCTCATCAATTGCTGTGTGTTGACTTGATCAGATTTATTCAGAACGACACGAATCTTCGAGTCATAGGATTTCACGGCATTGATCGCTTGATGAAATTCATCTGATATATCCAATTTATGAGCATCAAAGAGTAGAATAATGCGATCAACTCTTTCAGCAAACCAACCAAGGACCTGTAAAATTATGACAATACTATTGAAAACAAGACAGCGATGCTCAAATATAAGGACACAAGGATTATGGGCCACATAAAAGTGTTCACATATTGTATAAAAAAGTGTTCCTCTGATTTAAAAGACAATATCAACATTTTGGGTGGAATATCCGGCTCCATAAGAAAAAAATTAAGATCCTTTTAATGGCTTCTGAAAGTCTGTGCTCAATTAAATTTGAAATTGCTTGGCCCATTAGTTACACAGAAAAGTGAATCTTCCCAACAACAGCAATTTAGCAGAAGCCCATAAATCATCAACACATAAAGGAAATCTAAACAAGTTTGTTCGACATGAATTCTCAACCATTTGAAATGTACACAGGAAATACAATGGATCAATCTTAAATTTTCACATTCTACTGAAGAAATATTAGAAATAGGGGAACTGTACAACAATTCCATTTCTCTTGTACTTTTTTCACTTTTAAATTGAATACTGAAATACATTGCAGGATACTTATAAGAATGTTACTGCATGGGTTACAGAACTTTGATTAGGAAATCTAGTCTATTTCTTTTTTTATTGTTAATAATTACCATACAAATGCTCTTTTATAATTGAAGTTCTTCGGAAGAAAAATTATAAAATCAAGGTATTCTAAAACTGCATTGACAATTTGACATACTTATCTAAATGGTGAATTTATCAATCATTATATGGCAAAGATTAGCAACTACTGAAAAAGTCTTCAGAACAACGTAAAAAATTCTTATGGTTATTCATTGTCATTACGGAAACTACCTCAACTATCCAGATTCAAACCTACCAATATATGTGCAAGTTTATTCGAACAAATTGCTATGAATAAAATATAAAAAATAGATTAAATAAGAATTACCTTATCAAATTCATATCCACGATTGACTCGCTGCTTTTCTCCTGATAATATTCCTGGTGTATCAATAATTGTGATACTGCTTAAAACTTCATTATCCAACTGAGAGCATTGCAATCGTGATAAAAAAGCGTTTCCAAATGCTGTTAATGCTCGAAATGGCTTAGTTTTATCCACTACAAGAGCATTGCCTGAAAATAAAGAAAATTGCCAATTCCAGAGTTTGACAGAGGATAGTCTCAACAATGACATTTTTGAAGTTAAGAACTTGAGATATTACTTGAGATATGTAAACCTAAAACTATGCAATGACATCATATTTGAAAATAAGTGGAAAATAATGTGGAATTCACCACCTCATGGGACAGCTATTTTCTTGATTGCATTGACACGAACCATGAAGCCTCAGATAAACCACAATTCCACACTATAATGAATTATAGTCTCAGGAGATCTTGAAACTTTAATGTTCGCTTTATCAGAGATCAATGTCATATACAGGGTGTCCCAAGAATAAATGAAACCCATAAAATTGCTAATCAAATTAATAGGTTTCATTTATTTGGGAGTCAAACCCTATATTATGAGCGAGTGCATGTGACTTTGCTTCAAGTTAATTTTCTTATAAGAAAGTATTCCAAGAAAATCAAGTATGACACAAACCTGGTATAACTCCTTCATTAACTCCGCCATCTTTGGAATCATCTCCTTTCATGATTGTTATAAAACAATCAGTAGTTGGCTCTGGGCCAATTCTCATTCCTGGAAATTCTTGATCCAAAAGATATTTAATAAATGTTGTTTTTCCAGTTGAATATTGACCAATCAGTAAAACCATAGGCTTTGATTCAAAATCAGCATCGTCAAGTGCAGGTGAATGAAAATCATGGAATTTATAAGCTTCTTCCAATTGCCGTAATCGTGTCTTGTAGAGTTTTTTGAGACCAACAGCAATATCCTGTATAAAAATATGGAATATTGTAAAGTTCATTATTGAAAATAATATAGGACTAATAATCATTTAACAAAACATTATTAAGAAACAATTTGTTATATTCAGGTACAAAATATTATTGGGGGCGGCACATTGTCCTGGCGTTAAAGCATCAGACTCAACTGTGTTGTCATCACTGATTACACATCTCCGGTTCAAATACCCCCTCGCATATCGTGAGATATCGAGGACCTCTTCTACAGAGCCTTATTCTGAGCAAAAGACCATATAAAGATATACACTGTATGAAAAACATTAATTTCATGATTCCAATTCCATTATTCCATCTACAGTAAATACTTGCCTGAAAGACCTCAGGTTCTCTCTCCTTCTGTTCGCTCCTCAACCACCTCAACATGGTTACAATATATTAGTTTTACTCTATTTTTTAAAAATTCAAAGGTTGAAGTATATTTAAATCTGTAAAACAATATATTATTATTACTTCTGGAAATTCTGCATAAAGATTAGAAACCATAACTTTCTCAATTAATCGATGAGCTGGATTTCACTATGAAGTAGGCGAACAAATGTGCAAATTGTTTGTCAAAAACACACCTCTGGGAAATAAAGCAGAATCTTTTAAATGCTGAGATAGATAAGATCAGTCAGGAAAATTTGTGAGAAAAGTGAAGGCAAAAAGAGAATAATCTGGAAAAATATTTAGCTTAACCAGGTAATTCTTTGATTGCCTGAACATTATTTAGGACCAAAATAACCATAGCCTACTTCTGTAATCGTTATTACTGTATTGGGCAGGAAAGCTGTACAGTTATATACAATACTGCAATAGGTAAATGCAGAAATGTAAAAATCGAGACAGATGGATTTAATGTTTATTGTAGAACAAAATATCAAAACAACAATGTCAAGACAACAATGTCCAGACGTCTCACAAAGGAGGGGTGTCTGATCATCAGTAAAATGGGTTTCTCTGAAACGAGACAATGTTGTTCGATCTGTATAGTGTGTCGTACTGACAATATCAAAATCTGTCCGTTCAGCAATTTTTTGCTATGTCAATCCTAATCCCCATCTGACTATGCCATCCAAAAATCACGTCACTACGACATCACAATCACATCATAGAGCTTGCCAAAAATTGCCCGAAATGGCATTGGCGCCGACGATAAAGAACTGACTGACATTATCGGTCTCTCTCCTATTGGAATCGTTGCGACGAGAAAACGAGAGAAATAACTGTTCAATTTCGGGTGCTTGTTTGCGCGTCTTGGATGGCAGTACGTATAGTTTGTAAGGGGTCTCGTGTAGTTTCGTACCTAACATACTTCTAGTCTAGTGGGCGTAGAATGACAATTTTTTCACGTATCAATCCTAACCCCAACCTGACTACATCATTCAAAAATTACGTCATTACGACGCCACAGTGACGTAATAGATAATAAAAAACGAGAGAAATAGCTGTTCAATTTTGGGCGCTCGTCTGTGCGTCTTGGATGGCAGTTCGTATAGTTTGAAGGGCTTTATTATGTCACTGTGACGTCGTAGTTTTGGATGGTGTTGTCAGGTGGGGGTTAGGATTACCACATGAAAAAATTGTCATGCTACGCCCACTAGACTAGAAGTATGTTGGGTACGAAACTACACGAGACCCCTACATTGCCCCAATTTTTTGTATTAGACTATGATTTCATAGTTTTAAACACATTCACCACACACAGACACATGCAAATACCGGTACCGTAAAATAGTAAAAAACATATAATTACCACACTTTAGGTAATCTAATGTGTCATCTCAACATTCAGACTTTCAGTCAGTTAGTGAAGACTGTCTGACTGCAGAGTATCTATAACTTGGGATAAAAATTATTATTTCTGTATTTTCAGATTTTGGGACTCGTAAATCATAGTACAGTACGGTAGTACAATAATTGCTGAATTGAGCGATCTATACTAGTCTACCATTGTGAGACGACTACTCTATCCCCTTAAAGACAAAAACAAATGTCAGCAATATAAAAATAGAAACAAGAGCTTGCTGTCTTATTACAGTACAGCAGTATCAACTTACACGCTCGCATAATAGTATAATCAAAATATGACAATCCCAAATCTCGCACGTCGAGCCTCGCCCGCAGCTGTGACGCAATACGTAAGAATACGATTAACGCGATGCGTAAAACCACGCGTGATCTTTGTCGCGTCATAATATTGATAAAAAATATACTTGGTAGAAATTCTTTTACAAATTCAAAGTAGTGCTTCAATCTTATAGTTTCAATATTGATTGATATTCTTGTTCTTCAATATTAAATCATATTTGATATATTAATAATAATAACTCTGCGTACTTTTTCTTGTGTTTTTATTCTGTTTCTAGCCTAGAACAATTAGTTTAATTTCTGCCATAATGTAAAAAATCTATAATAAAACCGAACCAGAGAACGGGACGTCATAATAACTGTTTCAAGTCGCGGGGAATGGGAGAAAATATACATAGGTTTAAACCAGGCCTGCCCAATCTTTTTTGTCTCGCGGGCCACTTTCACGTGCCGAAATCGGTCGCGGGCCGCAAACGTTTGTACCAAACATTAATACCAGATAAGTCCTGATTTTGGTGTAGGTAATTACATAATACATAAAAGGCGAGTTTATTAACATGAAATCAATCAAATTAATAATTAGGATAGGATTTACATATTTATCCCGGGGTAGAGGAAAGCCGATAAGACGGCTTATCCATATGGCGTGCCACGGCCTCTCGTCCGGTTATCATTCCAATTCGGCTATGGGATTAGTTATATTGTTTGTTTTCGGAAGCATGGACTTGGTGGTGGAGGAAGCCGTAACCGACCAGCGGTTACGTGAACCACCCAACGATGGCGAGGAGTCCAGCAATCCTCTCGCACATAACCATCCCTGCATGGGATTCGAACCTGCGAACCCACGCAGAGTAATTAGAGGTGCGGTGGCGAGCGTATTCCTAACGCTTAGCCCGCTGGGCCATACCGCCGCGCCGATCGTTCTCTGGTTACTGGGTAGGGCTGGCAACTTATTAGAATAGCAGTTTACTATTCGAATATCTGGTAAACGAGGCGTGGACATAATACTCACGGGCGACCGAAACAAAGAACCAATCATTACACAACACACTTGCGTTTTTTGGCGACCACGCAAGAAACACACACATCACGTCAAAGTTGAGTGTTATATTTGCGTTATAGTGTTTTTATTCATTCATGTTCAGTAGCTACGATACTGCTTTAATGTTTAAATGAGCATAATGTGCGTCAATGTCGCGGCAATATCAAGTTTTAGGGGGCCGTTTCGTAAAATTTGAAACACAAATACAAGTGTTTAATGAAGTAACATAACGAAGATTTCTGAACGAATAGTCGATTCTGCTGATTTGTGACTAATTAGACTGATTTGTGACTAATTAGTAGCAATGCCATTACGTCAATTTCATCAGAATTATTGACGAATACGCAGTGACGACATTTCCAAAATCTTATTTAACGCGAACATAACATGAACAAAAGTACAAACATAAAAAGACAACGAGTCCATGGTCCAGTACCCAAGATATTGTTGACTTTTTATTTTACGTTGGCGATAAAGACGATCAAAGCCGACACGAAAGAAAGCAATCAAAATGAAATTAATTTGCAAACTTAGGCTCCAAGTTCATTCCTATATTTTCGCTCAGCCTTTGTCCCCAATGATCGCACAATACCTTTATAGTTCGTCGAACAGAATGCACAGTTTTGCGAGAAATAAAAAAAATGACGTTTATGTCCACCAGGGTGCAAGACTCGATACATACGTAATAATAAAAACCGGCATTTGAACGTAGATAGATGGCAGAATAGTTACACCAAAATCACGAAAGATACTGTTGTGTATGTTAGTGTTGTGACGTAATAATAGTGTCTGGGTCTACTAGACCAGTGGTCGGCAACCACCGGGCCGCGGCCCATCGCCGGTCCACGGAAAGATTACTGCCGGTCCGCAGAGAGGTCATACAAAACAGACAAGGTTGTAATAAAACCTCTACAATCTAACTACAAACCCTATGAGACTAAAAACAGCACCCAACAGCAAACACTACACTTTTGACTTTTGAGCATCATGTCTGACTTCACAAACAATTGACAATTGTCAGTATGTCGCAATAATGCTGGATCAATTGTTTTCTCTACACGCGTATAGGAATGTCTCTCATCGGTCGAATAAGATCTTTCCAACAAATGATTCTCGCTTAAAACGTGACTACTCCATTACTGGCTGGTAGCTAACCGGTCATACCTAGTCAGTGCTAAATCAGTATATACTTCAGAATCAGGATAATCACAAAATTAGCACTTCGGGTAAAAAAATTAGTTTTGGAAAAACAAACATCAATCAATGCCCAGACTAAGGTCGGAAGGTTTACATGCATTGTTACCTTTCCCGAGATCTTATTAATGTGAAGCCTGGTTTTCAATATTGACAACTACAAAAACGAAATATCGAAGTAGGCGAGATGCAAGAAACACGTTACGTGTGTTAATGTCTACCACATCTCCAACGTGGGAACAGTTAATGGCCAGCAAACACATACAGATATCGCATTAAATAGCATGGCCGTCGTTTTTAGTATATATATTGTCAACATAAATTTCCTAATGCGTATAATTTATTTTATTAGCTTAGTTCGTTTGTATAAAGGTGGTCCGTCAAAATTTTGGTCAGGCATTACCGGTCCGTCACTTGAAAAAGGTTGCCGACCACTGTACTAGACGCAGACGCGTAATAATGGAATTCGAGTAGGTTGTTGATGTGATGGTACTGTTTTGCTGCTAAGATTAAAGACTATTCCATTCATACGAACAACGTGTCTATTTGCCTCCAATATAATAAGGGACACGACAGATACCTCTGTATAGTAAAATTTAAAAAGTCTAATTACAAACTTTATCGCGGGTCGCAAAAAACACTCCAGCGGGTGGGCAGCCTTGGTTTAAACGTACATAGGTGCAACAGTTTCTGGACGCAATGTGTACGCGTGAGGTAAAACATAAGGTGTGTAAAGTTCCGTAGGTGTAAAACATACAGATGCAGGGATGCGTTCTGGGTGCAGTTTAAGAATTCAAATAAACAAATAAATTAGTGTGTTCAAAGATGATGGAACCATGAATTGCAACAGCAAAATTGTGTTCTGTATTATTTTGTTCTGTGATTTATTGTACGACGAACTTTGTACATATATACTGTTATAGCATACATATAAATGAAATCATGAACACACAAAATCATGCATTTTGAACACTTTATTTCGGTGAGAAGTAATCAGAAAAAAATATAATATATTGGGCCAAGGTCCGTGAATTTTTGATGACAAAAAAAATGATGATATTGAAAAAAAACGAACTAGTCAGAAATTTCTTCTAATTTGAAAAATTCATCCTTTTAACATGTCATTGTAA